CTCAGTGCAATTACTGAAGCCATTCCTGAATGTCTCGCAGCAGGCAAAACGTGTGAGAAGCAAGCCATATGCTTGTATTAGGGGTCTAGGGGTGCTTGGAAGATTTTTGTTGGGGGCCCCAAAATTCAAGCCTCAGGCCTGTTCAATCCTTAAACACAGCTGGAACACCCTCGAACACCATGCCTGAAGCCCACTGAAAGCTTCAGAGCACGCTGCCAAACGTCCAACCCGGAGCCTTAGGCCTAATTACTAAGAAACACTAAGAACGATGCCATGACGCAGAAATGCTGAAGTTAGGGTAGTGGGTGATAGTTATCATCGCAGAAACAGAGATGCTTCTTTTCGGCAACAAGACGAAGAATTTGGACGGTACTTGCAAACTTGTCAGGCTTAGTAGTCACTGGGAACATTGTTCAACCACAACCACGAAAAAACACAGAACAATAATCACATTGCCACGCATGCTCATAGTCATAATCACACTCCATAGTCATGTATCTCTATTACCCGATTTTTGGGATACCCACGCAAACGACAAAAACGCGAAGCACTGCATCTTGAAACCTAACTACGAGCCGCATGGCATCAACTCACACCAACCCGGTAGATCCAAACTCAACAAATCCCTAGGTCATGACCCCATAGTCGTCGGGTTTCACCCTGAAAATGAGAGTGCATTGGTTCAGCAGTATAGTACAGCGGCCTTCATACGTGGATAGGCTTTGGACGTATATTACACCCGAATGAGGAAGTATACGGAATATTAGAGGCAAGTATTCAGTCCGCTACTCGTAACTATACTGAACTTAGAACCCTAGCACAAATTAGACTTTTAGCTGTTTCCTGAGATTATAATAACCAGAAATTTAAAAATATTTCTAAGTACCCTCTAAGCCCTACTTTTCAGGGACTTATATAAGGAAGGACATCATAACAATCAAAGGGGAAAAGGAGGGACCCTTAATGGGGACCCCTACCCTACAATACCCTAGGTAAACGGAGTCGTCCGAGTCGTCAGGGGCCTTCCTCGGTTGCGCCGCTCTCGGCAGACTGGGGAGGCGACGCTTGCGCCAGAAGCATCTCGGCACCCAGAGAGCCCAATATCCCTTAATTAAGGAATATACCTTAAATTATAGTAGGATCCTTAATATGATTTAAGGATTATTCCCTAATTAAGGGATATTGGAGTCTCTGGGGGCATGGGCTGAGATACGAACCCCCTTGTCTTGCATAGGGAATCTCATGGATCAGGGTTCAATCTATGACTTGCAGGCTCCGGGGCTTAGGCTCGAATTAGGGCTTGGGTTGTTGCGCCGAATATGTGTCTATGCAATTGCATATATATATATATATTATCTGCTGATGCTTCCCTTTCTTTCTCCACATCATATATACATATATATAAATATATATATATATATATATACACGCACATGCAACAGTATACAACTAAGTATATTAAACATATCATATCTTACAATACAATTGCTTGCGGGTGTTTCAATAACAGCACCCAGGATACACTCGGATACGCAAAACGAATATTCCTATACTAGCAAGCCTAATTGGAGGTTCATGGATAGTTATAAGTAGGGTTATAAGTCCCCTAATATGGGTTATAACTATACATACCCTACTTATAACTCTACTTATAACTGGTCATGAACCTCCAAGTACTCTGATTGCTCGCATGAGTTGACCGCTGGTGGACCCAACGGGATCCTGTACCCCAGAAGACCTACCTTTCTTGTAGAGGGGCTTAGGGTTTAGGGTTTACAAGGGGACATTAAGAGCTTGACATAAGGAACATGAATGCCCGTTGGACTGCAAGCCGATTATGTATGGCTTGGCGTCTGTTTGAGCCTTGAGTAATGCGTTTGTGCCTTTGTGCTTTAACTGCGCAAGGATTCAGAGCCTTGACTTTCTTTTGGTTATGACTTTCTTTTGGTTTGGGGGAGAGCCGAACGTGTGGTGGAAGATTTAGGGCTCCCTTGTAGATCCCAGTTTTCTTGTACCGGGGCTACATACAGCGGCATATTCATCTAGGATACCCAGTAACCTAAGAATAAAAGGGCCTCTCTTTTTGGTATTGGGTAACTTTATAAGGAACCTAGGACTACAATAAGGGTACTACTGGGCATCCTAGTCATACTATTCACACACGTCGATATCCCAAAACCTTCAAGCTGGAGCAGCACCGGCTGAAGGCTTCCGAGCAGCTTTTGTCTCCAGCTCTGCACTAACCTCACGGGAGGCCCAGATTCTATGTGGGGTTCTAGTTGCCATAATCATTAAGGAAACCATATTATTTACTATGGTAGCTGATATTAATTTGCTTAACCTTAACAAGAACCCAGTATGTGGGCGTCCAAGTCTTGTTGTCTGCTATGGTGTGTCTCAGTTCGAGTGTTGTTCGGTACCGGGCTTGATCAAGGCCGTTTGTTGGGCTCTGAGAATCTTGATAGGCTATTCTTTCAAGAGTTTCAAGAGGTTTTACAGGTTTCAAGACGACTTAGGGAATTCAGGGCTGAGGGGTTCAGTTACCTGAATGTTGGGCAACTGGGTTACATGCGGTGGATGGGTGGTTCTAAGCAGGGTGTATCAGGTTCCTTGAAGTGATCTATAATTGTTCGGCTCTACTTGAAGGTTCATGGGCAGCTACAAGTCGAGTTATACGTAGGATAGCTGTACTTAGAACCTGTATTAGGGGAGTTATGCCTCCACGTACAAATGCCCATGAACCTCCAAGTGCACCAGACCCTATTATACGCCGCTTATACTCAGACCTTCCAAAATCCCTTAATTAAGGAATATACCTTAAACCATATTAGGGATCCTACATGATTTCAGGTATATTCCTTAATTAAGGGATTTTGGAAGGTCTGGGTAACTACCCGTAGGTCCCTTGGATCCGTAGGAGCAGATCAGAGCGCCTCCAAAGGAATTTGCCACCAAGCGCGAGGAGAGTTCATGGCTGAAAGGCTGGTAAACAGGTCTGCGCACTCCTAATGTAGGGTTCCTTTAGAAGCTTCTTTAAGGGATACTATGTAGGGTTCCTTCAGAAGGTTCTGTGAGGCAGACTATGTACCTAAAGCCCTGAAAACCTACATTGCTTGTGGTTCCTCATTACGGTCTAGAAGTCCTTCGAAAGGCAGGTTTGAAGGTTGCAGATAAACTCAGGGGCTTGAGGCCAACCTAAGCTTGCACTATTTGCAGCCAATCACGTGGAGTAGTATGCTTACCGGAACGTCTGCATGTTCTTCTTTAAAGTCTTTTGCTCGGAAAGGAAAACGGTAACTAAAAGTTTTCGGGGCTGCCTTGGAATTACAGGCGGTTACCGACCGGGAAAGAGCCTGTACTAAGGGCGTAAGATTTGGGATCAGGGAAAACGTCCCCATATTGATGCCCCCTAGTGTCCTTGTTCGATTTGAGCCCGTGCATAATGGGAGAAAAAGAAGGGTCCCACACAAGCCTTGTCCCGAAAACTGTGTGAAAATAATATGTGTCTACGAAAGCCCCAGAACCAACAAATAACTTTGCAACCATAGCAGCTTTGCCCTAAAATGCCAAAATCTAAACCAAAGCTTAGGTGTCTCTTTGTGCTCTTATCTGGGATGCTTGGCTGGAAATCTCGAGCGTGAACCATGGGCGTAAGATGCAGAGGTGTATTGCGCCACTACTTGGGAGGTCGGGGGACTTAGTAAGTAGGTAGTATGTAGACTTATAAGTACCCTTAATAGGGACCCTAATTGGGGTTATGGTACTTATAAGTCCCTAAAATAACCAGTTACTAAGTCCCCCGACCCTCCAAGTATCCTGAACGAAGAGCAAGAAACCCGAAGCTTAAACACTGTTCGGCATTAGCGCTGACGCATGCTGTGTAGTACCTGAAGGAAGTAAGGAACAATACTTACCATAATAAGTACTTATAGCCGCTATTGGGGTACTCAAATATGACCCACTCGATGGCTGGAAATTACGATAACAGACTTAGACCTCTAGGCACAGCATAACACACTTTTCACTGAGAAATCCTTATAGCAAGGCTAATAAAGCAACATTTAATCACAAGAAAAGCCTGAATAACTGGCATTGCTATTCCTTTGCGCTCCTTCTTATAAATACCCGCATATATTATGGATGGCAATATAATCCCACGCCCTTTCTACAATACTTCCCACGAAAGAGCCACCCTCTTGGTTAAACGACTCTCTTAGGGGCATCAAGTGGGATGCAGGCTTCTGGGTCTCAAAAGCTCAAGCCGCCAGCTGCGTGTTGCGTACGCACGGATCTCCAATCCATTTGTCGTGCTGTTCCTGAAGACGAGTGTAAAGGCACTGCCAAGATGTATCAGCAATGCCACTGTCCTCCACGAGTTTCAGCAGCCTGAACTCCCACCAATCGTACTTTCGTCGGGTACGAGCAACTGGGACCTCACCGATGCACATGGGGTAGAACCGGAAAATCATGGAGTAGACAGCAACTGCAAGGGGCATTGTAAGCACATGCTCAGGATGGGAAGCGCCTTGGTCGCACAGGCAACATTGAACAGTCGCTCCATTTTAACCCTAAGCCCTGAACCCTAAACCGACCGAGGCGGAAAAGGCAGCTTTTGGTAGCTTCGGGAAGCAGACACGAAACTCGATAGGTGGGGCGAATGAGTAAACACGAGAAGTCAACTCAACTCTCCCAGTAGTGTCAAGAAGCTTCTCATGCAGTTTTTGGCTGAGAAACCCTTATAGCAAACCTTTTCGAGAATCCTGAAAGGAACCCTGAGGAAGAGTCTGATTATTCCGCACCATGTCTGAAGGCCACTCAAACAACATACACCCCCAACCCCAAAATCCTAAAGCCTAAACACTCAACATACGATGTTACTATAAGAACATCACCGACAACCCAAATCTAGTAGTTGAAGTTGCTATCCTTGAAGGTGTTATGGGGAGTCTAGCACCCCACAAATTCAAAGGTTGAAGATTACCTACCCTGCTACTCAGACCCTAACTGCGGAAGTTGCTATGTCTGCCGAAACCGGGCTCACAAGACCAGTCCTCCAGCCTCAGTTTTGCCTTCTTCTGCCTGAGTCGGGCTCAGGCTTCAGAGGTTTAAGGGCTTAAGGGCTTCGGGCTTATGGGTTGAGGGTTTCGGGCTTGGGGTTTGGGTCTTTAGAGGTTTAGGGCTTAGGGTTTAGGGGTTAAGGGCCGAGGGTTTAGGGTTTGGGTCTTTAGGAGTTTCGGGGTTTCGGGCTCCATTTGGTTTGAAGGGTTCCTTAAAGGGCGCTGTAGAAGTAGTAGGTATATAGGTAGTTCTCTACATCAGGGTCTCTGTTTAGCAAAACCAATAGAAGAAGCGTGCACCCTTTTTAAAACGGAAATAAGAGGACCCGAAAAGGTACCTCAATCTGGAGTAGAAAATGAAGCTCCGCTCCATCCAATCCAACAACACATCTCCAACACAACGGCCTTGATAGAAAGAAACGGGTTACTCTTTGACTACCAAAAGATCAATAACGACTACAAGGGTCCATGGTACTGTATGTTTCCAGTAAGGACTATGAGGTATACTGTGGTACCATTTAGACCACTTGTCATGCAAGCCCCTGGTTTAGGGCTCGGCTTAGGAATGATGAGAGTCTTAGCGTTTAGGGTGGTGAGGGTGTAGGTTTAGGGCGTTTTGGGGATTGGGGTTTAGGGGCAGACTAAAGTCGACTCCTTCCACCAGTGCAGTGAACGACTGCAGTCCGCGGTGCTCGAGCACATGCAACTATTATATGGTGGCCTTAAAGTTAGCAGGGGTTTTGGTGGGGGTATAGTATACCATAGTTGTAATAAGGAATCCCCAGAATAATATAGGCAACTGTTAAGGCCCCTATGCTAAATCCCTAGAATAGCCCTTATAGTAGCCCTTATAGACACCCTCACAGGACCCCACCCAGAATATGATAGGTAATTATTATGGGCCCTATCATGTAGCTAGAGGCTCATACCCTACCCCTTTCTTACTTTGTAAGATAACAGATCGTAGCCATAAGACTAGGTATCCTAAAAAAAGAGTAGGGTATGAGCCTCTAGGTAGTATGGGCCTTAGAGATGGAGCTAGGAGATGTTCCGTCTCCATAGCTGCTCTGCTCTGTCGTTCGGAATCCAACAGGCGAAGACTAGCCGGGCGGGGGGCGGCCAGCTTCAGCATCCTCATAATATAGGGCCCACATAATTACCCATACTATTTTGGGGGTTCCTTCAGAGGGGTCTACAAGGGCTACTATACGGGCTATTATAGGGATTCAGTATAGGGGCCCAATTAACTACCAATACTATTTTAGCATTACAGCATGAAATCCAAGACCGATAGCGCAAGGCCAGCAAGACACACATGGGAGGCTTTTTGCAAGGGTCCGTACTCGTTTTTAGTCGGGGGGAGCATCAGCAGGATAAAGGTTTTGTCGCACTAAGATGTATTGTTTGGCGGAGGACTCGGAGTACCAAAAGTGTATTTTACGTGGCCTGGCCAGCGGAGGAATTTCTATGCCAAAATAAACATATCGTATTATTTTGTTCCGACGGAGGAATTCGTGACGTCTATGGGGGAACGGGGTTTGCAAGTATATGTTAACAGACCTACCCGATGCGACGAACTTTCGTCCTGGCGCAGTATGAAGGCCCCTACATTACCATGCTTTCTGGTATGGCTTCAGATCGCCAGGAAACCTTTCGGGTGCACAGTGCGCGAGAAAAGAGTAGCTTCACCTATGTGCATGCTCGCACCGTTTGGCACCTCACCCTGACTAGTTCATGGTTGGGATAGGATTAAAAATTTACATTTTTATTCCTGATTGGGTTTCAGAACCCATAAAAATCTAAAAAATTACCCAACTGTGACAAAGCTGAAACATGTTTGTTGTCTCGGAAACACTGTAGCGATCGAAGGCTTTAATGAGTTAAATCAAAGGGGAAGAGGAGGGACCCTTAATGGGGACCCCTACCCTGTAATGGGCTATATAATGGGTATATAATGGCTATATTAAGGGTATATTACCTAGGAGTCCTTATTAAGGGTCCCTCCTGTTCCCCTTGAGTTAAAGGATGATGCGTAACACTCACAGCTTGGACTGGGCCATGCGGTTTGACAAGACATGCAAAAGCTCATATATACACATATATATAAATATACACATTGAGTATCATGAAGGCTTTTTGAATTCTCGATAGTCATGAAAAATCCGACCAAATCGTTAACAATTCTTTGTACCCGCCTATCAAAGCCCTTGATTGAGCCTACAGAAAGACCCTCGCCCAAAGCCTACAACCATAACTTACTAAGGCCCAAGACCCTAAGCCCTAAGACCCTAACCCACAACCCTAAAGCACTAAACCCGAATTCCTACTCTGAGACGGAACCCTATTGCGGAACCCTAAACTTTAGGGAACCCCTATACTTCCTAAAACCCTAAGACGAGCCCCTGAGAGATAATACAGGGGCCTCAATAATTAGAATAGGGTTTTGGGGCCCGATATACTATAGTTATAATAAGGAACCCCAAAAACAGCATTGGTAATTTTTTAGGCTCCTAAACTAAATCCCTATAATAGCCCTTACCTTACAGACCCCCTTAAAGGAACCCCCCAAAGCAGTATTGGTAAAACCTAGACCCCTGAGAGACATCCAATCCGTGCGAAGCTGCGCCGTTGGCTTCGCCAAGGTTTGGAGTCTCGCCTCGCCAAGCTCAAAACCCAAAGGGTCCACGGTTTAGGGCTTATGGTTTAGGGTCCAAAGTACCTGTATACTAGAATGTAGGGTTTCTATATTAGGAATTACTATTCTGATTTGGGGAAGTATCCCCCATAACAGTACCTAGGACCCACTGGGAAAGGAACTGTTGGGTTGAAGCTTTAGCCATTAGGCTTTAGGGTTGAGGGCTTTGGGGTTTGGGGGTTTAGGGTTGAGGGCTTTGGGGACCTTGGCTATAGACTTTAGGGCCAGGGGTCTGGGAATCTCAGGAGCTCAAATAGGAACCAAACGGGTCCATATGTACGACTTAGGGTTTAAGGGTTAAGGGCTTAAAGGTTTAGGGCTTAAGGGTTTAAAGGTTTAGGGTTTAAGGGTTTCGGGGTTTTAGGGTTTGAGCATTTACGGGTTTAGGGTTTAGTGCTTAAGGGTTTCAGGGTTTAGGGTTTAAGGTTATCCAAGGTTAAAGGTTTAAGGGTTTAAGTGTTGAGGGTTTAGGGTTATGGAATTAGGCTCCGAGCTCAAAAGAACCAAGAGCCTTCAGCCATTGGGGCTTGCAGCTGCAGGCCCAGCCTGCTTCACAGTTGCGTACCCTAGCATCCACCAAAATTGCTGTCAGGGATGCAGCCGTGAGGTTCTCCTCTCTGCGGAGCTGAGCTCGGCTGACCTCAGTGGCGAACAAGGCGGCTGCGCCCACCTGTGGAGCGAATGCAGGCGTGCCATGCCTGAGCCCCTGCACTGATGGCCTGTGCCCTCGCGCCCTCTCGTTGGAGAGTGTCGCTGGCGCGCGCTGTCCAAAGGACCTCTTCAACCAGACCTTGATCCGATCCAATGCAGCGGGAGTCGTCTCGTCGTGGGCTGCTGTGTCTCCGTGTCCTTCTTCTTGCTCTGTTGTACTCATGTGAGATTTGGGTCCTCTTGCAAAGGTGTGGTCGGCATCTCGGGTGTTCGGGTTTAAGGTCTTGAGGTTTTGGGGGTTGTGGAGTAACATTCCAGGTCAGATACATGGAAGCCCTCAGCCTTCATCCCCCCTGAAGCCCTGACCCAACTCATTTTTCAATACGACCACGGCGACGACAAGCGCTGGCCTTCAGCTTGAGGTTTTAGGGTCTTCAGGTGCATAAGAACGACAACAACAGCAGCCACTCTATACCCAGTGGAGGGTGGGGGAATAGATCCCTATGATAGTCCCTTCTTTTGTAGTCCCCATATATCCATTCCCCCGTTCTCTACCAAGAGCCAGGCAGCTCTACCGAATTATAGCCTATGCCTTGAACCGTACACCCTCAACCCTAGACCCTACACTCCAACACGATGCCAAACTCTGGACAGCAGTTTCCCGGGGCGCCTGGTCCGATGCTCGCGGTATCCACTGGTTCAAAACAGGCCTGGCTGTATCGAGTAATGCCAATGAACATAACAACAAGATCTAGAATCGTAATAAGAAAAAGTGGTAACAAAAATAATACTAGTATTAATACTAGTAGTAATGCTAGTCATAGCAAGCAATACATACAAAACTAAACATAAGGATAAAACACAATACGAATACTAATAACAATAATGATACCAATAAAGAAGAGTAGGCATAGAAATAAGAATTAGAACAAGGGTAAGGCAAGAATAAGAACAAGTGCCTTTCAGGGTTCTAGGTTTTTGGCCATGGGCACAAATAGCAGTCCGCCACCTCGGGGTACTTGCTGGACCCTACCAACAGAGCAGAATTGATGAGCTCCCTTGCACTTGGGCCAACATGGGCGTGAGGAGGATAAACCTGATTCTAACCATTTCCCCGGTTCTCTGGCAGATACAGTACAAACCCGACATTCCCGAAGCACTCCAACCTTATTACCGGAGTCCGAAAAGCTCCAGAACCTGAACCCTACATAAAAGATAAACTCTCTCACCTAAACCCTACAAGGCTAGCCGTCCGAGGCCATATTCATGCACGCTCATGCCAAACCCCAGCCCAATTGTCATTCAGCCCGAAGTCAGAAAAATCTGCGCCCGACCCATGCTATTTACTCGGCTTACGGATCAGAGTCTCTGTTCGGTGAGCTGCTTTCTCTATTATCGTAGGGTCCGTACAATAAGTTTGGCAAGCCAGAGGCCAGAGAAGGAAACTATGTTGGCGAGGAAACTGACAGATAGATCCTAAAACTTCAATACCCTAAACCCCTAGCCCCTAAACTCCTAAGCCCCAAACACCTAAACCCTAAAACCTAAGCCCCAAACCCCTAATCATTCCCTTAAAACCTGAGCCGCAAACCCCTAAACAACAACCCCCCAAAACCCTAAACCCTAAGCCCTAAATCCTACCCCCTCAACCCCAAACCCCTAAACACCAAAATAGTAGGGATCATACAACGAACCCTTCTAAATGCCCAAGGTTTCTTATAATCAGGTTTCTACATTAAACCCCCTGAACCCCTAAACCCCCACCTTGCGTTCTGAGTCCGGGGCGTAAATCGGTCAACGGGGGTAAGGTTGGCCTGGTTGCCGCTTGACCTGGCCACAAGCTGAGTGCGTGGGGCTTAGGGGTTTGGGGCTTAGGGTTTAGGGGGTTTGGGGCTTCTTACGCATGGACCCATCTTTTGGGCGATCCACTCGCTCTTGCTGACGTTGAGCGTTGCGTGCAGGTATGCCTGAAACAGCTCACGATTCCGAGTGTCTCGCTCGCGTGGAAGGAGTCGTACATCTCCAACTTCTCCAATATGGAAGTTGCTGATTGAACCTGGAGGTTCCGCGTACGGAATTCCTCAAACATGGCAGCGTTGAAGTCATTGTACGCCGAGTGGAGCTGGAAGAGATCCGCGTCTAGGGTTTGGGGTTTAGGGTTTGGGGTTTAGGGCTTAGGGTTTGGGGTTTAGGGTTTGGGGTTTAGGGCTTAGGGTTTGGGGTTTAGGGTTTGGGGGTTTCAGTAAACCCCATAAAGTTGGAAACCCGATTAAGGCCAAATAGTGCGGGGATTCCCTATACCTTACTCTTAAGGACTGAGGCTATTGGGTTTCCAACTTTTGGGCTTCTACTGTAGGGTTTTGGGGTGCTTGAAGGATCAGGAGACGTGTAGAAAATAGACTTTACATGGAGTCTTAATCCCATACCGGGGTTGCCTTAACAGCTTACGTATGGTTCAGAGTTTGTGGTCCCGTGTCTTCCTTTCGATCCTGACAAACTCAAACATTGAGGATATCAGGTATTGTACCCTAAGGGTCCACGTACCCATATAGAGATACATGTGCCCCAAAGTAGCCAAATAGGGACTACATTAAGACCAATGTATATCCTATATGAGTACAAGGACCCTTAGGGGTAGGATTGACTGAAGGCTGAACAGCTAAAGTAGGAAAAATGCGAGTGCTCTTGGGATCTAGGATGTGGCCGGTTCGAGCACCGCCCCTGACCGATTGCAGCACAACCAACCAGGACTCAAGAAGCATCCGGTGCCCTCAGCGTAACAGCATAAAGGAGTGCACGCGGCTAGGATTTCGGATACAGCTCCCGGCACATGCGAAAATCAAGCGCTGTGCGCTGGACTAAGCTTCAGTCATGATTGTGCAGAGCATCTTATTCGGAGCTTGGCGGCCTCACGGAACCAACAATCCAAATCAAAAGCACCTAGAGCAAGACTTCAAACTTTCAAACTCCAGTGAAACAGAAACACACTCCGATAACACGATTCTCAAACCCTGAGCCCTGAAGACCCAACTCCTCACTTGGAGGTTCATGGGTAGTGGTATTTAGGGTTTTCAGGTAGGATAACGATAGTTGCAGCCTATTTTCGGGGAATTCACCCGACGTATAACTCAAGCCCAAACCCTTTCATCTACCCTTGTGGGAACCCTTTTGGGAACCGCAAGCCGCAAAAACCCCGAACTGCAAGCAGTAGCCGGCTTGTGCTTCGGGGTTTCATGATTTTGACAAGCCAGCCTAGACCCTAAAACCTAAATCCTATAAACACCTGGTATAGGAACCTGATTAAGAAACCTTGGGCCTCTACTAGGGTTCCTTATATGAATCCTAGTATTTTGGGGTTAGAGGGCCAAGGCTTCTTAATCAGGTTCCTACATTAACACCGAAATTGTAGGGTAACTGGGGTTATAAGTAAAGTACGGTAACTACGGTTATAATTACTTGTAACCCCAATTGAAGTACTTATAACCCTATACTTACTAAGTCCCATGATCCTCCAAGTACCTATAGTTTCGATAACTACTATTTGCTCAAGAACCCCCAAAAAATAAAAAACATATTCCTTATGGGGGTAATATAGGGATTATAATTTTTATTTTTTGGGGGTTTCTTAAGCAAATAGTAGATAACCTAGGGGTTCCATGATTGCAGACATCCTGCGGTTCGACCTGGTGGATTTGGTGAAGAGCATTGAGTCCTGCGAAGAGCCGAGTGTTGGGGCTTTAGGCTTGCAAGGTTTAGACAGTTTCGGGTTTTAGGGCTGGGGGTTTTAGGGTTTAAGCGTTTTCGGTTTGCAGGGTTTAATTAAGGGTTTAGGGATTAAGGCCTAAGGGTTTAAGGGGTTTAGGGCTTAAGCTTAGGAGGTAAGGAATAGACCCCCCCTTGAGAACCATAATGTTGATTTCGTGTTGTATCTGATGAATTTAGGAGACTATAGGAAGTACCCAGCACAAACAGTGTCTCCAAGAACTGGGTCGGGTGCAATTGCAATTGCAATTTCTCGTTGGTCTTCATTGAAACACGTAATATAGGGGCCTTAATAATTCCAATAGGGTTTTTGCGTCCAATCATAATATGACTATAATGAGCAACCCCACACAGTATTGGTACTGCCCCTATATTACTTCCAGTACCGGTGGCCCCCTGAAAGCAGCGACAATGCTGCCGTCATCGCTTTCGCTTCAGGCGGAGAAACCCAAAAGCTTAACGCCGGGTTTCGGACCCAGTCCAGTGCTTAGGTCGCTCTGATGCAGAGATTGTCGGGGCTCTTCAGAAGTCAGAAAGGCAGGTTTCACTCCATTTCCAGAGGTTGTGTCCTGCTGAACCCAAAAGCCCACGAACTCTGAGGCTTAACAACCGTGCTCTTACTTCAGACTTTGCGGCGCTACAGAAGCAATAGCACTACATACTACTGGCTGAGTAGGCTTTTTGCAAACCCTGCCCAATCGCATCATGATATCAAGGTTCCGTAATGACTTATGAGTGATTAATAATTAATGACCCCTCAAGAGTCAGATTACATGCTTTTCCCTACTAATCATATAGTTTTCGTAAGAATGCGTGAACACAGGGTATAAAGACGTATACCGGCTACCGGGCAACCAAGGATGAAATTGCTTCCATCGATCTCCTGCGTCAGTCTCAGTGACTCCTGCCAGCGGGCGTCGGCGTAAACACCTGCACTTGCTTACCGTAAGGCTCCATGTACCCATAAAGTATATACTTAGGGCTTAAAGTACCTGTATAGGGACTACTTTAAGGCCAAAGTATCTACCATAAAGGTACATGGAGGGGGGGGGCAATATTTGGTTGCGCAAATGCTCAGTGCAATTACTGAAGCCATTCCTGAATGTCTCGCAGCAGGCAAAACGTGTGAGAAGCAAGCCATATGCTTGTATTAGGGGTCTAGGGGTGCTTGGAAGATTTTTGTTGGGGGCCCCAAAATTCAAGCCTCAGGCCTGTTCAATCCTTAAACACAGCTGGAACACCCTCGAACACCATGCCTGAAGCCCACTGAAAGCTTCAGAGCACGCTGCCAAACGTCCAACCCGGAGCCTTAGGCCTAATTACTAAGAAACACTAAGAACGATGCCATGACGCAGAAATGCTGAAGTTAGGGTAGTGGGTGATAGTTATCATCGCAGAAACAGAGATGCTTCTTTTCGGCAACAAGACGAAGAATTTGGACGGTACTTGCAAACTTGTCAGGCTTAGTAGTCACTGGGAACATTGTTCAACCACAACCACGAAAAAACACAGAACAATAATCACATTGCCACGCATGCTCATAGTCATAATCACACTCCATAGTCATGTATCTCTATTACCCGATTTTTGGGATACCCACGCAAACGACAAAAACGCGAAGCACTGCATCTTGAAACCTAACTACGAGCCGCATGGCATCAACTCACACCAACCCGGTAGATCCAAACTCAACAAATCCCTAGGTCATGACCCCATAGTCGTCGGGTTTCACCCTGAAAATGAGAGTGCATTGGTTCAGCAGTATAGTACAGCGGCCTTCATACGTGGATAGGCTTTGGACGTATATTACACCCGAATGAGGAAGTATACGGAATATTAGAGGCAAGTATTCAGTCCGCTACTCGTAACTATACTGAACTTAGAACCCTAGCACAAATTAGACTTTTAGCTGTTTCCTGAGATTATAATAACCAGAAATTTAAAAATATTTCTAAGTACCCTCTAAGCCCTACTTTTCAGGGACTTATATAAGGAAGGACATCATAACAATCAAAGGGGAAAAGGAGGGACCCTTAATGGGGACCCCTACCCTACAATACCCTAGGTAAACGGAGTCGTCCGAGTCGTCAGGGGCCTTCCTCGGTTGCGCCGCTCTCGGCAGACTGGGGAGGCGACGCTTGCGCCAGAAGCATCTCGGCACCCAGAGAGCCCAATATCCCTTAATTAAGGAATATACCTTAAATTATAGTAGGATCCTTAATATGATTTAAGGATTATTCCCTAATTAAGGGATATTGGAGTCTCTGGGGGCATGGGCTGAGATACGAACCCCCTTGTCTTGCATAGGGAATCTCATGGATCAGGGTTCAATCTATGACTTGCAGGCTCCGGGGCTTAGGCTCGAATTAGGGCTTGGGTTGTTGCGCCGAATATGTGTCTATGCAATTGCATATATATATATATATTATCTGCTGATGCTTCCCTTTCTTTCTCCACATCATATATACATATATATAAATATATATATATATATATATACACGCACATGCAACAGTATACAACTAAGTATATTAAACATATCATATCTTACAATACAATTGCTTGCGGGTGTTTCAATAACAGCACCCAGGATACACTCGGATACGCAAAACGAATATTCCTATACTAGCAAGCCTAATTGGAGGTTCATGGATAGTTATAAGTAGGGTTATAAGTCCCCTAATATGGGTTATAACTATACATACCCTACTTATAACTCTACTTATAACTGGTCATGAACCTCCAAGTACTCTGATTGCTCGCATGAGTTGACCGCTGGTGGACCCAACGGGATCCTGTACCCCAGAAGACCTACCTTTCTTGTAGAGGGGCTTAGGGTTTAGGGTTTACAAGGGGACATTAAGAGCTTGACATAAGGAACATGAATGCCCGTTGGACTGCAAGCCGATTATGTATGGCTTGGCGTCTGTTTGAGCCTTGAGTAATGCGTTTGTGCCTTTGTGCTTTAACTGCGCAAGGATTCAGAGCCTTGACTTTCTTTTGGTTATGACTTTCTTTTGGTTTGGGGGAGAGCCGAACGTGTGGTGGAAGATTTAGGGCTCCCTTGTAGATCCCAGTTTTCTTGTACCGGGGCTACATACAGCGGCATATTCATCTAGGATACCCAGTAACCTAAGAATAAAAGGGCCTCTCTTTTTGGTATTGGGTAACTTTATAAGGAACCTAGGACTACAATAAGGGTACTACTGGGCATCCTAGTCATACTATTCACACACGTCGATATCCCAAAACCTTCAAGCTGGAGCAGCACCGGCTGAAGGCTTCCGAGCAGCTTTTGTCTCCAGCTCTGCACTAACCTCACGGGAGGCCCAGATTCTATGTGGGGTTCTAGTTGCCATAATCATTAAGGAAACCATATTATTTACTATGGTAGCTGATATTAATTTGCTTAACCTTAACAAGAACCCAGTATGTGGGCGTCCAAGTCTTGTTGTCTGCTATGGTGTGTCTCAGTTCGAGTGTTGTTCGGTACCGGGCTTGATCAAGGCCGTTTGTTGGGCTCTGAGAATCTTGATAGGCTATTCTTTCAAGAGTTTCAAGAGGTTTTACAGGTTTCAAGACGACTTAGGGAATTCAGGGCTGAGGGGTTCAGTTACCTGAATGTTGGGCAACTGGGTTACATGCGGTGGATGGGTGGTTCTAAGCAGGGTGTATCAGGTTCCTTGAAGTGATCTATAATTGTTCGGCTCTACTTGAAGGTTCATGGGCAGCTACAAGTCGAGTTATACGTAGGATAGCTGTACTTAGAACCTGTATTAGGGGAGTTATGCCTCCACGTACAAATGCCCATGAACCTCCAAGTGCACCAGACCCTATTATACGCCGCTTATACTCAGACCTTCCAAAATCCCTTAATTAAGGAATATACCTTAAACCATATTAGGGATCCTACATGATTTCAGGTATATTCCTTAATTAAGGGATTTTGGAAGGTCTGGGTAACTACCCGTAGGTCCCTTGGATCCGTAGGAGCAGATCAGAGCGCCTCCAAAGGAATTTGCCACCAAGCGCGAGGAGAGTTCATGGCTGAAAGGCTGGTAAACAGGTCTGCGCACTCCTAATGTAGGGTTCCTTTAGAAGCTTCTTTAAGGGATACTATGTAGGGTTCCTTCAGAAGGTTCTGTGAGGCAGACTATGTACCTAAAGCCCTGAAAACCTACATTGCTTGTGGTTCCTCATTACGGTCTAGAAGTCCTTCGAAAGGCAGGTTTGAAGGTTGCAGATAAACTCAGGGGCTTGAGGCCAACCTAAGCTTGCACTATTTGCAGCCAATCACGTGGAGTAGTATGCTTACCGGAACGTCTGCATGTTCTTCTTTAAAGTCTTTTGCTCGGAAAGGAAAACGGTAACTAAAAGTTTTCGGGGCTGCCTTGGAATTACAGGCGGTTACCGACCGGGAAAGAGCCTGTACTAAGGGCGTAAGATTTGGGATCAGGGAAAACGTCCCCATATTGATGCCCCCTAGTGTCCTTGTTCGATTTGAGCCCGTGCATAATGGGAGAAAAAGAAGGGTCCCACACAAGCCTTGTCCCGAAAACTATGTGAAAAAAACATATGTGTCGACGAAAACCCCGGAACCAACAAATAACTTTGCAACCATAGCAGTTTTGCCCTAAAATGCCAAAATCTAGACCAAGGCTTAGGTGTCTCTTTGTGCTCTTATCTGGGATGCTTGGCTGGAAATCTCGAGTGTGAACCATGGGCGTAAGATGCAGAGGTGTATTGCGCCACAATCCTGAACGAAGAGCAAGAAACCCGAAGCTTTTACACCTTTCGGCATTAGCGCTGACGCATGCTGTGTAGTACCTAAAGGAAGTAAGGAACAATACTTACCAGAATAAGTACTTATAGCCGCTATTAGGGTACTCAAACATAACTTACTAAGTCCCGCGGTGTTTTGGCGCTAAACCCACAACCCTCAAACCTAAACGCTACGCCCAATCATTCGAAGCCAAAAAGCAAAGCCAGGGATTATGGTTTTATGGCATGGGACTTTGGGCTCAAACAGCATGCATGGGTCATGGTACTCTGGTGCTTGCGCTCGGCCCAGACAGGTTTACCTGCAATGATGGCAGGAGTTTACATACCCAAAGAGGTTTAGGCTGGCTTACTCAGCTACTTTAAGAGGGGTCAGGGCAGCCGCTCGACGGGACAGATGCCTAACTGAAGCTCAAAACCTGAGACACGAAGCGATTCCAAGAGACTCTCGCCGCCACGCATGCCAAGCCTTGAGCTCGGACTGTCACCAAGGCCACGCAGCCTCCTAGACCATGATCTCCCCAAGCCACCGCATGCTCGGTATTCAGTATGGCCTCAGTTTCTGCGCAGCTGATATCTCGCAGATCTACGCGAACACGACAGCCTGCTGAAGCAGCACATTGCTCGCTTCAACCATCTGGCCAATGGTAAGCACAGCCTCATCTGCAAAGACAATCTTTGCAAGCTTGAGCAGCAGGGACAAGTTCTGGCTCTGCTCGGCGATGGGGTTCTTCTGCACACACACGCACACACCTCTGGAACCCAGAGAGCCCAATACCCCTTAATTAAGGAATATGGCTTAAATCATAATATGAAGCCCTACATAATTTAAGCCATATTCCTTAATTAAGGGGTATTGGGCTCTCTGGGAATTATGGTCCTCGAAACGAAACATGAGTTACCCGAAATGCATTCATGACTTAGACTTACGCTTACACGTACAGTTACAATCGCCTACCACTGTCACGACTACTCGCAGGCGTAGCCGTAGCCATAGCCGCCAACCGCAACGCCGCAAACTCCCAGGGCGATTTGAACGAGGGTACTCCGGGACTCAGAACTATCAAGTCGACTCGGCTTGGATTGAACAGGCAACCCCCAAGCTACTTCGACAAAAAACCCATATATAGACATCGCATGAACAAATACCCTAAGCCCTAAACCCCTAAGCCCTAAAGACTCCGCACCGGATCCCAAAATCCTGCATCCTGTAAAGCCTCTACACCGTGGACGCCCTGCAGTTCACAGGTGGGAGGCTCAGAGAATGACAGTAACCTAAATTAGGCGTTTAAATGGGATACTATACCCGAATCAGTAGGATCCTTATTATATGGACCCCAAAACGAGGTACCCCTAATTTTCGGAAACTCTCAAAACATAACAACAGCCCTCATACGATCCTGAAGTTCAAATTGTAGCCGCCTGTTCGAAGCTAATGAACAAATGCAAGAAGACACTGTCCTAAGAGCCCACAAAAAGAGGACCAAGGTGACGTAATAGAGGGGCCGTTAATAATTACAGTGGGGTGTTGGGGCATGTTATACTACAGCTACAGCTACAAAAAACCCTAAACTCGTCTTCGTGAGTAACTATTTATATAACTCAGAGGCTGAGTACCCTAGTCTTCAATCGTGGCAGGTTTATATGAAGCCTAAAATGTGAAAGGTTACCTACTGAGCTACGAAGCTTTAAGAAACTATAAGAAACTCCTTCACCAGCGTGGCTCCAAGTCTTCAGAAATGCCCACTTGGAGGCCCTTTTGACTTAGTAAGTCTACTTAGTATCCCCTAGAAACCCTATTATAATCCCCATAACCCACCTTACTAACCCTACTTACTAAGTCAAAAGGGCCTCCAAGCAGGGGCCCCTAATCTTCAGGAATTGCCGAAACGCTCCAGGAATCCCTTTTGTCGCATTTGGACGGTGGCTCACTGCAAGAGCCGCTTGGAGGTTCATGGGTATTTCCAAGTCGGGATATTTGTAGGGTAGCTGTAGTTATAACCTATATTAGGGAACTTGCAACCCCCTAAACCCTCAACCCGAAACCCTAAAATAGGGAACTTTGAGCGTCCTAAACCCCAAACCCATGAACCTCCAAGCAGTGGCGGGGTATCTTCCTGGGCTGTTCCTGGGGGCCCTTCAAAACAAAAAGGGTGGCCTGGCCTAACCTGCAACACGGCTGCCAACAAACCTAAACCTTAAACGCAAACCTCCAATCCTAAACCTTAAAATCCATGCCTTCAACGACAAACACCAGAATCTACAATCTGAACCCAAACCTTCAGCACGAAACCCAGCAAACCCAAACAGCTCCTGTCCTGATGCGATGTAGCTACACCAACAAGCCCAATGACCCTTAGTTAAGAAGGGTACGAATCCTTGAAGCCCGGGTGGTTGCCAGTGCAAGTCCTCGGGTTCCTACTACGGCCGTACCACCATTAGACCCTAAACCGCAAGGTTTAGGGTTTATAAAATACTCCGACAACCTAAATCTGATCCTTAACCCTGTACTACCCTTGATCACAATAGAAAACCCTACCAAAGGGTCCATGTAACCATATTGTATATACTTTGGCCCCAAAGTACCTAAATAGGCACCCCATTTAAGGCCTGAGTATATGCAAGACACCCAAATAGACCTTGGGGCTACGGTATGCTAGCCAAAGGTTCTGTGCAATCTGGGAACCCGACCGCTCAACCCTGAATCAGCGATCCTTAATTCGGGAACTTGAAGTAAGGTCATGTAGCCCCCGCCCCTGGGCACATGCACCTGAGTGAACTCAATCTATCAGATCTGAATCTTGCTTATTTGGCAGGGAACCCGTTCAAGGTGTATGTATGTATATATGTACATGTACAACACATATCTATGCATAGTCTGCCTCCGGAATTGACGAAGAGGGTTGGGCTCTCTAGTCACATCCACCTCAGTGAAACGCATCTACCAGATCGTTGTCAGAATCCGAGTCGCCGTCCTTCTTGAGCGCCTCGCCACAGTTGACAGTCGCACTTTAGGGTTTAGCGTTTGCGACCTACCCTAAACCGTAAACTCTAGATGATTTTCAGAATTTCGAGCTTAGGGGTTTTGAGTTTAGGGTCGCTTACTGGGGTTGGGGTTCTCCAGTCTACTTGGAGGTTCATGGGCAGTTATAAGTGGGGTTATAAGTCCCCTAATATGGGTCATAACTATAGTTGTCCTACTTATAACCTAGTTATAACTACCCGTGAACCTCCCTTTAAGGAGCCCTTATATAGAACCCTTCCTTATAGATCCCTTAAAGAAACCCCAAGAGCCCTGTTTGGGTTTGGGCTTCAAGCGTTGTAGGATAGTCGGGCCTTTTTGCGGCTTGAGGAAGCCTGAAGATCGAAATTTAGGGTACTTCGGTTGATGATATAAATCCTGGGGTTCTTTTAAAGGGATCTATATGGGTACCTTTAAGGGGTTCCTTTAAGGGATCTGTAGGGTTTTAGGGTTCAGGGTTTAGGGTGATGATAAAATCCTGCATTACCTTAAGGACCCTAGACTATGGGAATTATGGTATATTCCTTATTATGGGTCATGCAGGATTTATATCATCAACCGTTGTACCCTAATGTAGGGGCATTCATGATTAGAATAGGGTTTTTGGGGGGCTCCTTGTTATAACTAGAGTATAATATACCCCCGAACCTTATTCTAGTTGTTACGGCCCTTTTTACTGCTGGGTTGAGGGTTTTGGGTGGATTCCGGCTCGGGTCTGTGTGTGAGCCGGACGCAGCATCTATTCATAGGGGGCGTGCAGGCATAACTAGGTCGCGTACTCTCCACCTAAACCAACTGACCCTGAAAGTGAATCTCTCACTGGTGCAAAACCCAGGGAAATAAAAGTTGAAACTTTCAGAATCAACTACCTTATAAGAACCCCAAAAGTTGAAAAGTTGAGTTTACAGCCAATGAGATCTTCGATAACATGGAGGAAAAACACTGATCTTCAAACAAAGTCATAATTTTTCCATGTCAGGGTTTACTCGAAGTATGGCGGAGACCAGGCAGTGCGATCAAGTGCCACATATATGCGGCTACCGGTGCTACGGTTGATGGTATAAATCCTGCATTACCTATAATAAGGAATATACCATAATCCCCATAGTTTAGGATCCTTGAGGTAATGCAGGATATATATCATCAACAGTATGACCTGAATGTGAGGTACTCCTCAAACCACCTGAACCAAACAAAAAGCTCTGAGCGCCAAACCTAAGCCGCAAAAGCGGCTCTAGCCAAATCCAAATGGTGGTCCGTGCGGCTGCCCTCACACTAACCAGGTTTCAGGGCCTACTTGGAGGTTCATGGGTAGTAGCTATAAGTACGGTTATAAGCAGGATAACCATACCTTGAACACATATTAGGGGATTCATAACCCCAGTTTTGACTACCCCTGAATCAAACGTGCAAACGTGATAAACCTCTGTCTGCTGGCCAAAGAACGAACTGCCGGGGTTATGTCTGACAGTATTTCGGCTGATGATCTAAGTCATGCATGACCCATAATAAGGAATATACCATAATTAATTCCCATAGTTTAGGGTCCTTAGGGTAAGGCAGGACTCATATCATCAACCGTTGCTCACATTGCGAAGACATGACACAACAAAGTCTTAGGCCACTCTATGCAAACGCGCTTTGTGCTGACGCGATCACCCCAGGGTCTTTCCGCTTTGGTTTTGTCCTCTAAGTTTCTGCAGTGCAACATTCTGAACATCCTGCTAACGAGCCCTGCAAATGTTAGAAGCCTCTGATTCCATGGTGCAAACAGAGGCTGCAAGCCTACACCGCCGCACCATTGCAGCTAGCTGAAGCTCACAATTAAATCCGAACCCACACCCGAATGGACTAACACATCCCGAAACGCCAAACACCTGGCCCAAACTTCAAATGACACAATAGCACATGCCAAAAACGTTCTTAAAGCCGCATCCCACCTGCGGGTTGACTCGCCGACTCGGCTCCAGGGCAAAGGGGTCTGAATAGCCTCCCCGTTTCAGCGATGAAAGGTTGGAGATTTCCAGTTGTCTGGGGTTTGGGAGCTTTCATACAGCCATGTTTAAGAGCCATGGCAACCACAACCGATTGAAACATACACATATATAACCCCCAAGTTTGCCGTCCACAAAGCTATAGCAACGACATATGAAGGCTGACAAACAAATTAGGGGTACCTTATTTTGGGGTCCTTATAACAAGGATCCTACTATTTAGGGTAGTATATTAGGGTCCCTTATTTTCGGAAACACCCTTGTCTGTACCTACACTCCAGAGCTCCAATGCCGCCCTTAAATTTAAGGGAACTCGACTGTAGGGCACTTACAGAGGAAAACCCATAAACGTAGTTCGTACTCTAGGGTTTCCGTGGACTTTTTTTGTGCTTGGGCAATGTTTTCTAGAGTCCTTTGGACTCTTGTTCAAAGATCGGCAACAAGGGAGATACACGGCCAGCCACATCGCTAGACCCTAAACCCTAAACCAGAAAGCTCCAAACCCTGACACCCTAATTAAACCCAAAAGCCTGAAGCATCCTAAAACCCTGAAGCCCTAACCCCGAAACCCCCGCCAAAACCCCCAGCGGCACCCTAAATCCGAAACCCAAAACTCTAAACCCTAAGCCCTAAACCCTAAACTCTAAACCCCAAACTCTAAACTTGCCCTAAACCCCTAAACCCCTAAAACCCAAAACTCTAAGCTCTAAACCATCAACCCTAGATCTCCATGGCAGGGGCCTCCTTGAAGAACCGGCCCGGTGCCGAAACTCGGATCGAAGGCGCTGAGCGCCTACGGCGGGAAGCTTTCCTATCAGCCCACAGGGTTCTATATTACCGGTATACTAAACAGTTGATCTTTTCACATTATAAGAGGAATATGGGAGTTTCCGAAAATCAGGGGTACCTTGTTTTGGGGGTCCTTATAGTAAGGATCCTACTATTTAGGGTAGTATATTTGGGTCCCCTATTTTCGGAAACCCCCCCTCTTACCGGTATACTAGATTGTACTTAAAGGATCCTTCTAGGGTTCCCTTTAACAGGGCACTATAGGGTTCTGTAATAGGGTTCCTTAAAGGGATCTATAAGGAGTCTATAATGATCGGGGAATTCCAGAAAGTTGGAATATGGATTCATGGTAGGATCCCCTATAATTTACCTTAAAGGGGTTAGGATAATTATATTCCAACTTTCTGGCTTCTACCTTAAGGGCGCTATGACTTGAAGGGTAGGAGACTAAGGGTCAATATTAGGGGCGTTAAGGCCCCCTACTTGGAGGGTCGGGGGACTTAGTAAGTAGTTATTTTATAGAGAGAGATAAGTACCATAACCCCAATTAGGGTCCCTTTTAGGGTACTTATAAGTCTATATAATAACTACTTATTAAGTCCCCCGACCCTCCAAGCACCCCGCTCCCCCCTAAGGGCGCTATGACTTGAAGGGTGAAGCTCCGGACTTCGGTCACCGAGAGGCGGGTCTGGAACACCCTCTTAGGGGCTGAGTATCCTAGCCCAAAAACAGTTGACCTTTTCACAATTATAAGAGGAATATGGGAGTTTCCGAAAATTAGGGGTACCTTGTTTTGGGGGTCCTTGTAAAAAGGATCCTACTGTTTAGGGTACTGTATTAGGGTCCCCTATTTTCGGAAACTACCATATATAAACCCCAAAAGGTTAAAGGTTACCAACCCAGCTACTAAGCCCTGAAAAGCACAGAGGACTGGTTGGATCCTGGCGCCACCGCCCGACGAAGTGGCCCCGCCGCATAATAAACCAAGAAGCCTTAATAGTTGGAATAGGGTTTTGAGTTCCCTTGGGTACTATGCTATAGGGGCTTGAATAATTAGAATAGGGCTTTGGTGGTATGACTTATTAATTAGAGTAAGGAGTCCCCCAAAATAGTGTCGGCAATTATTAAGGCCCCCATATATTATCAACGCAGGCTGGTCACCACCCTGTGGCATCGCTTGGCCTCCACCCGGGGCTCGACACTCCTTGGCCTTGCGTCCGTCCGCTCCACACGCCAAGTGCATGTGGAAACTCGCCTGCGGTCCCACCTGCATCCTTTGCTGGGATGCTCAGTAACCTGGGAAATATACAAGGTTTTTTTCGGTATTGGGCAACTTTAAAAGGAACCTAGGACTACAGAAAGGGAGTAAGGATACTACCGGGCATCCTAGTTTGTCACAGCTGAAGACCTCGAACAGCATGGTGAAAAGTTCGTGAAGGTTGTGGGTCTCTAAGGACATCAAAGCTGGGCACTCTAAACCCTCGACTGCAAACCCAAGACCCTCAACCCCAAACCCTGCACCCTAAGCCCTAAATTAAAGACCCTCAGCCGCGAAGTAGGCCCTATAAACTTTGAAGAACTCTTGCAAGTTTTGGCTTGAAAGTCGTGGGACATCTGTCGAAGATCGGAGAAGGCTGCTGAGAAAAGGACTGCGGATTAAAGCTCACTGCAAACCTCAATACAACTCGAGGTAGCCTCGATCAACAGCACGAAGCCGTGTTTAAAAAAACACAACACAAAAAATCAAAGCCCTTAAAACATAGAGTTTTGGTTTCCTGGCATGAAGAGTCAGGCACACCTCGGTGTTGAGAGCCGCATTGGAGTCCTGTGCAAGGTGCGAACGCGACGATGGCTGGGCTTGTGGCAAAAAGTCTCTTGGTTTAGGGTTTCGGCTACGCATATTCATACGCCTTGTAGGAGGTTTCATAAAGGCTTTCTGACAAGGTGTGTGTCGAGGTGCATACATTGTATGACTTCTGAAAAGATTTCGTTCAGTGGGGTTGTATTCGAATTGTAGAGGGTCTAGAAAAGTTTCACAGCCTTGAACAAGGTCAGGGACCTTAGGGCTTGTACCATAGTCCACGTAGGGTTAGGGTACGCGTACTTCACGTAGTGCACAGAGCATCAACAGTAGTGACAACAATGTGAGGATGTAGTGAAGACCCTATGCTCTCCAGTAGTGTTGGTTGAAGACCCGGGGCTCATGTCTCAGCATTGATGTCTTGCATATAGGCTGCAGTATTGGCCGTCGCGGAGTGGCAATATTGAAGTTTTTCCAAGGATTAAAGGAGGGATCCTTAATAAAGACCCCTAGGTATATAACCTTAAATATAACGACTATATACCCAGTATATAGCCCGTTATCGGGGACACGATAACCAATATTTGACCGATCAGACCAGTCATCATGGGGCAGCATTGTCGCTTTCAGGATCGTAGACTTAAGTTCCTGTCAGATCGGTTGTGCAAGCCCCAACCGATCACTTAATGTACCCCAAAATCTACTACGTCCCTCGACCTTTGAAGACACCGAGCAAAAAGTCATGGCATGGCGTGGCAGGATGTATGTTGGCATGAGCTGGAATGTTTATCGAGTTTATCGAAGCATGCTAGCCGCCGCATGCATACCTGTACCCCTTGAACTCTGATGCCCTCTGTGTACTACTTCATTCCAACGGGCGCGCCTGTCCCACACTCAACGGCGCAGGGGTTGACAGAGCAGGCATACCGCCTGGCTTCATCGGTTGGAGGAGTCGGGGTTCAGGGTGGAAGGCTTGGGGTCTAGGATTATCTCTACTTGGAGGTTCATGGGTGCTCTACGTAGGGTTAAAAGTAGGACAACTGTAGTTATAACCCATATTAGGGGACTTCTAACCCCACTTATAACTGCCAATGAACCTCCGAGTAGGATTACGCATTTTCGAGGACTATAGGTTTCAGGGGTCTGAGTGTACAACTCATAGGCCAGTTGATCTACCGAGTAGTACATCTGTTGCCGAAGGTGATGAAGGAGTAAACTCACGGAGCCACATGGACCTAGAGCTTGAACATCAAGAGTCATCAACGATGTCAGTGCAATACCTCAGGTGTGCTGGACGACTTTTCGTGTCTTGCATGGCGAGACTTCAGCGAGCTCACAGGACAACAACAACAGAACCGCCGACCCAATACCGATTCCTGCTAGACACAACTTGAACTGCAAACCGGCTTCAGCTAGTTTAATTTAGGAACCTGATGAAAAAACCTTGGGTCTTTATCAGGGTTCCTTATATGAATCCTACTGTTTTGGGGGTTACAGGCCCAGGGTTTCTTAATCAGGTTCCTACATTAGGAGGAATGATGTTGCAATTCATAATTTGTGCTTAGATTCAATTGCCGCATCACAAGCCACCTCTCCAAATATTATGATTTGACACCGCCTGTCGCAGAAGGAGCGCTTTGACGTCTGTTTAGGATTTGGAGGTTCTGGGGGTTAGAGTCCTGGGTTCAGGACTTATCTTGGTTGCTTTCCAGTAACCCTACGTCCCGCACTCAAGCACTGCAACCCCCAATTCCTGACAAAGCACAGACAGAACCGTAAAGACTGACATTGTGAAGTTATGAACAAATACTTTGAACACGGACCCCACAACTACCTTCCCCGAAGGGTCCAAGTACCTTGTTATCATATACTCTTCAAAATAGTATTCTGCACAACTACTATCCTAAACCCAAGTACGTAAGTGTTAATACCCTATATCATAGTACCCTGATAGTAGCCTTTATAATAACCTCTTTGAAGGGACCCTGCACCCTTAGGCTTGAATCAAAAGCCTCAACCTTCAGACTCTTCCGCCATGCGGTAATGTGGGGTTTAAGTTTTAGGGAAATCAGAATCCTGTGCCTTCAGGGGAATGCAGCCACAAGTGCAGCCGTAGCAAAGCTGGATGCCCCAATCCGAAGCTTCCTGAGGCTGAGTAACCCGGTCTGAAGCCTCTCGCATGCGCCTGTCTCGCAGAATGTCCACCGACATCTGCACCTTCCTTGCCATGTCGGGGGCTTCCGTCCTAGCAACCTTGGCGATTGATGCCCTGGTGTCGAAGGCGGAGGTGGTGCTCTTCAGGCACTGTTGGCGAGCTTCCGAAAGCTGTTGCTGGGGCCGCCCTCAGCTTCTGGAAGTACCAGGCATCACCCTTCGTGACTTCCCCAGCACACGTGAAGCAGAAAAGCTCACACTAGTTCGGGCTTGATTCTCCTTCGGCTCAATGCCTAGTAGGGCCTTTCGGAGTTCCTTGTCATGCAAAGTGGCGATCCTGCCATCCGAAATGTAGCAGAAGTGGATGACGTTCAAACTCTCGTAGCCACACCGATCGCACTTTTGATTTCACCTACTCCCCCGGAACGGCCACCAACAAAGGTGTCACTGCTGCTTCCCGCCATGCTCCCAAAAGGGAAAAGCTTCAAAAGCCAAGGGAAAAACACAAAACTCCCTTAACACTTGGGCCGTTATGAGGGTTCCTTATATGAACCCTCCATTTTGGGATTATAGGCCCAGGGTTTCTTAATCAGGTTTCTACATTACGCATTCTTTTCATGCATATAGACCCCTCAACCCAGAGATAATCCTTAAGCCGCCCTATAAGCGGAATAGAAATCATCAATTACAAGCATATGTATGGATAGATCGTCATAGGACTTGAGCTATGCATGGAGTGAAATATAATCCGAAAAAATTGCGCTGTCCATAACCTACACCCTAAACCTACAGTGCTAACCGAATATACCGGCCAGGGCTGCCGATCGGTGCCCAGAGGGCAAAGTCCTGAGGGCCGGCACGTAGATTCGATTGCTTTGTTTGTTTTCAGGCTTTTGGTTTTGAGATTTTCGAGGTCTAGTGTGGGTTTTTTTTCGTTTAGCTTTTGGTATCATCGAGGCCTAAGGTTCGGGGGATGGGGGGTCAAGGGTTTAAGTTAGTGGGTTGAGGGGGCTTTGGGGGCCTTTACGGAGTGTTGGATACCGCAACAAATCAAGGTACGTGAACAACACAACAGCGAGATCAAAGGATTTACCGCACAAACCTGGCGGAAAGTCCCTATCGGAAACCCTCAAAAAAAATTGCCCTCCGAGGAACGCACGGACATCCGGTTAAACATGAGGACAACCAGAAGATAGTGAGCACTTTTCAATCTTCCCCGACAGAACACTAATTGAAATCAAAGCCTAAAGCTTTAAAATCCACAAGAAACCACCGACACCAACGTTGTGTACTGCAGAGTTAAGCATAATCTACCGGACTCTGATGCATTAAGTAAGTCTTTTGCTTGTTGAAGTGGGGAGGAGGCGCCCCTGGCATTGAACACGATGGCCGGACGACTCAATGGACGTGTCGTTCAACCACGGATGTCACGTTGGAGGTGCAAGTTGGCACTCTCCGATCTCTGGAAGCATGCGGACAAGGAACCTAGACTTTGAATACACCGAAACATGACAGCGGGTTTGAGGCTTTATAGAGTTAAGGAATTATGGGTTCAGCGAACACATCTATCCTCGTCGCACAGCCAGAGCCGACATAAACGTGTTTGCATGGGTCGTGGTACTGATTACTTTTCGCTTGCGCCAATACCCGCAGTGCGTGGAAGGCAGCAAGAGGCCGCACCGAAACGTGCTGCAATACGATCTGTGTTAGAGTCCCCTATTCTCGGAAACTCACATGACAAAATTATGACGAACCTTCAAGCCGAAAAGCACTAGCCCGACAACGACTGTCAGCGATTAAAGATAACTCATGCTGGGATTCTCTATATACCCTGAACGCTAGATCAATTCTTCGAAAGTTTCTGGCTCCACTTCCCGAATCCAAACTGGCCCTAAACAACAAGCCTTACGGCCTAAACCCTTCAACGCCTTACGGCCTACTGTGAACCCTTACGCCCCTTAAGCTCGGCTCCTCCGCAGTGAGATTTAGGTTCCAGCTCGTGACCTGCCGGAGTTGTCTACGTTGAAGGGGCTTACCGGTATTATCCCTAAGGGTCCATGTACCCACATGGGCCCCAAAGTACCCAAATAGGAACTACATTAGGCCAAGGTATATACTATATGAGTACATGGACCCTTATGGTATGGTTTGGCGGGTGTAAAGGCTTAGGGATTTTAGGGGCTTTGGGGTTCCAGGGTTCTGGGCTTCTAACCGCGCTTGGATACATACTTACTAATTACTGTTGTTTGCCGTTAGGCGCGTACTTGAACAAATCTCTGCTCAAAGATTAACCTTTCAACTGGGTCCTTGCCTACGCACTTTAATATCTCAAAACTGCCTGACTCCCTGCGGTATGCCCCTACCATGGCGAGTTAAAGTAAGTTCCTTAATCACGACTTAATAAGAAAACCCAAATCCCAACCCCAAACCCGTAAACGATAAAACCTCCGGAATCTTGAAATCCCCATGCATAGATCCCTTAAAGAGCCTTGGAATCCCTCACACCCCGAACCCCTCAACCCCTCAACCCTCAAGCCGAAACCCTAAACCCTCAAACCTCTCAGAACCCGCATGAAGCAATTACAAAGCCTCGTAATCATCTTAAACCCCAAACCCTAAACCTCAATAGACTCTAAAACACCACCAAAACATGGAGTTTGCCACGGAGTTAAACAATCTGGGATGAAGGTAGGCAGCTAGGGTTAAAGATCCCCACCTGCATTTTCCCTACCTTCGCAGCCCTATACTAAACCCCAAACCCTGTACCCTAAATCTCAAACCAAACACCCTAAAACTCCAAACCCTGAGCCCTAAGCCCCAAAGACCAAACTCACCTACATGTTCGGAGCCCTTAAACCCCAAGCCAAGCACCCTATAACCCTAAACCCCACACCCAAAGACCTTTGCAGCCCTTTGAGTCTGTGACCCCAAGCCAAGCACCCTCTAACCCCTAAACCCCACGCCCAAAGACCTTTGCGGCCCTTTGAGTCTGCTGCCCCCCGAAATCGCCTTGCCGTCCCCACCACCGGTATACAGCACGGGGCCCCAGGGAGGCTCTTCGATCCAAACCTGTAAAGCTTCGGTTTTCGGGTTAAGTTTAGGGTTTAGGGCTTGGTTCCTGGGTAGACCCTTTATAATAAAAACGTACCCTTTTTCCTACTATTGGGCTTTGGCAAGGGGACCGCAAACTAAAAAGGGCAAAAGGGTACTACTCAGGAACCTAGTAGGGGTTTAGGGTTGGGGGTTGGAGGTTGTAAGGCTTTGGGGCCTCAGGGTTTTAGGGCTCAGGCGTTTAGGGGCTGCTCTTCAGGTATTGGCTTGGAGTGTTGTTCGGGCTTAGTCTTGCGGTTTCGGACCCAGGCGAAATTTTGGGACGTTGGGCTGCGGAGTTAACCAGCCTCACATTTGGGTGTTGAGTACCCGAAACTCATTATAATTACAACGAGCTCCTAGTCTTAGTGCTGACTGGAGGATCGAAAAAAGGCACCACTGCAATCTAGGCTAAGGTGTTATGATAGACAGTACATATACGTTTCGGGATATCGAAGGCAAGTCCTGAACTCTAACCTGTAGACCAGAACGCCCCCCCAATCTCAAACCATAGCTTTCAACCCTACCAGCACCGCCCAGCACTCATAGAGCCGGAACTTAGGCGACAATGCAGGGAAGTCTAGCTAAGCCACAAAGCCCCTAAACCCAAAACCCTAAACCTCTAAACCCTAAATCCTTATTCTTGAACCCGCAACCTGAAACTTTAAGGCCTTCAGCCTTGACGTAGGCTCTTCGTTAAGAAAAGAGATGGTAAAATGCTGCGGAGGTCCATCGTTGGGTTATGGGATCTATATAACAAGGGCCTCAAATATAAGACTAGGGTGCCTGGCTGTATGTATGTATGTATATATGTACGTGTGTACGTGTGCAGGTATGTGCATGCATGTATGTATGTATGTTTGTTTGTTTGTTATCGTATGCAAACACACAAACAGACAAACAACCAAACCAGAAGACAAAAAACTCAACACACACTCAAAGAGCTTAGCACACAAACACGCAAGCAAGCAAGCAAACATGTGAATACAATATCAGCATACATACATTGTTACATGCATACATACATGCATGCATGCATACATACATACATTACAAACAGACATGCGCAGGTACATACGTACGCATGTACGTACCTACCTACATACATACATGCCTACATAGAAACATACATACACACAGAAGTACATAAACAAAAACATACAGATTACACATACATATACGTATACATCTACATATACCTATACATATAAACATAAATCTGAGTAGACATAGCCATTGCCATTGATTTGGCATGTGCATATATGCATAGACATACACACAGACATATGCATAATTATGCAAACATGCACGCGCATACACATATACATATAGACGAGGGGGCCTGTACATATATACATATATATATACATATGTATATATATATATATATACACACATATATATATATATATATATATATATATGTACACAGTTTGTAAATCATGTTTTCCCCAGGGGCTCGAATATGTGGTTATCATTAATGATTGGAAGAGGGCAGTGGGATTTTGCACTACTATAACAACCATATTCAAGAACCCATGGCGAATAATGATGCAGCATATTTAACTAAAGACCTTCTTCTTCCTGCCGAACAAGGGGATTTGGAAGGCGAGGGGGTCATAGGAGGGTTATCTTGTCGAGGACAACTTGGCCGATGCCAAATCGCCCTGGAAAGGGAAACATATTAGTCCATATCATCAATCTGGAAAGCTGACAGCTCATGGAAGGCAACACCATCTGCAGGCACTCTGTTAGCAGACGACAAGGTAGAAGAATCATTCACCTCATTCGAGACAGCATTCGCTAGACAAGAACCATCTCGCGCAAAAGAAGTCTTGCCACGAGGGTCATACAAATATCAATATATTTGCACATCATACTTTACTATATTGACCCCTTTTAGAGCCTGGACCAAAGGAGCTTCAGACTTTCAGGGTTTTGTCACCCCAAGATGCCCTTGATCCTGCAGCCTTCACCCCAAGAATGCCAAAACCCTAGGGTTTTAGATGGTAAGACCGGAGGCTTTAGATGGGCTTAGGGCAGATTAGGGTTGAGGGGGGGCTAAGCCCTACACAGGTTTTGGGGTTTAGGGGTGCTGAAATGCCTACAAGCACAGAGCCCTAAACCCTAAACCCTCGCCAGAAAGGGCCCCTGCCAGGTTCGTGACGTCGCACTGGTGGGCTTGGAGCACTAGGACAGCCTGCAAAGTGCTCTTGAAACGGCTCTGCAGTGCAGGCTAGAGAAAAGGAACCACAAGTCCCCTAATATGGGTTAAAACTATAGATATGCTACTTATACACCCTACTTATAACTACCCATGAACCTCCAAGCAGAGTTCAAGGTTTGGGGCCTCGGATGTAGGCTTAAGGCTTTAGGGTTCAGGCTCAGGGCTAGTCCGGGGATAAGGATTTTGATAAGGGGATTAGTCTAGTGTTCACGTTTTAGTGCTAGGACAATTTGCCACAAACAGGCAAGCAAGAATATCCAACTGCCCCTCTGCCCAAGATGTCGTTCCAAGCGCAAGCAGAGACCGATATGTGGACTAAATCTAGACTACTCCTAGACCATAAACCCTGAACCCGAACCTAGAGGAACAGCGCAAGTACTCTGGCAAAAGCAACAAGCTAACAGGCTAAAGGCACAAATGAACAGCAGAAACGCAACAGAAAGCGCAACGATGGAGGACTTTCGGGACTGTACGGATGAGGTTTCAGCAATTACAATGTTCGGGGTTGCGGTTTTGGGTGGTCCAGACAACAGGGCACCATCATTTGGACCGTGCAGAGTAGGGTGACCTCCTTGATTGGAGGACCGAAGCCTTCAAGACTCTGGGGGAAGCCACCCCCGCGACCCTAAGCCCTACCACACTGGGCCATAGAGCTCCGACCTCGCTTTCTCGCATGGACCACACGGCCACGGAGCCATCGGAAAAGCCTCCGTCGGCTGTCTCAGTCGCTTTCAAAGCGTTACGCTGCACAACAAAACTTGAAGTTTACGCTGTTCAGACTGCAACCATATGCATATAAAGCCCTCAACCCTAAACTCGACATTCTTAAACTCCTACACAGTCTTATACCCTGTCAACCAAAAAAAGTGCAACAGTTCGCAGGTTTTCAGATGGCTTGGGGGGTTTACTTGGAGGTTCATGGGTAGTTGTCAGTAAGGTTATAAGTAGGACAACTATAGTTATAACCCATATTAGGGGACTTATAACCCCACTTATAACTGCCCCATGAACCTCCAAGTAGGGTTCTGGGTTTAGGGCCCAGGGTTTATTGTATATGGGTGGTTGTCAAAATTAGGGTCCGGTTTTGGGTCCATAATACGGCACCGAATATTTAAGGTACCCAAAGAGGGGGCCACAAGTTTGACAACTACCCATATAAGCTCACTTCGAGAGCTGCAAAGCGAGCTAGGCCTTTACCCCACGGCCCTAACGACCCAAAAGTTCTGTTTAGGGTTTACCGGTTTACCTGGATAGTTAGACAGCTATTTTTCAGGGTTCCGTAAGATGGTTTCCTTATATGAAACCTTAAAAAGGTAGGTTGTTTGGGGTTAAGGTAGGGTTTAGTGGGCTCTGGCTGTAACAATACGGCGTCTGGGCCCGCCTTGCCAGAGGGTCAGGCCTTGAAGTAATAGTGGTGGTGGTGGTGGTGGTGGGCATTTGTACCACGCCTGGCAGGCCTGCCGCCGGCTCCGAATGCGCCCTTCGACGAGGGGGCGGAGCTCACATCGCGATCAAAAGCACTTTGATTTGTGTCGAACACCTTGAAGCCCGGAACTTGTAATGCTTCGAGGCGTCGCGGTAAGAAGCGGTTACATACGATCTCGGGGGCTTCTGGGCCGAGACCTTACGGACGAAGTGCAGGTCCCAGGCCATCTGCACACCTGCCCCTGGCTTCCCGTCCCGCGGCCAGTGAGGCGACGGAACCGAAACTGAGGCAGGGGTTCTCCGCTTCCGCACCTTGTCAGCTCATACTGCAGGCCTATCGGTCCTGCTCGCATTCTTTCGCATTCTCTGGCGTGCCCGAAGGCATGTCACTCTTGGGCAAGCGCGCCATCCAAGGCCCCAGCAGCACTCTTTTGTGCACAATTCGGTTTATGGTTAGGATCTTACACACCTTATGCAGAAAAAGGAAACAAACGAGTAGAACTGCAGTGTACGGACTAGGTAAGACTACACCCTTTGCGACCCATTGCAAACGCTGCAGTTAAACACCACATAAACACCAAACCAAATCTAACCCTAAATCCTCAAAGTCTTGGGTTAGAGGTACATGTCTACTTATACTTAGATGCTGAGTACTACCCCTTTCGGCTTCTTCAAGGAATACCTCAATTTCCCTTAATCTCCCTTGGTGCGACCTATAGTTCCTACATACGCCACCCATTGCTAACTGTTCCGGAGCGAATCACAAAAGCCTATACACCGTAAGCAAAGGAGCAACGGAATCACAGTCAATATACTAATATTCCCTTAGTTTAGGGTCCTTAAGGTTATGCAGGATATGTATATATATATATATATATATATATATATATATATAATATCCCTAAACCCGAAAACTCTGAAGATCCCTTACCCCTGAAAGGTACCCTCATAGATCCCTTTAAAGGAACCCCGGTATTCATATCATCACCAATGTTCAGTGCCTGAAAATTGGAATAGGGTTTTGGGGCCCCGTATACTGTAATCATAATAAGGACCTCCCAAAACAGTATTGGCAATTGTTTGCCCCTTTGTCAAGCCCCTAATGAGCCCCATTGAACATATCAATAGCCAAACGCCCTGCACCCTAAACATTAAGCCCCAAACCCTGAGCCCTAAAACTACAAAACCCAAACTCGAAGCCTGATATCATCAACCGCATTACGGGCTCAACAGTCTGTTCGCCTCCGAAGAGGAGATCCCGGTCGGGCGCGGCAGCCACGGAGAGCAAAGTGACCTCTTCGAGCGGGTTTAGGGCCTGCTTAGGGCTCAAGGGGTTTAGGCTTTAGGGGTTCAAGGTTTTAGGGGTTTAGGGTTTAGGGGTTTAGGGTGACCCCTAAAGCCTAAACTCTAAACCCGAGGGCTTGAAGGCTTCTTGCTGAAAACACCATGCTTGGAGGAGTTTGTGTTTCAGAAGGGCTTGATGTTAAGCAGAACTCAGTTTTTGGAGATCCGTCTAACCCCACAAAATAACAGCTTCTGTAGTTACCCCAAAGAGTCCATGTACCCGAATAGTATATACTTTGGGCCAAATGTACCTGTACAGGGAGGACGTTACGCCCAAAGTATTTACGGTACATGGCCCCTTATAGGGAGTTTCCGAAAATAGGGGACCCCAATCCAGTACCCCAAATACTAGTGTCCTTATTATAAGGATCCCCAAAGTAAGGTACCCTCTGTTTTCGGAAACTCCCACATGGACCCTTATAGTTTTTTACTTTAATTAGCGTTTATGGTTTGCGGATTGACAGCGGGAAGCTCGTCCAGCCCAGAAGCTTCAAGACCCTATCAAACACCCGTCACACAGACTTGGCAAGGGTGCAAGCATTCATGAATAGGTGTATACATATATATATATATACACATATGTACATACTATGCAGAAGCAGAGTATATCTACATGTATGAAGTTCTTTGCTTGCGCAACTACAACCACAGTTGATGGATACATGTTTTCGTCTTGGGACAATGGCAGCCCTAGCTATAGGCACCACCTCAAGCATTACATATAACCCGACATATTGACTTTAAGTCGCCTGATATTCTGAGCAAGGATACCTGGAGCTGCTAGTTTGGAGGCCAACCCCGAGTGCTACACTAGCATCCTCTGGGCACTGCCATGAAAACTTTATTTTGACCCCGATTCTAACCCCGGAGACAGCCTCAGAACCCGAAAAGCCTCAAATCCAGACCAGCCAAATTTTTGGGCTGCGTACTCTGGCCCAAAACAGGTTAAACTTTTCAATGATGGTAGGATGATATAAACCCCAACGGGTCATAGGTTACCCCTCCACCCTTATAGCACCCTTAATAGTACCCTTATGGATCCCTTAAAGGACCCACTTATAGTGTCCTAAACCCGAAGAAGGGTTCCTACTCAGCTACACCCAAACCCCGAAACCCTAACACCCTAAACTCTAAACCCCTGAGGTTGAAGGGTACCTGTACTCAACTACTGCGAAGTTTCTCCCCCCACCTCGGACTCATGAAGGTGCTTCGCTCGGTAGCTGCCGAGTCGGTTGATGCGGCTCTCCTCTGTCGGTTTAGGGTTTAGGCTGTAGCGGTTTAGGGGTTCAGAGTTTAGGAGGGGTCTAGGGGCAAATAGGGCTTTTAGATGCCTTGACAAGTAGAATAGAGTTTTTGTACGCAGCTGCAAGCCTCAGGCGAAGACTCCGACTATCTGGGCTTCGGGGATCTACCTTGACCCCCAAACTACCCTCTCATGTACCTTAAGCACCCACCATTGATAACGATAACATACCCACTATTGAGGACCATAAGGGCTCTACTTCAGGGCCCTCGGGGGGATCTGGGGTTCGAGTGTCAAGATCAAGGTTCGGGTGCTCTTGGCTCCTGATTTAGGGTCTCTTTGATCACGATGACATAATATTGCGGCCTGGTCGTGGGCCCCTTTATAGTACATTTTTAGTTAGCAACCCTAGGAAAAATATTGGTCATTCTTTCGGCTTCTATAATAGCATAATGTGGAGGCCTGAAGAATAGGGTCTTGGGCCCCCTTATAGTGTTTATGAGTAGGAACCCGTAAGGAGTAGTTTTGGTAGCTATTTCGGCTTTTCTAACAGCCCCAATTCGAAGCATTAAGGCCCCTAAGGCTTAGGTTCAGGATTTGGAGGCCGTCGGTGCAGGCTGGAAGGTTCAAGATATGGGACTCTCCGAAATTAGGGGGACCCTAGGATAGCACCCTAAATAGTAGGATCTTCCTGATGAGGACCCAAAATGAGGTACCCCGAATTTTCGGAAACTCCCATTTGGGTACACGGACCCTTAGGGGGAGGTTCAAGATATGTTGGTCTCTAAGGCTCGGCTCTGCTTCGACAAATGACTCTAGACTATGGGAACGATGGTACATTTTAGGTAGTGCCCCCATACAGCAATGGTCTAGAATAGAGCTACTCTTATGGTCCTAATATATCTATATTCTGAAAATTATTCAACTATTACTGAGTGGGGGCCGTACCCAAGAAATATTCCTTAATATGGGTACTGCAGACTTTGTATCATCAACCGTGAGTGCTTAAGACCACACGTGGCGTGCTACGTCCCACCCTCCTCCAAGTAGAGTGACCGACCCCTCGAAGGATAACAAAGGTCCGGTGATAGTCCGCCGATTGAAACTACAGGCGAGAAAATCTATTGTTTGCGGATTTGTTTCTTGGAGCCCTCTAAGGGACCGGGTAGAGATGAACTCCGGTAGTTCATTGCAAAACCTTCGAAGGAGCGGGCCGGCCTCCCCCCGGCCGCTCAGGGTGAGGGCAGAGATGCAGTCGGCATGGGCCACCAGAAGGTGCTCCTGCTCGGTTCAGACTACTATTTCCTTAAGAAACCACCAAAAAATAAAAATAATCATCCCTATATTACCCCCATAAGGAATTTCAGAGGTTACGAGGGGTTTAGGGTTGAGGGGATTAGGGCCTTTAGGGCCTTTGGGTTCAGGGTTTTAAGGTTTGGGGCCTTAGGGTTCAGGGTTTAGGGCTTTAGGGGTTTAGGGTTTAGGGGTTTAGGTCTTAGGTTTACTTGAAGGATTAGGAAGTAAGGGGACTTAGTAAGCAGGGATATCAGGTAGAGCAACTATACTTACTTCTAGGTACGTACACCCCGAATCGGGGTGCTTGTTACCTTACTCACTAAGTCCCACCATCTTTTAAGTGAGGTTTGCAGGTTTGGGGTGGATATGGGAGGTTCCGAAAATAGGGGACCCTGAAATAGTACCGTAAATAGTAGGATCCGTATTAGAAGGATCCCAAAATAAGGTCACCAAAATTATCCACGAACTTGCCGATCAGCGCACGGATTCGAACGTGTCAATGACTGTGAGGGCCTTCTGGGGCTCGGGGATACTTTTCTATACTGAACTTAGAACACTAGCAAAAATCATAATTTCTTAGGGATTATAACAACCAAAAATTAGAAAGTATTTCTAAGTACCCCTAAGTTTTGCCCCTGCGAACCAGTGAACCTGATACGTCCAGGCTGAGAGAGTCGGAAAACCGGTCATCGGACTTGCCAAAAGGAATTGACATGTCTGCTGGGGGTGATACTTCCGAACCGATATGATCTCGCCCAACTTGACTGGGCTAAAGAGGTGTGACGTTTCCTTCGCGTACACCCAGAGCTTCCAAAACCCCTTAATTAAGGAATATACCTTAAATTATAATAGGATCCCTTATATGATTCAAGGTATATTCCTTAATTAAGGGGTTTTGGAGGCTCTGGGTTCTCGCAAGCGTTTCTTCTGCTCCGACCCGGGGAGGTGAACTGGAAAACTACGATTGCTTCGATCTGCTCGGCCTCGAACTCCTTGACCCGTTTTGCTCAAGATCTCTTGGGTAAATGCTTCGGATGCCTGGTCGATTGGATCCTCCGCCTTGTGACTTCACGGATCCCGCCCACCCAACACTAACCGCACATTTGGGTCTTAATGAGAACGGTTGATGATATAAATCCTGCGCATTACTCATAATAAGGAATATACCATAATTCCCATAGCTTAGGGTCCTTAAGGTCATGCAGGATTTATATCATCACTGTAAACCCTGAACCCTAAAACCCTATACATCCCTTAAAGGAACCTCTTAAAGGTACCCCTATAGATCCCTTTAAAGGAACCCTAGGATTTATCATCAACATTGGTGGGAGAGGCGGGCTCGGCCCTGGGGATGCCGCTCTATATCCCAAAGGCTCCATGTCCCCATTTAAGGGCTCCTTTTTATAGGGTTCCTTTAAGGGCTCCATAAGGGGTATCATAAGGGTTTAGGGTTTAGGGTTTAAGGCTCCATGTACCTTTATAGTAGATACTTTGGCCTTAAAGTAGTCCCTATATAGGTACTTTAAGGCCTAAGTCTATACTATATGGATATATGGAGCCTTAGGGTATCCCGGCGGCATGTATGAGCCCTTGAAGTCTTACAGGGCTTTGACAGAGCATGTGCTTCCCCCTGGTGAAGTGCGAGTTTGGCTTAAGGCTTTCCATTGCTTGAGGGTTATGCAGATTTGACGCAAACTTCAGTTGCCTATGCAAGGATGCCCAGTACTGTAACCTAGGAATAAAAACGGCTCCCCCTTTGGTGTTGGGTAACTGTATAAGGAAGCTAGGACTGCAAAAAGGGAATAAGGGTACTACTGGGCATCCTACGGTTGATGAGATAAATCCTGCATTACCCAAAATAAGGAATGTACCATAATTCCCATAGTCTAGGGTCCTTAAGGTAATGCAGGATTTATATCATCAACCGTAGGATGGCATAGTGCTAGCTTAATATTAAGTTGTCCGTTGCTTGGGGTTTTCAAGTTTCCGGGTCTGAGGGCTTCCGGTTTAGGGCTTCTTGGGGGTTCATGTGTAGTTATAAGTAGGGTTATAAGTAAGATAGCTATACTTATAACCCATAGTAGGGGACTTATAACTTATAACCCTACTTATAACTACCCATGAATCTCCAAGTTAGGTCCCAGGGCTTCGGAGTTGCGGGGCTTACAGAAGGGATTTGAGCCATGTAGGGGTGGGATAAAACCCCTGAAACCTTCAAACCTACACATCCTCCCTAAACCCAGGCAGCACCCGACAAGGTGAAGGTGGCCTGTGTGAAGGCAATGTCGGAAGCTGGCTTCGAAGCCAGATCAACCTCAGTAGCTGCTTTTGGGATTTACAGCGCTACTTAAAGGGGTCGTGCGACCTGGTATATAAGTATTGTTATGAGCACAGTAGCTGAGTACTTGCCAGTATAGTTAGCTTACTTCTAACCCTACTTACCAAGTCCTCTGATCATGTATATACTTTGGGTTTACAACCCGAAACCCCAAACTCTAAGGGAAATCGATCTCCGTTATCCACCCAAACCTTCAAGTGTCCCTAATTTAAGGAATATGCGTTAAATCATATGGGGGATCCGACTATGATTCAAGGTATATTCCTTGATTCAGGGATATTGGAAGGTCTGAGCAGTGCCTCGTCTCCGTGGGTTTTCAGGTAAAGGACTGCGGCTCCGTGGCCTACGGTCTTCAACAGGGTTGATCTCTAAGAGATCCGTATATCGGCAAGGCTAGTATGCATTGAATGTATTGCAAAAGGGAATATTCACTTCTGAAACTCTCATGGCTTGAAAAAGACTTGAATGTAGCATGGTCAAGAAATGTGGATAGGGGGGTCAATCATGCAACAGCCGTAGCACGGACTGGACACACAATTGAAGCCCGCTGTTTAAGAAAGCACGCCCTCTGAATAAGGATTCTAGTTCTGTCATCACCATCCTGAAAGTGAAAGGATAGACAATTCCTTTTTTCAGGTGTCCGCTGAACCATACACCCGAGACGAAAACGGAGTACTGTGTTTACTGGAGACTGTGTCCAGGCTTTCCTTGCGTCAGGGGCGAGGTTGAACGTACGTTCGTTTCAAGACTTTGGGGCCCGACTCGTTGCTATCAATGCATGTGTTTGTGTGTAATATACTTGAAGGTTCATGGGCAGTTATAAGTAGTTTATAACACAGAGAGGGGATTTATAATCCCCCGTATAGCTACCCATGAACGTCCAAGTAGGGGCCTTAATAATTAGAACAAGGGTTTGAGGCCCTGTGTACTATCATTATAATAGGGAACCCAGAAACTAGCATAGGTAATGATAAAGGCCCCGATATTACAAAGTTCGGCTACGGTTTCGGGTCCTAGGGGATCCACTGGGCCTCGTAAGTTTTGACAAAGCATCTCAGCACGGGCTCTGAAAGTACCCTATTGCACCCTAATGTAGGAACCTGATGAAGAAACCATGGGCCTTTATCAGGGTTCCTTATATGAGCCCTAGTATTTTGGGGTTATCGGCCCAGAGCTTCTTAATCTGGTTCCTACATTGCTAATGCACCGATTAGACTCCATGGCACCGGAAAGGACATCCCTAACTCAACTCCTCTTGTGTTCTCCGACAACGTACCACGAAACCCTGCTCCAATCCCTAAAGATCAACAGCGCAACAGCCGGGGCCTGTTCCACGTATTGGTTCCCTTCTTGCCACAACCCTATGGCATTCTCATCGTCTCGTCATGGCCCCGATGCAATTCAATCATTGAGAAATACTCTCCAAAGGGGAACCCATTTACACAAGTGTCTTCAGCAAATAATGTAATCAAAACTGGTGTTCCACATGTCTGTCAGTCTTCGTGCCCTCCTACATTTGAGCTTGTGCAGCATGAACGAATGTGACACCTGTGGGAGCCTGAATTGGCAGGAAAAGTTCCTCTGCACTCCGTAATGTAGGAACCTGGTGGCTTCTCAGAAACATCGCGGACCCTACAGGCCACTATTCAAGGCCATAGCCAAGTACATTTGGCACAGAGGCTAGGCTTACATGTCGCAAGTTAGAAGTAGAACTTGTGCACGGGAACTTTTGAAGTTGAGTATTATTGTCCACCAACAGTTCAATAATACCTGACGGTCGGAAATCTTGCCACGGCCTCTCGCCCCAGCGGGAAGCTTTGCGTGGGCAACAAGGTTTGGCGGTATACTATACTATAATCATCATAAGGAACCGCCGCAATAGTATTGGTAACCATTTCAGCCCGTGTATTAGTAGCATTCGACGAGCCAGGGACGTCTTGCATCGAAGCAAAGTAGTCCACGTCGCAAACTACAGCCCACAGGGTATCAAACTAAGCCTTCCAAAATCGGATCCCGGAGCTGTTACTCCTTTTCTGATCACTGTGGATCCTCAAAACCACATAAAGCATAGAAGCCTCAACAGTTCGACTAAGTAGGGTTTTCCGTGTACATATCTACCCTGCTTTTGCCAGGGACCCTAAGGATTTGTAATGCGATGTATTTAGTAGGCTGATGAATACTCTAGAGGCACTACAACAACTCCTGGATAACGACCGGAGACCCTAAACCGCCTGCTGAGCTGAGGCTTCCGGCCGTGTGTAAAAAATTCGGTGGGTTTTGGGAGATGTCAAGAACGAAGAGGTCCTCAGCTGTTGATTCTCATGTGGGGTTGTGTTTATTCGAGCTCAAAGGGCCTACGAGGGTTGTCTCTAGGATTTAGGGTGCATCCGGGTTTCGGTGAACATAAGGCTCAGAAAGACGATTGGCGAGCTCGTTCGGGCTTTCCGAGGTAGCTGGCAATGAAAACAAGCCCGGCAGCCCTACCTTCCCAAAGGGTCCTAAGTACCTACGTAGAACACAGTAGGGTTTCCAAAGTATAAATGGCTATCGCCCCACATAAGTACTTAGGACGCTTTGGGATTATTGTGGCTTGTACGAAAGGGGTGGGGGCTGCTTGGAACGCATACGAGCTCATTGCTTAGGGCGGCTTTGCAACAAGGATCCTATCCTACAGTGGACGGGATTCAGCGAGTCCCCCATACTTGGAGGTTCATGCGTAGTCATAGGTAGGGATAAGTAGGAGAACTACACTTATTCTAACCTATATTAGGGGATTGATAACTCGATTTAGCTCTACCCATGAACCTCTAAGCAGTATCAAACACAAGCCACCCTTGTAGAACTCCCAAACCCGCTGTGAAGCTGAGCTCGGGTCTCCGCCCGAAGTGCAGATAAAGGCCCGATCCTGGGTGTTTATCTACGGCTTCACTGGGTTCTTGTTAAGTTGTTTAATTTAAGTTACCATAGTAAGGAAACCCCACTATTTGCTGTAGACCCCCATTATGGTATCTTAAACTAAATGCCTTAACACAAGACCCCAACTTAGAGCTTCAGAGCTGGTGACTTAAGGTTTGAGGCTTCCTGGGATGATGGTTTAGGGTGCTGGGCTCATAGGAGTAAGAGCAGAGGCATTTGAAGGCCCCTGGGGTAGAGCTTTGGGTTTGCGATTTTAGGGTCTGAGGTTTGGGGTTTAGGGTCCAAGACTCTAGGGCTTGGTCGTTTTGAGCATTGAGGTCGAAGCCTTCTGGCCCGAAAGGCTTTATGCTTAGGTAGTAGGGTTTTAGGTTCAGGGTTTGAGCTTTGAGAATTGGGATTTTTTTTGGTAGGTGCTGAGGATCTTGTGTTAAGGGATTGGTCACTTAGCATTTATCCAAGGGCACGTGAGATAACAATTTTGCGGTTGAGGGCGTGGGTCCCCTATTTTCGGAAACTCCCATAGAGCTGCACTTTTCATGGAACTTTCAACAAACCTTTCTAATCAACCCCCACCTCCTAAGGCTCCCATCGCGGTTTCAGGAAATCAAAAGATAATCTTTAGAGGGGCTGTTACAGAAAAGAGGCACTATACAAGTCTATTTACTGATGTCTCTTGTCCAGCATTTAGGAAACTAAAGATGAACCCGCTGGGGATGTATAGGAAGTGTAGTACTCCAAAAAGGTTACAAGTTACGATCTACTACTTAAAGGATCATGGGACTTAGTAAGTAGGTTATAATTGGGGTTATAAGTCCCCTAAGTGGGGTTATCCTAATTATAACCTACTTATAACCTTACTTACAAAGTCCGTCCAATGAGCCTTTAAGTACTGAGTAATCACTGGAGCTCCAGGACTTCTGGGCTTTTTGAGGCCATGGCATTATCGTCATCGAGGTGGCAGCTCGTGAGATAGTCCATCTCGCCTCCCGCAGTGCAGGAAGGTGGTCTGCAACCGGAGCTCCAAAGACCCCAATTTAGGGGTTCAGGCTTTAGGGTTTAGTTCATTACGGAAAAGACCATGAACTACATTTGAATTACAAGAATGTTTCTTAGTATGATGCAAACACAACCGCTTTCGGGCCTTGACGATTAGAACAAGGTTGTGGGGTGCACTACAGTATATGTGAATAAACAAGTATACACACACATTTAGTGACGGATATATGTATATTCATGCGAACATGTATGTATGTATGTATGTATGTATATATGTATGAGGAGACAATGAGGATGTTGTTGCCAATTCTTCCGACCCCTATCTTACCGTGACGGTCCTAGGTATCTCTTCTGGGCTCTTGTTAAGCAGTTTTTGTTTAAGTTAGCTTACCATAATGGGGATCTACAGTAAAAAGTAGGGTTTCCTTATTACCAAACCCGTTAACCCCAAACCCTTAACCCTACACCCTGAACCGTACAAGAACCCAGTCTTTGGTAGGGTTCAGAACCTCAAACTCCTTCGGTTGATGACATAAATCCTGGGGTTCTTTTAAAGGGATCTATGAGGGTACCTTTAAGGGGCGCCTTTAAGGGATCTATAGGGTTTGGGGGTTTGGGGTAAAAATCCTGCATTACCGTAAGGACCCTGAACTGTAGGAATTATGGCGTGTTATGTACTATGGGTAATGCAGGATTTAAATCATCAACATTAGTTTTCAGAGTGATGAAAGCATTAGGACGACGAGGAGGGTAGTAAGGGTCTCTATGAAGGTCCGCAGTGTTCAAAACCGGGGCTTCAGGGTTTAGGGTCCATCTTGGTGGACCTCTTCTTAAACAGGCGTAACCAGTCTAATCGCTCACGATTTCGTAACGGCCAGAAATATTCGGGCTCTAGTCAGAATCGCACCAAGGCTACATGGTTTAGGAAGGAGTGGCTGCACGGGCATATAACGGGGAGCTCGGCAAGCTTGGCACGATATCGGTCTTTACAATTCGAACGAGGTTTTTTGGAATTATATGTGACTACAGTAGGGAACCCACCCAAGACAAAGGTTTACTAAGTACTACTGATTTTTTCAGGCACCTCTTTTAGGGTTGCATGTCGGTCTCAACCAAAAAGGTTCAGCTTAAGTTTTGTCAGCTCAGAGAGAAGCCTCACGCAATTGAGTGCTCCATACCCCCAGGTTCCTGTCTCCTCATATTCCTCCACCTTAATGTAGGAGCCTGATTAAGAAACCTTGGGCCTTTATTGGGGCTCCTTATAAGAATCCTACTATGTTGGGGTTATAGGGCCAGGGTTTCTTAATCAGGTTCCTACATTGTCTTCGAGTCATGGGACCCGGCTGCTTCCGCGGCTCTTGCATCTCCAAACATGATGCTATGGATGAAGCATTACTGTAGCAAGCACAACAATTCTCTTGAAAATCGGCTTTGCGTGGTTGACCAGACAACTGCTAGCCTTTGTCAAATATACCTGACTAAAGACGGCAGTGGCAGTAAAAGAAGCCTTGGTCGTAGTCGTAGTTGAATCTATGCCCCAGTTCCACTAAATGGAATTCGAGCAGTTGAGCCCAAACAGGCCTCAACCCTACACCTAGACGCAAAAACCGATCACCTGTAAACCTCACGAGCCCTAACCTGAACCCAAAACACAAACCCCCTAAACCCGAAACCTTACAGCAAAACCCTTACCCGGAAACCTCAAAGCTCCAACAGCTTAAACCATAAACTTGACTCCATTAAAATGGACCCCACAGAAAATCCTACAAACCAGAAACGCATCATACACAAGATCAGTATAAAAACCCTGCAGATCCCCAATAACCCTACAACAACACCAGAAATCCTAAACCTAAAGCCCAAAGCCCCTAAATCCTAAACTCTGAATCCTAAGCCCCTAAACTCTAAACCCCTAAGCCCTAAGCCCCTAAACTCTAAACCCCTAAACCCTAAGCCCCCAAACCCTAAACTCTAAACCCTTGAACCGTATATTTATCCCTAAACCCCTAAACTTCCTAAACCCTATACAGCAGAAGCCCTGGAACCTAAACATCGGAAACTCAAAAAAAGGCCTCGCAGCCGCTTCTGCAGCCGGCCACCACAGCGGAGCTCTCGCGAGCGCCTCAGGAATTGAGGGCTTTCGACAAACTCCAGCGGTTTCGGGTCTAGAGGTCTTAGGACAGCTTAAGGTTTTAGGGTTCCTTTTAATAGGATCTATAGGGGCTCCTATAAGGGATCTATAGGGTTTAGGGCTTAGGGCTTTAGTTTAGGATTTAGGGTTTAGAGTTTCGGGTCTAGAGGTTTATGGTTTAGGGTTTAGGATTTAGGGTTTAGGGTCTAGCGGTTTAGGGTTTAGGACTGATTAAAGTTTAGGATTTGGCTTATAGGGGAACTGACTCCAACGGTTTACGCAACTACAGAGGTTCAGGGGTTTAGGGCTCACGATTAATGGCTTTAGGGCTTAATTGAGGTTGTGGAGTTTCGGGATTTAGGGCTTCAGAGGTTTGGAGTTCACGGTGCACGGTGCCTTTTGTAGCATTCCGTCAAAGGTTTGCTACGGCTTCGCAGGGTGCTGGTTTCATAGCTCAGGGGGTCTATGTACTACCAGCGTGGACTAAGATCCCAAAACCATGGTAGGGAGGGTCTCTGGTAATTCCACGATCGTAATAATATGTGGACCCTCCAGCTTTCATTAGGGCGTTTAACGGAGTCTCGTAAGGGCGTACAGGGTTTAGTAACATGGGGGTTCTGACTAAGGCTCAAAAGAAACCCACAGCCTTTTTGCAGTATGGTCTTTGGACCCAAAACCGTCAGTATACGCGTCCTGCTTCTGACGGAAGCAGTCCTGCATTACCCACAGTAATGAGGGATATACAGTAATTCCCATACTCTGATGTCGTTAAGGCAACACCATTCCAGCCGCTGAACACAATGCAACTTGTCTTGATTCCCTTGTAGGTGGTGAGGTGAAGCGATGCCGAACCTGCCAATGCAAACCGAGCTTGCAACGTTGCGAAATAGCAAGCAGAACACTGCAGCGCAAGGTACCAGTGCAACGCAGCAAAACCTCCTCTGGGTTGGCCGGACAAGCTGTTGCTGTTTTCTCGAATTGTGTTTGCAACACGACAACCTGGGACCAGTGCTTGTCCGGCGGTTTTGACAGCACTCCTACATCTCGCTGCGGCATATCTTTGTTCCCTTCCGGAATGCTGCAGCTTGCCTGCCCCTGCGGGGGACATGGGCACTGCCACGGGGGCAACAGTTCAATTCCCGTTCAGCCCCTGCCAGGCCAGTTTCTGGTCAGGGAGGTTATATATCCATTTCTCCCCTGTCCGGATCAGTCGGCAACTCTTGCTTCCCGGCCCATTTGAGATGTTGCAATACCTACGTGCACTAAACACAGGATGTGCGCCACACGTGAAAGGGCTCTGTAATTCCACAAGCCCTTCTTACACTCCCCCCACAGCCCCAAACATCCTCTCTATCAAATAATTGCTGGCCGCTCGTAGACCACTGTCGCCTTAATATGGATGGTTGTCAAAAATTATGGTCTCTTTTTGGGTCCCGAATATAGTACGGCACCTACTATTTAGGGTACCCAAAAAGGGACCCTAATTTTGACAACTACCCATTCGGGGGGTGGATTCGCCCGACAGGCGGTCGGAGGCTAAGCCCCTGGCACGTCGATGACCCGCATGGCCGTGTCGAACCCCACAGACAGCAGGCGCCTCCCCAGACCCCCGGGAGGATCTAGAAAGTAGATCCCTAATTTGGGGCCCTATACTACTAAGGGTACTTTATAGGAACCCCCATTAAGGGATCTACGTTTTGGATCCTCCCGGAGGTCTGGCCTCTGTTGGACGCAACGTTTAGGGCTTCAGGGCTTTCATCTTACTTACCCTAAGGCTCTGAGGACTCATATTTTAAGGTCTTTGGGCCTAAAGACCATCTTATATAGCCATTTTGAGAATTAGGGTTAGGGTCTTATAAGTACAGTCCAGGCTCAGTCTTTTCAAGGATCCGGACAGAAGCCCCTTGCAAGCAGCGTAAAGCTAAGGACTCATGCCTTAAAGCTTGTGGGCCCAAAAACACTCCCAATACAGGAGCCTTTCTAATCAGAACAGGCTTTGGGATACAGGGGGATCTTTGAGTAACTATGATTTCGACCCCTGCATCATGCGGGCTGTTTTGAGCTTATTTGAGGAGAGCCCCTCCGACAAGATGACAGCTAAGGGCCGGAATTATTGGATTTGGGTCTTCCTGTATCTTCTACGATACTTGTATTCAACAACCCTAAGGAGCAGAGTTACGACCCCTGTGTACCAGGTCTCTGGCTCGAGGTTTAGACGTCTCAGGGCTTGAACGAGTTTGGGTTTTCGTTGAAGTGCAATAGCCCCCCTTGCTCCTCAGAAGACTCACTCAAAAGAGCGTGTGCACTTGTTGGCAGCAAAGGTATCCCTCTCACTGCTCTCTCCCAAGTCGAACCTCCCCTCATACCTGGTCTCGTGGTTGCCGAGAGTCTCGACTGCTATACATCTAAACCCCAGACCCCTAAAACTAAACCCTCTAAGCCCTCAACCCCCAAAACTAAGACCTCTAAGCCCTCAACCCCTAAAACTAAGACCTCCAAGCCCTCAACCCCTAAAACTACGACCTCTGAGCCCTCAACCCATAAAACTATGACCTCTAAGCCCTCAACCCCCCAAACTAAAACCTCTATGCTCTCAGCCCCTAAAACTAAGACCTAAACCTCAAAGCCCCCAACCCCTAAAACTAAAACCTCTAAACCCTCAGCCCCTAAAAGTAAGACCTAGACCTCTATCAACCCTAAACCCCGAAAACTGAAGCCTCCAAAACCTGAACTGGGTCGTAGTTTTGGGGCTCTGAAAAGTATTTATGAATAGGTAGCTCTATAGGAACCACAAGGGAAATCAAAAAGTTTCCCAAATTGCCACCTAGTGAACCCAGAGCCTCCAAAACCCCTTAATTAAGAAATATTCCTTAAATCATGTTAGGGATCCTACTATAATTTCAGGTATATTCCTTAATTAAGGGGTATTGGGCTCTCTGGGAACCCTATGCCTCGGTGATGCACTGAGGTGCGTCACGGGGCTCTTGTGGTGGAGCTCGACCGAGCCCACAGCCTCCCATACTTGGAGGGTCGGGGGACTTAGTAAGTAGGTAGTAAGTAGACTTATAAGTGTGGGCTTCCAAGACCCGCTTAAAGTAGGGACTTAGGGATACATGCATAGGGCTGCTTAAAGAAAGAACTTCGGCCCTTAGGGGTATATCCGTAGGGCTGCTGTAGGGTTCACAGGGATTCTTAAAGATTGATAGGGTTTAAATGGCTTAGGGGGTTAGAGCAAATTGCGTTGTGGTGCCGTGTGTAGCATGTAGCAAAGGCGTCTGAAAAGTTACACTGGGGTTTAGGGGAATACTTTCGTATGGCAAAAACAAGAAGCCCGACGCGAGGGTGTAGCACAAGTCATTCAAGCACCTGTGACACAAGAGTCCTGATCTGTTTGTCTGTTGAGGTTACTGGGAGTGGTGCTTTGCTCTCAAGGGGGATTCAGAGAACAGGGTACCCCAACATGGAACCCATAAGCGCATGATCCTGATAAGGTACCCTATTTCTTGAAACCCCATATGAGAATTCTCTTTGAACCGTTTCTTGAAATCCCACATGAGAATACTCTTTGAAGCCGCCCCAACCCAGGTAAGAACACGCTGAACTCTCAACCCTAAACCCTCAGCAACCAAATCCTAAGCCCTAAAACCCTCAAGCCTCAGCGGTAAAGACCCCCTGTCCAAACGAGCTCTGTGACTCTGGCAACAGACTTCATTCCCTTTTAACGGTATTTACGTAAGCAAAACCTGGAAAGACACCCCAGCGAAAGAAAAGACAAACAGCCAAAAGCGTTGGCAAGACCTTTCTTGAACTGCACAGTTTTTCACTAGGTAGTTGTCGAAATTAGGGTCTCTTTTCGGGTACCTGAAATACTAGGTGCCGCATTATAATATGGACCCCAAAAGGGACCCTAAACCCTAAACCCCCAAAACCCTACTTGGAGGGTCGGGGGACTTAGTAAGTAGTTAGTATATAGACTTACAGGTACCTTAATAGGGACCCTAATCGGGGTTTGGTACTTATAACTCCATAAAACAACTACTTACTAAGTCCCCTGACCCTCCAAGTAGACCACCACTCATCTAGAGGCAGCTCCGGGTGTCTGCCTGTCTTCAATACCTAGGGCCCCAAAAAGCACAGAAACAACAAATAAGGATAGGGATATCCCATGTAAACCACCTTATAAAGAAGCCCAATAAGGTAGGGATACCCTATAAAATGCTTATGCTGACGTGCTTTTTGGGGTCCCTAAATACCCTAGAAGGTTTCAGCGGTTACTGCCTCCACTACTCCGTTCCCAACGAAAACCTAAACCCTATCCACACCCAAGTACTTGATAGGTACTTGCTCTATTATATACGATGTCTTGAAGTAGACCCGCAACCCTACGCACCAAAAACTTCAATGTTACTTACTCTGCCACTAAGAGGAAACCAGGAATATGCCTCTGGCTTGGACTCACCAGCACGAAGGGCGAAGACCTTCACAGATAGTTAGAAACATAAATATAAACATATAAACAAACAATGAAACATATGTATATATACATATATATATATATAACATATATATATATATATATATGAGCATATATATATATATATACATACATACCCACCGTTCCCAGGATTCAACCGGTGCAGGATCACTTGTGAAGGATCAGGGGGCTGAGTAACAACAAAGGTGCTAGAAGGGATCTATGAAGGTTCGATGGGGTCGATGGGGTTTAGGGTTTTCTTTGTAAGTGGAGATTTGCGTCTGGTAGCCGTAACTATGGCGATAAGTTATACCTCACTCGTTGCGTCCCATGATCCTCCCAGGAGGGTTCGGCATTTGTGATTTGGGAATATCTACAGACAGTCGTTAACACCATCATGCTGAGGAATGTACCTTAAACCATAAAGTGCCCTTCTCTTATATCAGGTATATACTGCTGAAGGAAATGGTTTTGCAGGCTCTGACATAAGGTCTACAGGGCTTGCGAAAGAGTCTTAGCGAGCGCGTAAGTCTGATGCAGCTTAGCTAAGGGCTTGCGTCACAACTTCAAACCCTGAAGCCTCAATCCTGACACCCACAATGCTAAACTTTAAATCGTAAACACTACACCAGTAAAAAAAAACTAAGCATCCCTAAACCCTACTTACTTATAGAACCCCATCGAAACCCTGTGGGCTGCAGGTAATTGGGGGCTATGAGTTTGAGTTAGGTGTTAAGGTTCAGAGTTTACGGTTACATGAGGTTTGTTGTTTAGCGTTTAGCAGGCTTGGGGGCTTCGCTTTAACGTTTGGGGCTTTGGGCTTAGAGCTACAGCTAGAGGAAACTAGCCGTTCTTTTGGTGTGTCAATCTTGCAGGATCCTTCTTACTCTGCTTGATCTACATCCTCTCTAGGCCAAGGACGCTAATCAGTTTGGGTGTAGTTTAAAGGCCCTGCATCTTCAGACACTCCCATTCTATGCACTCATCGTCATGACCACCATGATATAAGAACCAATATTAATCAAATTGTGGCTGTCTTCATCATGATGCTCGCCAATGAGCATAATGACAAACAGAAACCATCCTGGCAAACAGAAACGTAAAACCCCGAAACCATAAAGGCTTAACCTCTGCTTCCGGAACCTCCGTACACCCCCATGGGCGGGCCTCGATCTTGCCGTCTTCCAGGCCTACGAAGATCTGCCTGTAGCCATGTCGAGGGTTTAGGGTATATGGTAGAAGCCCAAAAGTTTGAAACCCAGTAGCCTCAACCCTGAAGAGTAATGTATAAGGGAATCCCACCACTATTTGGCGTTAGTCCGGTTTCCAACTTTTCGGGGTTCACTGTAGGGGGTTTTACTGGCGGAGGAACTTGTACTTGTATCAATCTTCGTGCTGCTATACAGCCTTACAAGGACTTTGGGGGTTTGCGGTGTCCAAATACCTTTATAGGGATTGTATATGACTTCAGAAAGTACCTGTATCTAGATCCTGAGGGATACATCAAGGCAGCCCCTTTCTTCGGAACTTCTTGCACGACTTGCCAGGTGGTCTCATACTCGTGCTTAAGGGAGAGTGGAGGAGGGAGTATAAGGACTACTACAAGGGACTATATGAGGACTATAAAAGGGATCCCCTCTCCCACTCCGCCTTCAGTTGAGCACCAGAAAGCCACGGAGCCTCACTGGGGCTTGCCCGGTGGTATCGGAGGGGTCCAATCATCCTGCATGTCCGACCCAGGCACCGTCGGAGTCTTCTCATTCAGGCTTCGGTCCAGGATGTCATCTTTGTAGTGATGGCCCTCCTTGTGCAGGGTGCACATATTCGCGCATGTCAATGGCGTAACCGCCACAGGAGGCATCGCCCCCGGGTTTCGGTCCGTTCCGGAAAGCGGCGCCATTGAAAAGCTTCTGCATGCACCCCCTAAACCCTAAACCCTAAACCCCTAAACCCTAAACCCCAAAACCCTAAACTCTATCAAGCCTTTTCCCCATCAGCAGACCAAGCACTGCGACGTTCTGCGACTGGTGCCAAAGATCCAAGATGTTTCTACTAGGGTTTAGGTTGGGGTGGGTGGGGCCCCCCACCCGACCCGACCCATACCAAGCACGCAAAGGAAGCAGTCTTTCACATGCGAGTTGATAGCCGAGCTCACAACATCCCGGGCAGGCGCGCCGAACCACTCCTTTGCAGTCATATTATCCGCACAGGTATATCAGGAGTTTATTCTGTTACGCGCCAGGACAGACTCGCATTAAGGCCGCTTCCGGGACCGTCATGGGTTTAGCAGGCTTAGCGACCTTACACCCATCGCATGTGTGCCCACACTAACCTACCTGCCTAGTCGGGGCCGATGCCGTAGCAGCATTCGCTGTGTATCGGCAGTTCACCTTGCACAGTGAAGGTGAGAAGCCTCTGTATCACACGTGCACGACCCTTCCCGGGAACCATGCTCGACGAAGCCTCCCCGAGCTCGGACGCTGCCACCTCAGAGAAGTCATGCATCCCGCTGCAGGGTTCCGCTACATCCAGTTAGCCGTCGCAAGACACGACCAAAATCCGAGCAATGCACCGGGAGAAGCGATGGGGGTCGAGCCTCACCCGATCTTTATCCACCTGGCTAACAGACACATACACGCTAGCGAAACATATCCCAGACTCCACGCACGACGCACAGCAATATGCAAGGCGCAGACGAGCTCCTGCACCTTACCAGTGATCTCCACACTAGCAGAGGAAGAATCATAACACAGCAACACACGCATGTGACGGAAATGAGACCAACGGAAAGACAAGGAGCATCGCATTTCTAAGGGCAGCACCCGATCGCGCCAATGTTTAGAAACCTGCACAAGAAGCCGCTCGGGCCTTGTGCTGCAAATGTATTAGTCGCGGGGAGGAGGGACCGAAAGGCCTTGAAGTTCAACTCGGCATCAAAATGCCGAGCCTCAACCCACTCACAGAGCAGAACTGCGGGTACCAGCCGGCTGGTCGATTTCATGCACTCCCACCTTGGGCTTTGCGCGACCACTCGACCAGATCACCTAATCAATGAGAGCCGCGATACAGACCAAGTTTCGCAATGATGGCACCACGACACTCTCCTGTGCATAAAGCCGGACAGATTCACACAACGAAAGCTAGGCTAGTGATCGCGAAGCTGCGCCTGGAGCCACTCGAGGTAACGAGTGACCTGAGCATGTGTAGACTGCGCGACATCATCGGCGGCGTACTCCAAACGATATCCGAGTGCACTGCTGCAGGGGTTTCCACCCCTTCCTTTTCATGCAGCAATGCCGAATACGTTTATGTTTGTCTGCATCTGTGCGGCCTCGCAGAAGCACCGCCATTGAAGCTCCTCGCAGCATACCAGACTAGACAATCGAACTACCTCCATTTCTCTTCTCACTTCCCACGAACCGGGGCCGGAACAAAACTGACGGGGACGTCAGCAGGCGGAGTCTGCGGCAGACGTAGCGATTGACACGACGAAGATTCAGCAACACAGAACTGTGCAGGAGAGGCCTCATCTGCGACTTCGGTTTCCTGGCACTGAAAAGGACGATGTTCTTCAGTATGAGCAGACTGCGGAAGCAGGCGTCCTTCTGGGACATGGCCGCCTTGACACACACCGCGAGTCTAGATAGAACCAAGGACGTGCGATCTCCATAATTTAGGGCCGGACACGTTTTTGGCGTTGTCTGACCTGTCGCGTGTGGTAAGCACCCGCATCCGTCTACACTTATGCGTTATCCGGCTACAGCAACTAGCTGTGACAACCAAGTCCATCGGCCTGCCAACGCCAGAGGAAGAAAATGATGGCAGGCGACACAAGTAACATTGCTCACGGCAAACAGGGAGAAAGGAAAAGAGGTAAGCGGACAACCCTAAACCCTGAACCCATATGCGAGCATGAACACTCGTCATGTAGGTTTGCGACATGAAGCAGTAAATTCTATCGTACCATGCTACCGTGATGTTGTTCCGCATTTCTGCTACCAGCTCGCCAAGTATGCTCGTAAATTACCAGCATAGCGAGGGAAGCCACAGAGTGGTGGAATTCGATCAGAATGCTGGTACACGTTCTACCAACACGAATGTGAGGGTAAGAAGTCCAACTGTGGAAAGCGACTGTGTGCGGTCCATCACCTGCTTGGCGCGCAGACACAGTCTCAAGAACCCGGAGGAACTACCCAGTTATGAGCATGAAATGCAGCGCCACGATGCAAGGCATGGCCGTGGGCAGGACTGGTCGCTCGTGTGCTTTAGGGTTCAGGGGTTGAGGGTTTAGGGTTTTTTGATGTTTGTTGTGTTTATCGTGGGTCTGTCTGTTCGTCTACACTGCAAAAGCCCGAAACTCTGAAACCCTTACAGGCTTATAGAGCCCATGTGATGCAGAGGTCTGAACAGTAAGCGCATCCCTTTGTAATCTCCGCTGTATTTCTGCTATAGCTTATCTGAAAGCACTGCTGACTCATTTGTACTTTTTCAGGTCTCTACTCTGAACCCATGTAGCATCCGTATAATAGCCGTGTCACTGTCAGTTTGCAGAAACCCCTAAAGAAACCCTCATCATTATTGAAGCCCCGATTTTTAGAGACACACCCCAAGCTGAGCCCACCAGATAAGTGTTAGGGTTTAGGGCTTAGGGTTTAGGGTCAATGCTGACTCCGTGTTAAGACTAGGGGGTTTTAGGCGTTGGTGGCTTTGGGGTTCAGGGCAGGGCTGAGGGTTTGGGGGTAACTAGGGTTCAGGGTTTAGGGTTTAGGGGTTTAGGGTTTAGGGGTTTAGGGTTTAGGGTTTAGGGTGTGAGGTGTACGAACGAGGTTTTGCTTTGGGACTTAGAGCTTTTAGTTTACGGCGTTTACGGCTTTAGGACGATACCCTGAACACAGGGCCTGGTTGTTCCTTCCCAGCATAGTGAGCGGACCTTCGGCTGCACTGAGGAAGGGCTTTCGGGGATCTTTGGGTAAAGGCGTCTGGGTAAGGGCGTCTTGGCTTAGTCTGTTAGGAACGTAATGTCATTTACCATTATAGGCTATATAGTATATAGTCTGCATGCCTTTGGCAGTAGCTGACAATGGCCCGGTTTGTCCAAAGCTCTTGCTCCAACAGTGTCCTGGAAGTTGTCCGTATGGTACATTCTCGGGCCATGAGAAGTTGCAAGTACATACTGACAGCAGGTACTGTAGATGTGCCTGGAGGATGACGTGTGTTTCTCGACCCGATTGCTTGCTTCAGGAACCTTGCCCATCGAATCACTTAACCGAAAACAAGAGGATTGCTCGTGACACCTATCTACATATCTCGGGAATGGGCGGAAGACCTGCAATAGTTCAAGCTTCATAAAAATAATAAAGGTAGTGCCTAGTGGCAATTATTGTATCCAGACTAACCATAGCAGCAATGCTCGCAATAATGCCTCCAAGTCCGACCCCAACCCAAATCCTCCTTGACACGTGTGGGGTTGCGACGATGACCCGACACCGGGAAATGGATGCAACGGCATAAGAGTAGTTCAGGGACTGCAAACTCACTTTAACGAGTCAGCGAACAGCCTGAGGGGAACACGAATGCCCTAACTTAGGCCCCAGACCCCAGAGCCCGAACCGATTTTTTACATTCACTGGGGTGCCTTGATTAGGGTTTAGGGTTTAGGGTTTAGAATTTAGGGTTTAGGGTTTACCCAATTCAACTGCGAAACCCTGGATTTACATCCCCCAAACCCTCTATGAACGCTACGCCCCTGAACCCGAAATCGCCTGCCTTGATGCTGTAGGTCTGCGAGAAGGATCGCCTGTAGCTGCCCTCAGAATCCCGAGCCTCAAGCCGGGAGGCTTGGATTTGTTTACGCAATAACCCTAAGGGTCTGTGTACCCATAGAGTATATACATTGGCCTTAATGTAGTCCCTATTTGGGTACTTTGGGGCCCATGTATCTCTATATGGGTACATGGACCCCTAGGGTAAATGGACCTTAATGTTTAGAATAGGGTTTCGGGGCCCATTATACTGACTATTAAAACCATTGTCGGAGGCTCCAACAATAATATAGGTAATTCATTCGGCCCCTATAGTATTCAAGTACCCCAGCGAATGTAAACCGAAAGCATGATCAGGCTTTGCAGAAGTAAATACGCCGGAAGAAGCAGCGCTAATGGAGCTCGCGAGTAGACGACGCAGGTTTTGACGGGCTTTAGGAGAAGGTTAACGTCAGGTTATGTGCGGCCCTACAAGTGAAAGGATCACGGGACTTAGTAAGTATGGTTATAAGTACAATTATTGGGTTATAAGTAATTATACGTGTAGTTTCCCTAGTAATAACCCCAGTTACTAAGTCTCATGATCCTCCAAGAAGGGATTTCATTACGTCTTGCGGGGGGCTGTGATTTGAAGTTCGAGGACATGGCGGAGGGCTGTAGCACTCTGGTTGGGCTAATCAACTTGCTGCGGGGTCTGTGGGGATTCTATAACTGTATGTACTTGGATGTTCATGGGTAGCTATATGTAGGGTTATAAGTCCCCTACTTAAGTTTATCAACTTGCTGTGGGGTCTGTCGGGATTCTGTAACGGGGTAGTTGTCAATATTAGGGTCCCTTTTTGGGTCCTTACTATAATACGGCACCTATTATTTAGGGTACTCAAAAAAGGGACCACAATTTTGACAACCACCCAACTGTCTGTAAGGCTTCTTGTGAGACTCAGGGGGTGAGAGGCGGGCGTTTAGGTTTAGGGCTTAAGGTTTCGGCTGCAGGCTTTCAAGGATGAGGGGAGACATCGACCCGGACTGAGCCGCTTCCGCACACTGTTAAGTTCATGTAGGGGTCTTGAACAAATTAGAATAGGGTTTTGGAGTACATCATACTGTACTTATACTCAGGAACCTCCAAAACAGTATAGATAATTGTCTATGCCCTTATATTAAGTCCTTCTTCCAACAACCAGGACAGATGCAAAAAGCAACAGCTCAATCGCATCTGCATCAACAAGAATAGACACACACACACACACATCATGCAAGCAAAGCGAACCTCCGACAAGCTCACGTAAAGCTCTATGCAGCTGTGGTAAAGCATACCACCCTCACACATTACCGTAAGCGACCCTAGACTCCAAATCATAGATCTAGTGTAGGGACCTGAATAATTAGAATAAGGCTGGGGGTTCCTTATGACTTATGGTAATTAGCGTAATGTAAAATAATAGAGGAGGCACAAGCCGTCTAATGTCGTTTGCCCGAACACACTTCTTGTCCGATCACACCCCCAAACCCTATCCTAGACCCCAAATCATAGATCTACTGTAGGGGCCTTAATAGTGAGAAGAGGGCTTGGGGGGTTCCTTATTGTAACTATGGCATAATATACCACAACTCTGATTTTTAAGGACCCTCCATTACCCTCATCTCTCGAGGCTTCCCGAAAGAAGCCAAGGTGAGCCGGCGACCCACACATGGAGAGCCCCCAATTCATCCGGCTCCACCACAGACCTTGACTCAAAAACCAGGGCTCCATCTCTGGGACCTCTTACAACACCTTCCGTACACTTTACCCCAAACTCTCGCAGCTGTTGTGAGGTTTGGGCTCACGGCCGGCCTGGGGCCTGGGTTTCAATTAGTCTGCACTACAGCAATCCGACCCTCCACGTAGTGCCATAATTGATATACAGGGTTGAAGAACTAGTCTTGGAATGCCCTTGAGGCTCCATATAGCTACACCGCAATGTACCGAAACCCTGCTCTAACTTTAAGTGTTTATGTTACCTCATCCTGTTCTGCTCACATTAATTTTTCACAATGTCTTGACATCTGCTAGCCCGATACATTACAAACATAAAGGGGTGTAGATAATCAGTTACCAAATCAACACATTATACATATATCCCATGTCTCTCCATCTATCTATCTATCTATCTATCTAACTCAAACTACAGTCTAGTTAGATGGTGCGGCAACTTGTTCTGCAAGTAACATGGGTTCTTGTGACAACCGAGCCTACAGACAAGATGATATGGGTATGCGATGATATATGTACAGCATGACAAGGGCACAGCAGTATAGTTTCAAAACGTTACCTATAAGAGTCTATGAAAACGCTTGTGATGCCCTAAAATGCCTTGTAACACCATATATAACATCGTTCTTTTGCAAGGTGTTCACACCAATGCTTTCTCGGTACTGCCTCGGCATTAGTTTCAATATCCATTCCGGTTTTATAGCTAAGGGCTTTGAGGTTCAATTACATAGTGCTTCAGAGTTTTGGTATACATAGGTTCACAAGGGTTGAGAAAGTTTCTGTTCAGGCTCGACTTGACAAGAGGTCTGTAGAGGATCCAGATTTCAGAGTTTTGGGTCGGGGGTTGGGGGTTGGGGGGTTGAGGGGTTGAGGGTTTTAGGCATTTGGGGATGTGGGGGGGGGGGGGGGGGAGTCAGGGCTTAATTGGGGTTTCAGCGTTTCGCTTGTCGGCGTTTTGGATTTCGGATTAAGTGCCTTTTCTTCCTGCAAGGACCGCATGAGCAGGAATACAGGTAATCGACAGGACGTTGCATACGAGATCGTACGAGCGTTTAGGTTCCTTCTCTCGCCTCCCATAGGTTGTCTAGGATGCCCAGGGAACCTAGGAATAGAAACGGCTTCCTTTTGGGTAACTTTAAAAGGGAATAATTAAGGGTACTAGTGGGTATCCCTATCAAACCCTACTATAGATCCCTGATAAATCCCTTTAAAGGAACCCTTTTAAAGGGAATCCTATTCTACGGTTCCTTTCTCGCCTCCCAAAGGTTGCGTCTCTTTTCGTGCACGGCGCAGTCACCTCCAGCTCAGCAACGCCTTAGCCCGAAAGGACACAGACTGTGCGATGTGGGGCTTTCAGAAAGAAGCGGCAAGAATACGAACACCCTACTATAGGGGCCTTTATAGTTAGAATAGGGTTTTGGGGACCATTGCATTACATATAATTAAGGAACCCTAGGGACTAATCTTGGGAATTATTTAGGTCCCTCTATGAATCAGGATCCTCGTGAAAGATCCGTGCAACCCGAAGTCTATCAAGCACCGATGTACACCCTGATCGGAATACCGCAAAACCACACGTGAAGGTGAAGCCTGTGGTCCACAGCCCTAAGCCAAAGGCTACGAGGATTCATACTTGAAGGTTTATCTCCCAACAGTTGCAGAACCTCGTAAACCCTAAACCCTTGCAGAACCTGATAAAGCACAGTACAAGTCCTCCTGGGCTCCTTAATTGTATCTATATAGGGCTTAGGGTGTACTTAAGGGATCATAAACACGAGAAAGTAACGCACCCCCAAGGCCCTGATTCCTGTCTCATTCCTACCGTTGCTTCACCCTGCACAACTCCATGAAACCTGGCTGATCGGAACAGGGCTCCTGTATGGGACTCCTGTAAAAGATTTTATGAAGGATGCGCCAAGGGTTTATAGGCGCCCGAACAAACTGGAATAGAGTTTTGGGGCATTTTGTACTGAAGTCTTGAACAGGAACCCTAAAGGAAACTGCATCACTGAATATTCAAGCTTCTATACTCAAATCTCTGATCTGACTTACAGAAAGCCAATACAGTATAAGCCCATGCAAATCTGGGCAAGAGGCTCTTCGCCTCAGCACTGGCTTTTGCAATGCTCCACTGTCCAGGTGCGACAAAAGCGGTACTCCTGGCGGGGCGCATAGCTACTTCGAGGGTCGGGGGACTTAGTAACTGGATATTTTAGGGACTTATAAGTACCATAACCCCAATTAGGCTCCCTTTTAGGGTACTTATAAGTCTACTTACTAACTACTTACTAAGTCCCCCGACCCCCAAGTAGGAAGTCAACTTCCGATCTGATTGCTAGGATACCCAGTAACCCAAGAACAAAAAGGCCTCTCTTTCTGGTATTGGGTAACTTTGTAAGGAACCTAGGACTACAAGATGGGAATAAGGGTACTACTGGGCATCCTAGAATATGGGTGGTTGTCAAAATTATGGCCCATTTTTGGGTATCCTAAATAGTAGGTGCCGTAATATGGTAAGGACTCCAAAAGGGACCAATATTTTGACAACCACCCATATAGCGGTTGTAAGACCCTTTTTTGCAAATAACGGGTTTTGCAGGCGAGCGTATGTAGTCCATGTCTGGGATGGTATCAGAAATCTAGATGTCTCTTCCTTCTTGGCTTTGAGTACCCATAAACATGTAAAATGTTTCCCCACTATGACAAAGGTATGTAGTTTCAGGATGTAAGGATTTCAGGGCTTCAGGCTGCTAGAGCTACATGTTACGTGGAGTTCCAAGGCTCCCTTTCCTGTAATGTAGGAAAGGATCCATATAAGGAACCCTAATGAGGACCCAAGGTTTCTTAATCAGCTTCCTACATTAAGCCTGACTCCCACTACAGGCTTAATCACTCTCTTTGATGGTTTCTGGGGGGTTTTAGATCCGCAAACTCTCTGTTCTGCCAAAGGTACCCATTATTCAGGGCGATAGGCCATAGGAGCAATATCACCGGGTTTGCTTAGTGGGTCCTGATCAGGACCCTAACCCTAAAGTCTCAGTCCAAATGCTATTCCTCAGTCCCCAACACGCAGACCCCTTGGAAGATCCCAAGGAAAGGGTTCTGCTTTCCAGATGCTCCACTGGGTCTGGGACAGTGTATTGGGGAATTCCGGTATGGTTGATCTGCAGCAAACGAACTCAACTTAAGATACCCTAGATGGGAAACTGCACTTGCTAGCTTCTTCAACAACCAAGCCAGTAAGCCGACATATCTTTAGCTGGACCAAGAACACCATCCCAAAAAAGCTCATGTTGGCTGAACAATGATGCAGTCTCCGTTTGTCCCGGCCGTCAGCCCTCGATCCGTCCTTGTAGAAAGACCCGCAATGAAAGCATCCTGCGTTGTGGACTTTGCAAGAGGCGACCTGGGGCGCAGTTCTCAGGAAATCCTGTGAAGAAAACCAACTTTAAGTTGTGGGGGATGTGGAGAAAGGTGTGTCATACTCTCGAAACAGACGATCTAAGCGGCTGTACATATGTAAGTGCATATGCGACAACGCCGGCGCGTATGGCGGACGTTGTCGTGATATGGATGTTTAGACTATACGTCATATACGGGGTAAACAGTGTAAGAACAGTATGCTTTCATCATGATAGTAAGTGCCATATAGGGCTAGTGGAGAGGAACTCACCCTGTTATTGCTTGTTCTTGAGAGATCATGTATCCACATATCAGAAACCCCAACCTCTGAACCCTGAGCTCTTTCTATCTGAAGATCAGAGCCTTTGAAGATTCAATCCCTGCAGAAATGGATTCTTTCGATAGTTGAACTTCCCCTAAAGCAATCCACGTGGCATGGGAGTGAGGTGGGCCACCGCGGCAGACATCTCGCAGAAAGGACGAAACCGCTCCAGCCGATCCTGCAGCATGTGGGCGTTGTCAAAATTAGGGTCCTTTTTTGGGTACCCTAAATATTAGGTGCCGTATTATAATAGGGACCCAAAAGGGACCCTATCTGTGACAACTACCCATGTAATGACTGTTTAAGGCTTCGAGCCTAGAGATCTGCATCCCCCAAACTAAGTGGACCCACTTTGACGGCAGAACACCAACTATCCCCGTTGCCTTGGGAGGTTTTGAGTCAGGGTTGAGGGCTATGACTACATGAGACTATACCCTTGCTATTGCCCTAGTAACCCCTTTTTATGAACTCACTTCTTTCTACAAGGTTGGGCTGTGAAGCTCGGGATGAAACTTTAGCCCGTGGGGTAGGGGATCCCCATTCTGCAAACAAACTGTGAGACATACCGGCACTTGTCTTCTCCGAGGGCTTAAGAACTAGAGTTGCCTCACCTACGACCCTGCCTTCTAAGTACTAAGTTCCCTAATACTTTGACTTAGTTGCTGAGTTCATAAGCCCCCAAAAGTGCACACTTTCAGGTTTATACGGGGTAATATTATCCCACAAAGTGTAAAGTGTATCATCCACTCAGCTAAGTAAAGGCTTGCAGGATCGGGGAGAAATCTCCGATGGGTCCTTCCACGTGTCCCAGCACGCAGCCGCAAGTTGAGCAAGTCGCGTGAGAACCTCGGATTCTCTTGAGAACCTCTGGGGCTTCGGTGTTTAGGTTTAGGGGTTTAGGCGTTTCGGGATTTTAGTGTTTGAGTAGGGTTTAGGTTTTAAGTATTCCGGGTTTATATAGGTCTTTGAGGGTTCAGGGGTTTAGGAGTTTAGGGGTTTAGGGTTTACAGTTCTTAAGGTTTTTAGAGGTGTCTGGCTGTCGAGAACTGTATCAGTGCTCGGTTTTATGTGATTCGTTGAACAAGCGGGGTTCGGGCTTGGGGAGTTTAGGGGCTTCACCTGTGCGCTTATATTCGGATTCAGAGTTTAGGATCCCTTCATAAGGTAAAAGCCAGAAAGTTGGAATATGATTATCCTAACCCTTCTATGGTGAATTATAGGGTATCCTACCATGGAACGATATTCCAATTTTCTGGAATTCCCCGATCATTATAGACTCCTTATAGATCCCTTTAAGGAACCCTATTACGAACGATATTCCAATTTTCTGGCTTCTACTATACATACAAGCCATCAGCACTTGCGACTTGAAGTTCCAGTGGGCACCGATTCGAACGACTTTCGGCGGCAAACGAAGCCCTGGGCTTATGGGAGTTTCCGAAAATTAGGGGTACCTTTAAAGGGATCCATAAGGGTTCCTTTATGGAGATCTATAAGGGTTCTGCAAAGAAAGGGTTTAGGGTTTAGAGTTTCCGAAACTTAGGGGTAACATATTTTGGGTTCCTTATAATAAGGATCCTACTATGTAGGGTACTATATTAGGGTCCCCTATTTCCGGCAACTCCCTTATGAAGTCAGCCAAGTCGGCAAAACTAGCACAAACGGTTAGGGGGTTAGGGTTTAGGGCATAAGGCTTAGAATCCAACCGCGAGCTCAAATTCCCTACATGCCCCCCTTAAAAGGACCCGCTGCCAGCCCCAACACCTACACCCTAAGCTCTTCAACCCCAAACTCCAAACCTTAGGCTGGAAAACCTAAGCTCCTAAAACCCAGCATACATTCATGTCTGCTATAGCTTGTGTTCAGCTCTCTTCTTCCGTCGTTTTCTTGGCCGGAACTTGGTATCTCAGCAAACCCTCAACCACCAAAACCCTCATTTAGACTCTGCCAGGGTGCCATCATAGGTTTTGTCCCCACCGTTGGCGACCCAGCCCTTCACGCCCTGAGCCTCCGTTGGACTACGGATTCTTTTTTTTTCTCCCTTTTTGCGTCTGCCCATGCTCTGAGCATTCCCAAGGCTATGACAGCCAGGAGATTGTAGCTTTTGGACGGTTTAAAGGGTTTAGGGCCCGCAGAATTGGAATAAGGCTCCTTTATGGGCTTCTTTCCTGACTCTTTTCTGCGGATTTAGGGGGCCTTGGCTTTAGGGTTTGGGTGTGGCGGAAGTTGTTTCTGCCCATGTGCAACGCTTCTGGGTATGTGGGTTGTTCAAAAGTCTGGGTAGGGCTCAAGCGTTAGAGGTTTAGGGTATGGGATTCAGGTTCAGGGTTTCGGGTGGGGTGTAAGCTTTTCGAGAACGTAGCCGGCTTGGGTTGGTCAGCCGCGGAATGCCAATAGCATAAAGCTGATGAGATGTGTTTCTATGTTGGCACAGCGCCGCGAATGCTAAGAACGAACCGCAGGAGCCTGACAAGTAAATCGACAAGGATCAACATAGCCGAACAATGATTATCACCCTTTCCCATCCTCCTATACCACCCTCACGAGGCCTGAACCTTCAAGAGTCGCTTCATGAAGACTGTAGCTGAACAGGGGAAACTCCCATGGGAGAATAGCAAGCGAAAATAGTATTCAATCCCACCTCTGTTCGACCTCCACCCCATTAACCACTTTCTTAATGCTCAAAGACGGGGCCGCAGACTCCAAATTGAATAATTTGCGGAAGGTGCCGTTCCACTTTGAGTCTCGGAAGATACTTAATGAGAAGTACGGCATTTCTTTCATTAAGGGGTAATGGAGTCTCGGGTATGCCAACTCTGCCAGCCTTCGCTTTGCCGACCACCCAGTTCCGGTAGTGCACCATCTGGACTTTGCCTGACAGGCAGTTCATTTAAGGATCAACAACCTACTTGTCGGGTATCATGGGAACTAAAGGGTAACCTTTTTGATTATATAGGGATTATATAATGACTAGACTACCCAAAAAAGATTAAAGGCTACCTACTCTACTACTAGGACGCAAGCATCTACAACCAGGCACTGCAGGACTATCTCGAGTTTACCAAGACAGAGGAGGCTTGCCAGAAAGTGCTAGAGCTTCGAACTTAGATGATTTAGATGTGCAAGCTGTCGCTTCAAAGGTCCGCCTGTGAGAATGAAGTTCCGGCAGGTCGTTCCGTTCAGGGAGTCAGCCGATGAGGAAAGCTCTCCTTGCAAAATACGGCCAAATAGGCTAACAGGGTTGTGGGTGTGTGTGAGACTTTAAAGGCTTATGATTCTGATTGTGTAAGGGCACTGCATTGAGGATCCCAGAAAAATTAAGGTATATGTCTCGACTATTCAAAGGCTTGTGAGTTCTCCGGTTGGTTTTTGAATAGCCATGTTGATTTGTTCCTCTGTTTGTACATGTTTTCATACAGAACAGAACCTAGACCCTAGACCCTAAACCCTAAACCCTCTAGACCTCTTAAATACTCCAGATCCAAGTCTCCATCCAGCGCATCATCGAAAGTCACCTGATGAGGGCAACACGGTCCACCCCTATACTGAGAGGTCCGGGGCACGTGTCGCCACACTGTACTATCCATGTATGACACAAGTATCACTGTTGCCTAAGTTGTGAATGGGCGGTGCTTTAGGGCTTACGGCCTTGGGTTTAGGGGGTGCTCCTCTGACTGCGGGGTTCACTGTTGCAGACCTGCTTCGCCGCGCGCTGCAGGAGGTCCACGGCGCATTCGCCGTCGGCGCACTCCTCCGCACCGGAGGCCAGCCACAGCATGCCGAGGAATAGGCGCCACATTGTGTCGGAACTTGCAACCCTCAGGTAGGTTTGCCTTTGATACTACCCTAAAGCGTAAAGCCTGGCCTAACTGTTGATGTGCCGATGCCTCTGTAACATCAGGTGGAGGATCAGCTGTATTCTACGTTGGTAATGCTGTCGCGGAATCATGCAGGCTTCGTTTATGAAATCCTGCACAAAGGCTGGCAACACAACGAACATTGAACTTTACACCCTAATCCCGGAACTGCGCAACACCATGCCTCTCATCCTTGCAATATCTAGCTGAAGCGTACATCCAAAGTAGTCAATTTAAGCTCAAAATGATTTGACAAATCCAGAAACTCCCAAAAGACTCGAGGCACCAAACCAACCCTATGAAAATACATATGAAACCCTGAAATTAAACCGTAAGCTCTAAGCGCTTTTCTCGAGACAGAGACGGCTGTGCCGGATGTCAGGTAGGAATTCATGAGGGCTTCTGCTTCTATTTCGGATAGTTGGGGTTGGACAGGTTTTGTTAAGGCCGTCTATAAGGGTTTGATGGGTCGTAACAACTTTACAATGCGTTCCGATTGGTTCTACCAGGGTTTGTCATTTTTCTGGGGCTTTCATGAGGAAGCTGGAAGAGTGGAAGATGGAGTGAGGCTTGATAGTTGCAGGATCAAGGTTCAGGGGTTAGGCTTTGTGGGTTTAGGGTTTTAGATGTAAGGGCTTAGGGAGCGGCCTTAGTAAGCAGGGCTCTGGTGAGGGTTTCTGTGGGTTCGATGGGGTCTTAGTAGAGGGGTTTCCGGGTAGGGGCTTGCTTGAGTGATCGGGGGACATCTATAGTAAGTGGGACCATAGGCAAGTCAACTACAGTCGGACCTACAAAACACCAGGATCGTCTCCGCCCTCGTGGATCAGCAAACCTAAGCCCTAAACTGCCTACTTTTCCAATATCCTAAGCGAAGTATGGTTAACCTTCGGGACTACATAGGCAACATAGAAGCCCAAAAAGTTAGAGCTTGCCTGTTCTACTACTGAGACTGTGAACCCTGAAACGTCAGCCATGAAACCTGAAAACCTGATCCCTGAACCGTGAACCCTCACCCTACGCCCTGACCCAGCAACATGAACATTGCACACATCAGAGACCCTAGTAGGATGCTATCACAGGAACCCAACGTTGGGCCACTCTTACCTGATTTAGAAGACATGGACCCAGTGGCAAACTGTCCGACTGTCCCTTTCAGTGACTTACGGTTTCGGGCTTAAGGCTACGGGTTTAGCGTTTAGGAGCTTCGGAGGTTGATTGGGTGCTAAGGAAGACCCGAACACCAGCACGAAAGGTTTAGACATGTGAACCCAAACCCATCAAAAAGCAAAGCTCATACCTCTAATAGGAGGTCTTTGGCACATGCAGTGAAGCTTCATGGTTCAGAATGCAGGCCTTTTGGGAGTATTTTCCGGAGCATGTAATCAGGGCTTTGGAGTAGGGGAACGAATTTAGGGAAATAGCATGTGATGGTTTACGGTTTTTGGGGTTGATCTTGGACGGAAAACTGACCGCTCAACTCGAGAAGCCAAGGCAGCTGCCAAACACGCCCCAAACGTGAGAGGTGAGTCGAATCCTGGCGACGGCTTTGCAGTGGCTGTTAGATCAGAGCCCTACTTTCATTAGCGTTTAGGGTTTTGTGATTGGGGTGCACTAAAGATTCCAAAGATCAAACGATATCGGGTGAAGCCAAAAACCGAACACTGCCGGCCCTGGTGAGCCTGACAGCCCGAAGCCTAAACCCTCAGACTAAAACCTTAAACCGTAAAACCCTCATCCCTACCCATGGGCTCCATAGTAGTTCCTTTTTGGGGTTCTAACTTAGAACCCTACAGGGTAATCCCCAAAAGGAACTACTATGCAGCCTATGAGTAAAGCCCTAAAGCCCCTAAGCCCTAAATGCCCGACAGGCCCTGCACGCACCTAAAAATCCTCAGGGGATCCATAACAACCCAACTCTAGCACCCTAAAGCCTCGTCTTCAAAAACAACTACTGTTGATGATGTAAATCCTGCACTACCTTAAGGACCCTAAACTAAACGAATTATGGTACAGCCCTTCATATGGGTAATGCAGGATTTATATAATCAACCTCCAAGGGTAGAAGGAGGGACCCCTAATAAGGACCCCTAGGTATTATACCCTTAATATAGCCATTATATAACCCATTATATAGCCCATTATAGGGTAGGGGTCCCCATTAAGGGTCACTCCTTTTCCCCTTTGACAACCGTAACAACCCAACTCTAGAACCCTAATTAAGGTTATAAGTACCCTAATTGGGGTTATAAGTAATTATAAGTATAGTTACCCTAATTATAACCCTAGTTACTAAGTCCCATGACCCTTTGAGTAACAGCCCAACTCTAGAACCCTGAGGCCTCGTCCTATAAAACTCTGTAACCCCCGCAAACTCAGACCCGGAAAGCCCTATAAGCCCTCACTACCTTATAAGGACCCTAAACTATGGGAATTATGGTACATTCCTTATTATGGGTGTTTAGGGTTTTGGGTTTAGGGTGGGTGATGCAGGATTTATATCATCAACTGTATGTAAACCCCGCAAACTCAGACGCGGAAAGCCCTATAAGCCCTCCTACCCAGGATGTCCTCGTGGGTGACCTGGGCTGGCCCAAGCAGGGAAGCCATGGTTGGCTTTAGGTTTAGGGTTTAGGGTTTAGGGGTTTAGGGGTTTAGGGTTTAGGGTTTAGGGGTTTAGGGGTTTAGGGTTGGCAGGGCCCATAGAAGGTACTTAGGCCGCAACAGAGGATGGTTTGGGGCAGGTGGGGTTGGTTTGGGGTTCAGTTTTCGGTTCAAGGTTTTAGGATCCATGAACAAGCCAGCAAGCAGAGCTTGGGACAATGTAAACTCCTGACTAATGGGACCTGCTAAGCTGCGCAATAAGGCGAATGCAGTGTAGTCAGTGTAGTCGAGCCAAAGGGTTTCAAGGTTTTGGGCTTCCACGTCTAGGCTTCTGCTAGGCTTCTTCGGGTTTTTTGAAGCGTTCCCACTGGGGTTTAGCGTCTGGCATGATGAAAGATTGTTCATTTTTTGGAGTTCGGAAGCCACGTCGAGAACCCCGTGCCGTTTAGCAATGAATGAGGCATCTCACAGTCCTTGACTAAGGGCTTAGGGGTGTTGTGGCAACGAACCCATTCTGTTAAACTCATCCTCATGCGTCAAAGGTTTGTCTCATTCTAATCCTGGAAGAAAGGAGGCATATTGATACCGAGCATCTTACCAGTAACACACATGCCGCTGCAGATGAACCAGTCTGTAACTTTAAGGACTTCGGCTGATGGCTTGTCCATAATAAACAAGGTACCATACTTCTCATATCTTAGAGTGCTTAAGAACATGTCGGGTATTGCCCATCCACAGCTACACAATGTAGGCGACCTTGACTTCAGCAAAACTGTCGCGAAACCCAGCATGACATGACCTGTGTGGCACCCCTGTAAAGTAAAAGCCAGAAAGTTGGAATATGATTATCCCAAACCCTTTATGGTACATTATAAGGTATCCTACCCTGAAACCATATTCCAACTTTCTGGAGTTCCCTATAAGGGCTTCTACAAGGGGAGCCTTTGACCACATTCGATGCCGGGCATCGTGCCAAGACCAAGCTTTGCTCAGGAGAAATGCAGATGCCGGAGACCTTGGCGAAGACCCGCTGTAGCAGCGAAATATCGTTGCCTGAATACTTAGAATGGGGTTTGGGAGTATTTTGTACTATAGCTACGTACAGGGGAAATTCTTACTAGCTCTCCCGACCCTAATACTTCGAGCCAGGAAGTTGCGACACTGGGATGACCTGAGCAGTAAGTCGAAAGCGGAACAACAGTATTCAAAAGAGCAAACTGTGTCCCCTTCCCTGTACGCTGAATCTCTGACTGCAAGGGATTCTGCAGAACCAAGAACCCGTGTACTGTATGCTATATCCGCGAATCCTAGAGCATCAAACTTAGAATCGCAGCAGCTGCGACCCGATGTCAAAACCTCGAGGCCTGTGATGCTCGGGGAAAATGAAACATGCCAACACGTACAAATGGGACATACACACGGGCCTCTGAAAGTCGATGCCAAAGCCCAGTTTCTGTTACTGTTCTGAGTATACACCCTAAACATCAACCCCCAAACGCCAAAGCTTAACCCTCAAAAACCCGAAGCTCTCAAAACAGAATTTGCGCGTCAAACCCTGAATGAAAAACGTCTCCTAAATCCTTACTAAACCCTAAACCCCATATACTTATATTTCCTAAACCCTAAACAACTCGGAAATTCCTAAATACTAATCGCCCGAAGCCCTAAACCCTAAATCCTAAACCCCTAAACCCTGAACCCTAAACCGTCCCCATCCGACAAATGCTGAGACTCCCCACGCCGAAGCGAGGGTCCTGTGGGAGGGGTGTTAGGGATCAGGGTTTAGGATCTAGGACCCAGGGGTTTATGGGTTGAAGGACTTAAGGTTTAGAGCTTAACAGATGGGGTTTCCTAGGGTTTAGGATCTAGGGTTTAGCGCTTAAGGCTTAGGGGCTTAAAGCTTTAGGGTGCATCCCACTGTGGGTCCGCACGGGACCGCTCCAGACTTCTGCACGCGAGAGAGCCCCAAAGGGCCCAAAGGGTCCAATGTACTGTTATGGGGGATACTTCCCTAAGTCATAATAGTAATTCCTAACATGGAAACCCTACATTCTACTATATCGGTAGTTACATAGGACCCTTTGGGAGAGAGAGGGAGAGAGAGAGAGAGAGAGAGAGAGAGAGAGAGAGAGAGAGAGAGTGTGCATCGAAACGTTCACAGGAAAGAAGAGATGATTGTAGACCCCTGGTTAATTAATCATTCCCCTAACTTTGAAGGCCTCATGGAAACTCTTACTCAGAGAAGGGGGCGTGTGGGCAAAGCTATCCACGAAGCCGCTGTCCCGAGATCGGTCCAGGAGCAGGGGTTCCTCAGAACGAACACTTGGAGGGTCAGGGGACTTAGTAAGTAGGTGTTTTATAGAGTTATAAGTACCATAACCCCAAATAGGGTCCTTTTAGGTACTTATAGCTCCATAAAATAACTACTTACGAAGTCCCTCGACCCTCCAAGCACGCCCTAAAGGATGAGATCAGAAGTATGTTTAGTGCTGTCCAAAAGCCATCTCCCCTCCCAGTTCATAGATGGCTGCGGTTGTCAAAATTAGGGTCCCTTGTTGGGTACCCTAAATATTAGGTGCCGTATTATATTAAGGAATCAAAAAGGGACCCTAATTTCGACAACCACCCAGATGGCTGTGAGGGCGGCGGCCTCACAAACATAGCCGAGGACAGAATCCTCCTGGAATCCGCGTCATCGACTTTGGCCGCTTCCAGCGGCCGAATGACCTCTTTCTTCGTGAGACCCAGCATGGCGGCAGTGTCGTCGGCATCCAAGGAGCACTGCTCCAAGGACGTCTCTGAGATGTCAGGGGAAGAACCTCATCAGGAATCGTCCCAAATAGCAGCACAGAAACGAAGTTACTCAGCACTGTTGCCAGCAAAACTGCAGACAGCAGGCTGCTGCTGTCATTTTCCGTCTTCCTCTTGTCTTTCTTGGAAACTTTATCAACTTAGTAAGTAATTACGGCTATACTGGAGGAGTTTGTCTGAGTGAAATCAACAGATGCTCCAAGTTAGAGGGCTTCCTGCTTCGAAGCTGCAGGCTAACAGTTTGGGGACTTTGGACTTGACAACGTCTGCCGATTGGGGATAGCTGTACCCTAGTTGTAGTTCGCCTTCGAAACCAGGCCAGCCGTGTCTGTGCTCCAAACTCAAAGCCTCTCAACTGCAAACCCTAAACCCAATCCCGAAACCCTTGCAAAGAACTGCTGCTCCCAAATGTCCGAAGTTCCTTAAGACTGAAGTCTTCGATGTTGAGCCATAGCCCTCACATTGTCATTTTGTTGCAAACACACAGAAACACACTACACCTCATACCCTCCAACTGACAAGCAGGAAGCACAAGAGCACAGGGTTTAGAGTTTAGACATCGAGGGTTTAGGCTTAATCGTGGTTTAGCCATACCAAAAGAACCAACAAAATGTGGTTGATTGTTTCCTCTGACAATACCACCCAGGTCCCAGGTCACACTAGAGCCGTTGAGCCCAAAGCATTGAACCCTGCAGCCTAAATCCTGAATCCGCGCCAGCGCCCGGAAAAGAGACCTACAAAGCCACAACATTCACTCTAAACCCTGATATCCTGAAACCCTAAACCCCGAAAACAAACCCAGACTGGTGCACCTCGAAGGTGCGGACAGGAGTCGGCTGTACTTGCCTAGCTTCAGGGGATTCGGGAAGGGGTGTTGGGCTTCAAAGTTCTGAGGCTTAGGCTTTTTCAGGCTGGTGAAAGTGTCGCGACTTCACAATGCCGTTTCAAGATTTTGGAAGGCATGCAACGGGCTTCTCGAAATGAGGACAAGGTTTGGGACTCAGGACGGTCTGTCCTTACTCCAAACCGCAAAGACACTTATGTAATCCTACACCCCTTAAAGCCCTGGAAACCCTTCACTCCTGAACCGGTGGGCTTGGGCAGCTTCGGCTAAGCCTCAGGTTTAGGTTCAAAACGCTTTGGGAATGCTGGCAGTCGGTGGGAGCTTCGAAGTTCTGAAAAAGTCTTACGACCTCGTCGTGTTCATCCACTGGTTTGCGGTTTCCCCAAAACAATGATGACCCTCGCGCTTCCCAAGGCAAATTGAAACCCTCGAATCTCAAAGGACCAAAGGCTCAAAGGTTAAATCGACCCTTGAGCGACAACTTCAGATGGTGCTCTGCAGGGGCTTCGGCCTGAACCAGGCGAAGGGAAGCAGGGGGATCGCAGAAATTGTTTTCCGTACGATATGCATACATGTGTCCAGAGTCCAGCGGAGCCAAAAAACCAAAGAACCCTTGACCCCAAGAACCTCAAACCCTAAAGAACCCTTACAGAATCGGCAACCCTCAAGAACCCTAACAAACACCAAAGAACCCTTAACCCTAACCCCCTACAGAACCTTAGTTGCTGAGTTCATAAGCCCCGAAAAGTGTACACTTTCAGTTGTATAGGGAGTAATAAACATCCCCAAAAAGTGTGAAGTGCAACCACTCAGCCACCAAGGAACCCAACTTGGAGGTTCATGGGTGGTTGTAAGAGCAGGGTTATATAAGTAGGATAACTATACTTATAATCCATATTACGGGACTTATAACCCTACTTCTAACTACCAATGAACCCTAAACCCTACACCCTTATAGAACCCCTATAGACCCCTTAAAAGGACCCCTATAAGCCCACTTGTAACTACCCATGAACCTCCAAGTACAGACCCCAAGCCCTAAACCCTAAACCCCTAAACCCTAAAACCCTAAACCCCGTCTCGAAGGCCTGATCTCCTCCTCCACGTGCCCGGTGATCTCCAGGAAAGCTCGCAAGGCGGGGCCTCGACGAAGATCCCGGGGATTTTTTAGGGCTTTGGGGTTTAGGGTTAAGGGTTTAAGGGTTTGTGCTTGAGGTTTAGGGGTTCAAGGGTTTAGATTTAAGGTTCATTTTAGGGTTCAGGATTCAAGGTTTAAGGTTAAAGGGTGTGGGGCTTTAGGGTATCCCGGCGTGTTGAAGGATAGGGTTTAGGTATAGGGTTCCGTGTAGTGTTCGTTCGAGGGTTCCGGGTTCCCATAAAAGCTCCATGCAGGTTTTTTATAGGGGTTGAACGATCCCGAACGGATTGACTCATACATACATACATGCACATGTAGGTACTTACATGCACGCATGCATGCTTACTTCCTTACATGTTCTACATGTATGTATGCAAGCTGCTATGTGGAGATATACATCTACGCTTATGTAAGCATGCATGCATGCATCTGTACATTATATGTATACGTATTGTATATGTAGATGTGAACGCCTATGACCTATGTCAGTGAGAGGTTCACGAACATTTCGGGACGCTACAAGCCTGTGTGTTTAGGCATTCATACCCACCTCTCGCAAACCTAATGACACCGTAAACTCCAACCCCTGCCCGAGCACCCAAAATCCATAGCATTCTGCAGCCAAATCCTTGCCATAACCCACAATACATGACATTTTTCAGGACTCATATGAGTCGTCGTCAAAATCCCGTTCTGGCGCCATTATCCTATAACTCACTCGATGCGTGTACTTGCAGCCGCCGACTAAAGCCTGACCGACATTGACATATACATATATATATATATATATATACATATATACATATACATGTACACATATACATGTACCTGCGCATACACATACATATACACGTCGATATATCTATATATATATATATATATATATATATGTGTACACACATAAATAAACATATATAGATACAGCTACCTTTACAGATACAGATACCCATACGTGCACATGCATACCTATGCAGACATGCATGTATGATGGCCACCAAGTGGGCTCCACCGTGTTTCGTCCCTGCAGAGACATTGCCTATCTACAGAGTACAGATTAAGGGGTTAAAGGGCTCCGGACTTCAAAACGTACAGGCCGGGTATCTGTTGGGGTATCGGTAAGGTATCGGGGTAGTAGTAGTAGTAGTAGTAGTAGTAGTAGTAGTAGTAGTAGTAGTAGTAGTAGTAGTAGTAGTACACGTCGTACAGTACTAGTAGCAGCAGTTCCAGCAGTAGTAGCACTTGCAGCAGTAGCAGCGTAGCAGCAGCAGTAGCAGTCGTCGTTAAGGGGGTATCGGGCGGGGTATCGGTAATCGGCCTGATATTGTCAGGAACTCATATTAAGGAGCCTCGAACAGGTAGGTTACGGTAGGGTTTCTTAGGGTCCAGGTCTACACATGCTGCTCAGGACCCGGCTCGTACGCGTGTCTGGCCTCACAGGCACGGGTTTAGGGGTTTAGGCCTTCAGCGTGTAGCAGGTTTTATACGTGCTGACACGGCTTTATAGGCTTTGCAGGGCACTAAGTCGGGAATGATCAGGAATGTAATGTAGACTACGTTAGGGAACCAAAGGAAATTTCAGTCTTGTTATTGGTTTTTGGGTTGGTGAGAACCAACTTTTGGGTTTACGGATGTGCAAACTTACAGGGTTCTGCAAGGACTTCGTGGTGTTTCAAGCCTCAAGGCTTACGGCTTAGGTGGGGCTGAAGCTTCCGAACCCTGAGCTCAAATCCTAAACCCGGGTCCTTGAGACAAAGCCAAAACCGCGAACCCCAAGCCCCCGACCTGAGCAAACAAAGGATCCAACAAATACAAACCTTCCAGAGAACGGTCTTCTAATCCATATCAAACCCAGGATACCTGTTTGAGGGCTCCGTTGTTCGGAGTGGTCTGGGTAGGGATACCAAGAGTCCCTGCTGGCTTGAATGCTTTGTTGTTGGTACTTCTGGGTAATTGTAGCCTACTTGTAACTGTTCAGATAAGCCTGGACATAAATACAGCTGTAAGTAGGCCATAATTACCCTGAACGCTGAACCTCAAAGTAGGCCTGTGAGGCCTAGTTCGTTAGCTGTCACAGGAACACAGCTTTAAAATCTCAGCCCTGAAAACCCGATGAGTTTCTGGCTTACCGCAATCAGGGCTTTGAGGACCCTCACCTCTAAGGAGGTGTGGCTACTTGGAACCCAGACTTGTGGCTGTTTGTGTTCTTATGTCCTGATCCTATACCCCCTTTTGGAGCGGCACTTGCATGGGCATCAGATGGGGTGAAGCGCGGGTTGCCCGGCCTCAGCAGCAAGTCCTGCAGAATGATCCGCAGCCTCATGCTGACACGTTGAAGGCTTAGTGACACTGAAACAAGGCATCCACTGTACCCTGATAGCATGGGGTTGTATTCGGAGGTTCTTGAATAGTGATAAGTGGGGCTGGCAGTAGGATAACTATAGTTATAGCCTACATCCACTTACACCTACTAATGAAGCCATGTACGGGCTATCTGAGCTTGACATGGTCAGGCTTAACCGAGGAGTAGGGGTGGCTATATATGTATGTACAGATGGTCGCCGCCACCATCACCACCATCATCATCATAGCTATCATCACCAGAACCGTCAATGTGACCATCACCATCGTCACCAAGCCGGCTACCACAGAAATGCCGTTTGCCAGCTTCAGCAGGGCAAACGATGACGAACACGAACAAACACAGAGGATTGAGCGCCACGCTGCTCCTTGCGGGCGTCAATGGCTGCCTGAACGACATAAGGCTGAGTCGTGTCACATGGTCCCCGGTGATTACCGCTGCGCTCTGCTTTATGCTGTCTTACCCAGGTCCGATGAAGAGTTCCTCTTGGCATAAGTCAAGATGGGAGCTCGCCCTCCCTGCACACGCACGCCTCAGTTCTTGCCAGGTATAATCAGTTAGCAGGCTCGGGTGCATGGGTGATGCTTTAGCTCAAAGCATCAAGCCCAAACCACAAGCGCGATTGCTGGGCGAAAAGTCGTGGTTTGCATGCACCTCCTAAGGCCAGCGTTCTGGGGCGAGGTCGAGATACATCGCAACCCTCAAACACCTCACCATGGACACTGCGCAATAATCCCCCCTGCCCCAATAAGGCCCTTAATCAAGAGGGAGCTGATTGCTACAGACCTCAAGGCAAGGGGGCTCATGCATCTCCGGTACTAGAGGGCCTTAATAATTGGAATAGGGTTTTGGGATATAGTATACGATAACTATAATAAGGAACTCTAGGAATAATATTGGTAATTATTTAGGTCCCTATAGTATACGTCGAGGCTCCAGGACTTTCAGACTCGAAAAAGCCTGAAACCGCAACGAATGGTCACCTCAGTGTGCGCGACTCTCCCACCTTAGGCTGCAGGACTACGACACTTTAGGCTTTAGAGTGAATGTAACAACACTCCATAGAGCCCACCTGATCCGTCGGCGCACCCAGTAAAGTTTTTGCCGGCAGTTTGGGCCTGGTTCAGCGTTCATGGGTTTAGGGTTCGCAACAGTACCGTTGTCGCTGTAGTGGCAGGACTTGGCGCTTGTAGGCTTCAGGACTACCTGGGCGATCCCACCTTAAACGATTCGGCATAGCAGATGTGCTAGATATCATATTCCGTACTTGTCCAGTACTTACAGGAACTCAAGGATAACCTTTGGAATCATACAGGGATTACCAAAAGGCTGCAGCTTATCTACTCTACTGCTAACATTCGTAGAACCAACATTCTATGCGCCCTGATACCCCGGAGCTAATCTTTCTTCACCGTCGAGCTCCTTCCTGCAACCAGGTTTCTCGCAGAGTCTTTGGGGAGACAGGGTTGCGAGGTGTCACGATATAGACACTACTAATATTGAATGCAAAACTAACGAATATGTATGTGCGATGTAATGTATGTAAAAAACTATGAATAAAGACATGTGTTGTAACTGATATTGTGCATGTTTAAACTCATATTGTGCTTGTGGTGTGTGTTGAGAAAGATGCAAGACACAGGTTCAGCTTCCCGAATATCCAAGTCAGCTAAAGCACACAACCCACCACCACTTAAAACATGCCGAGCCAACCCGACACTTTCCCAACAACCGAAAGCCTAGAGCTGCTAGATCAAGAAGCCTGCAAACCTAGGATGCCCAGCAACCTAGGAATGAAAAGAGCTCCTTTTTTTGGTATTGGGTAGCTTTATAAGGAACCTAGGACTACAAAAAGGGAATAAGGGTACTACTTGGCATCCTTATAGAACCCTACTATAGATCCCTTATAGACCCCTTTGAAGCAGCCCGTTTAAAGGGAACCCTATTCCAAGGTTCCTTGCCTGGACTCCTAGAGGTTGCATAAGGGTACTACTGGGCACCCTAGAAACTGAACCCTTCAACCTCAACCCTCCGCCCTAGCCCCAAACCTAAATTCAAAGGGGAAAAGGAGGGACCCGTCATGGGGACCCTTACTCTATAATGGGCAATTAGAATGGGTATATAATAGCGATATTAAGGGCATATACCTAGGGGTCCCGATTAAGGGTCCCACCTTGTACCCTTGGATAAATTTGTGGATGACATTCTTCTGCATTCTGGGGCGTGGGGCCATGGCTACACAAACAGCCCAGAGCCAACAAAATGAACTAACTCCTGAACCCAGAGAGCCCAATACCCCGTAATTAAGGAATGTGGCTTAAATCATGATATGAAGCCCTATATGATTTAAGCCATATTCCTTAACTAAGGGGATTAGGGGCTCTCTGGGAACTCCATCTCTATCCCAACTCCATCCCACCCTCGACTCGGAACCCCAAGCCCAAGCCCGAAACCCTGGACCTTAAACCCTAAACCCCACCCCTGGACCCCAAACTCTAGAACCGTGAAACCCTAGAACCCTAAAGCCCTAAACCTTAAGCCCTAAAGCCCTAAAACCAAAAACCCTAAACCCTAAACACAAAAGAAACGACCCAGGCCCCTGGCAGGCCGCCATAGCGGCTGCTCGCCAAGCTTTGTAGCCTTACCAAGGACCCAGGAATCAAACATCCCTTGAGAAAGTCTTGGGGTTAGGTTCTAGGGTTTAGGGTTAGGTTTGGTTAGGGATTGGAGCGAGGTGTAGGGGTGAAGTGGTGGCTGTAAGGAACTTGTGTTTTATCACAAGTTTATCCTTGAACCGTCCAGATATCGTCATGTGGTGTTTGCCGGCTTTTCAAGTCTTATAGCTCCATATCCCTTGGTTCTAGTTCCCTCTTCAAGGATTACCTGATATTGGTGTATTCCAGGTATATGTAAGCTTGAGGAAGGAGCAAGACTCCATATCAATGGCCAAGTCTTGAGGCTTAATGTTTGATTAGAGTTTGAGGGTTGAGAGTTTAGTTATAAGACGAAGGCTTGCAAGGCTTATTTGGGGGGATCCGGGTCTATAGGGCCTAGGGTTTAGCCAGGTTCAGGGTTTAGGGCAGTGAAGTTGGATTTAGGCGACTGGGCAGAGTTGAAATGATGCTCATCAAAAGTGTCCTGATGTAGGGACGATTCGGGGTACTAGTACTACTTGTTTCGACCTCTGTATTGCCACGATTGAATCCAAAGTTGTTATTGCTTGGGCTGTCTGACCCCAAAACTTAGATGTCAGCTACGACACGCCGCGTGTGTGGGGGCGGGGCTCCAAGTTCAAAGTCGTCCGAGTGCGTGCCTGTCTAGCGCCCGGCACTTGGTGCATTGGGACAAAGTCTCAAATGCACTTCGGCCTCAAGGACTCTGACTTTCGCCACCTTTCTAAACTCCAATGCCATCATTCACAGATAAGAGAATATGGGAGTTTCCGAAAATAGGGGAACCTAATATGGTTCCCTAATATAGTAGGATCCTTATTATAAGGACCCCAAAACATGGTACCCCTATTTTCGGAAACTCCCATATGAGTAAGTACAGGAGTTGGAATACATTTCGACTTGCTCAGCTCCAGCTGACCATCCTGTACCCCAGCGAGTCTGCTGCAACGAACTCAAGCAAACCATGCAGCGCGCCAGCCGATGCTTGTTCTGCAGATTCCCGTGCTTCGGACATTTCAGCGACGGTGGTGGCGGTCAGAAATGATGACGCTGACGGTGATGGTGATGGTGGTCAGCGATGGCGATGTGCATGGATGGTGATAATGATGGTGGCCATCCCCTGCCACCAACAACGAAGCGTAGGGAACCCGCGCTGTCGCACAACTCCGACTTCAAGAAGGGCTGCTTAACACTGACATAACCTTGACGGAGAGAGCTACTCCTGTTGGTGCTGGGCAGAGGAACTCACATCTGCGGGCTCTGCCAAGCTTTCCCACGTGTCTCTGAAGACCTTTCCACAGAGGAAGACGAGGATCGTGCGCAATACTGGCACGGCGGCAAATAGGTTTAGAAGCGCATGCAAGACGGCGGAGGGCCACAGCACCTTCCACAGCACTGCAGTCGAATACTGTTGCTTCGCATTTTCTGTCTGGCCCTTTGCAAAGCGGCCGGCAACGATGCCAGTCAGGTATGGGTGCGGGTTCAGAATAATCCTGAAGCAGAGAAACTCTAGGAACTCAAGAACGACTTCCATCATGACATCTTCCCTGTTGCTGAATCTCCAGATGGCAGCCATGAAGGAGTCTAGGGCCATTGGGAAGTAGCCACTGTTTTCTACTACCATGAAACCGGCTCCGACGCTGAAACCAGCAAGCATGATACCCCGGGGACTGCGAGGCCAGGACTTTGACGGCGACGGATTCGAGCACCAAGGCTTCAGACTTGACCAACAGAGCCATGTCAAGGCCGTAAACTTGCCAAGTTCCTCCACTGCAGCAACAGCTCCTGTTCTCATCAGGAAGATTGCCAAGCCGGGCCAGAAGCAAGCAACGGCAAGAGGCATGCCCAGCTCCAAGAGAACAGACAGTACCACACCGATGGTGGCACCTCTCCATGCGAAGTGAGCCATCGTGCCACGCTCCATGGACATTGAGCCTCTACGCATCCATCTTCTTAGCTTGAGAGCGCCCAGAACAGCAGACCACACAACACCGTCCGTACCCCCGCGGAGATACAGAGAGGCAACGATGGCACACCAAATGAGCAAATTCCAAGACCATGTCTTTTCCTTTTCGGACGCCAGTGCATTGTAACGCACATCAGCAGCACCGAGTACTGCGGCGGCAGGGGTATCGCCATTATACGCCCGACGAAACCCGTGCACAAATTCGCAGCTTGTCCCTGCTGGGGAGAATCGTTCGCGTAGAGGCTGTGCATGTGACGGCAGGAAACAAGCGCTTGGAAGGAGGTGCTTCGGACTCGCACAAATCAAGCTCCCGATCAGCGAGATCAAGCACAACAATCTTATCGTGACCAGCATTGTGAAGCGGTGAGTGCGAGCCATCCACGAATTTACGACGCGGATGCTGGGGCAAGTATTCCTCGAGCAGTCCTGGCAGCCTGAATGTCGGGATTCCACAAACAGCACAATCCTGCAAAAAGAAAAGCTGACCGTGAAACCATGAAGATCACTTTCGATGTAACTACTAATCAAATCACGCCCTCCCCAACTGACAACCTACAGCACCCGAGGTTCAGGAAGTAATCACACAGATAGTCTCCCATGTCGCTCCTCTTCTATCGGTTACGTGATTTCTCTATTATTGCGGGGTCCTTTCCATAAAACGGGTTACCCAAACAGGTTATAAGCTCAAACATAGTGACGAAGCAGGTTATCGCAGCTGTACACTGTGAGCTCCCTGTCGCATCCCACTTTGTAGAGTCCGAAGACTATCGAGATGACTTGCGAGTAGTGCCGCTTGGGGCTTGTTGCGATTACAGGTATTTGCAATGGCAAGGCATGCCAGATGTGGGGCACTGGATTTTGTTTTCATCAACAGTTCTGTTGTTGGTTAACCAGTTGGGCAGTGTTATATTCTAAACATAAAACTTTCTCTAGAAAAGTGACTAAACGGAGAGACTTGGTAGCGTTTGTGTTGAGCTGATCCCCAGTGCCGAAGAAGTACCCTTGTACCCGTGGTTCCCGCTGAACTTTGCCAAGCAGACCCCAAGATCAGAAAAAGGCATCGGAGCACCCTGTGGGACCTAGCGAGTTGCTGCTACGGCGGATGGACAAAATCCTGCATGACCTTAAGCATGGTATGGTACAATAATTCCCGTACTTTAGGTATATAATATAGGGCCATGCAAGATTTTGTCTATCAACAGTATGTATCGTGCTGAAGCTGTAGGTTCTTATCTGTCACCGGACGGGGAATCGGGCACCCGAAGCGAATCAAGCACAGTCTGTTCACAAGCCCATGACAATGTGTCGAAGTCGCTGAAGCGCTTCGCGACCTCGGCAGGCGCGTTGAGCGTCATGCAGACTCGAGTATTCCTATGATTCGATCTGAACCCCCCAAGAGAACCGCGTGTACCACCCTGCTATTCAGTTTTTAGAGGCTGTCAGAGTACTGCTGGGAGACCTGTACTTGGATCTTCTCCGACGGGGCTTTGAACATTTTTTATATTGGCAAGCAGCACGCTGTCTCGGACGGGGTGTCATACTTGGAGGCTCTGGGCACTTGAAACTTTAAACCTGTGCAGAACCATACGCGTGACCCAAGTCTGACCTAGCAAGCATGTGCAAGTACAGTTTTTCGTCAACGGGATACCAGTACCGCGAAATCTCCGTTCGTGACAGCAGACGAAGACGCAGTCTTGGAAACAGTGCAGTGTTGGAGCAGGCGCGATAAGGAAGTGCTTTGTTTTCAGACGGGTCTAGCGAACATGCAACAAGTTAACAAATACTAGGTGTCGATTTCAACAGTCCCAAATATTGTTTATGAAACTGGTACCTAGAATACTATGCAATGCGGCCTTGGCCGCCGAGTGCTTTGTGTCTTGGTGTTTGGAATTGTAGCATCTAGCACATACAGGGTGGTGTACGAGTGTAGTCATGGGCGCCGGACTTCCCACGTGGCACCACCGAATTTCAGCTGGATGTAGTACCTGTAGCTTCGAGGTTTAGCATGCTTACGACACAACTATAAGACTTAGATTCCTAAAGTTGAGGGTATGCTTTTGGGGTTGGAAGTACAAGAAAGTTTGTGGCGAAGCACCTCAGATCCCTGCCGTCTATTTGCTGTGAAAGACTCTCACCAGATTGTTGCAAAGAGTCACTTGGCAGCCAGACCTGATCGACTAAACTAAAACTTTGAACCTAACAAGCAACCGAAACTGTAAGCCCTTGCTCAAGACAGGCTCACTGGTAGGTGCGATGATCCAGAGACCCTACACCATAAACCAAAACTCGAACACCTTAAACCCAAAGCCATCGTTGCAAAGGGTGGCTGGTAGGTCTAAATGACAGAAGCCCACAACACTACTAAGCTCTCAATCGCACACCCAAAACTCTAATCTTTACTTGGAGGTCATGGGCAGCTATAAGTAGGATTATAAGTAGGACGACCATCGTTATAAAGTAACCCCACATATAACAGTCCATGAACCTCCAAGTAGAGTCTATAAGTGGGGTTATAAGTTATAGATTAAATCTATAGTTGTCCTACTTATAACCTTACTTATAGCTACCCATGAACCTCCAAGTAGAGTCTACCCTAAACCCTAAACCCCTGAACCCTAAACCCCTAAACGCTAAACCCCTAAACCCTAAATCCCTAAACCCCTAACCCCTAAAGCACAAAAAACCATGAACCCCTAAAGCCCCCTAACAGGGTCACTGGTAGGTCGAATGATCCAGCGTCGGACCGGCCTGCACAGCAGGCTGGCGGATCCCCTTAGGGTTTAGGGTTTAGGGGTTTAGGGTTTAGGGATTTAGGGTTTAGGGTAGACTCTACTTGGATGTTCATGGGTAGTTATAAGTAAGGTTATAAGTAGGACAACCTTAACCCACCAAAACCTGCTTTTTGTAGGGTCCCCATAAAGTCCACATTAGGGGCTATAGGTCCCTGTATATAAAATCCATATTAGGGCTTATAGGTCCCTTGAAAATCATATTAGGGTGTGTAACAAGAACCTACTAAAAAAGTAGGTTTGGTAGGTTGAAGTAGAAGTCCAGCCTCTTTCTGGCATGGAAGAGTGTCTCGAGGACCGGATGATCTCTTGCATGATTTGGTTACACGTGTGAGACTCCGTGTATCTGTAGCGACATGATGTTATTAGATTCTCACTCAGCAACAGCTCCCTCTGTAACAACAACTACGTCAGACAACCAAGCACCGGCCTCCATCAGCCTTAAATCAGCAAGCCCTTTCAATGGGTCTCAGCGTCTTCGCTTGCCAAGGTCTCGAAATGTTGAGCTTTTACAGGGTTTTGGGTTTCATGTACTCTACGCAAAAGGAGAAACCCTGTGGAATAATTGAAGCAACTTTTGCGCTCTTGTCTACAAACCATCTGTGAGAGTGTGCCTCGAAGTCAACCCAACATGCTGAAGCCAATTATGATAAGAGCCAAAGCCCGCAGACCATATGTGGTCCGAACCGCAACTCAGAAACCTGTAGGAAAACAACCTACTGGTCCCGGTAGACTACCCTAAATCCTCTACCAAACGCTCCCGATCGTGCCTGCACCTATGCTCCACCAAATCCTGAACAAAATTCTCGCGCCTTCAATGATGGACCGCAACGCATTTCCATACAGATCAACCAGATACAAAGCCAAAGTTGAATGCTCCCCGATTGCATGCAAGATAAACCCCAAACACCTAGTCCGTTTATACAGGGCCTTGTAGTATGAACCCTCCCATGGACCCCTTAAGGAATCGCAACGCGGAAACCCTAAACCCGAAACTCAAAACCCGAAACGCTAAACCCCAAACCTAAAACCCTAAAACCCTAAAACCCGAAAGCCCTAAAACCCTAAACCCTAAGGGCCTAAACCCTAAGGCCCTAAACCCTAAAGCCCTCGACCCTAAACCCAAAACCCAAAACCCCGAAACCACCGAGCCGATCCACTGCAGGCCTTCCAAACATTGGCCGAGAGGTCCGCAAGCGTCGTCATCAAACCATCCCGCGGCCTGGAACCAGGAATTCCGTACAGGTTGCAAAAGGGGCCCAAGTAAGGGGCTTCGGGGTCTAGGGTTTAGGGTTCAGGGTTTAGGGATTCTTTCTGTAGCTGTAGTAAGGGGAACTCCAGAAAATTGGAATATGGTTTCAGGGTAGGATACCCAATAATTTACCATAAAGGGTTTAGGATAATCATATTCCAACTTTCTGGCTTTTACTTTAAAGGTTACAAAAGGGGCCCAAGTAATTACCAATACCATTTTGGCGGTTCCTTATCATAGTTATAGCATCATGGGCCCCAAAACCCTATTCAACCTATTCTAATTACTGAGGCCCTACAGTACTGGCAAAGACTTTCCAGGTGTTAGACAGTTTGGTTAGGGCTGAGTGAGGATCAGGGGCCTTAGTAAGAAAGGCAAAAAGGCACCGTATGGCACAGTATTTGGCGGAATGGTTATGGGCACAGTGCGGCACAGTATTCGAGGCAGCAAGCGGCTGAGTAGATTTATAGCTACATTGCTTGCAAGCCTTCTTGCGCCCTAAACCCTGATCCTTTAAGTAAGCATTAGGCTTAAACCCTAAGCCCTACACCCTAAACCCTGAAGCTTTACCCCCAAAACCCAGTACCCCTTAATTAAGGATAGCTTAAACCATAACATGAAGCCCTATATAATTTAAGCCACATTCCTTAATTCTGTCGTATTGGGCTCTGGGCAAACCCTACTAAGTTTAGGTAAGCGTCAGCCTGAAGCTCCCACTCTACCTAAGACTGCCAACCACCCTCTGTGCGAGAAGCGAATTGCAGGACAAGTTCAGAGGCAGGGTCCAGGAGTTAGGGGTTGTTGTTTAGGGTTAAGGGGTTTAGGGTTTAGGGTTGAGGGTTTAGGCTTGAGGAATTACAGGTTGGAGTTCCGGTCTGCAAAGTTCTCGGGCAATTTGGGTCGTAATCTTAAAGCCCTTCAAAAATCACGAATAAGCTACTCATCTCGAGCACAATCAGGCCCCCCAAACCCTCAAACAGACCTGCAGCAACTTTGGTGATCGCCAGTGTTGACTGCGCCCTTTCCGTCGCCATGGCAGATCGGAACCCGGGGCGGCTTACGAGATAGAAGCTTGGGGTGTAGGGCTTTCTTGAGGGATCAGGGGATTTAGTAAGGTAGCTGCACTCCAATTAGGGTACGTATAACTTCTAACCCGACTTGCTTAGTTCCCTGATTAATTATTCAAGTAGAGTTGTAGGGTTTAGGGTTGGCGCGGCTTACGGCCACAAGCCACCACAGCGACTGAATCAATTTGGGAAATAGATAACGGTGAAGATCCAACGATGTGCAAAGGTAGCGATAGCTTTGTAGGCTTGGCTGAATCATGCCTTGTTTATGTGCATTGATGAGACATGGATTCGTCAGAGGTTGCTTCAGGTGTCGGTGTCTGCGCCATCCTTCTAGGAATTGCTGCACGCTAACGCGCAGCTAAGCTTGAAATGCCGATTCGGAACGGCAAATAGCAGCGTGGACAGTGGTACACTGCAGCTGAGGCATTGAAATACAAAACTTACAAATGAGGACCAACTTTTTTCCACGAACAGATGAAAACCCCCAAAGCCTGGACAAACAACTTTCAAAATCTAGGGCCTAAAGCCCGAACAGACTTATCATGATCATGATCGAACCATTATAACTCTTATGCTTGTGCCTGTGTATGCTAAATAGTGTGTATCTGGACTAGGGGCTGAGTACCCTAGCCCAAAAAAGATGAACCTTTTCAATTATGGTAGGACTATATAAACCCCAGAAAGTTAAAGGTTACCCCTACACCCTCATAGCACCCTTTATCGGACCCTTGCAGATCCCTTAAAGGACCCCGTTCTAGCATCCTCAACCTAAGGGTTACCTACTCGGCTACTAAGCTACTCTGGCCATCACGTTGCAGGCCTAAGGAAGGCGCAGCTCTCGACCCGCAGGTGCTGAATTCAAGTTAGCTCTCCTTCCAAATTCTGGCATGGTTTTCTCCACGGGTCGGGTCATGTCCAAATGTGCTCCTTCCTGGTCGTGGTGATGCCATAGGTAATCTTCTAGTCAGGCCATGCTTGGAGACCTTGGTTTGGTAGCTCTACAAATGGCAGAACAGGTTTGCGTTTGTGCCTTCCAAACTCTTCAGCTCAAGCTCGAGCTTACACACACACACACAAAACCAATACATCGGCAGACCCCTGTATGCAAGCGATGCTTTTATGCAGGCGTGCGATTCATGCAAGTCTTGCCAGCGGTGTGTGGTCGTTTGCTCTGTAGCTGCACAGCATCCCGCGGGCCTCGGAGAGGTTCAGGCGTGAAAGCAGCACAAAACTCGGAGCAGTAAGCGTCAGCATGCTGACTTTCCATAGCTAACTGGCGGGAGGGTTAGTTCACAATAACCTCTTAAAGGCCTTCGGCCGGTGGTGATTCGTAGAAGGCGTGGTTCGGACGACCCAGCTCTACTCACGAGAACAGGAGGCGCTGTAAGGTAGGGTTATAGCTAAGGTGGCTATGGTTCTCCCAATTCAGCCGCTTTATAACCCTGCTTACCATATAAGTCGCAGGATCCTGCAAGTAGACACCCAAACAGCTACATGATGGGTTGATATATGCTGCGTATGTTAATATGCGACCATTAGGCTCAGTCAAAGTATGCTACTGGAGAGTCGCCGAATGGGCGCACGAGATCAGGGCAACCGAAGAAATGGCAAAGAAGCTCTGGAACAGCTACACCACGATGAGCCGAACGACGAAACTTTACACACCAGACCCAGAGTTCTACACCCAACGTCTTCAGGTCGAACATCTGCTTTGCATACCATAGATAGGTGTCGTTCTGATCAGGTAGGGGCAAGCCCAATCACTCCGTGCCAAGAGGCTGCCCCGTGCCGTCGCCCAAGGGCCTTGGCATGCATGCAGCTTGGATGTGTCTGCTATCTCTGTCACTGAAAAAGGTGTGCTGAAACATGTCCAGCAAAACTCATGCAGTGAAGATGACCACCACGTCACTGCAGAAGAATGCTTGAGTGTTTTGCTGCCATGCCAAAGCGTCAACAGTCCGAAGTGCCCAAGCCTGCCGATGGAACTTCTGCACTTGTCGTTCCGATCGACTACACACGACACTGTGACTGTATAACTCTGCAATCAACTCAAATGCGCGGCGCCCTTCTCCAAAGGACACACTAAATGCTGAGCACTGGCATGGCTTTTGCAGTCAGTGCTCATAATGATAATGACAAAGCTTGCAGAAACTGTTGGAAGGAGAGCTGTGTACTCAGATCCACATCCAGTTCTCTCCACGCTCACAGTCCGCACATGTGGCCGGCGCAACGCAGCCTTTGAACTTGATGGTGTAGAAAGAATACGAGAATGGCTTCTTGCAGGTCAAACACTTTGCCTCCACCAGAACTTCTACGGCCTTGCGCAGGCACTCCTCACACCAAACCGCATTGTACTTCTCAAGCGTGTCGATTTGATGCTTGGTCCCTGTGCCGACTTGGGCCATGCAAAGTTCACAGGACAAGAGCCTGGATGCTGTACTGTAACTTGAGATCACGGACTCAACATCAGAAACATCAGCTTCACCGATGCCAAAAGCTGACATGTCTGAAACGCATTGAAAGCCGGGCTGCATTGGGGACTGCTTTAAGCGCAGCTTTCGGCACAAATCATTGCAGCAATGGCTCAGGAAGAAATTGTCCATTCCGCGCTTTCCTAGGTTGCCACGGCTGAAGGCGTCCTCCTTTGAGCAATGGATTTGTGGATCTGTCAGGACCGAGCAGTTTACCCCTTGCAAGTCTGTCACCTGCATGTTGCCACCGGAATACTGCCACGTAAAGTGCGAGAAAGTCTCGGCAAGAAGTGCTCCGGGCGAGCTGAAGCCATTGTTGCTTGTGTACTTTTCGTACTTCCCTTCAATGAAGAGCTCGATGGTTGCATACTCAGCCACCTCCCATTTGGGCAGCTGCACCATCCATGAGTCAACGAACTGCAAGGGAGCCTCCGGAACTAAGCGCGAGAACTCGACGGCAAAGATTTTCGCGTAAGCCTGGTCAATGGATGCTTGAACTGCCGCAAGGCTTAGCAGTTTAGCATGCTGTCTCGGTGGAGTGGCCTGTCCTGCACCTATCAGACCCTACGTTGAGAGTGAACCTGGAAGCGGCTCTTCTACGAGAACCCGTATCGTCCGCCTGCATGCTTGCAAATATGGTGTTCCGCCTGAGAACGTCACAACCGTTAAGTTGAACACATTCAAAGAACCGACCATCCTGTGTAGCCGTTGAAAAGCTGACCGGAAACCCAAACAAGTAAGCTCAATCTGAGATAGAACTACTGGCGAAAACATGCGTATGCCCGACGCCCGGCCTGTGTCTGCACATCCTGGAAGCAAAGCTCCTTCGCCTTCTTGCGATCCGCCTTTTGCACCTTGAAAGCTTGAGGTATGACTTGAGGTATGACAAGCTGTTGATGCTTCCCTGCCTTGCGACTTCAATCAGCCGCCGAAGAAGATGAAGCTACTTAGGGGAGTAGCTTTACGCATGATGACTTACAGCATGGAGCTCAGTGTGATGAAGGCTGCCCAGTCCAGTAATTCACGATAGCCCACTTTGTATTCACTATTTGCTCGGCATACCGACCTTCAGAACGAAGTGCAGCCCCTCCTCGTTGGCCGCCGGGAAAGCCCATCGCATGTTGCCGGAAGCAAAAGGCTCCGCACGGACAAAGAACCTCTGAACCGTGCTGTTTTGCTTCGGAGCAACATGTACACCGGAAACCGTCATTGCAGTCACGAGTACCTGGTGGCATTTCCAGTGCTTGAAGTCCTTCCAAGATATCTCTGGATTTTCGTCGAGATGCAGAGCCTCTTCAGGTTCATGTGCGACTCGGGAAGACAAGCTGCCAAGCGAAGACCGCAAAGATTTCGAAGTGCTACTGAGGACACAGCGCACAAAGTTCTCGGCAGTGTGGTCGGACTTGTAGACGATGGTCTGCAAATTGCGGTTCGTCGTCGCTCGCTGCTCACGCAGCTCCTTAAACACCCCGAACATCTTCGAGCACAATGCATCATACTCTAAACACACCAAGTTGATGCCAAGCTCAACAGACTTCGCCAGAAGCTCGTCGGTTGGCTGCCACTGCCTCGGGTCTCCTGGATGCTTATCGAAGTTCTTGCACCTCTCAGCGTCTACAGTATCGTAAAAGCGAGCCCCATGTGATGGAGCATCGCACAAAAGGTACATGATCCGGGTTCGTGCCATCCAGGACAGCTTCAGAGCTGCTTCAATGCCACCGACGACATCTTCGCAAATATCACCCCCCACCCTTTGCGGTCAACTTGGCAAGGAAGCTCTCTACCTCTTGCACATCTTTTGTGAATGGCAGAACTTCAAGCTGGTCCACGTCGTCATAATCTCGCAATCCCACTACGGCAAGACGTACACTTCCACCAGTACCCAATAAGCGGCAAATATCCTTCTGGATGAACGTTACCGTCTCCTTGGCATGAGCAATTTGCTTCTCCATAGAGAAAGTGCACACTGCATCCAAAGTCTTAGCTTCCTTCGCTCGCCCATGGGACTCGGCAATCTCCGAGTCCAGCCGGGACTCAGCCTTCTTGGCTTGAGCCGCACGAGCCAACAGGCGTTCGTGCTGATGGTGGTCCATGGTGCTCACGAGGAGGCTGGCGATCTGCTCCTCAGTAAGGCCACTCAACTCCCGGCTGAGCGCTGCGAGCTTACTAGCCATAGCGGATGCGCGGAGCGTGAGGCAAGGCTACGGCTACGCTGTTTGGCTCCAAATCACAACTGCAGAACACGGGCGAAGAGCTTGAACGACATGCACGTCCAAAGCAGCGAGCACACAATTAAGGTGCGGCCCGTGGCCAAAGCATAAACACGGCCGACTCTCTCCGAGAGGGTGCTTCGAGCAATACCACACTGTCTCAGTGCTTCCCGACAACAAATTCTGAGAGCTGGGCTGAATCCGCACGCACGCCATGCGAAGATTTGAACGACAGGTTGCACTGCTAGAATTAGCGAGACTGAATGGCACAGAAGTCCTATTCGGCACTGTCAACCTGAAATCAAATCTAATCCTGGCGTCAACATGTATTCAATAACTTTATGCACAAGGTTTTCGGGCTTCCGGGCTTGACCAGGTTTCTTCCTTCAATAGATTTAAGGGAAACTTGAGCGACGCTACGCTCGAACTGTCACGATACAAGCAACTTTCTGCAAGAAGTTGTTGGAGCAGCAATGTATGGTTTAGGAGTTTAGGGGTTAGGGCAGTTGCGAGAACTTCGAAACTGCATGATAGACAGAGGCAACTCTTTCTCGAGTCGCCTTGCCAAAACGGTGCCTGTTGGTTTGAGCTTGGAGATGCCAAAGCTTGAAGATGTCAAGCTTTCGAAGAACTGCAGCATGTCAGCGGATACAATAGCAGAGGAAGTGCCCCTTCCTCGACATACTGACACGACATTGGTGCTTGGACCGCATGCGAGTTTCTATATATATGCAGTTCGCTTGGAAGTTCTAAACAGCAAAGTTCGGGAAAACCGGAAATGCGCGGCGCATGCCCGAAACGGGCGTTCGCCAGTGGTCTTTGTGCCGCTTACTCTTCCCTGCTGGCAAGGGAACCCTCCATTCAACAACAACACCTTCAGCCTGTCTATGCTCGATGTACATTCAAGACACCATGCACAGTCTTAAGTTTCCGGATTTCCGGCTTGAGGGGGTTTACCAAAACCTACAAACATTGCGATGCCTGCCATTCCTCAAAGGCTGAACAGCACAGTGCGAGAATCCAGCGCGGCCTCCTTTTTGTGCAGAAAGCGATGCAAGAACAGCTCAAAGCAGCAGCTTCTCTTCCAGCATCCGGACATTTTAAATGTGTACAGATTATGGGTTCTAAAAGCTTGCGGGTTCAACAGTTGCTTGTGGCACTTCGGTTCAGGGCGATGGGGTCTGCGATGCTTAGATCAAGATGCTGCTTACGATTGGGTCCATTGAACCATTTGGCTCAATGAAAGTTCATCCCGCCGGCGTTGTCCGCCGAGCAATCGGACAGGGCCCTCTGCACACTAGGCCTTCAGTGGAAAGCCTTTGAAGAAGGTACCTTGCATACTCTTCATGGCGGATCCTCCCGGCAGGATAACAATAATGTATTCAGATGACCAGTGGTCTTTGCGACTGGCACGGTGCGATGGTGCTGCGCCAACCCTATAGGCCCGATGAGCAGTAGTCTATGCAATGTGTCATGCAATTACGGCCATGTATGCCCTGGCAATGCGTGTGACGCCCCAAATTCATTGTAATTGGCGCTACAACTGAACTTTCCGTTACACGTGATTCTTCTCATTTTAGAAGGAGCTAGTAATGTGGACAGTATAGAGAACATTAGGTTGGCTCAACTCTGTCTACATGACCACGTACCTCTGCGATGGGCTGCTATACGATGGTCGAGAAACAGTTACACGCGTCCTTACTTACATGCATGCATGCATACATATACACGGGCCCACGTTGCTGGCTTCGCACAGGTCAGAAGGACACGGTCTCAAGGTAGCTTTTGGCCGTGGCTACGAAGGCCATGCGCCTAGGATCACTTGATATAGGGGTCTCAATGAGTGGAACACCGCTTGGGAAAGTTTTGGTATAACTACAATAAGGCTCTTTTGTGCTATTGGGCTTTTTATATTTGATGTTATTTGACCTTCTAAGGGGGACTTACAAGGATTATTTCTGGGCTTCCGATGTCACGCTAATGTTAACCGACTGGGATGTACGTCAAAGGGCATTACAGTGATTTCTTGAGGGAGAGACGAAGTTTTGGGCTCATTCCAAGACACCCTTTGTGTACGCTGCCGTCGCTGTTAATAAACCGTGATAAACCTGTACAGCCATGGTATAGTAGACCATTATTTCTTAGCCGGGCCCAAAGACCCTACCCTACTCCGGTGGGCGTTAATTATAGAGCCTAACGACCCCGAAACCCCTACATAACCGTGAGCAGCGCTGACAGATGTAACTGCAACCCGGAAGCCGACACACTGCCGGCCGCCCTTCCAGTGCCTCTGCGGCTGTTGTTTGCGTTGGGGTGGCTTTGTGTTCCTTTCGGGCTTTCGGATGCTTTGGGTGTAGATTTGTGTGCTAGGATTTGAGGTTCAGGAGGTTCGGGAAAGATGTCGGGTTTCAGGGTCGTCAGTGGCCTTGGGATTTAGACATCCGGTAGAGGGAGGCGGACATGAACGACCATGTCAATAGCCAGTGTGTAGTAAACATCCACTTACACATGACTGAACACAACAGGCACGGGCGAGTATGACTAAATACATATAATATTTGTATTATGAGTATACGGCCACAGTTTAATTTAAGCAGCAGAAGAGTCGAACAGTCTACATGCCAGCAGATATGATACAAAACATAAATGTGTGGGTACGCAGGTCAAGTTTTTAAACGCAAGCCCGTGTAGACAGTTGTGCATCTATTTGCATCCACATGCCTCTGCAAGTGGCATGTAAACAACCTTGGTACTAAGTACGTCACATAGCAGTCTTGGCCTTTTCCGCCAGAGCAGAAGACATGGCGTAAACCCTCAACCAACGCAGCCCCCCCAAAAACTCAAAAGCATAAAGACCCAACCTTGCAATCTAAACCATCCCAAAAAACCCTACAGGAAGCTCTGAACCCCAAACAGCCGAAGTAACCGAAGGATCCATGTACCCATCCAAAGTACCCAAATAGGGACTACTTTAAAGCCAATGTATATACTATATGAATACCTGGACCCTTACTTAAAGGATCATGGGACTTAGTAAGTATGGTTATAAGTACCTTAATTGGCGTTATATGTAATTATAAGTGTAGTTACCCAAGTGATAACCCCAGTTACTAAGTCCCATGATCCTCCAAGTAGGGTAACCTAAGGATCCACCTCCATGAGGAAATCCGGTGCCCGTAGCTCGCGCCCGAGGTCTGCGGCCGTTCGGCCCCGTCCGTTCCTAGGAAACTTCACAAAAACAAGGCTTAGGGTTTAGGGTTTAGGGATTTGGGGTTTAGGGATTTGGGGTTTAGGGATTTGGGGTTTAGGGGTTTAGGTACCCTTGGGCTTTAAGGGCTACTACAATGCGCTAATGCTTTAGGAGTTTCTACTGCGGGTGTAAAACACCCGAACGGGCTGCATGTCAATGTGTTCAAATCTTCGGCGAAGTTCTTCAGCATCCCATCTCTGATAAGGAAATCTAATCCACATATTACTCTTCCTGAGAAGGCACCGAAACGAGACAGGCATAAGAGGACTAATGGTCCCTTGGAAGCTTCAGGGCTTCAGGTCCAAAGGCTTCACCTGTACTCCTGAAAGGCAAGGGTGATCGTGGAAGCGTTTTGGAGCGGTCTAGGGTTTAGCATCCAGCGTGGCGTTTTCGGTTCAAGATGGCGCAAACTCTGATAGTAACATGTAAGATGCTTGAACCCTTGTGGCTCCAAGTAGTTCCGGTTCATGTGCCTTGGAAGCTCCTATGCTGATAAGTGCTGTACCCAGCGGTACCAGAGCCCTTCTGAAAAACTTCTGGCGCTCCAAGTGCGAACCAAGCAGAAGGCCACCCGTCAGACGCACATTTAGACACCGGCATAGAAGCTGCTTGCTGCCCCGAGTCTGTAAATCTAGCCGCGCCCCCGCGGCAATGAGAGCGGCAGCACCTTCAATCAGCTTTTCTTAAACCTTCAACCCCATAACCTCACCCCTTAGCCACTGAAGCCTGAAAAAATCCACCCCGGTGAGACCTCCGGTCCAAAGAGGTCAATGCTTGAAAAATCTAAGGTTCTGTAGCTGTATAGAACATACCTACGTAGTTATGTAAGGGCTAAGTACATACCGTATTCACACATGGATCTTTGACTCTAAACACTACACCCCACACCCGTAAACCCGAACATGTTCTTGGATCTCATAGACAGCAGCGGCAGGGTTGAGGGTCGCCTCGTCGGTTGCGACTAGATGATTAGGACTAGGATTTCGATGCTGGGGCCTTTGAGGAAAGGGGGATCATCCATCCGCCGTCTATCGTATGTGAGAACTCTTGTAGGGCAGAAGTGCATACTTATAAAGACATCCCTTACAAGTCTGAAGGCCTTGACCGAGCACCTCCAAACCTCCACATGCACGGACGCCCCACCCCGACCTCCGCGCCCAATACTTTTTAGCTGTTTCCTGGTATCCCCGAATTCAGCAGTGGAAGGCTCCATCACCGTGGGCGTCCTCGAACACCCTGTAACGGCTAACCTGAACCCCAAAGTATGTCGAATAATAGCATTTTCTGGGTATTGGACCATTATTTTGCCTACTTTGGGGGGTTTAGGAACTGCGTAGAATGAAGAAATATGGCCGAATCCTCACAGAGATCTCTGCGGTGGAGTCTTCCCGGGAAAGCCTTCGTACTGTCCCGTGAGGACGGCGAACATCAGGGGCGTGGCGCCGTAGCTGTGGTAGGCGGTCCTTGACAGCCTGGCTCAAGGTGACTTAGCGACTTAGTGATCAAGGCTGTCTTGACGTAGCCATATTTAGTTACCATATACTGGTGAACATAGAACTGGAGTCGACCGTATTGGCACAGACTCTTACTGCACACTGCTGCGACGAACAGCAATACAGACTTGTGGGAGTTGTCCATTCCTGTCTTCTCAACATGTTCAAGGACCGCTGCTCGGAGGCTCTTGATATCTAGCTAGGAGGCGCGCTGGAGCTCCAGTCACGCATATTCGACTAGAACCCCCGTCAGCCAGGAAAACAACTGCAACTGAACCGAATATGTGCTGGTAAAAGAGAAGCTATCGAACTTTCTATCATCAAAAGCTCTGTAAGCAACAGATGTTGTAAACATATCTCTGTCTCTACATGGGAGTTTCCGAAAATACGGGTACCTGATTTAGGGGTCCTTATAATAAGGATCCTATACTATATTAGGGTCCCCTGTTTTCGGAAATCCCCACATGTTGCGCCAGGAAGCGTTGAGGAATGACCGAGGCGGTGGCGAAGGCTTAAAGCAGCCCAGACGATGCCCAGCAGGCTCAGAAAGGGCCTTACTTTGTGTCTCTTTTCGTAGACGGTGTGGGTTAGGGTTTCGGGTTTAGGGTTTAGGGTTTTAGGGTTTAGGGTTTAGGGTTTTGGGGGTTTTAGGGTTTAGGGGATAATTACGGGTTTAATTAAACAACTAGCTGTTGAGGATGCCTGGCCAAAGCATGTGTTGTGATTGCAACCCAACACGAGAACCGTAGGCCGTAGGCATCTGGATTGGGGACATTGGCAGTGAAAGCAATGGGAGTCAAAAGGCCAACACCTCCGTGTTCAGGAGTATATCTGACCCTGCAATAATAAGTCAGAGGCCTGCATCGTTTAATACATATTCCTGAAGTAACGGGCTTTCGGCGCTGTAAGAAGCCTGGGGCAGAAGCACTTGCAGTACGCGGCGACGCGGATGCTCGGGTGCGTTCTGCAGTTATTTTAACTTAAGCACCCTCAAGTTCTTGCTAACGCAAAAGGTATGATTCATTATGATATTTGTTGTAACTTCTTAGAAGCATACTGCAAATATGTGGTCATGTTCAAAAGCGCCCAGTTTAAGTCGCAGGACCGTCTATGTCCTACAGTTTCATCTTCGGGTGGGCGGGTGGGCGATTCAGTTGATGCAAGGAGCTGCAGTGTGACCCCCAACTCGCTCCAGGCTTTAAGACTTGCTTGGAAAATGTCTGAGGAATTTGTGGAATATCCTGACATTCTCGAGGGTACTGCTGGCTCTTGACCAAACACGAAGGAGGCACCAGTTCGCAATAAATCCAAGAGCTTAGCTTCGGCAAATAGAAGGCGAGAAACGGTCAGTGCCCCTTTGAATGTGGGCATAAAAAGTCTGAGCTGAACTGTTTCACCCGGAACCTTGTTTGCATTAAGCTGGACGTTTTGAAGGCCTTTCCATGATCTGCAGGCCAGGCGGCTGCATCAGCTGCTCATCCACGTCTGCGCGGGCAATAATCAGGCGATCGACAAGATGCGCTGTGCCTGCACCAACGGGCAGAACCGGAACGACCAGAAGAATGCACTTGACTTGTGTACACTTCTACTAGTTGCTGGGAGACCTTCGGGCTCTTCTTCAGGTTATGTCGAGAAGGATTCGAAGGATTGTGAGATAGCTTCTTGGCAGGGCACCTCTATCGAGATGTTGGATATATCCTGGCATCTTGAGACAGCACGGCAACGACACTGCAGTTCGTTGGAAGGGTCAAACCAGACAGCCCACTACGAAGCAGCGTTTAATAGGTCCCTGTCGGTCTCCTTGCATCATAGCTGTCATTGCTTCATGGCCCAAGCAGCGACTACAGGCACTTGGACCGGAACCTCAGGAATAGTAGTAAATGCACTTCAAAACCTAGAGTTGAGATAGGCGAGCAGAATCATTCAACCGCAGGAGCCATCGAGCTTGCTTGAAGGGGACTTAGTCGGGCTGTAAGTACGGCCCTGATATCCCTAAACTCTGAAGCTACGCGCAAGGACGCCAATTACAACCAGACTTACCAAGCAGTGCACAGGGATGGTGGCCAAAGGAACTTCTCAGGGCGCAACGTTCAGGGACCGGTGCCAATACCTCAATCCCGTAGAATTCGCATCATGATCATCTCAAACAGTTGTCCTATCGCCAAAGTACCAGCACAGACCCCTGTCCAACAGACCCGACGCGCCAAATGCATATTCCTGCAACGACACACGTGATGAAGCTGTACATTTACACCGTCGCTCATCTGTGCCTCCTTGGAACCACATAGCAAAGTGCAGTGCTCGCGACAATTTCCTCGTGCTGGTTGGGTTGAGAGTGTTCTCGACTTTCGGGCTCCAAGGGTGTGATTAAGAGAGTGGAGTAGGGTTTTCGGAACCCTTACAGGAACTCTTATTCTAGGAATCCATGCGAGAATCTGCAGGCGCGACCCCTTTCTTCAGATCAGCGACTCTTAGATTTAGACAGGAAAATGCAAGCCCTGCATGCCAAGTTTAGCCATATCGGGAAACCTAGGGCCGACATAACTATAGCAAGAATGATTTACGTTGGGCTGTTTGGAAGTGAAGAGCAGATTTAACTCCTTTGCCTTGTCAGTCCCTGGCAGCTGAGAATACTTTGAGGTTTATGGGTAGTTGTATGTGGGGTTATTAGTCCCCTAATGTGGGTTATAAGTTATAACCATAGTTATATCCTACTCACAACCCTACTTACAACTACCCATGAACCTTAAACCCTCTACCCCCATAGAATCCCTATAGATCCCTTGAAAGGAACCCTTATAGCTACCTATGAACCTCCTCAAGAGTTTCAGCTCAGCGTCATGCCGTAGCCAGACTGCACCAAGAGCTCCTCTGCAGTGACCCAAAGAGCCCATTATAATACGGCACCTAATATTTAGGTTACCCAAAAAGGGACCATAATCTTGACAACCACCCAAAAGCCTAGAAACATTCAAACACCTTATAAGCCCTAAAGAAGGAGCTTCTTCGGATGGAGGAGGTGAGTATCCCCTTAATTAAGGAATATAGCTTAAAAACCCTAATATGAAGACCTACATAACTTAAGCCATTTTTTTAATTAAGGGGTATCGGGCTCTCTGCAGGAAAGGATCCGAGGATGGAGCCTTAAGGGTCCATGCGCCCGAATGGGGTTCGTTTAAGGGCTCTTAAAAGGGTTACTATATAAGGGTTCCATAATTAAGGGCTTTAGAAGGTTTAGGGTGTAAGGGTTCCTATAAGGGTACCATGTGCCCGAACAGGGTTGTTTTAAGCGGCTCCTTTAAGGGTCCATGTACCCAAATAGTGATCCTTTGAGGGCTCCTTTAAGGGATACTACAACGGGTCTATACATAAGGGCTTTTTGGGCTTGGATAAGGGTTCTATAAGGGTACCATAGGGGTTCTTACAGCTTAGGGTTCCTATAAGGGTTCTGGGTTTAAGGGTCCATATACCCAAACAGTATATACTTTGGCCCCAATGTACCTATATAGGGACTACATTAAGGCCACAGTGTATACTATTTGGGTACATGAACCCTTAGGGTAGACCAGCAGGCAACATGATTCGATGTTGTTCTAAGCAGCGTGACAGCACGGTGTAAGGGTAGCTATAAGGTTGCTTAGGTGTACAAATGCGTATGTCCAAACAATAAATCGTAGTTGCGACGCCACTGCGGATCCTCTAAGTGAGGGTCGACATACCTACAGAATGTGTTTCAAAACCTGCTTAGGCCTAAAATCGTTGAACAGGGTCTAGTCTGCGTGTTTCCAGGTCTTTAGCGTTTGGTGTTGAGGGGTCTCGGGTTTGGGGCTGTGTAACTTGGGTTTCATGTGAGCTTTAGAAAGACCCTCCTACAAATCAACAATCGCTTCGCTGGGGGTAGGTGGCGAAAGGCTGGAACATGTAGGGGCCTCCGTGCAGCAACCACCACGCCTCCACAGCCGCAGCAGAGCCGATAGCGCAAGCAATGTCGAAGGCCGACAAGCCAGCAGAGTTCCTTTGTTCTCGGTCTGCTTCATAGGCCTTCTGTAGTTTGCGGTTTACTTGGAGGATTACAAGTATTTGACCTCATAAGGTAAATATAGCTGTAATTAGCATACTATGGCGACATCTTTTAAAGCACCACGTATTAAGTTTATCGATCCTTTACGTCGGACTTTAGGGTTGGGTAGACGGAAGAGTTCCGGCGTTGCTTCTGGATGTTGCTTGGCCTTTTTTGGGCAGTCATGATCCTTTGGTAGCGAAGTCACAGGTTGTGCTACCTACTCGTCTAAACTGGGGGGCTCGGCTTTAAGCTATAAGGTTGAAAGGCTTGGGGTTTAGGGCCAAACAAACCCGTGTCACAAGGCCAGAGTCCGGCGGTCTTATTCGCTGTTGCTCTAGCTAAAAGGGTATCGTACAGGCAGCAGGCCATGGTTTATCAAGGGATCTGGTTTGAGACTGGCTCCGACATCACCTGATGTTGCAATGCTGCTCCGAACAGTGGCAATTGAAGGTCACATGATCCAGAACCCAGAAACTATGAAGAGCCAGTGTCTTCGCGTGAGGACTGCCGCCGGCATTGCAAAGAATGCGAATGCCTTTCCGGGTGACGATCTCTAAAGTCCTGTCAGCCCTAAACACCAAGACCAGCTATTGCTAAGCTCTGAGTTGAGGACCTTAGTAACCAGAATGGGGGTCAGGCTGTCAAGTATCATAAACTGGATATAATGAGGAACATCAAGGAATATTTACAAGAATGAAGACCCTTCTAATGCAGACAGGGAATTGAAACCCTAAAGCTCTACACCTGATACCCCAGGGCAGGGAAACCAAGCCGGTGCCGCCTAGCTCTAAGCCAGAAGCCAGAAAATCCACCAGAATCGAACGCATCGATTATGCACCATGTAGGTGGATGCGGCTGGGTTGTAAGTACCATTTTGTGGCGTAAGGGCTGAGGTTAAGGTTTGAAGCTCCACGGATTCAGTCAAGGCTAAAAGGTTCAAACGGCCTTTGGGCCGTCAGACTTTGAATGAAGTTGGGTGGGTCGATGCTGTGTGGGACTATGCGGGCACAAAAGTGAACCAGGCCTTAAAGTGGGAAATGGCTTAAATACTCACGGCTTCGGGCTTGGAGTCCAGTTAAAAGGATCCCGGGAACTCGTAGGTGGCTGTGTTATATGAAAAAGAAGTAGGTGCACCCATAATTAACCTTAGATCCTAACTAGACATGTTCAGCCCGCCTTCCGCATTGTTCCCCAGGGCCGCAGACGTCACGGCAGGGTTGGTGCCCACGTTCACCTTTGCCTGTGGCATGAATCTCATAGGCGCCACACTGATCATGATTGGGCTTCGGGCCCGTCGTGCTGCGACTATAACTGTTCATGGTTCAAGGCTGGCTTCTTAAGCGCCTCCAGACAAACACCAAGTGTTTTGAATAACCCACGCCAAACCTCACCATTGCAAGAAGAAGTTTCGGATAACAACAAGAGTACACACACAGCAGTATTTGTAGTAGTTGAAATATCAAGTACACTGATCGCAGTAAACAAATGCAAGAGCAGTACCTGATTAAAATATTGATACGGGGAGCCCATGTAAGCTACTGCTGTTTACTTCCCCTGGACAGGACCTTGGCATCGACCAGCAGTTGCACGGCGGCATTGTGGCGGAAGGTGGCGGCGATGGCGAGGACGGACACCTGACTATACTCCAAATATCGGGCTTTGAAATCAATGCAGGGGCCTCAAAACCCTTCATAAGCGTTTGGGGTGGATTTCCTCAAACATTTGGACTGGCATTGTATGCTGCAGCTATAACAAGGACCCCTTAAGAAATGATAGTGAACATAATTCCAGCTTCTGTATTGCCCCCCGTTTGACACGGAACTTTCGTATCCTTTCCGCTTGAAACACTCCCCCTTCAGGAGCCTGTACAATGTTTGTACATGACATTTCGCACAAATCATAGATCGACGGCAGTGGACCTGCGGAACCGAGCGTGTCCGTGATCACATGGAACTGGCGGTCCTAACGATTTAGAGGAACATTGGAGAAACATGGGAACTAACAATTATGAAATTGCTTAGGGTTCCTTGATCAATGTGCCAACCCAGAGACTCCAAAACCCATTAATTAAGGAATATACCTTAAATCATATGAGGGATCCTACTATAACTAATAGTAAAGTATACCTTAAATCATATGAGGGATCCTATGATAACTAATACTTATTAAAGTATATTCCTTATTTAAAGGTGTTGGAGTCTCTGAGAAACTCGCTGCTGCCGGGAGTCCCCTTTCGGAATCCCACTGTGTGGCTGCTCCTTTCGGAGTGGCTCACGATCTGTTTTGGAGCTAAGGACCTGCGTATCTAAGGCTTAAGGGTTTGGAGTCGGGGCTTAGGGTTTAGGGTTTAAGTGCTATGCAGGTTTTAGGGTTTGAACGTGTGTACGGCGTAGCGTAGCTGTTCAAACTAGCTGTCCCTAGTTCAGGCATGTGGTAGGTTCCGTCTGTTTTAAAGCCCCAAGGTCACATCCTGAACCCTAAACCCAATATCCAGAAGCCTCTAAACCCTAAACCCTAGAAGCCCCAAAGCCGCATCCTAAACCCTAAACCCTCTAAACCCTAGACCTTAAAAGCCTGAAAGCCGCGTTCTAAGCCCTAAACCCCAAAATCCTGAAGCCTCTAAGCCCTATAGACCTTAAAAGCCTGAAAGCCGCGCCCTAAGCCCTAAGCCCCAAAATCCCTAAACCCTAAACCCCTAAACCCTAAACCCCTAAACCCTAAACCCCTAAACCCTAAACCCTAAACCCCTAACCCCTAAACCCTAAACCCTAAACCCCTAAACCCTACACCCCAAACCCCAAAATCCAGAAGCCTGTTTCAGCTCCTTGGTCGTTCGCTCATTGGGGCTGGCACGCTGCTCAAGGAGGCCACGCAGCAGCACAGGATCGCCGTTCCTGAGAGTTTAGGTTTACTGTAGGCTTTAGGGGATGAAGGTTCAGGATTTATAAGGTAAAAGGTTTCTACAAGAGGGTTCTTTTCAGTGGGTTTCTAAAGGTTTCAACGAGAGGGCTCCTTTAAGCGTTCCAGATGTTGCTTGGAGGCCCTTTTGACTTAGTAAGTCTACTTAGTATCCCCTAGAAACCCTATTATAATCCCCATAACCCACCTTACTAACCCTACTTACTAAGTCAAAAGGGCCTCCAGATGTTGTTTTGCGATCGCATTGATCAGGTTGGGAGCTTCGGCCTTGGAAGCTCTAAGCCTCAGGGTCCATGTGCCCAAATACGGTTGATGATATAAATCCTGCATTACCCATAATAAGGAATATACCATACATCCCATAGTTTAGGGTCCCTAAGGTATTGCAGGATGCATACCATCAACCGTAGTACATGCTTTGGGCCTTATGAACCTATATAGGGAATACTTTGAGGCCAAGGTTTCTACTATATGAGTACATGGACCCGGGAGCCTTTGGGGTAAGCCAAGCTTCAAGGATGCGTAGCACAGCGGGGACCATCCGACTCGATCCACTTCCCGGACGTGGGAGAAGCCGTTTTGATGTAGGAACCTCACGGTGCAGGTTGTGTACCCTAAAGCTTAGCCTTACAGGGGTTGAGAGGGTGTTCGAGGGGGAATTTGGGTCCTCTTTCAAGCATAGGCCTTACTGTTCGGGCTTACCTTAGCTTACCTTTGGTTAGTAGGGGATCGAAGAATGGTAGTAATAGCAGTTATACTTGTACCCCATTCCGCCATTCCCTACTAACCAAAGGTAAGGCTATCGGGAGTTCTGCAAGTTGCAACGATTCTTTTTCGGATTTCTGGGGTTCCTGGTTCTGCAGGGGAGGCTTGGGGTGCAGGAGGCAAGCTTCGGGTTTAGGGTTTAAGGGTTAAGGGTTTAGGGGTTTAGGGCTTTTGGGTTTAGGGTCCATAAGGTTTGCGGCTCAGCCTTTAAGGTTTAGTGTTTAACAGTTTAGGTTCTGGAGTTTAACGGACATGCCCGATATCTTCGAGCTGGTTGCCGGACTTGTTGAATGTGTAGGGCCCTTACCATCAGCTAAACTCTGAAGCTCTAAGCCTTGGAGCATCCGAAGGCCTTTAGCACTTCAACCCAAACGCAAGCCCGACAAGCGCGCACACACAAACAGATCTATTTATCTATCTATCTATCGATCGATCTAGCTGGGAGTATATATATATATATATGTATATATCTGTGTTTGTATGCATGCTCGCATGCATGTCTGTCTGTCTGTCTGTCTGTCTGTGTCTGTCTGTCTGTCTGTCTGTATGTATGTCCGCAGGTGGGTGCGTACATATATGTAGGTATCCATGTATACACACATTCCTATTTATCTATCTGTTTGCTTTTTGTACAGACATGTAAATGCATAGAGGGCGAGGAGCCTGGCCACGGCCAACGTCCCTGGGTCCCAGCTCGCATCGGCTTCAAAGTCGGGGACCAGGTCCTTAGGGCCCAAAAGTGTTTCATTCTTGTTGTTCTATCCTCTTTTTGATTCAAATTTATTAAAGTTCAGGGTTTAGGACTTAAACTTGTGAATCTCGGTGAAGGGTTTAAGTTGAAGGTGTTTTACTGGCGACCAGGACCAGGGTGGAAGTGTGTTGCGGGTCTAGGAGGTAAACTTTCAGAATGGACAGGTTAAACTCAACAACTTCAGCTAACCTGTTTAACACCATAAGATCTTGATAAACCCATAAGACCCTGATAAACCCCTCATACAACCTTACAGGAACCAGCAACACCGCATGATAAACAAAGTTGTACACCCAATGAAAATCTACCGTAAAGCCTAACCCATCCCCTATAAACCTGCAAACCCCATGAAACCCTACCCGAAATCCTAAACACCAAACCCTATGAAGTTCTTACTTCCCTTGAGACCAAAGGTATCCTAAGCTCCCGGCCTGCAGAGGCTCCACAGGAAGGCCACGAAGGTGGATGGACTGCCTTGTGATATTAGTTTTCTTCTCGCTACTCATCTTATTACTGCCATTGCTGTTACTCTAGTAGCATTGCTGGTATACAGATGATGAAGATGATGATGATGATGGTTGTTGCTTTTGTTGTTGCTGCTGACGTTGCTGCTACGATCAGTTGACTAGTACTATTGCTTTTCAGTCAGTAGGATTGTGACAAGTAGTACTACTCTGCCTCTGGTTCGTACCAAGATAACTTTTTTTATGACTCATGGCTATCTCTTCCGGGTATAAAGCAAACGGATAAGCATGAACGATTGAAGCAACTTCCCTTGACTAGGTCAGTACCGTAAGGATCTGACCATTTATATACGGCCCCATGTCCCCATGTAGAACAGTTGGAGGTTCAGGGTACCTACGAAAACAGTACCTTGACCCAACACCCTCGCCGTATTTGTGCACCTACCATCAATTCAAAACCCGAGTCATAAACCCTGGACGCACGATGCCCGCGAGCCACAGGTTCAGCAGCAATCGATAGGCAACGAAATCTCGTGCTCTGAGGTCGTGCAGTAGCCTCCGTCGAGCTTCAGCTCCACTACTACCGCTAATGTAGGGGCCTTGATATTCAGAATAGGGTTTCGGGGCCAATTATACTGTAATTATAGAAAGGAGCCCTCAAAATTGTAGGCCCCTATATTTCCACCAGTACAACAACAACAACAACAACAACAACAACAACAACAACAACAAGGTACCGCCGGCTTCTGTGGCCCGGACTGGCACTACGACTACGACTACCACAACGACGACGACCACCACGACTACTAACAAGAACAACAAGAATACCGTTGCAACAACTCCAAAACCATCCTACGACTTTGACCCCAGAGCCTCAACACTACGCTCTAGACTCCTACACACGTTGATTCTTGATTGAGTCCTGAAGCTCCATACAGATCATGACTACTATTTGCTTAAGAAACCCCCCAAAAAATAAAAATAATAATCCCTATATTACCCCCATAAGGAATATATTTTTTATTTTTTGGGGGTTCTTAAGCAAATAGCAGATGAATGTACCCGCAACATCATACCATAACCGAGAAGCAGTACTCTCTCCATGGTCATTGTCCTTGGACCCAGCATGCAGTGCCTAAATCCTAACCCTACAACCTACCAGGACCGCCCAAGGGCCCTTTAGTGGAGTCCTTATGGCCCTTAATCGTGGCTATTTGGGGTATGATAGCCCAGACCCCCGGGAGGATTTAGAATAATTTGGGGCCCTGTACCACTAAGGGTACTTAATAGGAACCCCCCATTAAGGGATCTACTTTTTGGATCCTCCCGGGGGTCTGGGAGGGTTGCAGGTTCCTGCCCTGGGACCATAGGCTTGGGGGCTTTCGGGATGCGGGATGAGGGTTTACCGAGAGGCTCCATACAGTTGATGATATAAATCCTGCATGACCTTAAGGACCCTAAACTATGGGAATTATGGTATATTTCTTATAATGGGTAATGCAGGATTTATATCTATCGGGAAATTCTGATATGGGAACCCACACCTATATAACTCGAAACTCTTGGTCATAGCCTACTATTTTGCAGGGTTTGGGGATACAGGTTTCACACAAACCCTGAATCTTGAACCGAGGACAATTTCCTGCACACCGCATCGGAAGCCTGCGTCGGAGCACCTGTGTTAGGACTGGCACAAGCTTGCCACGGTCCGCCGCCACGGTAAAAGTACCTGTCGCAGCCAATAACTGCCCCAAACCCAAGGTTTAAGGACCACAAAATGGGGGCCATAATAGTTAGAACAGGGCTTTGGGGCCCATTATACTATAAATATAATTAGGAACTCCCAAAATAGCATTGGTCATCTTTAAGGCCTCCACCATAATCCCCCCGAAAACCCTCAAAGCAACATCAAACCCGCAAAAGCCTCGCACTTCACACCATAAAACACTAAAGCAACAACACCTCACAAGAAAAACCGCTCAACCTAGAAGGGCAGCTTCCAAATCATGGCGCTGCCCCCTGGGAATCACTTGCCAAGGAAAGCAAATAATGCTGATGATATCAATCCTGCATAACCCTAATGACCCTAGACTAAAGGAATTATAGTATATTCCTAGTTATGAATAGTGCAGGATGTGTATCATCAGCCGAAGTTTACAATATGCTGCAGGCCACTGTACAAAGGCTTCATACGCATGGTTGCGACCCCATAAATCTAAGCCGCAGCGCCGCAGTGGGATCTGTAGACCGGGGACGCTTTAGTCTGAAGCCCCCTTTCACATATCGATGCCTTCACCAGGAGAGCCACCATAGGATGTCACGGGCGTCGCAACGACCTCCGGAGGGGCATTTGCTCATGGGGGCAGCTCTGTTGTGCATTACTGCTGTGTGTAAAGGATGATGAAAAACAGGTGTATGGTACGGTTGATGATATAAATCCTGCATCACCCATGATAAGGAATATACCATAATTCGCCTAGTCTAGGGTCCTTGAGGTAATGCAGGATTTATATCATCAACTGTATTCTTTGTCAGGGCCTTATGGTTGGCATTATCACTACTTGGCCTGGTATTTAGCTTGCCTTATAGGACCTTCCAGAACATGCCAAGTTGGATGCCAGGCTTTGGGGTTGAGAGTGACTCTTTGAAAGGGTGACACAAGAGGGGTTCGGGCTTTAATCTCTTTGCAGGATCACAGAACTTAGCCAGTAAGGATATTGTAGAAGCACTTCAGCAAGGGTTACAAATGACTGCATCTTATCTTTATAGCATGCTTTTGTGGGAGGGGGGAGGTAGGGCGACGCGGCTTTGCACGCCGCAGGTTATCTTGGGACGGAGGACGCATGTGTGTTTCTGTTGTGCTTGTGCTTTCGGGTCTTGTTTTCGAACTATTCTTATAGTTGTCCGTATTGGTCTTAGTGTTATGTGTCTACTTGTTCTCCTTGCTGTAATCATAGCCTTTCTTGTTGCTGTTATTGCTGTGCTGCTGTTGCTTTTGCTGAAAAAAACCTTCTTTACATTGTGGTGTAAGGTCCGGTATGGGTGGCGAGCTAAAAGGGCTTTCGGCTTTATGCCCTTGTAGCTTGCGTATTCTAGACACTAAACCCCGTCAAGGAAGAACACAGAGCTTCTGCTTCCTTCTGCATTCAGGGCTCTTGCCCCACACCCTACGGCCCGACTTGGAAGATCATATCTGACTAAGAAAGCCGGATTATATAATTACCAAATCGATTAATCTCCATACATAGATACATAATTATATATGTGTATGTACAGATGTGTGTGTGTACATATCCTTCCCACTATGTCCCTTAATCCTTCAGATCACCGTGTGGCCTCGAGGTTCTTGGCACTCTTCACCATGACCCATGAGCCCGTTTCGGAGAGCTCTCGGACAGTTCTCCTGGGCTTCAGGCGTTCAGGGGTTGAGGTACATGTATACATATTTGTGTATGTATATATATATATATATACACATGCACGTATGTATGTATGTGCGTACATATGTATAGGTATGTATATACATAAGCGTATATGTGTATATATGTATATATGTATACACGTGTATATATGTTATAAACACATGCAGAACAACAGTTATTGGTCCGGAGTACTAGGTCGGAAACACGGCGCTGGGGCTTCAAGGCTTTCACTCAGGGCTGGCCGTTGGAAGAACAACAAGGGCCCTCTGCCCCGGCTCTAAATTCTAAACCCTGAACCCTGGATCTTTATTGGGCTAAAGGGAAGCCTCCGAAGAAGACGAAGGAATGTCTACCAAAATTGCCTTAGGATCCCTCATATGAAAACTGAACGATAAGGCTCAGACTATCCCAACAGGATCCTTGCATAGTATGGTGTTTGGATGTGTTCGGGACCAAAGTTCGAAGACACGAGCCCTTTGGAGCAACTTTACCTTAGAAGCCTCGTTGCCCGAACCTCGGAGGCCACGACCCACCCACCTCCAACGGCAAGCCGAGGGGCTCAACACGGCACCATCCTCGTTCCTGAGTCTTCATTATTCCAACAGGGTATTGGGGCATATTTTACTATACTTGTACACGCCGAAGTAGTACTCGTGATCCTTAGGGGCTGTGACAGGATTTTCGTGCAAACTCTCCAGCCCTCTATCTTGCGTGGTGCGCTGTCGAGGTTCAGGCATTAGGACTTGGCCTGCAGCGGTTTACGGTTGGCCTAAGCTTGAAAGGCCTTGTTACGAGGTTGTTTTAAGGGGGGCTTTAGCTTTAATAGCGATGTTGTAGACTTAATACTGACAGGCGGTACAGGAACCGCAAGAAAGTAAACAGCCCGATGCGACAAGGGAACCTTGAGTAAGGGCAGAAACCAAGATCTCCAATAACAGCCCAGCATCGGCCCATGTGCAGGGGCTGAAGACCTGGAGAAGTTGCGCTGATATGGTGCCTTAATTAGTTAATTGGCATAAGGGTTTGATGTACATTCCACCGTAATGGTACTAAGGAGTCCAGATAGACAGAATTGGTAGTCTTGGTAATTGCTGCGGCCCCTATATGACGAAGCGGTTTACTGCCCTAATTAGGGGTGTGTGTAAGGGTTGAGGGTGCCAGATGCTTCTACAGCTTTCTGTGGGGGTGTGGTTTCCATAGAGTTTCAAAAAGTATGATGGCCCCCAAAACCCTAAAACCTGGCGTTGAAGGGCTTAAGGGGCCAGGGCTAGGGCTACGGCTCAAGAAGCAGGGCTTCGTCACGAGCGTTTGGAATCTCTGGGCATCTGCGGCTGGTCACATCATAGTGCCGTTCTTTCCTTTTGTGTCTGACCGCATTCTACGATTCTGAGGGCTTGCAGCTGACAATGGGACCCATTTTGGTATCAAAGTATCAAAACATGTCTGGAAAACCCCCAAAGAAACACTAACCCCTAAACCCTTGAACCCTTAGACCCTTAGACTCTTGAACCTTTAACCCATCTACACTTTGTTGCTGAGTTCATAAGCCCCCCAAAGTGTACACTTTCAGTTTTATAGTGGGTAATGTAATCTCAAAAAGTGTAAAGTGTATCCACTTAACTACTAAGTAAACCCTTGAACCCTAAACCCTGAAAGCAAAAGCTCTTGAACCCTGAGCCCATTTTGGACCCTCAGGGACTCGACCCGGCCTGGGATCGATCCGCACTTTCGATCACCGGGCACAGGACGAAGAAGAAGGTGCATTTGGCGACGTAGGCCTGGATATTGATCAATGTGTGTATATGTACATATAGTTATATTCATGTTTGAGTATTTCATATATAACTACATGTATGTATATATATATATATATATACATATGTGCATCTAGACACATACATGACTACATTAATACATGTGTGTCTGGAAGCAAGTGCGTAATCGTTAGTACGATATTGCATATATGTATACTGTAAACAACGCAGGCACAGATGCACACGTATGAGGAGTTAGGAGTCGATGTTTATGAGGGTTTAACATGAAGGATTTTATGTTCATGGTTCAACGCCTTTGAGACGGCTCAGTGCGCTCCAAAGAGAGACATGGCTCATGACTTCGCAGAAACTAGGTAACATCCCTAACAGGTTAAGTTCTATCCCGTAGCTAGGCTGTATTGGATCTTCGTCTACAACATTATAGCGAAGCCGTCAAGATGATTTAATGTCCATTCCTTAACTACAGATATTGAGAGTGTCCGGGACCCTGAATGTTCGGGGATGTGATTAAGTGCTGCGTGAGCTGCAGGGATGCTGTCAACAGCTTTGGACAGCTCGCTGCAGAAGGCCCCATCCTGTGAAAAGCGTAGAAGCAAGGTTCTTGAAGGGGATTAAGTGTGCACAGCTTTTGGCGATTGTAGGAGCTTTGTTGTATAGGACTTGTTTTAGGGGTTGATGGGTCGAAACACAACACATCAGCGCCCGAAAGCCTCAACCTCAAATACCATATCCTGCCACAAAATACCAACGGGAACCAAGTTTACGGCGGGGGTACCTCCTAAACCCTAAACCCTAAACCCTAAACCCCTAAGCCCTAAACCCTAAACCCTAAACCCCTAAGCCCTAAACCCTAAACCCTAAACCCCTAAGCCCGGAACTAGTCCAATCCGTAAGTGCAAGGTGGCTCGACCAACAATGCATCGTAAAAATAGTACAGTGCAATGCCGTTTTAAGTGCATGGGCGGGGATATGGCCGCTCGCCGCTTGCTATGAAGTACTCATGGGGACGAAAATCGCGTACGGATATCTAACTTACACTTTGAAGATGCCGGCCACAGCCAAGCCCATCCCGCAACCTGAACACGAAAGGTGCGAGTGTCGAAATAAACCATTCTTTGCCCTAGTTGCTGACTTCCATTGCACCGTAAAGCACCTATCTTTCATTGCGGTAAGATTTTCGAAACCTAGAAGGTTTAATATCTAATCATGTACTGAAAAATGTTCTGCCGCAGTACTACTACTTGGGGATCCATGACAATGTCAAGTCTTGTCCACTGTAGATTCGTGGACCGTCTTGACTGTAAAGCAGGATGATCCTCAAAAACAATGATCCTTATAAAAAGGCTTCAAGAGCCAACTCAGTATAATTGGAATTCATAGGGGCATAGGGCTCCTTCGGTGATACCGTTGGTGTTATATTTAGGGTGCAAGCTGAGCGAGAGAAACAAGTCCAAGCATCTGAGCTGGGGTAGCTTTGGCTGACATGCTCCAGCTGTGGGCAGGAGAAGTAGTCATACCAGAGGAACCTCGGCGGGGCAGATTTCCAGAGCCTAAACCCTGGGGAAAACGGAAAGATGAACCCCAAAAGCCCGCGCCACAACGGACGTGAACTTGCTCTTTCGGCCGATAGATCGGATTGGGATCCCCAGACCTTCCAAAATCCTTTAATTAAGGGATATACCTTAAACTATAATAGAATCCCTAATATGATTTAAGGTATATTCCTTAATTAAGGAATTTTGGAGGGTCTGGGTCTGGCAAGTTTAGGGTTGACGGTTTCGGGTAGAAAAGAAGCGACCGGAACGCAGAGCAGACACGGTTTGGGGTTTAGGGTTTATAAGGGTTTAGGGTTAAGGGTTTAGGGTTTAGGGTTTAGGGCTTAGGGTTTAGGGTTTAGGGTTTAGGGATCAGTCATATTAGCAAGTTCACCTCACTGAAGTAAGCCCCCCAAAATCCCGGAACACCTACGTAAAGCCTTTGACTTTGAGCCCACATGCTAAAGAACGAGCCCTAAATGATATAAACTTTTGACTTGCGTTGATCACAGACCCTGAACACCACGAAATCAAGATCCCCAACCCTGAACCCCGTCCCATCAATCCCTGAGGCGCATATAACAAAAGCCCGGTACATCGAATGTGAGACTTTGGGTAGAAATACGGTTTCGCGTTTCGCAACGAAACCGACTAGGCAGCCTAGATTTCTAATTCTAGACACTTGTGGCTTTCCGAAAATGAGGGTACTATATCAGGGTCCCCTATTTTCGGAAACTCCCACTTACCCTTAAACCTCAAGCTTCGGCATCCGCAGGAACCGATTCACAACAAGGCTATCTTTTTCCACAGTTTCAGTTTTTATGGGTACTGTAGTAAAATGGCCGAACCTACACCCTAGACGCCACGCAACCGTCATACAACCCTGGGAGGCCCTTCTAACTTCTAACATCCATGAAAATGAAGCTCCTCATAAAACCCTAACCCGAGAACCCTCAAACACTGTCAAACTACCATTATGAAGCCCTTACGATAACACAAATCACAATCCGTCCTCATAGAACCCTAATATCCGGAAGAGGAGAACTAACCCTGAACAAGAAAAGAACAGAGCATCAGATGAAACAGACTGAGGAGCAGAGGCTGTTGCCGAAATTCACGGGTAGACCTGTGCTCTGCTAAGGCAGCCGGCCGGGCAGGGGCTCTTTATCCAGACCCCCGCCATGATCATGCAACTTAGTAGGGTTCCTGAAAGGGCTCCTTGAGGGTTTAGGGTTTAGGGATTAAGGATCTATAAGGGAAAGTAGATCCCCTAATTTGGGGCCATCAACTACTAAGGGTACTCTATAGGCACCCCATTAAGGGATCTACTTTTTCATTTTTAGACCCTAAACCGTAAACCGACTCTGAACCTCGCTCCCGTTTCTCAAAACCCACACCTCAAGCTTCTAAATCCTCAAGCTGCAAACCCGAAACATAAACTCCGAAACCCTTGCATAATCTTGAACCTTCCAGAGCCCGCTTAAACACAACGCTACGAAAACCCTCATGGAACCTCAGTACCCTACAAACTGAGCCCTGCACAATGATCTTGGAACCAACATCCCGTAAGAGTCCATATATCCATATGCCATACCTTACACTACAAGACCACAACCTACGCTTTTAGTAAGCTCTTACCACATAAACCCTAACATGGGATTCATATAAACCCTTCTGAGACTAGGTTTCGGTTGGAAGTTTTACTTTGCTCCTACCTCTGGGAGGATCTACAAAATAGATCTCCTAGCTTCGGACCCTATACTACTAAGGGAATTTCAAAGGAATCCCCATTTTAAGGGATCTATTTTTGGATCCCAAACCTGAAAACCAACAGTCTGCTTCGCCCAGGAGCAGATCCCTGGAAGTGGGAGCAGTGCCCTCTGTCACCACATCCATGGGAATGCGCGTCAGGTCGCCCATGACATGCTGCAAGGCCTTCGTAGAGTTTACCCTCAGGCATAGTAGTTCCTTTTGGAGGTAATCCCCCAAAAGGAACTACTATGAAACCCTCTGGGCAATTATGTAATTTACAGGGTTTGTGGGACTTATGGGATTCATAGGGTTTGTAGGGCTGAGAGAGTCAGGCCTATAGATTGAGGAGGGGTTCAGGGTTTCAGATTTGGCTGAGAGGGTTTAGCGTTTAAGGTGTAAGATTGAGTGTTGCCAGGCCGTTCGCAGATTCACAGAAATCGATCGACGGCTTAGGCCTCGGTTCAGGGGCCCATGATGCTTTGCAAGGCCTTTCGAAAAATTCAGTTTAGGGTTCAAGGCTTAAGGGCGCATGCCATGTTGCAAGGCCCTTCGCAAATTTCGATCTGCTGTACCATGCAAACCTACTGAAATATTGTGCTCTATTAAGCTGGATGCTGATTTATTGCAGCCGTCTGGACCTTTTCATTCCACATGTAGCTTCTTTGTATCTATGCACATTCATAGAAACGCAGAACGAAACAACCAACGCGGTGAGAAGCTGTGGGAATTCTTCGGGCAATCTGCAAGCCATGCCTCTAAACCCGAAACCTGTAAACCCTAAACCCTGAAACTTAAACCCTAAACTCCGACAACCTAAGCCGCGCGAGCCTCCTGCAGCACCTTCAGCTGCTTCCTCTGAGGATCTGGATGGTCACCACCCACCCACCTAGGAGATGTTGGACATTCGGGTCTCTAAGGGTTTTGAGGGGTTCCACAGAGAGCTTTATGGGCTTGTGAGGGGGTAAGGGTCCCAGAGACTGCAAAATCTCCTACGATGGCGACCCGCTTCAGAGATATGGGTGGTTGTCAGAATTGTGGTCCCTTGTTGGGCACCCTAAATATTCGTTGCCGTACTACATTAGGGACTCCCAAAGGGACCACAATTTTGACAACCACCCATATGGGGATCCTTGAGGGATGGGCTGAGGGCTTTGGTAAATTTCTGTGCCTGAAGCCTACCCAGAGATCCCAATACCCCTTAATTGAGGAATATACCTTAAATTATAGAGGCCGTAAATATTATGATTTAAGGAACATTCCTTAACTAAAGGGTATTGGGTTCTCTGGGTAATTCGATAAACCCCTGCGTAAGATGTGCTCGCAAGTGCTGTGTAGGGCGAGCAAAGAAGGGTGCTCTGAAGCACAAGCCACCTAAAGGGCTTTCGGAGTAGAAGTTCTATGTACCTCTATGCCTATCTATAACTATATCTGTATCTATATATATATATATATGTATATGTATATGTATATGTATATGAGCATTCACATCTGTGTATACAACTATGTATGTATGTATGTATGTATGTATGTAGGCAGGCAACAAGCTTGCAGGCTTGCAGGCTGGCAGGCATGGATGGATGGATGGATGGATGGATGGATGGGGCTTTGGGGCTTCTTAACGGTGTTCTGCGAGGCTTCCTAAGTCATTCAATCTGTCTTGCTTGAAAGTTTCGGGTTTGTGGCGTTGGGAGGTGGGTGGTCGGCGTCTATTCTTTACCGAAGCCCTCTAAACAATGATCCAGCAGCCATACATGGCTAGTATTAATGGTAAATCTTCTAACACCCACCAGTCTAAGGACTTGTATAAGGATTTCACACTAAGGAACCCTCAAAATTTAGGTGTCTTAGGGTCCGGGTATGGCCAGCCGGCATCGTCCCAGTGGCTGGTGCGACACGAAGGCCGCGCGGCCCATGCTTGCATCAAACTGCACGACCAGACCGCGAGCCTGGGGAAACCCGGCAGGGCTTCGGGTTTAGGAGGGGCTTAGGGTTTCGGGTTTAGGGTTTAGGGGTTTAGGGTTTAGCTTTCAGGGCTGCGGGTTTAGGATTTAGGGTCTCTTGTAGGATTTGGGGCTTAGAATTTCTTTTGAGGTTGTGGGAAAGCGTCTCTTTTTTGGGGCTTCCGGTTTAGGGCTTAGGGTCTCTTGTAAGGCATTGGGTTTAGAGTCTCTTTTGGGGCCTTGTGTTTGGAGTCTCTTTTTAGGGCTTCGGGTCCAGCATCTGTTTTTGGTTTATAGTATCTTCTAGGGTCTGGGCTGGGCTGGAGGCTGGGCTGCGAGGGCTAGAATTCAAATAATGGTAGGGGCTAAGCAAACCACACAGCCAAGCTCGAAAGCGGTTATTTCCAGAAACCAGGCCACCCACATTTATGTCTTGAGTGATCGTACTTACAACTACCGCAAGCAGTAACCCGAAAACCAAACGCCAAAGCCCGTCAACCACACCCCAAGGCCTCAAAACCTGCTGCCCATGACCCGGAACCGTAAATCAAACCCTGAACCATGCACCCTACACCGGATATCCTACGCCTTAAACCTTGACCGGAGGTCCTAAGCCCTAAACTCATTCCCAAACCCCAAACCTTAAAATCCTGGGAAAGAAGATCTTAAGGCCTCATGTCCTCTCTAGTATATGGGAGGTTCCCTCTTAAGCCCCCGGAATGGCACAGCACTTTTCATGAAACTGGACCCTAAAAGGGACCCTAGTTTAACTATCCATATGATTTGGGCTTCAAGAACCCACATGCGAACCTGTTCTGAGCTTGAGTATAGATAATACATTTAATCGTCACAAATCTAAACCAAACTACAAATCCTGAACTAGACCTTAGACCCTAAACTAAACCCTAAGCCCTACACCCTATAGTGCACCCTAAACCCTACAGCCTAAACTCGAAACCCTAAGCCCCCGAAGCCTGAACTTTAAACCCTAAACCCCCACACCAGGGGCCCATGCACGGCTGGGATTGCTAAATGGGAGGGGTCGCTAAGCCCGAGCGTGACGACGCTCTCTTGCCCCCCAGGCGGCCGGCGGATCCGATTCACTCAGTTGACTGTCCCGTCGTCATGACGGAGGAATCCTCGCGTCTTTCGCTGCCGCTGCGTCTGGAACTTTTCGGGGCCGCCGCTGCTATCTTCGCTGCAACAGCGAGGTTGTCGGGATCGAACCTAAACTCGAACCGAGCAGGTGAGCCAAGACTTCATCGACGGACTTGCTGGAAGACCGCTCGATGTTCAAGAGCGATTCGACCAGCTTCGTCAACAGGTTGTCCGCCTTAGTCAACCTGTAGCTGCCCTCGTCGTCGGCGGTCCGGCGCCACATGCGACCCCTTTTCTACGGCCAGATGTTGGACGGCCTTCGTACAGAAGGGCCGTTTTATCATCCTTTTGGCCATCCAATTTCGCTCGCACAAGTGCGGGCGGGGAAGGGCCGCTTCTGCCAGCGGAGTGGGCAGAGGTATGCCGATGATGAGAAGACAGCTGCATGACTGCGTGCACTCAGTGAGTTCTGACTTCCCTGCAAAAAAACCCCACACCCTAAACTCCCAGAGGAAAGAACAAATGCAGCTTCAGGCCTTCAGGTGCTCGTGAGGCCTCACCTCCTCCATCCGAAGCAGCTCCTTCTTTAGGGTTTATAGTAGAAGCCAGAAAGTTGGAACATTAGTATCCTCATGCCCTTAAGGTAAGGGATCTAGCTCTAATCCTCCTAAACCCATGTTCCGACTTTCTCGGATTCGCTATAAGGTGTTTGAAGCTTTTTAGGCTTTTGGGGTTTAGGGTTTAGACTCAAAGATAAGGCTTTCGGGCCCAAAGATCGTAGGATATAATGGTTAGGATTCAAGGTGTGTTTTGAGGTTTGCAGGGTTAGGGGTTTAGGGTTCATGGGCCCTTTAATAGAGCCCCTAATGGTCCTGAATAGTGGGTATTCAGGGTCTATGAGAGGGTAGTTGAGATGGTGATGACGATGCCAGTTCACCAGTCCCCCCTAAACCTTGAACCCTGATCCTGAATTCAGCGAGATGCTTGCAACCGACAGCCCCAAATCACAACCTCGATTCCACCTCTGAGGATTTTACACCCCTGCGCCAATTTTGGAGGGTGAGTGAGCCCCGTTTGAGGTAGGATTCGTAATTACTTAGGCCGGTATGATCATTCCTTTGTCTGTACCTATATCCCTGACCTACTAGGTGTTGCGATGCTTCCGTAATCATGCCGAAACCACCTGAAGCTGCAGGAGCCCGTGAATCCAATGTCATAAACGTGCGCACGCAACGTAGATGTTTGAAAAATCAGTCATACAATCCTCGTAGGTTGGCTGTGGTCAGCTTAGGCTACTGAAGTGTAACGTGCCACAGTGCAATCCTTGCTTGAAAGGAACCCGGAGCAACGTCCTCCAAGGGCACCGTATACATTGGGAACATCATCGGAATCGCCTGGCAACTTCCCCGCTTCTGGCTGTAGGCTTAGGTTTTAGGGGTTTGGGGTTTGGGGCTTTAAGGTTTATGGGTTTAGTACGGTTTAGTGTTTAGGGTGAGTATAGATGCATAGGAATATTTAAAGAACGTGCTTTTGCCTACCAGCTTTGACGACGAGGCCCCAACAGCCGTGAAGGCCATACTGGAGAACCGTGGCTGTTGCAGGACGTGTTGAGGCTCCTGCGTGCAACTCTGGACGGGGTGCGAGAATCCATGAAAAAGGTATGCAACCATCGGGAAACGATGCGTAGATATTCCACCTTATATCACCCGAAACCATGTGACCACTGTGAAACCTCTGGAAATTTCGAATCTTGCGTCCGCCCCCCCCCTCCAACAGGAACAACAAGCTCTGGTCCCTAAGCCTCAGTTAAACACGCTATATATGACTCTCCACCGTTTGAAAAGCACTGGAAAACCCATGTGTTCCGTACAACTCAACACACCGCAAAACGACCCTGCCCAAAATCCTTGTAACCCCCTAAGAACAATGACAAACACATTGTGTTTAACTCTTCTCTTGGATTTTATCTGCGACAAAATTCTTAGCGGGACATTTTCCCTAAACCGTCAGCCACCGGTACTACTTGGAAGGGCAGGGGACTTCGTAAGTAGGTTCTAAGTAGAGTTATAAGTACGCTAAATGGAGTTGCCCCAATTATAACCCTACTCATGACCGTCTTACTGAGTCCCCTGCCCCTCCAAGTATGACAGGTACTCTACATTCCCCCGGAGCCTCCTCAGACTCATGGCTTTGCTGCGCCCGCAGGGATTCTGCGAAGCGTTCCAGCGGTGTCTGTCTTCGACCATGGCAGGGCATTCCGTTTTGACGAGCTTAGGGCTTAGGGTTCAGGGGGGTTTAGGGTTTGGGTCTAGGGGGGTTTAGGGTTTAGGGGGTTTAGGGCTCAGGGCCTCAGGGTCCATGTACCAAATAGTATATACCATGGTCTTTAAAGTAGTCCTTATATAAGTACTTTGGGGCCAAAGTATATATATTTGCTGGGCACACGGACCCTTGGGGTTTATATTTTGAGGAGGGTGTAATTAGGATTTCGTGTTACAAGTAGGGTTTAGGTTCTTGTAAGGTTACATATATGGTTCTGAACGGGTGTACGGTATGCATCTAGTTTAGGGTTTGTGTGTGTGTTTAGAGTTTAGGGTCTGCGTTTCGGGTTGGTGCTTCAGGGTTTCAAGTGCTTGTAGGGTTACATATGATAGGGTTCATACAAGACTCCATATCGTTCTACAGGGCTTTGGCAGTGGCGCGGCAGTCTGGTGGGGCTAGGCTTAAGGAGTTAGAGTGTGGGATAGCATGCTCTTCTTTGGGCGATGGGGTTCGTCTGCTTTGCCCCGAAAAGGGGCCTCAGTTTCCACTGCGGTTCCCACTAGCGTCGTTCTTGCTTTTCTTCTTCGTCTTCATACGCCCCACGCCTGTCTAGCATCCTTGCGCCCCTTGCTGTGGCTGCTTTGTGGGCCTGCAGTTTTGCTCCTGCTGCAGTGGTGGTGGTTTCAGCAATGATGATGTTCCCCTCTCTCCCTGAATCTGTTGACACGTCCTCTAACATGTACCTCCGAACGTTTAGTGATTTTTCCTGCGCACGCTTCTTGCCACGCGCAATACTTGCCTGGCACTGTTGGCCGTGACCTGCGTGCTGTGGATCCTGGACCGTCAATGGCAGTAATGGTGATATCAGGCGTCATCATGATGCTATCACCGAACCCTTCCCCCAGCTAGGTCTTAGGCTTGACATATCCCGGCATGGACTTTATAAATAGTTACAGCACTCTAAACCCTAAACCCTGAACCCTAATCCCTAAACCCTGAACCATAAACAAGGACTCAAAGGGTACCGGATCCTCACCTGCAATACTTCCCTCTGGATAACTTGTCTGTTGGGTCAAGGTCCTTTGCTCCGAAATAGGCAATCCACAAATCAAGTACTTACCAAGGGGTTTGTGGTTGAGAGCGGCCAGGATTATGATTTGGATTCTACACCCTGGTCGTCCATTCTCAGAACACCTAAAAGTCTGCATTATCAGGACACCCAAAAGTCCGCCATCCATGCTTTGGTCCACGCATCCGTGCAGGCACTGCGCCGTCACGCACGATTCTGAATGCTACATGGAGGCTGTTCCAAATTTTGGTTCAGTTTGGGACTACAGAACACACCTCTGTAGTCCCGCTGGGTAGTAGGATGTGGTAGGTGAAGAAACGGACACCATATTCAGGACAACCCACACATCCACAACGCACTGCCCTGTCGCCCGAACTCTTAGCACCTGAAGCTTCGAAGCCGAAACCTGAAATCCCGAAAACCCAAAGCCATAACATCCTGGACCCAGAACCACAAGTCCAAAACCAAATAATCCCGATGTGTGGAAGCTTATATAGCTGTGAATTTTCAAACCCTAAACCCTAAAACCTAAACCCGGTTTATGAGCTTTTGTCCGAAGCGGGAGAGCTTGGCACACGATGCAGATCGGCTTGAATGGCAAAAATCCTCAGCCTTAAAACACCTTTATCATTCTTGCTGCCTATGCTGCCTATTATCACGCGACCCCACCCACGCACACATACAGAGAAACCAACATTCTACTTCTGACCCAGCACTTAAAGGCAGACGCCACGTATGGTTAAAAGTCAGCAGCTAGCTGCAGGTTAGAAGCTCAAGTGGCGCAGGGGCCTGGCATGGCAGTGCAGCGTGCATGCAGCCTTAGCTATACGAACCCTTACAGTCCCTAGACAGCTATCAGTTAGGTTATACCCTAAACCCTAAACCGTAGACTACACCACAGTGGTATGGGGACTGTAAGAGCTGACTGTTACACATGTTTCCGAGCCCAAATTACCTGAACCTACTAGAACCCTGGTCTTCTGTAGCAGCTGTGTAGGGTTTAGGGTTTTCAGATTGAGGATCTCGGGTTCTATAGAGGCCCAAGTAATTATCAATACGCCAATACCATTTTGGGGGTTCCTCACTATATAATTATACTATAATGGGCCCCAAAACCTATTCTAATTATTCAGGCCCCTATAGTAACCGCAAGAAAAGTTTGTAGGGACCCATAGGCCCCATAGTAGTAGGGTTCATAGGGGCCCTTTGAGGGATCTATAAGGGCTCTATAGGTTCATGGGTAGTTATGAATAGGGTTATAAGTAAGATAAATATACCTATAACCCATATTCGGGGACTTGTAACTTCTAAATTCTAACTATTTATGAACCCTACACCATTATAGCCTCATAAAATCCCTGTAGGTCCCTTTAAAGGACCCCGACAAACCCCACTTATAACTACCCATAAACCTCCAAGCAGTGCTCTAAGGATGACTAGGTCCCGCTTAGGTTGGGGTTCAGGCCGTACTGCTGCTATACTCGGCGCAGGTTTTGGAAAACAAAAACCATGGTAAGACTTCAAAACGCTGAGGATTCAGGGCTTTAGGGTTCAGGGTTTAGGGTTCAGCGTTTAGACTTTTAGGGTTCTATATGGGAGTTTCCGAAAATTAAGGGTACCTTATGTGGGGGTCCTTATGATAAGGATCCTACTAAGTAGGAAACCCGACATGGCATAATTATTGGTAGCAAAAACGAAAGCTAACTCATACCAAACAATGATAAGGATGAGGCACTGAGACTATTCACACCAATAATACCAGCAATGACACCATTGTAGGAATAACAGTGACCTTGAACCCAGAGCCTTGAAATCCCAAATCCTTCACCCTAGACTTCCTAAACCCCTGTGGTAGCCACTCGGACACTACCAACTACCCGGTTCTAGCCAGTAGTAGCTGAAAAAATCCAAAATCCCGTGACGCCCCCGAACCCCAAACCCGAGCCCTAAACCCTAAAACCCCAAAGCTAACGCCATAAAAGCCTACAGCAGAAGCCCAAAAGTTGGAAACCTCATAGCCTCAATCTCCTTAAGAGTAATGTATAGGGAATCCCAGTACTATTTGGCCTTAATCCGGTTTCCAACTTTATGGGTATTAGTGTACACCCTTAACGGCAAGGGCCGGGCTTTGCCACCAAAAAGCTCATGGCCCCTTAAGCCCTATCTGCCTAAACCCCTCAACCCTATATGGGTAGTTGTCAAAATTATGGTCCCCTTTTGGGGTACCCTAAATATTACGTGCCGTATTATATTAAGGACCCCCAAAAAGGGACCATAATTTCGACAACCACCCATATACCGTAACCTACCCATACGGGCTCCTTTAAGGGCTCCTACAATGGATCTACAGGGTTTATAGGGTATAGGGTCTAGGAGTTTCCGACAATTAAGGGTACATGATTTCGGGGTCCTTATAAGAAGGATCCTATTATTAGTTAGTGTACGATATTAAGGTCCCTATTTTCGGAAACTCCCATCTGCCTACAGCCTTCAACCCTATATGTAGAACTGAAGGAACCCTTCATATCCCTCAAGAAACCCCAAAACCCAAACCCCTGAGCCTCCTTGAAAAACCATAAGGGGAACGTTCAAAAGAACCCTGGAAAGACCCTACACCCAAACTCCTGAACACCGCCTCAAAAACATGAGGGACTTTAAAATGGAACACCATAAAGGGCCCTAAAATCGCACCCAAATCGAGGATGCCCAGGAACCGGGGAAAAAGTCCTCATCGCGGTACTCGTCCAGCAAAAGCTCCATCGTGCAGTTGGTCTTGAGCATGGCGAGGATCATCCTGTGGAGCTGCAGTTGCCCCGTTCATGTATTTCTCCCAGAGGTGCAACGATGAACATCGTGAGTCTGTTGAAGTAGGCATAGCGATGCTTCACACCGAGAAGCCGATAGAGCTCTTGGAGCTCACTCCAAGTTGTGAGGAGATTGGCTTGGGGGGTGTCCGTCATCAAGTAAAAGCACATGTAGTAGAAGAGGCCCCCGTACACGTACATGTCCGATCCAAGATATTTGCTATGCATATAGTCCACTGCAACTGTCGATCCAGACACTGCAGGGATGTCGAACAAAGGGCATTTGCCCCTCTCAGGAAATGCCCTCCAGCTCGCCGGCCGCCAGCAGAGAGGTAACTTTACAAGGAACGTAGGACCACAAAAAGGGAATAAGGGCATTACTGGGCATCCTTATAGAACTCTACTATAGATCCCCTATAGACCCCTCCCTAACTAGCAGGATCCTTATTCTTATAAGGACCCCAAAATGAGGTACCCCGTTTTCGGAAACTCACAAACCCTAAACCCTAAACCCTTTATAGAACCCTTATAGATCCCTTTAAGGAACCCTTAAAGGATCCCTTGACAAGCAGTACTGGGCATCCTAGAAATTGCCTTCTCCAGTGTCTCAGCCTCCCTGTCGGAGCTGCGCGAGGGCTCCGGGGAGGCCTCGAGTTGACGTGGGTTTCAAGGCTGGATCAAGGCTCGGCCCAGGGATAGGGCTTTGGGGTTCCGGGTTGACGGTTGAGGGTTTAGGGTTTTGAGGGTTTTGAGGTTTAGGGGTTTAGGGGTTTAGGGGATTAGGGCTTTAGGAGTTTTTATATGGACGCCTGTTGTAAGTGTCTCTATTTTCCTTACTTTCAATACTTTCAACCCAAGCGACTACGTTCTCTGACCCTTCAAGCCCATGTAAACAAGACCGAATTCGGGCCTTCCTCTGTCCAGGGGCTGCGGGGCAATATGGGTTACATACTGATTTGTGCAGCATTGAACTTCAAGTCTCCGGAAATGCCTGGTGCCCTGTTCATCTGAGCGTGGTGGCTCCTTCTGTACTATGGAGAGCTTGTCGTATGGTTTGGGGTTCAAGAACTACCTGCGCACTGGTTGACTGAGTGAGTCGGGGGGTGGTGAGATGGGATTAGTAGGGTTTAGGGTACCTAAACCCGAAAACCCGTAAATGTAGGATTCTGAATTATCCCGACCATTGTATTTCATGGTCCCTGAGTGACTTTTGGGAAGCTGTCTGTCGGCGAAACGTTAAACCCTAAATCTTGAACCTGATGCCCGAAAGCCTTAAACCCTAAGCCGTCGATACACCCTACTCGAAACCCTGAACCTCAAACCCCAAATTTGCAGCCCTACTGTAGGGGCCTTAATGATTAGAATTGGGTTTTTGGTATTCCAAAGCTCAATAACTCTATAAGTACCATAACCCCAGTTAGGGTCCGTTTTAAGGTGCTTGCAACTCTATGTAATAACTACTTACTAAGTCCCCCGACCCTCCAAGTATGGTACCTTGTAGGCAATGGGAAGCCGGCCTCGTCCGGCTGCGTGGCATCTTCGGCTTCTGTGACCGGCTCCATCGCAGCGTCGGGGACGGTTGTGTCCTGGGCTTTTGTGTTTAGAGTGGTTTATGCTGTGCTTACTTCCCCCATACTCAAGGACACTGTGCTTAATCAACCCTTCCCGTAGCGGGGGCCCCACACAACATGATAAGTTAGGATCGCTTATATAGGTCAACAGGTTCCCGGATTCTCAAGTAACCTTGAGCCACTACTGTGAAGGTCCTTTGGTCCTTATCTGGAGGACCAGGAGATTTAGCCAGTAAGGTTTTAGGTACCTGGCCCCTCCCATAATTCAAACAATGCGGGACCCTGTGTCCTCATTCATAAAAACTCTTATCAAGTCCTCTTAGAACATTTATAGAACTCTTATAAGCCCCTGATAAAGATCCCTTTAAATCAACAGGAGTGCTGGCCTCGTCTGGCTGCGTGGCGTCTTCGGCTTCTGTGGCCGGCTCCATCGCAGCGTCGGGGAGGGCTGTGTCCTGGGGCTATTTGCTGCAGGTGCTACATTTAAGGCTTTTAAGGTTTTAGAGTTACTTATTGTTTTTCTTACTTCCTGGAGCTCTATGCTACAGGTGGTCTAGGGACTCAGCGATTTCGGCGTTTACGGTTGAGGGTTTGGGGCTGTGTCCTGGGGCGACAGACTTAGGTGCTGGGTTTGCGGAGTTTGGGTTTCAGGGTTACGGGCTTAGTAGGTGTTGAAGTCGAGGGTATTTTGGTTCAAGGGTTGAGGGTTGAACAGGGGTTGAGTCCAGGTTTACAGGACATGGTATACTCCAGTTACAGAACATTGCGACTACTTTGCCAGCTAGATGTCACGCTGGTTTCTAGGGATGGAGGGGGCGAGGCCTTTAAGCGGCATTCCGCCCATCCCGGCCACATTGAACTACTGAAGGACTTTTTCTAAGTGGCGGGGAGTTCCAAGACCGTGGCCCATCCAGCGAAAGTAACTTGCAGAGGACAGTGATGTTTCAGAGATTGAGATTTACGTTTCCATGCACATAACCTTGAGGGGTTCCGGAGTTTTAATGGGACAAAGGAAATCGACCCGCTTGTTTATCACGCCGTCTTACATTGACATGCTGTGGCACTCGGGCCTACCACAAAGGGGGTCAATCACACTTATTCTGATTTGGACGGGGGGTTGAACGCAGGTGCTTTAAGGAGCTACGCTGCTTGAAAACGCCAGCCTGCCAAAATCCCAACTTGTCTACTAGAGTGGCCAGTTGAAGCGCTTTGTGTAAGAGGTAGAGTTTATGTTTTAGGCCGATACACGAACTTGTCACCAGAAGACCTACTTGTAAGGGTTCATAGAAGGACATCCCACTTTGGAACCCCGAGAACAGAAGGGTTTGGGGCCCCAAGCCCCAACCCCTTATATACTGATGCACAATGCTTAATGATTAGAATAGGGTTGACGGCCCACTATACTATACTGAACTTAGAACCCCGGCAATTCTTTTAAATTTTAGCTGTTTCTTAGGGATTATAATGACCAAAAAATAAAAATCATTTCTAAGTACGCCTAAGTATACTATGGAAAGCCGGGACTAGACTCTCCACTGTCCTCGGCTAGCTGCATAGCAGCATCGGACGAGGCTGCCGTGGTGACCGCGGCCTCTGCAGTCTAAGCAACCCAAACTTCGAGATTCAAGTTTGAATGACCCTAAAGCACTACAGAATCCTATGAAACTACAGAGCAATCAACAAGAAACCCTGAGCCCTAAACCCTAAGCCCTACTCCCTAAGCCCTAAAACCCTAAACCCCCATCCCCAAACCCTAGATCCTTTTCCCCAAACCCTAAATCCTAATCCCCACACCCTAAATCCCAATCCCCAAACCCTAAATCCTAGCCTAAATCCGAATCCCTAAACCCTAAATCCTAATCCCCAAACCCTAAACCCTTATCCCTAAACCCTAAACCCTAATCCCTAAACCCTAAACCCAAATCCCCAAAGCCTACTTGGAGGATCATGGGACTTAGTAACTGGGGTTAGTACTAGGGTAACTGCACTTAGAATTACTTAGAACTCCAAAGAAGGCACTTATAACCATTCTTACTAAGTCCCATGATCCTTTAACTCAGCCCGCCTCCTCGGGCTGAGTTGTCTCGGCAGGCGGCAGCTCAACTGCCTCGCGGTGCGTGGCTTGTACCGTCATCGGCCTTATGCACTCCACCACCCGCGGAAAAAAAACGGTGGAAGCGAACAAAAAGGCATGCAAAAGATACATATATATATATACACTATACTAGATTATAGTAGATTCTATTAGAATATACATGTCTATATCTATCTATCTATCTATCTATCTATCTATCTATCTGTATGTGTATATATATATATATATAAATATATATATATATATATATATATATATATACACATATACACGTATTATACACACACTCGCACATAAATAAACGCATACATACTTAGATGGATGAAAAGATGAGTAGATGAACATATGAACAGCTGAACAGATGGATAGATGAATAGATAGACGGATAGATGGATGCATGGGTACAAAAGATAGGTAGGTACACACAGTTGTTTATGCAAAAATGTATGTTGGTGTACGTGTATTTATCTATATATGTAGTATGTATGTATGTATGTGTGTACGTATTTATGTATATAATTGTGTATGTCTGTATGCATGTATGTATGCAGGTATGCGTGTGTGTGTGTGTGTGGGGTTGTGTGTGTGTGTGTGTGTTTTGTATACACATGAACACATTATGTGTGTGTGTGTATACATATATATATATATATATATGTATATCGTCAGTTACACTTTTATTGTTTGTAGGGAAGCCCAGAATATGTAGGTTTTCGGAAACTGCAGACCGTATGGCTTAGGGTCTCTGGGCAAACTGTAGGAGTTTACGGCTGTAGGCAGGGCTTTACGGTGTTGATTTAAGGCTGCAGCGTTCATGATTTCTGGCTTCAATTGAACCTGGCAACCGACCGAGCTGCCCTTCTTTGGCTGTTGCAGTGTCGCCAGCCAGAGTTGTTGCCAATGCTCTCCTCACACTCAGCGCTGCTTTACCCGGCAGGTGCCCGGGTGACACGAGCCACATCTGCAGACCACACAGGGCCGTGTCAACGCCCGAAGCTGCAAGGCGAACCGCAGTTCCATCCAGCCTGCATGATCGTCCAAATCGATCATGCAAAGATCAGACAAACTCGGCCTGATGACAACGTGAACTTCCTGTAGCCGAAACCATTGCGATTGTGGCAGCCTTTACCCAAAGAGCCCAATACCCGTTAATTAAGGATATAGCTTGAACCATAATATGAAGCCCTATATAATTCAAGCCATATTCCTTAATTAAGGGGTATTAGAATCCCCTAAACCCTTAGCATATAGATCCCTTATAGATCCCTTAAAGGAACCCTAGGTATTCCTTTAAGAGGACTAGGGGCTCTCTGGGTAAGCTGTAGCCATTACAGTGTTTCGACCTCAAATTCAAGGGTCGGCCACAAGCATGCGCTCGTCGGTACAGAGGCTGAGCCACCTTGCTACTTGGAGGGTCGGGGGACTTAGTAACCATAAGGGGTTCCTTAAGGGCCCCTTTAAAGGGATCTATAGGGATTCTATAAGGGTTTAGGGTTTAGGGGGACTTAGTAACTAGTTATTCTAGGGACTTATAAATAAGTACCATAACCCCAATTAGGGTCCCTTTTAGGGTACTTATAAGTCTACTTACTACCTACTTACTAAGTCCCCCGACCCTCCAAGTACACTGTACCCATCGGCCCCAAAGTAGGTTCTTTTTGGGATTACCTCATAGGATTCTACATATGAACCTCAAGAAGGAACTACTTTGGGGCCTATGGGTATAAACTGCATATACCGGTTCAAATCACTTGGACATAATTTTGAACTCACTTCATCAACGTTTTCCAACATGAAACCATAATGTCGAAGCAGAAACACAATGGATTCGCAAGCCTCCCAAAAGCACGCCTTGGAACGTCACCTTTCGGAAGCAGCTACTCACACACCTAAACCCTAAACCCTGAACCCTGAACCAAACCCCCGACCTCAACCCTACACCCTGACCCGAGCTCCTTATAGCCCCGCCCGCATACAAAAGCCTTCACGAAGCCTCAACTCCATCCCCCCCGAAAGCCCTGCAACGTCGGGAAAGGATGCTTCGCCTCTTCCATGGGAGATGTGGCGACAGCCGAAGCTGCAGCCTGAATTTCAGGGGTTTACGGGGTCCATGTGCCTACAATCGTACTTGTGCTGTGCTGCTGTCGTTTATTGAGTGGGTGTCTGTAATGTGCTTTTTCCGGTGCGCTTTCAGTACTCGGTGGATTTGCGCTGGAAGTCTGCAATGCCTTTGTTTTGGCCCCATGCTTGTTTTGGGTTAGCTTCGGCCCTTTCTGCTATTGGTCGAACTTACTAGTTCATGGTTGGGGTAGGATTAAAAATTTACAGTTTTATTCCTTACTTATTGGGTTTAAGTACCCAACTTTGACAAAGCTTAACCCTAAGGGTCCAAAGGACCCAATAGTTAGGTCCTGAGGTTTCGGATAGTAGTTATGTAGGTTATCATTTGGGAGAATATATGATTGATTATTAGGTACTCGGACCCTTAGGGTATTTTAGTAGAGGACCAGGAACCTCAACTTCCAATCCCAAAGGGTCCTACGGTTGATGATATAAATCCTGCATGACCCATAATAAGGAATATACCATAATTCCCATAGTTTAGGGTCCTTAAGGTAATGCAGGATTTATATCATCAACCGTATGTACTGTTATGGGGGATATTTCCCTGGATCATAATAGTATTTGCGAATATAGAAACCCGACATTTCCAATTAAACTGGGCTTTGAAGTAACCAGGGAGAAACAAGTGTAGACTTTTATTTTATGAGGGTTCCTTGAAGAAAAAAGTATTAACATATGGTACTCCGAAGCCCAGTAAAGGAACCCTACAAACTCCAACCGCGCAACATTAAACCCTGTATGGTAAGTAGCTTTTCGGGGATCCCCAAACCCCGCCAGACAGCTCTAGGTGCACCTACACCCTCGTACTGTTCTACGACTTCGACTGTACTGCTACTGTACTAGTACTGTACCATTGCTGTACTTACTATTGTTACTACTGTACTAGTTACTGTACTACTACTACTACTACTACTACTACTACTACTACTACTACTACTACTACTACTACGACGGTAATTTCTACCTCACCCAGCCTCAGAGTTGGTGGATCGTGGAGTGAAGTGCAGTTTGGAAGGAACATCTTGGGAATGAAACGATTCTTAGTTTTGGTAGCTATCTTGGAGTGATCGAGGATTGGTTTCCAGGTCGAAAACAAACGGCCGGCAGCAATTCGACTGGTAAATTAGAGAAATTAGTTGGGTAGTTGTCGAAATTATGGTCCCATTTGGGATAACCTAAATAATAGGTGCTGTATTATAACCACGCAAATTAATTGGGGGATTCTGACGGGGTAGTGTTGCGACAGCTGCAGCGGTTAACGAAGGCACAGTTCGATCTGAACGCGATGCCCCGAAGGGGTGCGAATCGCAGGGCTGCTGTCTCTGGGCAGTAGGTTAAACACACATTTGAACTTTTTGGAGCTCACTTTGCATACGGGAGTCACGTACCGTAACCGAATAACACCTCTGCATGAGCCCGACTTCCTTCTCCTTTTGGCATATCATAAAGCGCCTTTGGCCACAGCTTATAACTTAAGCTAGACAGCCCTCGTAAATCAGTAACCGCGCTACACACGAGGACATGGTTCATCAAAGGTTCATAGTACGATCTTAATGTAGAACCTCATGTCCTTCCTGAATGAAGACCTACATGGACGATTTAGGGTTTAGAGAGTAGGAGTTCAGGGTTTAGGGCACAGAGCTTACGGCTATAGGGTTTAAGTTTACGGTTCAAGCTTCGCGAGCCCTAAATTGCAGCAACAGCGCGAATATCTCCAGGCACTGCATTATTAAGAGCAGCTCCCAAAACCGGGTCGACGCCAGTCAAGAATGTAACTGCCGCGTTCTCGACTTCCTGCCTTGCTAGCAGGTGCTAGCACCCGTGAAGCAGCGTTGTGGGGCACGAACATGACATACACAAATGCTTCTCGGCCTTGGCCAGCAACATCGTTGTCATGACGAGTGCCACGAGCGCACCACCCACCTGGGACCACGGCGCTGTAGATCTCGCAAGGCTTGTCCACCTGCAAGTCATGTCTGGCCATCCCGACCGTGCGAAAGCCAGCCGTGATCGCTTCCGGTGATTACTAATCACCTTGGAGTGGCCCACGCAGCTTGCAATGAATGGCCTGCTGCACGCCAGGCCAACAAGCATTAGGAACACGAACCGTCGGCAGTGACATCTCCAGCCACTGCGATGTCCCCAAGCAGCGGAGGCGTCCACTGAAACGGGAAGTTCACGCCAACTTTCGCCAAAGCAGACGCCTCGAAGCTTGTCATCTCAGCTTGATATGCCTGCTTGATCAGGGTTCAGGGTTTAATGGTTCAGGATTTGGGGTTTAGGAACCCATGAAGTTCTGTCTCAGAACTGCCTCCATAAAGCACTGTAGCCGACAAATATTCCTTCGTGACGGAACCCTTACAAGAACCCTGAACGTATCGGCAACTGGACTGGCCACGATGGCCTCCTCGTCGGCAGCAGCGTCAAACACCTGGCTTGTGATCTTGCGGTCGCTTGGAGGGCTTTACGGTTGAGGGCTGTAGAGATTTAGGGGTTAATTAAGGGTCTAAAGGGGTTATGCTTGTTCAGGGATTTAGACGTTCAGGGTTAAGAGGATTTATATGGATTTCAGGACATGAGACTTCAGTTTTGAAGGTTTTAGGATTTGGAAATGAGATAACAAGTACTTCGAAAGTAGGGTCTAGGGTTTTTACCACCGCCATTACTGACTGTCATCCAGACCAACCAAAATCCATACTGAGCAACGACAAATTAATAGCACTCAAGAAGATATGAAGATTCAGAGCTCAGGCGGGCGCGAGGGGTGTGGGACTCTAGGTGTGATATTGAGGGGTGCTCAGGGTGTTATGGTGGGTTGCGGGCTTTTGGGTTCGAGCGGGCTGGGATTCTTGTGTGCATTATTGGGTCACCCTGGGTCCTTATAGAAAGATATAGAAAGCTGATCCATAGATCCTACCTAATATCACGGGGGTCTTCATTCTTCTGAGTCGGGTTTCTGGTGTAGTATGGTACAATGCAAACCAGATCCTCGCAGAATAGCATCCCCACAGTCTCCATTGTAACAGAGCGTTTGGCTAGCTAACCTAAGGGTCCATGTACCCATATAGAGATACATGGGCGCAAAGTACCCAAATAGGAAGTACATCAAGGCCAATGTATATACTATATGTTAGAAGCTGCCCCCACCCTGTAATAGTGACTAAAAGGATTATAGTAGGGCCCTATTCCTTTTTTACCACTATTACAGGGTGGGGGCAGCTTCTAAACTATATGAGTACACGGACCCTTAGGGCCAGTTCTTTGACAAGGATCCTGCAACATACAGCCGGTGGACCAAACAAGGAACTGCAAGGGTTGATGTGCTGACACCAAGAGGATCTTTGTGTCCTTATGTATGGGAGTTTCCGAAAGTGGGGGACCCTAATATAGCACCCTAAATGATAGGATCCTTATTTTCAGGACCCCAGAATAAGGTACCCCGAAGTTTCGGAAACTCCCATATGTGCCAATGCCAATGAGCATCCTGGGCTCTTGGTGGAGGATGGCAAATGACTGCCTATATCCCAGTCGACACTCCTGCGGATCCAAATCTGGGCCCCACGTGTTCCCTTAGCCGTGCGGGGGGGGGGGGGGGGTAAGTGTCCAGTAGTGTTCAAGGGTATGGGGAGCCCAGACTTATCGGGCCTGGTTTCCTGCAAGCCGGCAACATCGATTTTGAGGCGGTGCAGCCCCTTCGCCACAAGATCTTCTGTGCCCGGTCCCTTGAAAGAGAGGACGTTCAGTCGAAAGTGCAAGGAAGGCATCCAAAGCGAGCGCCGTGATCTCAAAGTTTGCCTCTACTAGGGTTGTACCCAGAGAGCCCAATACCCCTTAATGACAAAATAGATGGCTTAAATTATATAGGGGTTCATATTATGATCTAAGCTATATTCCTTAAATAAGGACTACTGACTACTGGGCTCTCTGGCTACTGTCATCAAAGAAGCCTGTTTGCGCCAGCATTGGCATCGCCTCCTGGGCCCTAGGCGAGAGAGGTGTGTCCAGTGAAAAGATGTGTGGTGCATGGGTTTAGGGTTTAGGGGTTTAGCGGGTTTAGGGGTTTAGGGATTTAGGGGCTTAGGGGTTTAGGGGTTTTGGGTGTAGGGTATGGGGGTTTGAGGGTTTAGGGTTCCCAGATGGATTTGCCGGTGCGGCTTCGTCACCCCATGCGCGTGAGCCGCGTCTCAAGTGCATGTTGAATTACTCGTTGGAGAAACCTGCTGCCGTCTCGTGGAGCTACATGGGCGCGTTTAATTAAAACCACAAAACCCCCTAAACCCCTAAACCCTGAACCCATAAACCCCTAAACACTAAACCCTAAACCCTAAACCCTAAACCCATAAACCCCTAAACCCTGAACCCCTGAACCCCTCAGAAACCCAGCCCAAAGCTGTCAAAACGCCCGAAGGTTGAACCCTGATTACGCGTAGAGCAGCATAACTTGGGATCCAGATAGCAATCCGTAAGGGTGCATGTACCCAAATAGCATTCTAAACCATAAACCCTAAACCCTAAACCCTTAAACATACTGTTCGGTACATGGATCCTTAGGTTTATTCTGGGTTTCAGGCTGGGGCTTTCTGGACTAGGGAACTTGACCCCTCAAGGAAGAATGCTATTGCCAGCCAGTCCGTCACCTACGCTACATCCTCCACCCCCCCCCCTCCCGAAAAAAAAAAAACACACGCCCAACATCTTCAGCCCCAAACCCCAACTTGCCAATGCTAACCTAAGGCCCCATCCCCCATAAAAACAAACACCCAACCCCTAAACCCTCAACCCCGAAGCTCAACAATATCACAACGAATCCCGGGTTCCCAAAATTCTAAACGATCCTCAACCCTAAACACTAAACCCACAGCCCCAAATCCTCAAATTCTACACGTGCTTAACCCTAAAGCCTAAACCCTTAACCTAACCTTAAACCCTTAACCCTAAGCCCCTAAACCCCTAAACCCCTAAACCCTAAGCCCTAAACCTTAAACCCTTAATCCCTAAACCCTAAGCCCTCAACCTTAAACCCTTAACCCTAAGCCCCTAAGCCCTAAACCTTAAACCCCTAACCCGGAAACCCCAAGCCCCAAATTCGGCCCTGGACACCTGCGCCGGGCGGCGTCGAGCCTCGGGGCTCTGGTTCCTGGGGAAAGAAGCTTTAAGGGCTTTAGGGCTTAAGGGCTTTAGGTTCAGGGTTTGGATTGGTTTAGGGTGATGTTAGGGTTTAAGGGCTTTAGGGTTTCAGGGTTTGGATTGGTTTAGGGGTGCTAGGGTTTAAGGGTTTTAGGGTTTAAGGGTTTGGATTGGTTTAGGGTTTAGGAGTTCCAGGGTTTTAGGGTTTACAGTAGAAGCCAGAAAGTTGGAATATCATTATCGTAACCCCGTTAAGGTAAATTATAGGGGATCCTACCATTAATCCATATTCCAACTTTCTGGAGTTCCCTTTAGGGGTTTGGTTTAGTTCGGGGTTTGGGGTCTAAAGCTGCGGTTTCAGGGTCTACCTCTATAGTCTCCATTGTAATCCCATTTTTGGATTACGTGATAGGACCCTATGTAGAAATTGGCTGAACCAAAACGGGAACTACAACGGAGACGAAAGAAAAGGGTAAAGGGTTGAGGGTTAGGCTTCATTTGGAGGATCAGGAACATGTTTTGAATGGGCTTGCAACGCTTAGTCGGGGTTATCAGAGCCTTTAGCAACAATACTTCTAAGGCAAATTAAGTACCTCAGCCGGGATTAGAAGAGCCTTTCACGACAAGACTTACAAGCCAACTCACGAAGTAGCCCGATACTTCAGCAGAAGTCGAGAAGGACCACTGCATAAACGCCAAGCAGCGGATGTAGAATATGTGTACGTGTGTATGTTTATATATATATATATACATATATATATATATACATATATAAATAAATATATATATATATATATATATACATATATGTTTCTGTATCCAACATTCCCGGTTCAACCTAACCCACTGGCACACGTAGCTGTCAATCGACGGCCGAAAGCATTCCACATGAACTCGCCAGTCTCCTCGGTCCTGTTCCTGTTCAACGCTACATCCGCCAGGACCCTTGAAAATAGTTACCTACTAGTTGGGTCCGGGCCCTCTGGATGATGCATATCGAAACGAGTGTCACCAAGTGCATATATCTATCCATCTACCCATTTTCATCCATCCATCCATCCATCCATCCAGATACACAATGCTAGAATATGGCTTTGGGGTATGTTATATTATATTCATATTAAGGAACCCCCCCCCAAAAAAAAAGTGTATTAAAATTATTAAAGCCCCCAAAGTACAACCCGACAGGTCCCAATTGCACACAAAAACTCGACCCCACAACCCTCCAGCGTTCAAGGACTTGACTCATGACTCCACTTATCACTGCCCATGACCCCCCAAAGTAGAGGGCCCTAAACCCTAAACCCTAAACCCACAAAGGGCCCTTAGCTTAGGCCTCAAACATCAGCCCTACTTATAACTACGGGTGAGTTTTACTTATAGAGCCCTTCAGCAATCCCGCATAGATCCTTTAAAGGAACCCCATGAGAGCCCTAAACCCTAAGCCCTAGATCCTGAAAGGGCCCTTAGCTAGGCCTCAAAACCCTCTAGAATCCTCCTTATAGAGCCCTTAAAGGAACTAAGAACCATGTAGAGCCCTTATAGATCCCTTAAAGGAACCCTAAGAACCATGTAGAGCCCTTATAGATCCTTTAAAGGAACCCGACGAGGGCCCTTAGCAAAACAAGGCTCAGCGCTTCTCGGAGCTCCGGCAGAGATGTGACCTCCATCGGTTTAGGGCTTACAGTTCAAGGTTTCTTTGGGGTTAGGGTTTAGGGTTTAGGCTTTAGGGTTTAGGGTTTAGGGTTTAGAGGTTAGGGTTTAGGGTTTAGGGTTAAGCGAGGATTAAGACATTTTTTGTGGGACTAGGGACCAGGGTTTAGGTTTGGGGTTCTGTCTGCTGCAGCAATAACCCTGTTAGTTAGGCTCCTTTTCAGTAGATTTAATTACGATGCTTCAGTGGATGTCAGCAGTCCATGCACGAATCGACTCAGAAGACACTATCTGTGAGGTTGGCCCCATTTGGACGTCCCGTGAGTGCCGCTAGAAAGTCGCCCAATGATCCACTGCGCACGAAACTCTTCAGCGCGGACTGCCAGCCACCACTGCTCTCGCATACGTTCTCGATGGGATGCCCGAGCATCGACTCGATGATGTCAATGGCGACTTCGCTAGAGTCGTTTGGCCCGGCGTGGGCGTAACGACTTTACAGCTTTCGTGACGCCGGGGTATGCCATTCCTCCCGGCAAAACGACCACTAAGGCCCTCTCACGGCGCTTTCCGTCGGAGAATGGAAGCGTCTCCAGCACCCTGCCCCCAGATTCGGCTTTCAAGCTGCGGGGGCATGTGAGGATAGCCAAGAGTCGTTCGGGGCGCAATGCGAAGAAAACGATCGTCCCTTCGAAGCGCAGCACCCCATTCGCGTCCTCCCAACTCTCGCTGAGTTCACGCTCCTTTTTCTACCTGCAGCGAGTTTCGGGTTTAGGTTTCAAGCTCAGGGACACTTGCAGGGGGTGAACACTGGTTGTAAACCCCTTGTACTAGGTTGTTGCAGGAGTGTTAGCCATCGTTCTTTTGAACATGTTTCTGGGGCTTAGGGCTCTACGGTTTACGACCTAGATCCTAAACCCTGAACCCTAAACCTAGTTTAAACCCTAGTCCCATAAACGAAGCCATAATGTTGCTGATGCTTCGGGCTCTAGGGTTTAGGGGTTCAGAGTCTAAGGTCTGCCTGGAGCTATTGTACTGTACTATACTATTTCTACTATACTAATGTTGGGATGTCAAAGCTGCTTATATAACCCCAAGGGCCCATGTACCCTTATAGTATATGCATAGGCCCCGAACTAGGTTAAATTGAAAGCCTCAGAGTATACGCAATCTCCTCAATGCTTAAAGGAGCAGCATGTAGATGGCTTCTTGTTTTTCTACTGGTTGGAGGAATTCTCGTGAATTGCATGGTGCCGGGCTCGGCTGGAAGCTCTCTTGAAGAAACCTCTAGCCATAAACCCCTAAGCCCTTACTCCTAAACCCCTAACCCCCTACACCCAGACCGCTGAACCCGAAAGCCCTAAACCCACCATCGTCCTTTTAAGAAATAATGGACAGAGCTCTATACCTATATCCCTTAGTAGGAATTAGTTAAGAAGGTCTACTCGCCGGTCTGTTTATTCCTTCTGGGGGAACCATGAAAAAGGACAAGGCTGCCTAAACCCTTACACCCGAATCCCTAAACACCAAAACTCTACCTTGTTATAAACAGCCCTAAACCAACCCTAATCCCTAAACCTTGCGCTAGATCCCCAAACCTCAGATTCCCCTCTGGGCTTTTAAGTATCCAGGGAGAAAAAAGTATAAACTTGTATTTCATAAGGGAGAATTTCTCTATGGTACCCCAAAGCCCGGCCCTTGAGCCCTTGAAGCCGTGTGCCGACCTGCCGGTTCTTCGAGAGGAAGCTGCGGATTTCTGAGGAAATCGCTCCCTGCCAGCTCAGAATAGCACAGAAGCCTTATATAGTATGGTCTTTCACCCCAAAACCCTGAATATATGAGTCCTTAGAGCCTTAGGGTTCGAGCTTAGTAGGCTAATGGAAAGCCTCGGAGAACCGTGGTGTAGAATTTAGGGCTCCCTTAAAGCGTTTTAGAAGGGTTAGGATTAGTGTAGGGGCCTTAATAATTAGAATAGGGTCTGGAGGCCCATGATACTATAAGTATAGTAAGGAACCTCCAAAATGGTATCGGTAATTATTAAGACCTCTATATTACTTCCAAAGCCCACCCCAAGAGATGCAGTCCCCGAGCCCTAAACCTTGAGCTCCTGATGTTGGCCAGGAGGACCCTCATGTTGGCCCAAGATTTCCCACATCTTGCAGCCAGGAGACCCCTCATGCTGGCCCATGTTACAGCTAAGAAGCAACAACGCAAGCGGGGCCTGCCAACCGCATTGGCCGGTGGTCCCCGTGGTCTGCCCACAGGATTACGAGTTCGGCGAGGTCTGTGGGCCGGGGCCTTTGGGCTCGGTCTCCGACCAGCACCCGCACGATAGCCGCCCGCCTTCGCCTTCGGAGCGAAACTCTGGCCTGTAGTCTCCATTGTAGCTCCTTTTTGGTGCAGCCAGCTTTATTTTGAGGATCCTATAATGGGAATCCCAAACAATAAAAAACACTACGCTGTAGGCTATAGAGGTAGAGCCTGAAGGCTCAGCCCTAAACCCCGAACCCCTAAACCTTAAAACCCCTAAGCCCTAAACCCCTAAACAATCAAAAACACAAAAATGCAATGTAGACTATAGAGGTAGAGCCTGAAATCCCAGCTCCAAACCCCGAACCCGTAAACCCTAAAACCCCTAAACCCTAAAACCTCTAAGCCCTAAACCCCTAACCCCTAAACCCTGGACCCTGAAACCTCAAAATCTGGTGAACCCCCAATTCCTCCTAGAGCCCCCGAACCCTGGGGGTTTAGGGTTTGGGGACACTAAACCCTAAACCGGCTAACTTAACCCTAAACCCTCGGTTCTGAACTCTAAACCCTTACGGGACCCATCTTAACCCTACTTCTCGCTCTCTGCGAAGGGACCTTATGCAGAGGGTTCCGTCAAGGTAGGAGTTAGGCCTTGGAGATATGGGGTACAGGGCTTAAGTAGGGGTTTGGGGTGTTCTTAGGAGTTGGGATTAGGGGGACCCTTAGGGATGTACACCCTCTGAATAAGGTTCCTTTGAAGAGAACCAGTATTGGGGTTAAGACAGGTCCCCTTTAAGGGGTCTCCCTAAAGTTCAGAACTGAGGGTTTAGGGTTACGTTAGCCGGTTTAGGGTTTATTGTTCAGGCGTTGTTGTTGGCGCCTCTCTGGCTCCAGCCGGTTGTCCCGAAGTTAGAACGCCAAGCTTGGCCAATTGTTCAGGGTCTAAGGTTTAGATTAGAAGGGGCCCCCACCCTGTAATAGTGGTATAATAGGAATATGATAGGGCCCTAATATAATCCTTATAGTCACTATTACAGGGTGGGGGCAACTTCTAAGGTTTACCTGGACCCTAAGGAACCTACCTTTTTAAGGACTTATACAAAGAAATCATAGTAGGGAACCCTAAAAAAGGTAGGCTCCGTAGGGTCCAGGCAGAGTTCAGCGGACCGGAATCCCAAACCAACTCCAAAGGCCTGGAACTGAAATTTCAGCATCCTGCAGCCCTGAACCCTGGAAATCGAACTAAACCCCATGCAAGGGTAAAAGGAGGGACCCTTAATAAGGACCCCTAGGTATATACCCTCAATATAGCTATTATATACCCATGATGTTAACCATTAAGGGGAACTAAAAGCTATCCCAAGTCGATACCTAGTAAGCTCCATAGATCCCAAAGCCTATAAAGGGAACTCCAGAAAGTTGGAGTATGGTTTCATGGTAGGATACCCTATAATTTACCATAGAAGGGTTAGGATAATCATATTCCAACTTTCTGGCTTTTACCTTAACCCTCCGCCTCCATGACCTTCTGTGCCCACAACTTGGAGTTGATGCGCCTTTGCCGAGCAGGGAACTGGGTGTCGGGCCGCCCTGTAACATAGGGGCCTTAATAGTTAGAATAGGGTTTTGGGGCCCATTTAGCTATTATTATAGTAAGGAACCCCCCACAATACGACCGGTAATTATTAAGGCGCTTATATGATATGCATGTGTGTGTCTCTCCGGAATTTCGTTTAGGGTGTTTCTGTTTGGGATGTGGGAAGTGGAGCCTCCATCGCAGTACCTCTGTTGGCTTAACTTTTTGCTTTTACAGGGTCCTAACCATAAGCTTGGTTCTCCAAATGAAGATAACCAGGTACAGGTCTGAGCAAGGCCACCGTGCAGTCGCAAAGGTGAGGCCACAGGTGTACATGTGTGGCCCCGAATTGACAGCTTTGCGCGTCTGAACTTGTAGTGCCGGCTGATACGCCTAGCTCCGACTGCTCAACCTGCGGATGCGATGCGGCGGCGTAAGTGGTGGAGCTGCACTTAAAGGCAAGGATCATGGGACTTAGCAACTAGGGTTATAATTAAGGTCACTATACTTATAGTTACTTATAACCCCAATTAAGGTAGTCATAACCATACTTACTAAGTCCCATGATCCTTTAAGTAGCACCCTAAACCCTAAACCCTATAGACCCCTTTGAGGAAGCCTATAGATCCCTTTAAGGAGCCCTTTAAGGAACCATACTTACTAAGTCGCATGATCCTTTAAGCATGCAGGGACAGAGCTTCCGAAATCTCTTAATTAAGGAATATATCCGGGACCCTACTTTAATTTAAGGTATATATTCCTTAATTAAAAGATTTTGGAAGGTCCCTAAACCCTAAACCCTAAACCCTTAATTAAGAGATTTTGGAAGGTCTGGGAAGGGACAGAGCTGAGCTTTATCGACAGCTCCCTGTTAGCCCTGGCGTCGGCGCCTACAATGCACGGTCCAGGTGTCATACTTTATCGTTCTGTTTCACCACAGAGACTCCAAGATCTGTACATGTAAGATATATATATATATACACATACATATATATATATATATACACATATCATACAAATGTGTATATATATATGTATATAAGACTATAAGACAGAGAAATGGCGTCCCACCGACTTCCTCGTGAGTAGCTTGAAGGACCTCTAGATCTGCTCACGATACATGCCCTGGAGACCTTTTACCTGCCTGTTGCGGTTGCTTATTGCATCCAGGGTCTAGAGTTTAAGACACAGGGTTTTGTTTACATGTCAAGACCTACGACATCATCGAGCGACAAGAGGCTCTAACTGACGGCTATACACCCCTTAATGCAAAACTCGACACCCTTAAAACCCTAAGCCGTAAACTCACCCGAAACTTCAACCAGAAAACCCTAGAGCCCTGAACTCTGAAATGCAGAACCCTAAACAAAACCCCACCCTAAAAACCTTTTATAGTACCCTCATAATTATCCTTTAAGGAACCCTTTATAGATCCCGTTTAAGGTATCGGAAACTCCCCTTTACTCCCTCTTTTCTGAAAATCCTCCAGCCCTGAACTCCCGACTCCCGGAACCCTCAAACATCTAAAGACCTGAAAACCTGAACGCAACGGTTGATGATATAAATCCTGCATTACCCTACGGTTGATGATATAAATCCTGCATGACCCATAATAAGGAATATACCATAATTCCTATAGTTTAGAGTCCTTAAGGTAATGCAGGATTTATATCATCAACCGTAGGGACCCTAAACTGTGGGAATTATGGTATATTCCTTATTGCGGGTAATGCAGGATTTCTATCGTCAACCGAAGAAGCTGTAACCCAAAAGGCATGAAACGCTGGAATCCTAACAGAAACCATCGTAATAACCCTACAGTAAGCCTCATAAGACCCAATATGGAATCCTCAGGAGAAATTCCTGAAAGGAACCCAGAAAGGAACCCCGGTACAAGCTTTAAACGATCCTAAACCCTAAACCCTATAGACCCTAAACCCCTTTAAATGATCCCCCAAAGGAACCCTTAACCCTGAACCCCTTTAAATGATACCCCAAAGGAACCCTAAACCTTAAACTCTAAACCCTTTTAAATTATCCCCCAAAGGAACCCTAAACCCCAGACCCCTTTAAATGAACCCCCAAAAGGAACCCGAAGTAGCAAAAGCTACAGCACCCAGACCTTCCAATATTCCTAAACTACTAGGATGCCCGGTAACCTAGGAACAACAAGGGCTCCCGTTTTGGTATTGGGGAACCTAGGACTAAAAAAAGGGCATAAGGGTACTACTGGGCATCCTAGCTTATAAGGAATAAAACGAAATGAAATCACAATGAAGCGATTCCTTATAAATAAGATTTGTAAGGAATATTCCTTTATTAAGGGATATTCATTAATCAAGGTAAATACCTTAATTGAGGTATAGGTATATTCATGAATTAAGGTATATTCCTTTAGTTTAGGCATCTATTCCTTAACTAGGGCATACTGGAAGGTCTGGGCCCTCTCTTCGAGTAGTCTCGGGCTTGCGCCGGAGTGTCTCTGCACAGGACCTGGGAGGAGAAGAGCATGAAAGAAACCTACTTATGAACCTTACTTGTGACTACCCACCAACCTCCAAGTATGGGGTGTTCATGCGGTGCGTAAGGGGGTCGTAAGTTTGAGGTTGAGAGCTCTTGGTGTTTCGGGTTTGGGCTTTGAGGGCTTTTTCGGGTTTGGGGAATGCCCCGGAAACTGGCTCACAGCACGCACGCACTCGCCGCACGCACACACACACACACACCACACACACACACACACACAAACACAAACACAAACACAAACACAAACACAAACACAAACACACACACACACACACACACGTCCAAATCCTAAGTGCTGCTGGTACCATAACTACATGACTGCCAAGGAGAGGTCGTGCTGGTTATAACCGTTGTGAAATATACACATAACCCGCATAATACAACAGTTCTTTGACATTCTTGACATGGTATCGCTGCTGATGGTGCTTTTTGCGATTGCTGTGGGGAGCCACTTGAGCTAGAGATATAGTACCTACCTGTATCTACATGGTTACCGAACCCTAAACCCTGACCTCAAACGCTACACCCTGCACCCCCAAGACCCTGATTTCTATGAACCCGAGGTTGAGTTCTAACCTGTTTTAAAGGTGTAGCACCCCTATAAACCCTTTATGGCACCTTGGCTGACTTCTGAACCCCTCCTAATGGTCAAACTTTTAGCCTCCTTATTATAGTTCATATAGAAACCCAAAAAGTTAAAGTCTAAAGAGCCTACCAGGAGAACGCCAAGGCACCCTTGTCAACCTTCCGGGACAGTCAAAGAAACGCGCATGGAAGACCAAAGCTGAAGAAGTCAAGCGAAGAAGGAGGACGACTGTATTGCTGTATTGATTACTGGGTTTCTGCACGACTTTGTCAAAGTTTTTTTTTTTTGGGGGGGGGGGGTCGATAGGCTTGTATAGATCATTGTAGAGCGTTAGCTTGAGCGTTCCAATACTAAAGCTCTCGAGGCAATAGAAACTCCATGCCCATGCACACTTGAAAGCAGAATCCCACGCATACCCGGACCCTCAAAACGAAGCCGGCAGGGCCAAGTAGGCAACCCCTCACAGTTCCCTCACCCGACATTCTGAGAATCGGGCGCTTTCCTCAAATGCCGACGACGGCAAGTGCCTGCCAGGTCCGAGGTCGTGCTTAGCTTGAGCTACTATAATACGGTGGATGGACAAAATCCTGCATTACCCTAAGTATGCTATGGTACCATAATCCCCATACTTTAGGTATATAGGGCCATGCAGGATTTTGTCTATCAGCAGTATAACCTAGTTTGTGTGTAGCCTCTAATTATATCCTCTATAGAAATCATAGGGGTCCTACACAGGTACGTTTCGGTAGGCGAAGGTAAGCCATACTCCTACTCGCTAAGCTGGGACCAAGGGCTAGGGCTTACTTCTTGAAGTCCTCTCACGGTTTAGGGCCTTTGGGTTTAGGGTACAAGAAACGAGAAGGTTAGGGTTTGGGGTTGAGGACTCCAGGATTGGAGTTTCGCCGAGATATGCTGGACACTGTCTGTGCTTCAATGGGGTTTGGCTGACGTGCCTTTATCTGACTTGGGGTACCATATTAGGGTCCCCTATTCTCGGAAACTCCCATATGAAACGCAGGGTCATTCGGTACCCCGAAACAGCTCTGTAAGGACCTGGATAATTAAGAATCGATGCTTTTCTCAATCAGCTTCCTACAGCCAAACCCTCTGATGCCTAAAGCCATAAGACCTTCATCACATCGAACACCCAAAGCCCTCAGCCTCAGCTTACCTGCATCAAACCCTATACGGCTTAGACCTGATCCCCAAATTCTGTAGCCTAAACCCTCAACCCTTGACCCTAAACAATAAAGCCTAGACCCTTAAATCCTCCACCCTAAGCCCAATAATGCCGAAATCCCAGAGCTCAAAGACCCTAAACCCTAAGCCCAAGGATGCCGAAATCCCAGAGGCCTAAGTCGTGGTTCCAAACCCAAGGTCCAGAGGCATGCTTTGGGTACGGCCCCCATACAGTAACAGTCTATGATACTTGGAGGGTCGGGGACTTAGCAAATAGTTGTTCTATAGAGTTATAAGTATCATAACCCCAATTAGGGTCCCTATTAAGGTACTTATAAGTCTATAAAATAACTACTTACTAAGTCCCTCGACCCTCCAAGTATGGATTATGAATATTATCCAACTGTTACTGAGAGGGGGCAGTACGCAAGCCATGCTCCTAGATGAGACCTTCTTTGGTTTCTTTACGGGCTTGGGGTCCAGGGCTTCAAAACTACTGTTGATGATATAAATCCTGCATTACCTTAAGGTCCCTAGACTATGGGAATTATGGTATACTCCCGATTATGGGTGATGCAGGATTTATATCATCAACCGTAGGGCTGCCTTGGAGGGACTCTCGGGTTTTATGGTAGGTTCCTTTAAGGGTCCAAAGGACCCAACAGTTTCGAGAATGAGCTGCTTGAGTTCGGGAGCGGAGAAATCTAGGCTAGGATTTGGGAAAGTACATCACTGGAATTATAGTATCCTTAAGGGAGGGGGCTCCAAGGGGGGTATAAAGCCTAGTGATCCCTAACTCTCCCTAGTACTCCCTAAGGTTCCCCTAAGGATTCCTTGTACCCTCCCCCCTTGAACCACCCCCCCTTAAGGATCCTATAATGGAAGGTGCCTGGACCCCTTCGGGTTTTGAGCTGCATCTAAGCCTCTACGACTTCTCTCGAAGATGGGAGCGCAATCGCCTGAACCTGAATCCTTCTACCAAAACAGGGGCCTGAAGACTTAGTAGTGCATAGAGGTTGGGTACTGCCCCCTCTCAGTAGCAGTTGGATAATATTCATAATATAGACATACTAGGACCTTAAAAGTATAAACAAAAACTGTTAGTTTCGATATAACAGTGGTTCACATGCATATTTCAAGCATGAGACGATTCAAGTTTATGTCAATGGCTAGAGGGTGTAGGGTCTAGGGCTTAGGGTTGAGGGTTCGGATTCTGAATTGGCCGTCTAGGACGACCTACACCTTTCTCCGAAAACCTCCCGTTGCAAGCCAAGGGACAGCTTTGCCGCACTTCCCCACGAAGGGGTCTCCTGCTGCCGCACTCGTCGTGGAAATGACTCTAACACCAAACTCTTAACCAAGAACTGGCTTGAGGGTTTGTATGGTTTAGGGTCGTATGTATCTTCGACCATGGTGATGTGGGCGCTGTAACAGCAAGGGGGTTGACCCCTAATTTCTTAAACCTCCTTTTAAAATTTTATCTGCTCTTCAACCAATCGCGAAGACAGTTCCCCCATTGCCTCTGGGCTTCACTGATGGTCGGAACCCATAATGTAGATCCTTGATAGCTGCCGACCTACGGGTCCAAGTGCCCAACTAGAAGGGTTCAGGTACCAAAAACCCATTCACAGTACAGTAATGTAGACCCTCTCTTAACTCAAAGGATAAAAGGAGGGACCCCTAATAAGGACCCCTAGGTATACACCCAAAATATAGCCTTGATATACCCGCTATATAGCCCATTATAGGATAGGGGTCCCCATGAAGGGTCCCTCCTTTTCCCCTTTTGATTAACGGGCCCTGAGTTTTGGATCCCTATCCTCGTTGCATTAAGGGTTTAAGGTTTAGGGGTTTAGGGGTAGGGTAGGGTTTAGGGTTTAGTGTTTCGGGTTTTTAGGGGTTTAGGGTGTAGGCTTAAGGGGAGGGGAATCTGGGACCTATTTGGCTACTCGGGCCAGCCTAATTCAGGGCCACAGCAGGGGGCTCTCTCTTTCTCCCTCTCTTATCCCGCTCCCCGTGTCTAAAGCACATATATAGAACTGTATACTACGAATATATATATATATATATATATATATATGTCTTTGTGTGTGTGTGTGTGTGTTTCAAGTACGTACGATGCACTGCTTCCGGTCAGTGAACCTGGAAACCCTCGTAATTAGTACCTTACCTCTCCAAACCCCATACCCCAAGCCCTCAAGCAACCTAACCCTTATAACCCTAAACCCTAAACCCCTGAACCTTAAACCCTAAACCCTAAAACCCTGGATGCCAACCCCTGAGGCGCAACCACTTGAAATATCTTCGCGTTAAGGACTCTTGGCGCAGCCACACATGTCGACTCCTCGGCGCTGCACGCTTCACAGGAGAACCAAGCAGCAGAGGCTGAGAACCTTGAGGAGCCATGAGGGCTTGTGCTAGTGCTTAGTTTAACCTTCAGGCTTTGAGGGTTTTGAGTTCAAACACTTGACAGCTTTCGGTTTCGGAGTTTAGGGCTTGGCAGGAATCAAACTTTTTCGCTCGGTCAAGCAGTTGCGTCTTTGTTTGGGGTGTGCAAGAGACAGAAGCCTTCCCAAATGAAATCGCTACTCCTTCGGATTCAGAGGTTTGCAGGGCTATTGTGTCGGGACCCTATACGACTTCAATGGTTTGAGGTCAAACATAGGCGTGGTAAGGTTTCAGCGGTTTACACAGCGGATACATGTAAGGGTATTTAAAACGGCTTGATTAATATCAAGGTTCTAGGCGGGGTCTTTGCGAATTCTGGGTTGTAGAAGGCTTCACGGGTGCTTTCACTGGTTTGGGGGTTTACAATGACAATGTTTAGAGTTGTCAACTGTAGCATTAGAAGTTGAGGGTTCATAAGGCTTAAGCTTTTGGGCTTAGAAACTTTCGTAAGGTTTGAAGGTGTTGGGCGCTCGGGGTGTGGGACTAAGGGTTCCTGTACTTCGTACTCATCTGCGCCCAGGTGGATGCTAGCGCTCAGGAAGAGCTTACGTGCTTTGTTTCTATTAGTCGGAAAATTTTCCGAGAAGACATGTGAGACCCCTAAACGCTAAACCCCTAGTTAAACCCCTAGACCCTAAAACCCTAAAACCCCAAAACCCTACAGCCCGAAAACCCTGCAAACAACCCCCCCCCCCCCCCAAGGGCGCACCTGAGGCGCTTCGCTTGGTGTTCGGCGCCTGGACCGCCTCAAGCTCGGCGGCCACCTGTTGCAGACTTCAATGGTTCCTTTGCCTTTTAAAGGGAACCTTTTGGGGTTCTATAAGGGGATACGATAAGGGTACTACGGTTGATGATATAAATCCTGCATGACCTTAAGGACCCTAAACTATGGGAATTATGGTATATTCCTTATTATGGGTAATGCAAGATTTATATCATCAACAGTATGATATAGGGGCCTTAATAGTTAGAATAGGGTTTGGGGGCCGTTATGCTCTAATTATAGTAAGGGACCCCTCAAAATAGTATTGGAAATGATTTAGGCCCCTGTTTCAGGGTTTAGAAATTGCAGGGTTTATGGTTCAGGGTTTAAGGTTTAGGCTGTCGGGCTTAAGGTTTCAGCGTTAGGGTGGCGGTGGTGAGGATTTTGCGTTGCAGTGTTTAGGTCTGTTGCGGTTTGGGGGAAGGCCGTCTGCAAGGCTTCATTCCGCTCAATAACTGGTCTTTGTGAAAGAAGTGGGCTTGTTTATTTGATGAGGGCGCCTAGAGAGTTAGGACTTAGGGTTTAGGGTTTCAAAGGCTACTTTACGGGTCATGTACAGTAGCTTTTGCTCTGTACTGCATGGTATACTGCTTGGCAGGTTGTTTCGCGATTGCCAAGGTCTGATATAGGTTAGCAAAGTTTTGTTGGGGGGACTTAATAAGCTTATTCAGGTTTCGCAATTCACAAGTTCCCGCGATTGAACTGTATAGGTGCTTGGGATTAGGGCATCTGGGCTCTTGATGGAGAGATATTGGGATCTACGTGGTTTGGTAGGTCTTGCCCCACCCCAGTAGCCGATTGGTGAGCTTTTAGAGCCACAAATTCCGTTCAGGCTCAGTATTTGAGACCTAGAACCCTACTACTTGGATGATCGGACCCCCTAAGTTTGCTGTCCAACCCTGTATATCCATGTCAAACCCTTGTCAAAACAATACGATTTGTCGGACGGAAGTATCAGTCATGCTAAAATTATGATGACTGCAATTTACATACACAGCCAGACCCATTCTGCTTATCGAGCCCTAAGGGTCCATGTACTCATTTTGTATATACATTGGCCTTAATGTAGTCCCTACTTGGGTACTTTGGGGCGCATGTATCTCTATATGGGCACATGGTCCCTTAGGAAAGGCCTCCCGGTACGGTTGATGATATAAACCCTAAGGACCCTAAACTATGGGAATTATGGTATATTCCTTATTATGGGTAATGCAAGATTTTTATCGTCAACAGTATGAAACCCCATAAACTGGATGCATCTTAAAAGATCATGGGACTTAGTAAGTATGGTAGTTATAAGAACCTTAGTTGGGGGTATAAGTAATTGTACGTGTAGTTACCCTACTAGTAATAACCCCAGTTACTCAGTCCCATGATTTTCCAAGAAGGCCCTAAACCCTAAACCCTATAGATCCCACTAAGGAACCCTACAGATCCCTTTCAGGAGCCCTTTAAGGAACCCCAGTTACTAAGTCCTATGATTCCAAGGGTAAAAGGAGGGACCCTTAATACAGACCCATAGGTATATACCCTTAGCCTTAATATAGCCATTATATACATTAGAGGTTAGGGGTCCCCATCAAGGGTCCCTCCTTTTCCCCTTTGAATGATCCTCCAAGTGGGATGTCTGCATCTGGGAGACTCAGGGTCTGGGATTTAGAACCAGAAAATGCAGAGCTATGTGGGAGCTTCCGAATTAGGGGTTTGGGGGTTTATGGGTTTAGTTTTCTTTTTTGTTGGGCCCTCTTTTCCTCCTGCCCGTTCGGGTTTAAGATTTAGGGTTTAGAGGTTTATGGGTTTAGGATTTAGAAGAAGGTTTGCAGAGCTATGCTGGGTACGGCCCCCATACAGTAACAGTCTATAATAGGGCTACTTTTAAAGTCCTAGTATATCTATATTATCAGCTATGTGGGAGTTTTCGAAAATTGGGGGTACCCTATTTTGGGGTCCTTAGAATCAGGATCCTACTATTTAGGGAACTATATTAGGGTCCCCTCTTTTCGGAAACTCCCGTATGCAGAGTTCACGACTCTGTGTTTGCATTTCGGGTGCATGTTACACTGTTAAATTTTACATGTATATGCGTAATCTGATGCGCTTGCATCTGGTCCATACCATAGAGGTCTCACCGGCACCCCACATACCGTACTATGATGGATTTAGGACAGCGCTATATATTACATGAGCCCATGGACCCGAGACCTGTTGAAGCTGGGAGTTGAATCTGCAGACTGGGTCTCCAAGAACCCGGTGCCGTCTCGGCTGCTGGAGGATGCGGGGACTCAGTATAAAGCAAGGTTTGGGGTTTAGGGCTTAGGGTTTAGGGTTATGAGTAATTATTGGTACGTTAATCATGCAGCGGGATTCTACAGCACCTATAATCCCCACTTACGCAGTCCCCGGATACTTTAATGGATCGCAGCTCTGAACGTGCACTGTTTGACTGCTACTGCTGCCGTCGCCACCATTCACCCTCTCTGGAAGCCTTCTAAATCTCAATGCCACGCTGCGAACCCCCCCACAAACAAATACGAGCCCCTGAACCCTAACCCCCAAACCTGAAACCTTGAAGCCCTGAACCCAAAGTGTAGCGCCCTAAAAACCCCAATACTACACCAGTCTGAGTATGCGAGAAAAACTAAAGAAAAACATTCCCCAAAATCCGGGCCTCTATCAAATCCTGGAAATGGGCCGGTAGTCGACTGATGGGCCTCGGCAGGAACCATAACTCCGAAACCCATTCATGACGCAATGTGATACGGGTCTTCAGGATTTATAGGGTATTCGGGCTTCGGGTTTACATTTTATAGTTTTAGGGTTCAGGGTTTGGGGCTTGATGTTTAGGGCTTATCCCTCTTAGGGTTAAGGGGTCGGCCTTCAGGAGTAGAACTTTATACAGGGAGACAGGTTTGAAAAAAAGGGTTGAGGTGCATGCATATTCCATTGATCGAAGAAAAGGATCGTCTCCTTGAATTGTTTGAGCTTCGTACGTACATGCTCTCAAGAAGCCGTAACATAGGTGCCTTAATTCATCGGGTTTGGGGGGGTCGGTTTTGTTTGCAAAATTATTCAGAACACGCAAGGGATCAGTTTACTAATTTTTCCGAGCAGTAGCAATGCATGGAGGAAGGGATTTCTGAGTGCTCGAGGAGGGGGTTGGACTTTCTACAAAGGGGAACCGAAGGTTTACAAGTTTCCCAGCGCCAACATGTTTGGGAACCCTTCTTCTGCGTTGCTGTACGGTTTCAATAGTCTGTCTCTATAAGGTGCGACAGCGATTTATAACGGTTTTGTAAAACACTAACACTGTCGGGCGTTTTGGCGCTTGTGTTGTTTGTTGGCTCCCCCCTAAACCATCCTAAACCCTAAACCCCCCCACACCGCCCGGAGCGTACTTGGGTTTCAAGCTGAGCAAGCTTGGGTAGGGTTTGTTATTCCCTTATATGGTATAATGCGGAAATAGCCAAGTTCTCCTGCTTATAAACCCTACTTATAGCTACCCATGAACCTCCAAGAGGGGATCTTTGTAGGGTCTTGCTCTGGACAACGCAATAGTTGCAGAATTCACCCATGGTGGTAGCAGAGAATAGTAGTGTCGTTGTTGTCGTTGCTGTTGGCGGTGGTATTGTACTAGTCCTTGTACCGGCACTGGAATACTAGTGCTGCTAGAAGAACTAGGAGAACTGGCAGTAGTACTGGTGCCACCACCGTCAACGAAAACAGCAAAAGCAACAGCAGCATCAACATGACACTCTTCAGCTCTTGAGGCGCCCAAGTCGCCAATGCTACATACTTCTAAGTTTCTTGCTTCCGGGTTCATGCGGGTCCAAAAATCTGCGAGTCATCCTCCTCCCAAAGCCCTCTAAACCCTGAAGCTAAAACCCTGAACCGTCATCGCCTCTTTTTGTCCTCGCGGCTCCTTGCGCATAGGTTGTTGAAGCTGCCAGCTGGCAGGCAGGGGGTCGCAGCTTAGGGCGTCGGCGGGCAAGCGTTTCAAGGCTTAGCGTCTACGGTCGAGGGTTTACAGTGAACCCCAGAAAGTTGGAACATGGGTTTAGGAGGATTCGTGCTAGGATCCCTTATACTTTACCTTAAGGGCACGAGGAGAATGATGTTCCAACTTTCTGGCTTCTACTATAGGGCTTCAGGGTTCCAGGTTTTTGCCCCAGGGCTTAATTAAAGTGTTTCAAGCTTACATTTTTGCATAGCTGTCCAGTATCCTGAGGGAACTAAAGGTTCGCCTTCGGGATATTCTACAGGTCTATAGTACTGCCCAAAAAGGTTGAGTGGTTCCTTGCTGTGCTACCTGGACCTTGTATGGAAGTCGCCTTCGAACCCTAAACCCCATTCCCAAGCCCTGAAACCCCGAAAGCAGCATGAGGGTACTCGGGGTGGACAGAATGGTAGCAAGACCGAACAACAGCACAGTTTGCGACAGTACCGGCTTTTGTGATTATATGTTCGACTGGTTCGCATATTTGTGCTACTTTATCCGACAGTGTCTATGCTAGACCCCCTATATCCTTTCAGGAGTGCTTCTGACCTAGGGCGCGAGATCTACTCATGTAGGTTGAGAAACGCTTCTCAATCAAGGGCGTAGGGTATGGTGTAGAGGGCGTGCGCTCACTTGTAGCCCTTGCCGAAGTTGCTGTTGTACTTGCCCTTCCCCGGCCTGGGTCCAGAAGAACCAGAACAAAAAAATGACATGGCTTTGAGGCTCGCTATAAGCAGCTCTTCAGGCCTATACATCACTAAGAGCCCAGCAACCAGGAGCGCCGCCCAAACAAACTAAATCGTCTACTACTTGGAGCACTGGGAAACCCCTAACATACTTTCAACAGCATGCTCCTGGCTCAGACACTGAGAAACCCTGAACCCTAAGCCCCAAATCCCAAACCCTAAAACCGGGCTTTTAAGTAACCAGAGAGAAAAAAATCCCTTGTATTTCATAAGGCTTCCTAAACAAAAGAGTTAAAGTATGGTACCCCAAAGCCCAGAAAACCCAAAACCGAAAATCGAAACCCTGAACTCAGCGTCCCTCCCAAAAAAGACTTGAAGATCCCCACAGACTACGGCATGTATCTTAACACTACTTGGAGGTTCATGGGTGGGGTTAGAAGTCCCCTAAAATGGGTTATGCCTATAATTCTCCTAGTTATAACCCTACTTATAACTACCCATGAGTCCTAAAACCTATACCCTTATCGAATCCCTATAGATCCCTTTCAAGGACCCCTATAAACCCGACTGTTAACCACCCATGAACCTGAAAGCGCACCAATGACTGCTGAGGCTCCGGGGTTTCCAGTAGAAGCCCAAAAGTTGGAAACCCAATTTGGGCTGGGTTTTAGGGTTCCTTTAAAGGGATCTATAAGGGTCCCTTTAAAGGGATCTATAGGGTTTAGGGTTTAGGGTTTAAGGAATAGCCCAAAAGTTGGAAACGCAATAGCCGAAGTCCTTGAGAGTAATGTATAGGGAATCCCAGCACTATTCGGCCTATATCCGGTGTCCAACTTTATGGAGTTTACTGTAGGTTGAAGGTGCAAGGCTTGGGGTTTAGAGTTTTGGCTTTTCGGCGATTGTAAGGACACTTCGGAGGATTTCAGGGGCTCCAGGGTTCAGGGTTTGGGTTTAAGGTTTAGAGTTCAGAGTCTAGGTTTTGGTGACCATGGACAGTTTAGCGTTTAGGGTTTGGGGTTCAGAGTTTACCCTAAGGCCCCAGAGGCCCCAAAGTAGTTCCTTCTTGGATTACCTTATAGAGTTCTATATATGAATCCCAAAAAGGAACTACTTTGGGGCCTATGGGTAAGTTTCTGGCGATTATGGACACTTTAGATCACTTCAGGCTGTGCTTGGAAGACTGTAGCTTCCACCGGAAGGGACGTGGGCTCTGTGGGTGCGGGAGAACAAGAATCAATCACAAAAGTCAATGTACGTCATCAAGATTCCTAAGAAGGAAAAACCCTGAAACCCATGATATATCTCCCGTTTATATATATATATATACACACACAGTACTATAACATACCTGTACAAATACACCCACCCACACACACACACACTTACCTGTTACTCTTACGCATACAGAACTAAAGTCCCTTTCAAGGTCCTTGTTGTAAGGGGGCCGTATTATCTTGGGGACCTACACGGGCACCCTAGGTTTTTCAGAAGGACCCATATCTACCTTACCTCCTTGGTCCGTGGCAAAGTTTGGATTTGGGTCCGTTGTTCCCAGACCTTTCAAAACCCCCTTCCAAAATCCCTTTAATTAAGTAATATACCTTAAATCATATTAGGATCCCTATTACAGTGAAAACTGTATAAGAACCCACTGTTTAAGAACCTGAGCCCCGACCCAGGCGGAATTCAGAAGTTCCTATTACTACGATTTACGGCATATTCCTTAATTCAGGAATTTTGGAAGGTCCGATTTTGGTCCAGTGCAGCCGAGCAGCGGCATGCCGCCTTTACCTCGGCGTGTCTGCAGGGCCCCTCCTCCCCAAAAACTCGGGGTACCTTATATTGAGGTCCTTATAGTAAGGATCCTACTATTTAGGATCCTAAACAAGGGTTCCCCGTTTTCAAAAAACTCAATTCAGGAACACCCAAGACCCGATTTAGGGTTTAGGGTTTACGTTGCCTGCTTGTTGTTTGTATTCTTTGGGGGTTAGGGTTTAGGGTTTTGGATTTAGGGCTACGGTTTAGGGTTAAGCGCTTAGGGCCCAAAACCTTGAACTACAAAATCCATCTATTTTGCAGGGTCACTATAAATCCTATATCGGGCTTGATACTAGGAGCATACAAGAAATTTTCTGGTGCCTTGTACAGCCTAACCCCAATTCTCCACGTGCATCCCAAACCTTCCAAAATCCCCTGTTGCAGGAAGAAATACCTTAAATCATATTAGGGATCCAATTAGAATTTAATGTATATTCCTTGATTAACTAGGATACCCAGTAACCTAAGAATAAAAAGGCCTCTCTTTTTGGTATTGGGTAACTTTATAAGGAACCTAGGACTACAAAAAGGGAATAAGGGTACTACTGGGCATCCTAGTTAAGGGATGTTGGAAGGTCTGGGTTGTGCAAGCTACACTTCGGCCCTGAGGCCCAAGAATGACAAGCCCTTCATGCATGGGCTGCAGACTTGAAAAACCCAGACCTTCCAAAATCCCTTAATTAAGGAGTATACCTTAAACGAAAGTAGGGTCCCTAATATAATTTAAGGTATATTCCTTGATTAAGGGATTTTGGAAGGTCTGGGAACATCCTGGCTGCAGAGAACCGTTAAAGGACCCTTCTACAAAAAACAGACTAAAGTCCTTTGTAAAAGCATGCGAAATCTGTATTGAACATCTTTCTACATCTGTGGTTTGCAAACTTGCGAACCGGGTTGCCACCACCACCAGGACCCATGCAGCCTGCTAATGAGGGCTCCACAAAAGCTTCAAAGGGTGCGTTGAGGCTTCTATCAGGGTTTAGCAATGGTGCCATAATGGTTTAGGGTTTCGCTATCCAAAGCGCAGTACGTGGACCTAACGCGTAGACTCTAACAGCTTTGCCAACTACGCTGTTATGCCTAATGTTTGAGGGTTTCGGGATTGAAGACATAGTTGCTTACCAAGAGGGTCGATCTGTACTACCATCATGGAACCACTGAATATCCCCTCGAAATGCCATCGTTGTTGTGGTTTCTGGAGCCCATGTCCGGCATGGTGGTGGATACGGAAACTGGCCCATAGCCATTTCAGGCCATTCAAAACGAACTGCAAAAACCCTGTCTATCCTATCCCTTAAAGCCCAAATCCCCAAACCCTGAATCAACAAAAATTAAACCTCAGGCTCGAAACTCTCAAAACCCTCAAGCCCTGTGTCGCAGTACACCCGAAACCTTCGGCCCCACACCCCCAAGACTATACTGAACTTAGAACCCTAGCAAACTTATAATTTTAGCTGTTTCTTAGGGATTATATAATAACAAAAAAACTCAAAATTCTTCCTAAGACCCCTAAGCCAAGAGGTGGCCTCCCTTGCCGCCGCCCCAGCAGCCGCCAAAGCCCTTGCCGTCGTAGCCCTGACCAGGAAGCGCAGTGTAATGTGGAATGCTGAAGGTTTCGGGTTTAGGGTTTAAGGTTTCGGGTTTAGGGTTTAAGGTTTAGGGTTTAGGGTTTAAGGTTTAGGGTTTAGGGTTTAAGGTTTCGGGTTTAGGGTTTAAGGTTTAGGGTTTAGGGTTTAAGGTTTAGGGTTTAGGGCTTAAGGCTTATAGGGTTTAGGGTTTAAGGTTTAGGGTTTAGGGTTTAAGGCTTATAGGGTTAATGTGGAATACTGAACTATTAGATTTGGGAGTTTCCGAATTAGGGGTACCTTATGTTGGGATCCTTACAGTAAGGATCCTACGGTTTAGGAATTTAGGGTTTAAAGGGGGGTTTAACGTAGGAACCAAGAAACCCTGGGCCTATAACCGCAGAATAATAGGATTCATGTAAGGAACCCGAATAAAAGCCCAAGGTTTCCTAATCAGGTTCCTACATTACTGAGTTATTGGATTTGAGGCTGGAGAACTTAATGTTCCCATTTGCTCACGCCTGGTTTTTCGTCCACGGTTCAGAGTCTAGGTCTTTGGCTCGGAGGCCTCAAAAGGTGGGATGAAGGTGGGTAGGATCAAGGATCCCTTATATAAGGACTCTCATTTGGGAATATCCCACCTACCTTCATCCCACCTGTTGAGGACTCCGATTGGCTGATGGTCTAGGGCGTGTATGGATTAGGCGTCTAGGATTGCGGGCTCAAGGGCTCAGGACTTTCTTCGGGGCCTAGGTTTGAGCGCTAACGTTTAGGGCTTTGATCCCTACTTGTCGGGATCATGGGGAACTAAAGGTTAACCTTTTTGGCTTTTTCCCGGAATATATGGAGACTATACTACCCAAAAAAAGTTAAAGGTTACCTACCCTACTACTAAGGATTTTTGGGCCTGGGGTGTAGGACTTACGGATGCTGCATGGCCCGTGGGGCCAGGCGCGGCCTTTGAATGTCGCAGAGCCTATAAGTGTCATAGTTGAGGTTCCCAGATCGAGACATGTCGAGGATGAACAACGAAAAAAGCATGCCGTAAGGTAGTTCGAAGCTTCAGGAAACAGAGTTCAGCTTAGCTCGAAGCTGCGGCAAACGGATTTAAAAGTTTAGCTAGCCCGAGGCTTTCGCAAAACAGCTTTGGGGCGTTCTAGGCTCCGGAAACGAGGACCCACGGTTGCATTATAGGGAGCTGAGTAATTGGAATAGGGTTTGGGGATGTTGGGGGGGGGGGTCCAGTATGATAAGGGATTGTTGCAAGAAAATACCTAAATATTTAGGCCTCTATTCTTCAGTGTTGTCTTATAAATGCAGGCGTTGGAAGGAACGTCTGACAACACAAAAACCCGGATGACTACCAAGACTCAAACGGAGCCCCCGTCCCAAGACTTTACTTAAAGGATCAGGGGATTTAGAAAGTAGGGCTGGGTAAACTAATTATAACCGCAAATAATTCCAACTCCAACTAGGCTCCCTACAACCATGCTTACTGGCCACGTGGTTCTCCTGAACCTGAAGCCCTGTCCAACCCTATAAGCCTGTAATCGAAACAACATAGATACAACACAAATTATAGATATTGCTATTATCATATGTGGTATTTTGTTTTTGTTAGCATTAGCATTATTGCACCCTTATGCCACCGTTACAAGACAAAGCCCTCTCAGAGCCCAAACGGCACACCCTTTGGCCTGCATGGGCCAACCACCAGGACCTGGCTTCCCTTTGCCACCCTGCGCAGGGTTTAACTACTAGTAGGATTTCTACACTGGCTTCTTTAAGGGTTATAATCGGGTAACCATGTGAGTGACTACAGCGGCTACTCACAGGATTCAAGAACTAGGGATCTTACGGTATTGAACATTGCTGAACCCTGAAATAGAATTTTGGGGCTGTAGGGTGCAGGGCTTCAGGGTTTGAATGTTTCGGGATTATCGAGGGTCGAATAACCCCAAGGCTCCATAGACTGAGTCTTGGATTTTGGATGCATGCTATTGGGTCCAAGGACCGTGCGTGCTAACTTTGGGGAGGATATATGTTGAGACTGAGATAACCATGTCTGGGAAACTGATATGCAAACCTAGGTTCCCCAGCAGTCTGTACAAGCGGAAACCAAAAGACACTAGGGAAAGGGTACTCCCGAGGCACTTGAGGGAGGACTACCTAATTAAGCCTAACTAAACCTTTACCGGCATGTACGGCTCGTGGAAACCCTACACCCTCAAATTAGGTGTAAAGTTCTTGCTGCTCTTCTCGGGAGGTCACAAATAATCTGGTTAGCGTGGTTACGGGGCAATGGCTTTTGGGGGATCCAGACTTGTGTTTTGAGGCTTCGGCTTCTAGGTTTACCTATACCCGCATTGTTACGACTATAAGGGAACAGCATTATATGCTAAATCTTCTGACGACTATATGCTAGAAGCCCTACACCTAAAGACCCATGCTACAGAATAACATCCAACAACCCCTAAGACCCTCACACCCTAATTTTGTAAAACTCTAACACAACACCCTTCGTGAACAGCGCGAGACATCGGCAGCTGACGGGCTTCACCCGGATGCTTGAGCAGCGGCTTCGCCCTGAACTCGGCAACACTCACACCCAGACCTTCCAAAATCCCTTAATTAAGGAATATACCTTAAATTATAATAGGGTCCCTAATATGATTTAAGGTATATTCCTTAATCAAGGGATTTTGGAGGGTCTGGGCACCTCCTGGCCTGAGCAAAACGCTCAGCAATCTCGGGATCAGAAGTGTATCTGATCCTTTCCAGCCTGCCCCGGGCCAGCCCTGGTAGTTTGTGTAGTGGAAAGTGTGCTTCGTGAATGACTGGATGTTCGGCGTCAGCCGCATCGCTGAGGAGGCAGATTTGACATCGAGATACATCTAAGAAGAACATCAGGCAAATTGAAAGAGCCAGCAAAGTGCCAGGCAATCTACTATTTGCTTAAGAACCACCCAAAATATAAAAAATATATTCCTTATAGGGATAATATAGGTATTATTATTTTTATTTTGGGGGGGTTTCTTAAGCAAATAGTAGCAATCCCCAATTTGACAGTGTGGAAGAGGTCGCGCTGCAAGCTGCTCTGGGGCTCCCCCAATGTCAAAGGAATCGTACGAACTCTCGAGAAACCATTCCTCTTGTGGGGCTTCCTTACCCAGAGAGCCCAATACCCCTTAATTAAGGAAGATGGCTTAAATTATATAGGGCTTCATATTATGATTTAAGCTATATTCCTTAATTAAGGGGTATTGGGTTCTCTGGGTATAAAATCAGAAGTAGTATATAGTATAATGGACCCCAAAACCTGTTCTTATTGGAATAGTATAGGTACTTAGACCCCCATAGTATAGTGGTCACCCAAACGGGAGACATCGAAACATCCTCCCACGGTAGCTCAGGGGCCTCGGGTGCGAATGCGAAATTCTTGTCAAACCCTTAAACCTCCAGAGCCCGAAACGGTTTAGGGTTTAGGGTTTAGTCCCTAAACCTCTACAGTCCAAAACCCCAAAAAAATCCCTGAAAGACACTCTTAAAGGGACCCTGATAGAAACCCTTAAAGGACGACCGTGGGGTTTTCTGATATCGAAACCCTGAAAGGAGCCCTCAACCTCCCAAATTCCCAAAGCTCCCAGTGCGGCCTTGGGATCACCACGCATACATTCATAGGGACCCTTAGGGGGGTTAGGGACAGGGGGGGGGGGTATTGTATGGACTATTAGGGGGGTAGGGGGGAAAGGGGACGATACTTCCTCAAAAAGGGCTTTATTACGGGCATTAGAACCCTAAACCTTGAACCAGGCCTCCTCCTATCTCCCCGCTCCCCCTACCCCCAATCGGGCCCCAAAACCCTAAACCCCACGAAGTTCTGAGCCTTAAACTCTCCAAAGCCCAAAAGCCTGCAACCCTAAACCCCTCATAGAAACCCTGGAAAGGGCCCTTAAAGAAACCCAAAGGAACCCCTACAGGAATCCTTAAAGTGACCCTTAACGGAACCCTTCAACCAACCCTTAACGGAACCCTTAAAGTAACCCTAAACCCCTTGTAAAAACCCCTACAGGAATCCTTCAAGCAACCCTGAAAGGAATCGTTGATAAGGGTACCTAAACCGAAAAAAACGGAATAAGGCCCTACTCTGGGTCCTAGACCCGTAGAGGAACCCTAAAGCCCTTTATAGAAACCCTTAAAGGGACCCCTAAAGCCATAAAGGAACCCTTAAAGGGACCCTTGAAGGAACCCAAGAAAGGCCTTCGGATCGGCGTAGCCTTTGATCGGGCCTTTCTGGCCGTATCCTCGGGCCACGGTTTAGGGTTTAGGGTTTAGGGTTTAGAGCTGTACTTGGAGGCTCAAGGGTAGTTATAAGTAGCGTTATAGATATTCTTATCGTCGGGCAACTGTAGTTATAACCCATATTAGGGGGCTTATAACCCCACTTATAACTACCCATCAACTTCCGCCGAGGAGAGCGCAGGGGCTTCCCGTAAACCTCAACCCAGGGCTTTAGGGTCTAGAGGGATATGGGTCTATGGGGTTGTGAGGTGTACGGCTTTGGGGGTTGATGGAGTTTCAGGTTTGGGGGCTTAGGGTTTATGGCTTGGGGTTGCAACATCCCAGCATTAACATGGCTGCCAGGAATGACTTGAGACTGGATGGTGGGCCCTTGCCCGACTCAAACCCTAAAACACCACAAATACTCGGATGTGACCCTGAATTGTACGGAGTCATCCCAAAAACCGTATTTCAGCCACAGCCTCTAAACCCCAAAAGCCTGTGCCCTAAAACACAGGCCCCTCAAGCCATAAAGGCAAACTAAACACAACCCCAAACCCTAAACCCAATGCCCTAAACCACAGCCGTCCCTACTTGTCGGGTACCATGGGGAACTAAAGGTTAACCTTTTGGATACACAGGGGTTACTGTACTACTAGGCTTCTCAAGACAAAATCAAGAAAACTGCGAATCTGAGATCGCCGCCTTTCTGTCCAGATCCCGACGGCTGAGCAGAAGGATTGGCTCTTTGGGGCTCTGTTGTTTTTCAGAATAGGGGGTTAGGGTAACGGTTAGGGTTTAGGGTTTAGGGGGTTGTAGGGAAGTCTACGGTTGGTCGGGTTAGGTTAAGAAAGGGTGTTATAATGACGTTTATGGTTGTTCGGGTCAGGTTAAGCAAGGGGGGTTTATAGGGAGCGTTTCTATGGTTGTTCGGGTTCTGCAAAGGGAAAGGTGTGGGTTATAGAGATTTTCACGCTATTGGTTTGCGGGGGGCTTGAACAAGGCTCGTTGGAGACGAGGAAGCCACGGGCTTGAGCTCCGCGTCCAGTGCTGGGTTGTGAGGTATGACAAGTTAGAGTGTGCAGAGATGAGACTTTCAGATGTCGCGGTTGAAAATGAGGCTAAACTTACCCATAAATCCGAATCCTTTGAACCCTTGAACCAGTAAGCCCTAAACCCCGAACCTTGAAACCCTAAAACCTTGGCCTTTTGGCTGGAGAGTTAGGGACACTTTGCCTTAACAATGTTCGAGGTGCAGGCCAAAGACAGCGGTTTGGGGTTTGGGGGTTTAGTTTTAGGGTTTGAGGGTTGGAAGTTCAAGGTTTGTTGTTGACAATAGCATTTAGTACGTACACCATGCAAATGCCAGCAGGCATAGGGGCTCCAGGGGCATCATAGACCCGACCTCGACCCCTTTCAACAGCCAACAAATCGAACGGCTTTGCCCTTCTGGCGGTTTACAAACAACGACAAAGCCTGAACCTTTCGCCGGCATGGGGAAAGTCATGCGCTAGCCTCCTATATCACAGCTAAACCCAAACCCCTAAACCCATGCTATATTGGGCCTAACACTGCCCCCTCTGCCTAAACTCGGAAACCGTTAAAGCCCCAAACCCTTCAACCCGTAACCCTATATGTTAGTTGCTGAGTTCATAAAGCCCCCCCCCAAAAAAAATGTACGCTTTTACTTTCATAGTGGGTAGTCTTATTCCAAACAGTGTAAAGTGTCTCCACTCAGCTACTGAGATATCCTCTGAGCTGTGGACCAGCAATGCAGAGTGTTTGAACTTCAACACCGCGGACTGCTCCTGTCATGGGATTCAGCCCCCAAAAGAGACCCTAACTTGGAGAACGACCCAAACGGGTAGTTGTCAAAATTAAGGTCCCTTTTTGGGTACCCTAAATAATAGGTGCCGTATTACAACAGGGACCCAAAAAGAGACCCTAACTTGGAGAACGACCCAAATATGCATCCCTGAACCACATGATCCTCGAACTACAACAGCAAAAGACAGCTTATGTTCGGACTTGATCCCAGAGGCTCAAGATAGCCCGAAGGCGGTATCTTGTTCTGGCTTTGGGCCCGAAAGCGTTAATGTATGAGTCGCTACGGCGATGGTCTGGTGTACGAGATTTGGTAGGAAGGAACACAAGGGCCTTGATAATGCGCAACAAAATATGTGTAGAGCACTGTGTACTTACTGTACGGTAACATGGCTCAAGCCCTGGTTATTGCAAGCTATGACAAGCTTCACCAACAAACACTTTGGTAACCCTGTAGGAAGTACCATTTAGTAAACCCTGCAAAAGGCCCATTATTAAGGTGTTTGAAGAAGGTCCAGCCGCTCACCCATTCAGGGGTAGCAAGCCCGCTGTGAAACCGAATCGCTGAGGGGTTTGGGTGTATTTAGGTCTAGAGATTGTGGTAGAGGGTGTAGGTTAACAGTTTAGGTTGTTGGTTGAGGGGCTTGGGCTTTAGGGCTTAGGGTTCGGGTCGGAGGGATGCTTAGGGCATACACGCAGGCCCTACCCAAAAAAGTGTAGATTTCGGCTCCAAGGTATCTTTGGGATCTAGGGCAGGGCAGAAAGCAGGCCAAGCCGACGCCAAGGTCGATGTTCCTTGGCAAAGCGCGACGTTTCTGCCAATTGTTATACCCTTAGGCTCTAAGGACTCATGTTTTAAGGCTGTTGGGCCCAACGGCCATACTTTGTAAGGCTTTTGGGCTATCTTGAGCCGAAGGGACAGGGTTTAGGATGGTTTAAGTTTTCGCCTCGAAACAACGTGTTCAAAAGCTGCCACCCAAATGACCTCAAGCTCCGAGAGTTAGGGTGTCCCTGGGCTTCTCCACCAGCCGAATCTCTACATTCGGGTGGTTGTCGAATTTGTGGTTCCTTTTTGAGCCATTCTTGGGTCCCTATTATAATACGGCACCTATTATTTAGGGTACCCAAAGAGGGACCAAAATTTTGACAACCACCCATTCGTTTCCTGCCACATGGAGACAGAGCGAACGACATTCACACGAAAAGGAACATAGTCGAATAGTGAATCACAGAGGGATGTAGATACAGAGAGAGAGAGAGAGAGAGAGAGAGAGAGAGAGAGAGAGAGAGAGAGAGAGAGACAGGCCGGAGTTGATAGCAATGCTATTCGTCAGGGCTCCTTACCAACATTGCATTATAGGATGCCAGCGAACCGTATCATAATCATCAAGGCCCTACATATTGGCAACCCTTACAGAAAGCAAAGAGGCCTGGAGATGTTTACAGGAACAGTATTCTCCAAGGGGCGCCCCCTTTTTGCTTGAAGGGCGTTCTTTAGTCGGGGTTTCCAACATGCTTGCTTCTTTGGGTTGTGCAGGGCCGTATAAGGAACAGGTCTGTTTCAATGGGCCCAAAGACCATACTTTAGAAGCCTTTTGGGCCATTTCGAGCCATAGGGAAAACGAAGCCAGGTAAGGCTCTCTTACTTGTTCCATTAGAAAGTACTTACACTTCCGGCGTTTTAGGTGCAGTCCCGACCCAACACTCGGACCCCTGATAATCAAGGATCCAAAGAACGTAACTCAAACGATAAGTGGGCTAAGACCACATAGACTCCCGAAGAGCTGGGCCAGGGTTTTGCTAGTTGCTGCACCAAACCACAAAGCCGCAATGTTGAGGTATTTAAATGCCAGGAATTATTCACCCAAAGGGTCCTCTGTACTGTTATGGGGGATACTTCCCAAAGTCATTCTAGTAATTCCTAATATGGAAACACTACATTCTACCATATCGGTACATAGGACCCTTTGGGTCAGGCCCCTGTATTTCCGCGCCTTGCTGTAACTCTTAAGCCTCCTCGAAACCCCTTCATGAAGCAAGAGACCGGCTTCTAGTACAACTCTAAATCACGTAATGTCGGGGCCTTATGAGACCTTAATACTTAGAATAGGGTTTCGGGATGATGCGGACATGAGTCTGGTGCGAATGAAGCTTTGGGATATATTGTACACTAAGTAAAACAAGGAGCCCCAAAAATCGTGTAGGAATTATTGAGACCCCTACAGTATAATCCCAGCCGGGAGTCAGTTGCCGCTCCCTGCGACAGTCCTCTGTCAGCTTGAGGAAGATGTCGAAGTTGTCGAGATCCTGGATGGATGGTTTTAGGAATGTCAAAAGAAAAGCCATGACAACGATCCTTAACAGTAGGCCCCGTAAAGAAAGGGCATACACCACAAACCCTTTTAAGATTGCCAACCTGCCCGTGAGAGTGTGACTTGTGCATGTGCAACCCATGGCCGCTTCTGCTGCGTTAGGGGTTCACGGCTTTTTCGGGCAGGACTTCGGATATTCGCACGTACGCGGAACAGAATTGAGGCCGTGACATTCAAAACAGGGTGTGGGATTTCATTGCAGGAGAGTGGGGTATGGACTCTAAGAGGATACGATTGCTAATTAGATACTACGAGCCGCCATATCAGGGTTGGGCATTTAGGACACAATCTCCGAAACCCCACATCTCACACAGCAGTATCAGATCTGGGGGGCATGTTTCGGTGTCTTTTGTATTAAGTCTCTCATAATCTTCGTGGTCTTTGAAGACTCCATATACCTATATGATGCAAAGTACGTACCTGTGTGGACTACTTTGGTGCCTAAGTATATACCGTCCGGGTAACTGTCAAAATCACGGTCCCTATGGGGAACCTTTTTATGGTTCTACTGCTATAATACAGCCCCTTATAGTTTGGGAACTCAGAAGAGACCCTAATTTGGACAACCACTTATTGGCGTGCATGGGGCCTTTGTGGGTCTAAGTCGGATGTATCTTGAGCTCCCAAACCCAATCCCTAAGCCCGCTGAAAGGCTGGCACCTCAGAAAGCTCTGGCACCAGCACCTTCTTGTCGTTGAGAGAGACGGTGTCCTGCGTGATATACGACCCGTTTTTCAGACCATAGATCCAACAAACCCCTGATTATAGAAAACACCAAAAAATCATGGAAAAAGCCATGTAAAGCAACCGCAACCTACTGTATCCAAGGCCACTACATTCGGCTGCGGGTCACGTTTAGGCTTCGCATCCCACCGATGACCGTAAAAGAATATTGGGTGCATGTCTGGAAGGCCTTTGCATAATCAATGTGTATGGATATCCCGACCATATTGGGCTTCCTGTGAAAACTGATCTGCTGGGATATACCTATCCGAAGTTTTGTTTGAGTTTTTTTGGAGGCCCTAACGTTTGCTGACCAATAACGAAGAGCTAACCATATTTCCTGTATACAACGTGATAGCGACGAAGATCCCTGCGACATCCCCTAGAAAAGCCCTATTGGCATACCCGCAATTTCAAGCAATAAAACCAACTGGGGGCCAATTTGCAGCTTTTTATATGGGCGTGGCCAATGAACCTCACGCCCAGGAACCTCCTGGTTTTAGGGTTCAGGATTTCGGGTTTAGGGGTTTACCTTAACCTCAAATGCCAAAAAACTACGGCTTTACGAGCTTATATAGAAGGAAGTCATGATATATCGAGCCCAAACATGCAGGTCTCTTCGGGTCCAGGTGGGAATTTCTGAAAATATGGGACCCTAATCTAGTACCCTAAATAGTAGTACCCCAAAATTCGGTACCCCTAAATTTCGGAAACCCCCAGGTAGGGACTCAAATGGCCTGGTCGATAAGAACGAGGATTCGAGGGCCCCCAGGACCCAATACTCGTCAGTGGTTTTTTAAGTGCACCGCTCCTTTGACTCCTGCAGGCCGTCGATACTGCTCAGATGGAGCTTACACTACATTCCTTTCTGCTCGTCAGTGGTGTAGGGTTTAGGGTTTCGTGCTGTGGTTATTGAACAACCGAGTGACCATCTTGATAGCAAGGGGCAGCAGAACTTGGAGTAGAATAGTAGCTCAACCCTTAATCCATAAACCATTAACCTCAGGGGTGAAGCATCAAAGAGCTTTCAATGAAATAGCACAAACTTGCCCAACACTGTATAGGTACGGTTGATGATAAAAATCCTGCATTACCCATAATGAGGAATACACCATTATTCCCATGGCTTAGGATCCTTGAGGTACTGCGGGAATCATCACCCTAAAACCCTACAGATCCCTTAACGGTTATAGATCCCTTTAAAGGAACCCTAGGACCTATAGGATTGCTCAACACTATTATAGGCAGTCCTCAAGATTCGGGCTCTATCGTTCGGGTCCTTTCTAGAAGGGCGCGGAATGCCATTTCGGGGAGCTAGAACGGGGCCCTAATTTAGGCAACTACCCGTGCCGTTTAGGGTTTAGGGTTTCGGGGAGCTAGAACGGGGCCCTAATTTAGAGAACTACCCGTATCCATACGACACATCAATAACAATTGACGCCGCCAGTAATCGAGAGCCTCGACATTACGAGGATATTGATTTAAGCAGACACATCCTACCCGTGGGCTCATACCCTACCCCTTTTTTAGGGCATCTACTTTCCTACAAAACAGATCCTAACCATAAAAACTAGGTATCCTGAAAAAGGGGTAGGGTATGAGCCTCTATAGGTATACCCGAAAGGGCGACCCTAAAACAAGAGCCTAAACCCTAAACCTAAAACCGGATGCGTTTTGGGACCAGGGATCCCAATACCCCTTCATGAAAGGGAGAGCTTATTGGGTTTAGGGGTTTAGGGTTGAGGGTTAAGGGTTTAGGATATACTAAGCAAACTATAGAGAAAACATATACTACCTCAGTATTGCAACTTCTGGCTGGGAGCTGATCTTGTTTGTACCGTAGATGACAACATTAGGAAACTTTACAGAGCAAATCTGTACTGATTGAACGGCGTGTACTTGTAGCGGTTTCCTAGTAGTCAACGTGCAATGCATATATTAAAACTTCTAAAGAGCTCTGTACATTGAACATAAATCCGGCTCTTGGCTTGAAGGCTTACATTACATAGGTCTATTTAAGGGTGAAGGGGAGCTTCAAGTCGAAGTCTCAAAACCCAAACCCTAAACCACCCCAAACCCCAAACCCTCAGCCAAACACCGGAAACCCAAAAGAAGTCCTTTACAAGCTCGATGACCTTCTGGTTGGTGTCACAGCCGTAGTGGCTTGCCTTTGACGGGCTTCAGGGGTTTGGGGGTTTAGCGTTTGGGGATTTAGGGCTTTAGGGGGGGGGTCCTGATTAAGACTTTAGTACATTGGGCGCCGAAAGCCTATTCTAATTATTAAGGCCCCTACGTTAGGTGCTTGGACATCAGCCTTTGGGTAGCAGATTGGTCTTCCATCTAGCTAAAATCCCCCACCCCCCCTCCCCCCCCCCGGCCCCCCCTCCCCCCGAGCCCCAAATGGGTGGGTCTTACTCTCACGGGTATCGTTGTGCTACGTCATCTTCGTAAAGGTCCATGTATCAGGGCCGAAATTCCATCCCCTAAACCCTGAACCCGTACATACATCTCGAAATCGCCAGAAGCGCTAAGCCGTATCCCCTAAACCGACTGCATATGCGCATAATGCAAAGGTGGCCACGGATGCGGCGGCCCTGGCTGCATGAGCAAGCTCTTCGTGAGGCACGTCAACCATCCTCCAAAATCCCAAAGGGTCCTAGCTCAAAGATCCTCCAACCAAACCGTCGCGTTTGTTTCGCGACCAAGCGGAGGCATCTGTGTCGACTCACCAGCCTTGTTGCTTGCACCTTGTTGCCGGGCGAAGCTGTACAGAAGAGCAGGTGGCTGAATAATACCCCAAGCACCCTTCTTTGTGCAGGAGATTCTCTTGACCCCAGATGATCTGTGCTGGGTCCCATGCCATAAGAATTAGCAAAGGCTCGCACGCCCAGCTCAGATTCCATGCTCTTGATCAAACTGGAAATAACGGCCAGCATCTCCACGGAAGGTCGCCACTCCGAGATGCTGGCCACGCTCCGCTGCAGCTCTGAGTTTCAGCAACCGAAGGCGGACCAGACTGCCGGGAACGTTTCCCCATGATGACTCTGCGCCTATACTACCGATGTGGGCAACGTGTGCCGCCTAAGTTGCAACGTGTGCATCTTTAGAGCAGTGGAGCAAGGCAGGCTAGATAATAGAGGCGTTCAGCTGATGCAACTCTTACCCGGGTGGCGACTTGAATGGAGATGATGATTCCTTCCCTCCAGTGCCCTTCGACACGGCTACATGGACTAGATGTGTCGCAGAGGTTGGGAGACATGTTCTGTAAAAGGACGTGGTGCTTTGTGGCTACCAACTTCGAGGTGCACTTCATTGCCGCTGCCAAAAGTGCCGTTGCCTTGATCCCAGCTTTGATACATCATGATTTGTGGGACTACTGCCTAAACCGCACACATCCAGAAATCTGGGCTGAATACGGAGGCCCAATCCAGAAATCCGGGCTGAATACGGAAGCCTAAAATAACTCCCTAGACTATGGCTTTTCATTGTATACGCTGGTGGTTGTACTCGGGAACCTTAAGGGCGAGTGTGACGAAGTACTGCGACTCCTAATGTGACCCCTGTAGATGGATTAGACAAGGATTCTGATAATTATTCGGGCCCTCAAAATAAAGGGCGTCTACGAATGAAAGGGCTTATGTCAAGCCCTGAAGGCAAAACCCTCAAACCTAATGCCAAACCTTACAAGCCCAAACCTAAACGACCCTAATTGCGGCGAGCCCTTGCGAACTCTGTGATTCGTGAGAGCATCCCCTTATAGTCCCCTTTTCTAGTTCCACCATAAATATACCCGCAAGCCCGAGTCGAATGATTCCGACCTCCTATACGATGTACAGTGAACTCCACAACATTGGAAACCGGATTAAGGCCAAATAGGACCGGGATTCCTTTGAAACCTAATGGGGGTTCCTAGAAAGTACCCTTAGTAGTATAGGGCCCCAAATTAGGGGATCTACTTTCTAGCTTTTTCCCGGGGGTCTGGGTATACGATGTAGTGCGAAAACATTCACGAACCCCTGGCCGACAGAGCTGGGTGCATGGCTGCGAAGTTTTTCCTCAGGTACCTGGTGCGCAGAGAACTCACCGAGACCCCTGAAAGGAGCAATGATATAGTTTCTGGTAGTATACCACTTCCGGGTTTTTCGGTCAGATCCTTTGTGGTCTTGGCAAAATCCTTACTTGAGAAATCATAATATATAATTCGCCCTCCGCAGTTTCGGGTGTGTCTTCAAATTACTTGCTTTGGCGCGGTCTGCGTATATCTCATAATAACAACTACACAGACACCCTCTAATAATAGTTTAAGGTATATGCCTAAACTACTTGGGGGCCTCTGAGCACGGCTTTGAGTTTGTGCTTTTGGAGGGTTCAAACATAGCTGCAGGCAGTGTGCTGCGAGTCATAGGGTCTGGGTTTGGGTGTCGGGTTTAGGGATAGGGTTGCTTCAAGCTAAGATAGTGTCTGCCCGCTGTGTTGACATGATGACTAGGGTGAGTGCTTCAGGGATCACGGGACTGAACAACTAGGGCTTTAAACAAGGTGGCTACACATATAACTGCTGAAGCTCATTTGCGGCACTTATAACCTACTTGCGAAGTCTCAGTCCCATGAACAACTAACTAAGATGGACTATAGAATGATGATGGGACTGTATAAGGCGCAGTGGCTATACATGCAAGCAGGAACAAACGTGGATAAACAAGATTGAATGGTACGTATTCAGTATTTACACCCTAAACCCTAGACCCTATACCCTAATTGTGTATGACACTATTACACCCTGAACCCTAAACCCTAAATGTATATGGCACTGTTACAAGGTGATGCGGGAGTCTTACCTTTGCCCATTTTTGCCACTTGTGCTCATGCAGTGGCCGTGCTTCGTTCTGTGGTTGATGGCTCTTATAAACGAGCCCTTTAAAACTTTTGGATTTGTTAAAACGTCCCTAAAAGAAACTATTGTAGAACCCCCTTCGTTACAAGATGTCGAAAACAAGGATATGTGTTTTCGCGACTTGGAGGCACGGGCTTTTGGATCAGGTTCGTGCATGAGGGCCCCACCGTCAACTTAAGCCTTAAATCCTATTTTAAATTCTGAACCCCAAACCCCCGAAAAGGTTTATGTAGAGTTTAGGGTTTAGGCCACCACCTGCCTGTTGTAGTAGAAGGGGATGGTGTCGACGTGCATTCCCGGGAGGTCGGCATCTGTGACATCCTGGTCGTGGCTGCCGCAACCCAACTTTTGGATGTACAGGTGTGCATAAAAGTTCAATGCAACTCTAACCCTAAGGGTCCATGTACCCATCTAGAGGTACATGCGCCCCAAAGTACCCCAATAGGGACAACGTTAAGGCCAACGTATATACTATATGAGTAAATGGACCATTAAGGTAAAGATATTCTATATAGGTGTGGGGCTTGAAGGATCCGGGGATGTACTAAGTGGGTCCAGCCCTACTTACAAGGTCGCCTCAATCTCTGACTTTGGGGGGCGTTTAGTTTAGGGCTTACCCGAATCTCTAAACGCCGAACCCAGGTCTTCCACCAGCTTACCTTTGGTTAGTAGAGAATGGAAGAAGGGTCGTTATAGTAGTTATAATTGTACCCCATTCCTCAATTCCCTACTACCAAAGGTACCCTATATTATAGTACCCTTATAGATCCCTTTTAGTAACCCTTATACCCCTTTATAAGGCCCCTTTCTAGCAGAGCCCGTCGGCAGGAGTCTAAGCAGGAAGCGGTGATCTTGTCCGACATACCGCAACGACTTTGGGGCCATTCGAAGCTGCGGGCCGCGGCCAGGTACTTGGAGGATCGTGGGACTTGGTAACTGAGTCATTACTAGGGTAACTACACTTATACATACTTATGGGCCCCAAGTAAGGTACTTACTATGTTACTATGTCCCATGATCCTTTAAGTACACGGACAACTCGCCGCGCCATCTTTGTTCCAGCCTTCACTGGCAGCCGCAGCGTTTCGCGGGACGAGAGGTCGGGTGCACGGATCATTGCCTGCGGTACCGGCTCTGTCTTGGCCTGCGGCGGTGATGGCGATGGTGGCATGTACACATTCCAGGTTCCAGCTCATCCATTGCCACCGATATTGGCAGAAGCAATGCAGTCTGCACATACATCAAGCTGTCTTTGTCCAGGTAGCCCTCTGGACTTGTGTCCAAGCTAACGCGCAATGCTTGGTCATTGCTCCTTTGCATTCCATCCTGGGGAACGACGTGGAAATTACAGAGAGCCCTTGGTGGGCTGTTCCGAAGAAGCGCCGGCTTCCAGAAATGCTTTTCACAGTGGATTTTACTGGCTGTTGGCCCTGAGTCGCTTGCCATGCGAACCGGCGAAAGTCTCATCACACGGCGAACGTCATAGCACATGTAGTAAATCACCAGTGTGACACGCAATATAACTTGACATCGTGCGAAAGGACAGCTGTGCGATTCGACGGAAATGCCGCGACAGCACTGGGAATATTTGTGGATAATGCACACCGGAAACCGCACACCACCATGTCGGCGCGCGCGCGCGCGATTTGAGATGGCAACATCAAAAAAGCCAAACTGTCCCAAACACACACGGTATCCCGGTCAATCCATCTGATCCTTCAAATTGAGGGACATGAAGGCTTCAATACATGGTGCTTTTTGGAGGGGGTTATCTGCTAAATGTGTTCTTGTTAGGGTCCCGGTACGACAAACGACACGACATCTTGAGCAACAAGCCCGCAACGACGACGGCAACACAGACTCTCGGGTTTACGCTCGCACACTTTAAAATTCAAAGCTCTTGTGCCCACAGACCGTGATAGAAATGTCTTTTGGGAAGATGTGACCCTCGGGTTTTGGCTTTTTATAGGATCTTATTATCCGGCCTTGTAGGACAATTCGAGATTCTATAGGGCTCTACAAAGATTGAACTAGTCTCGAAACCACAGGGACCTCTTCTAAGACCCTAAACCGTGTATGTGGGGCCATGTGGGGCCTGCTGACCAAGATCGAAGTAGGGGGTCCCCCCATATTTTGAAACTCTCGTACGACAGGGTGCACGATGCAGGGTTTTGGGTGAAAGGCTCGAGTGAAAGGGCACCTAAAGGAACAGGATACTTGGTAAGTAGCGTTATAGGCAAGGTAAGTATGGCGATCCAATATCAGGTACCTTTATAAGCCCTGCTTACAAATCCCTCATGGAACCCTTATAGCCCCGTGAAAGAGGCAGCAAAAATCCTACCCTACGGGAATCCCTTGTCCCCCCACGCCCGAATACCCGACCTTGCGGAAGGAGTAGGCCATGTGGTGCAGCTCCACTCGCAGAGTGAGGAGTATCCAGTCTTCTGGCGCGAAGAGGCTGCAAAGCCTTGGCGGTAAACATCCCTCGCAGTGTAGGGTTTGGGGTTGGCTCCGGGTTTGGGGTTTGCAATCTCATGGGTCCCTATACGAGGGTTGACGGATTCAACAGCTCAGGGTTTACGCTTACAGTAGATGCACAAAAGTTGGAAACCCAACAGACTCAGTCCTTAAGAGCAAGGTATGGGGAATCCCAGCACTATTTGGCCTTAATCCGGTTTCCAACTTTTTGTATGTATTTCGTATACCTTGGGAGGCCGGATTCATGCACGGAGAAAGGAAGGTTTTGAGTTGCCTTCGTGGGCCTAGAGAACAGATGCAGTTGAGCTGAGGGGGCTTGGCCTTTCTACTACTGCTGCTGCTGCTACTACTACTACTACTACCACCACTACTACTACTACTACTACCACTACTACTACTACTACTACTACTACTACTACTACTACTACTACTACTACTACTACTACTCCTACTCCTACTACTACTAGTTACTCGTACGACTAGGACTACGACTACATCTATTTGGTTGATTACGGCTCGAGGTTCCGGGATGAACATGAACTGGCACGCCTCAGCCCGAAACGGTTGAGGCTTAGCATTTGTGGCTTTTTGGTTTAGAGGTCAGGGGTTCAGGCAGGTGCCAGGTCCTGCACTCCTGAACTGAACAGTGATTGATTAACGGATTGGCGTGTGGCATTCTTCCTCGAGAGAGCGCAACACGGCAATCAAGCAAGCAGCGAATACACGGGGCTGTCCGAAGATAAGGGGGTTGCCAAGCCTGGAGCCACCTCAAACACTGAATCCCAGAGCCTACACCCTTAAACCTACATTTTCGGGTGCCCGGTCCCAAGCCCCCGGCGGCTCACCATTACCAACGTCCAGGACATCCGCGACACCGAAGACGTCCAAGTCCTGTGACGATGCTCTGTGACGATGCCCTTTATAGTATAGTACGGATCGAGCCAATTGGGGTCTACATTCCTAAATCCCGAACCCTAAACCCTAGACCCTCAGGGTCCGGGTGCCGATGTAGTACATACTTTGGCCGGGCCCTTACCACAAGGGTCCAAATACCTAAGAATCATATACGGGCCCAGCATCATCAGGTGGTGGCAGCGGTGGCTGGCCACGCTGGGCGGCCGAGAAGCCAGCCTCGTACCCTTCGCGGTAAGCCTCCCGCAGTACTGTGACATGATTCACAGGGGAAACAGAAGTGTTCCGGAATCACGATACAGCGGGTATCGTGCATGCGACAAAACGCCTTCACTTCTAATTGAGAAGCGTACGCGCCCTCTTGGGCGATCGCCTCCAGAAGTCCATCTTGGCCCCGCACGGCCCCTTTCCATCGTGTTCCTTGGCATACGACTCCTTGTGTTTCCGAAGATGTCCGACTATCCTTGCTCTCATTTCACGGGCTCGCGATTCGCCTGCAAGTTGGCCAGTCTCCAAAATCCTAGTCCTAACCTACATAAACTTTATCCTAAAGCCGAGTACCTGATTACTGAGTCCTTTGGATCCTTGGGGTTCATATCTAGAATCCTAAAAGTAATCCCAAAAATGAACTACTATGGAGCCTCTGGGTACTTCGGCCGGGCCATTAAGGTTGCGCCCTGCTGTTCAGAACTGCGAGCAGCGGATTCCCAGACCTTCCAAAGTCCCGTAGGTAAGGAATGCCTTCACCTACCAAAACCTACAAAAAGTAGAGTCCCTATAAATTCCATATTGGGGTTTATATTAGGAACCTACAAAAAAGTCGGTTATGGTAGCTTAAGGTATACCTTAAATTAGAATAGGTTCCCTAATAGGGTTAAGGGTATGTATTCCTTAATTAAAGTATTTTGGACGGCCTGTGTTGCTCATCCTCCTCAGACGTCTCAAATCCAAGCGCCAAAAGCTAAATCCCAAACCCCCTTCTTGAACCTTGTTAATAACAAGCAGCCATATTATGTAGGCTCATTCCCTAACCCCTTTTTGAGGTATCTCCTTTTGTATACAAGAGATCCTTACCATAAAACTACGTATCCTAAAAACGGAGGGGGGAGCCTTTAGGTAAGTATCCCACCAAAGAAGCTGCCCCCACCCTGTGATAGTGACTGTAAGGATTATATTAGGGCCCTATTAGATTCCGATTATATTCCTATTACAGGGTGGGGGCCCTTTCTAAAGTATCCCCTTTTTTCGAGTCTGCAGAAAGCCCCTTCGGCCCCACACGGCTCCGATCCAAAGATGAACCCCTGGGGCCGAAACCCATAGGAACCCTTAGGGGGGTAGGGGGGTAGGGGGGTAGGGTTCAGGGCTTAGGGTTCAGGGTTCAGGGTTCAGGGTTTAGGGTTTAGGGGGACTATACTTCCTTAAATAGGCCATGTTTATTTTTTAATGATGGGCCTTGCGGCCCCCTAATGATAAACCCCACACCCCTTTCCCTACTTGGAGGTTCATGGGAGGGGACTTAGAACTCCACTTTATAACTACCCCTGAACCTCCAAGTAATGGTCCATGTGTCGAACTAATATATACTTTGGCACCAATGTAGGGTTGCTTTAATGCCAACGTATAGACTATGTGCGTACATGGACCCTTGAACCCTAATCCCTTATGATACCCTTATTATAACCTTAACAGGAATCCTTAAAGGAACTATTATGGGTACATAGACGCTGCAGATTTTCACTCCACGGAGCACCTCGTCGGCGACGCCGGTCGTCATTGGTTCATCCTCGGGGTCACTGGGCTCAAGAGATTGCTGTTTGGATTTTGCAGGGGGTTTTACTGCAGATCACAAGGATTTATGGGACTTTTTACTGGAGTTCCGGAGGCTTTATGGGGTTGTGTAAGCGGGTGTATGGAGTTGAATGGTAGTATAGACAGGATTTGGGGGGACAGTATAGTATAATCATACAGTGGCCACTAAGAGGTACTATGTAGTACCTCCTCCGACCTATGCCCATACATTCCTGTTCTGGGGGCTTGTGGCATGGGGCTTAGTTCAAGCATCCAGGTCTAGAGATTGGGGTTTCGATTTGGGCTCGAAAGCTTAGGCTATGTAATCTACTATTTGCTTAAGAAACCCCCAAAAAATAAAAATAATAATCCCTATATTACACCTATAAGGAATATATTTTTTATTTTTTGGTGGTTCTTAAGCAAATAGTAGTAATGGGGTTTGGATAGTGAGGGTTGAATGCATCAACCTTGAGTCTTCTCGCGAGAGAGGTTCCAATTCGCAGCAGTTTCAAGGACCACAAGCACCCTTAACCCCTACACCCGTACACTGCGCACCCTAAACCCCTAAACCAATTCGAAGTGCTAAAACCTACGCATTAACAGAGCCTAGGCAACAGCCCTCATCTCACTCGAACCACATAAAACCGTCGGAAAACCCCTGATGTGGGGGCTTATTATTTCAAACATGAACTCGGCTTGGGAACGTCCTAGTATAGTAGAGTTGTCTGGGGGACGAAAACGGGAACACTATTGCGACCCCTACATGAAGACCCTTCAACTAAAGCCACATGGACACACAATTCCGCGGTCTCAACCCTAGCCGGGCTCTTTATAGATGCCGAACCCGAAAGGCTTTAGGGCTTAAGGTTCAACAAATTAAACAACAGTGCAATTCTAAACACAAGAGGCCCTGAACCCAACCTGTAACAGCTAGAACCTATTAGCAAACCCAGCAGGACAGTGGCCTGTAACCCTGCTATGGCAATGGATGTATGGCATACCGCTGAACAGTAGGCACTCGGAGCCAGGGGTAAACACAACCCGCAAAATCCTAAAGCCGAAGCACCCACCCAAGGAAAAACCATAAACCAGCGAACACAACCCACAACCCGTAATCGTGTAATTACCAGAGTGTCCAAAAAGCAACCCTAATTTTGACAACTACCCATGTAGGCTTTAGGGTTTCCTGCAAACCCCAAATAGGTAGCAAAACCCACTTGCCTTGGTTTCCGCGAGCTTTGCCTCCTCCGCCGGTGCCTCGAGAAAAGTTGGTTGACCGAAGCGGCTTCGTTTTTTTTGGTAGGGTTAGGTGTTCAGGGTTTGGAGTTTAGGGGGAATAACTTTACGTCCTAACACCTTAGGCGTATTTGTTGAACTTCAAGTTGTATAAATTAGCCCTGGCTTGCGATCTTCTGATTTGCGCCTTGCTTGGGGAGCTTTTTCTACTTTGAATTTTGCGGCTTCGTCTTTTCGGATTTAGCGCTGAAGGTCCGGTGGCCATTGTTGAGATGTTCGAGTGAGGACGTCGGGTTCTTGCATCAGGCTTTGCTATGTAGGGCTTTCAGCTTTAGGGGCTTAGCGCTTAAGCCCCAGGCTTTATGGTTTCAAAGGCTTAGGCTTGCAACTTTTCGGGCTCAGCAGGAAGTGAAGCAAATCCAGAAACACCAACAAAGATCTGGCCAAAATCGTGCAAGAGTTGCTCCCACACTTCAAGGCATGCAGGTCTCTGGGCTTGAATTTGGAGAAGCGGAACTGCAACAAAGACTAGAGGTATATCGCAGGCCCTGAAGCCTTACCTGCCTAAGTCCAGACGAGTGCGAGCGCAGGTCTACAAAATCCTTCTTGGATTTAAACCATCCGTTCTTCGGCTTGCTGTGGGAATTCGGTCTTTCGACAAAGCTAGCATGCAGAATGACCCTCATGTGTCAATATGAAAAATTGCGTCAGAAAGCGGTGTACCTCCAAATCGACCCTAAATTGGAGGATGCTTGTTCTATGCAGCCGCTCCTACTTCAACACAAAGGATTCCGGTGCGTTTCAAGCCGGAAGCATCCAACAAACAACCCACTGCTTGAACCCGTGAGTCCTCCATTATGTCGGGTGGTCAGATTATAACTCCAATTGTTTTGTAGGTTCATGGATCCGCAGGTATGTCAACTGAACCGGACAGAGAAAAAAGCTGCAACACCCCTCTAACGGGCAGTTTACCTTGAAGTATGTGAGCATTCACCCTAGAAGCCCGAAAAAAAACGCCGGGTTTGCCCTCCCTTTAGCCTCTTCGGTGGGCACTTCGGGCGCTTTCGGAGTCTCCTCCTTCGAGACTTGTAGCGTTTTTGGGGTCGGGGCTTTTGGGGTCTAGTTTAGGGCTTGGGGCTTAGAAGGCTTGAGGATTGCGGCTGCTCAGCAATCAGAGTCCTCTAGCACATCCCTCGCACGGCTTTGGATAGGATTCGGAAAAGAAGGGTGGGTTTAGGAAGAAGGAGGGGTCTATATTTAGCCGTACGAGACCCCCCCCAGCCCTAAGGGTCCATGTACCCATTTAGAGATACATGCGGCCAACAGTACCCAAATAGGGACTACATTATGGCCAATGTATATACTATATGAGTACATGGACCCTTAGGGAAGAGTGCAAACCCTAACGCCTTACATGCTCAACTCGAACGCCTAAACCAAAGGGGCTCCAACCGTAAGAAGGGAGGGGGTGCTGGGGGCAAATGCCTGTTGAGGAGTGTTAGGGGGCTCTTCTTCAACACCGCCCCCAAAAAAGTTCAAACTTTCCAAGATATAGAGCTAATAAATAAGGCCAAAAGATTTAAAGTTTCCCGGTTCGCTATCTAAGGAAAGCCATACACTAGAACGCAAAATTCCAAACCCTACTGTTGATGGACATTACCCATTATAAGGCATATACCATAGTTCCCATAGTTTAGAGTCCTTATATAGGGTCATGCAGGATTTTGTCCATCAACAGTAGTATGCCTGCATCCTAGAAAGCCCAGGTTCTCCTTCTTGCCACCACCAGCCTCAAGATGCGCAAGTTGGGGGTTTCTTTGGGTTTCGAGTTTTTTTTGGATGCGGTTTACAAATACAGTGCTATAGGGTTTGCATAGGGAATTATGAAGATTTACTGGCATACTTCAATTATCAGGGATAATGGTTCGCCTCTCAGGATAAGTTTCGTTTCATCTTCGGGTTATGCGGCGGGTAGAACAGCGTTTCGAGAGACTGCTTGAGCCTGGCATAGCTGATCTTCTAGTAATAGGGTTCTGACTTGTTGAAACTCGGTTCCCCCGTAGCCCCTTAATGATAGGGTACCCTTGTTTTTCCTATACTAATTGGCGTTTAAGAAGGGAGGTAAAAGAGGTTGCAAAAGCGTACTGCTGGGGAACCTAAACCCCCCTTAGTTCCAAACCCTACATCCTAAACCCTAAACCCCCGGAAATCCTAGCAATTATGTGTGGTCGCCTGGTTTTGATGCCTGGGGGCGCAACCACGAGAAGCTGAGCCGCAGAAGCCGAGTGGCACCCGACGAAAACAAACGAAGGTAACAAACCTGAAACCTGACACCCAAAGCCGCAACACCATTTATAATGGTTTTTGCAGGGGACCTGAGTTTTAACTACTTCCCGACGAAACAATGGGATTAAAGCACTGATTTTCGCCTAAACCCCAACCCCAAACCCCTAAACTTGGTGCGACCCCAAATCTCGACGACCTGTACTCCAAACTGTAATGCATTTTTTGGGTTTGCGATTTTGGAAGTTAATGATTACCTTCACTTCATTCTCGGAGCCTCATTCATTGTAACACAAAACCTGCTATCGAATTTTCGTGTCTGCCTGCCACCCACGACAAGCCCTACAAATTAGAAAGCTACAAAGGGCTTAACGCCCTAAACAGGGCTTTGGATCCCAAGTGCCTCAGCCGGAATAAAAGGCTCAAACTAGCCCAAGAGCCTTCTATAGTATGGTCTTCGGACCCACAAGGTTTAGGGGTTTGGGGTTTAGGGTTTAGGGGTTTAGGGGTTTAGGGGTTTAAGGGTTTAGAGGCTTCGGACCCAAAATCCTTGATATATGAGTCCTGAAAGCCTCAGGGTTAAACAAAGAAACACCGTCAAAGATGTCTCCGCCTTCCAAGTCGATTGCTTCTGCCGCCAAACGCTCCAGGGATCCTCCAGCGAGAACTCCCGAAGAAGGCCAAACCCCCTAAACCCAGTTAGGGTTAGGGGCCTAGGCGGTTTAGGGGTTTAGGGTTCAGGGTCCGCCAAGGGGTTTAGCCTATTTGGAGGTTCGTGGGTAATTACAAGCAGGGTTCATACAAATAAATAAATAAATAAATAAATAAATAATTATACATATATATATATATACACATACATACATACACATACCTATGTATACAGATGTACAAACATGATCATGTACGCGCGCTTGTGCAAACACAGAGATTTGCAGAAGAGGGTGTTATCAGATCCAAAGCCGCTAAAATTAGGGAGAATACCATACCTGTAGCCCCAAAACACCTACCTTTTTAGGGAACTGGATATAGAAACCGAAGAAGGCACCCCAAAATAGGTAGGCCGTTTCGGCTACAAGTAAAGCATACTAACGATCACCATGGTTCGAGGGATCCTTGATCCAGGCATTTAACATAACTGCAGACAGCGGGATCCATGATGAAATTGCAGTTTCAGGTTTAGGGTTTGGGGCTTGGGCAGTCCGACGCAGGTTCAGGCTTCATTTTGCGGGGTTTTGTTTGCCTCAGGGGTCTCCTATTTAGGGCTTTAGGGTGCGTTGTTTTTTGCGCGGCAGAGGGGGTGTGGTAAGGATCGAGGAACCACGTCTTGTTCGGGCCGTCTGGTGGTTCAGACAGAGGCTTTTGAGGATTCGAGGAAGCCTCTGCTTTGGGGCATCCTAAGCCTAAGCTCTTCCTTAACCCTGAAAACCCTACCTTTTTTGGGCTCCTTATGATGATTTCTTTATATAAGTCCTTAGAAAGGGTTGCTAAAGGATTCTAGCCTCAGATATGCAATTGCACAAGCAGGTGCGACGTTTCAAGGTCTAGGTCTAGGTGCTCCTCGAAGTGGAGCTGAACATTGAAGCTTGATACATCTGAACGGTTGATGATATACATCCTGCATTACCTTAAGGGCCCGAAACTACGGGAATTATGGTATATTCCTTTTTATGGTTCATGCAGGATTTATATCATCAACCGAGGCATATCGGAAAATTCCGGGGAGCTCTCTTATGATGCTGAGCTTTGGGTCCAGGTATGTGCACCCCCATTTCTAAAACAAGCGAACGCACCACGCTTTCATACTGTTACGCACCCTAAACCCTACCCAAAGGCCCCACAGTAGTTCCTTTTCGGAATCATCTATATATATATATATATATATATATATATATATGTAGAACCCTATAAGGTAATCCCCAAAAGATACTACTTTGGGGCCTATGGGTTCCCCCCCCGCCCTTCTCGCTCCAGCGGCCTTCCAGGCGTTCATGCGCTGGTTGAACCTGCAGCCGAGCTGGCGAAGCCCCGAATCCCAATACGGATTCCGTTAAGGCTCCTTTAACTTTAAGGGTTCCTTCAAGGGCTCCTTTAACTTTAAGGGTTCCTTTAAGGGCTCCTTTAACTTTAAGGGTTCCTTCAAGGGCTCCTTTAACGTTAAGGGTTCCTTCAAGGGCTCCTTTTACTTTAAGGGTTCCTTCAAGGGCTCCTTTAACTTTATGGGTTCCTTTGAGGGCTCCTTTGGGTTCCTTTACCGGGATTTCCGAGGGTTTAGTGCTTAAAACGGGTTCTTTGGGGTCTGGATTAATCGACGGTCCTTCCTACTTCAACTAATCAAGGAGCGGTATGAACTTTTTCGAACGACTGACAGTCAGAAGTACACTGGGCCGGCTAAGGGCCGTATGCCTCGGACTTGAGGCTTGTTTACTTGGAGGTTCACGGGTAGTTAAAAGTGGCGTTACAAGTCCGCTATTATGGGTTATAACTATAGCTATCCTACTTATAAGCCTACTTATAACTACCCATGAACCTCCAAGTAGAACCCCGCTCAATTCCACTGATGCTCTGCATCCTCAGGGAGAAGGGTGCAGAGCTTACTTCAGGGACCTACCCCTAAACCCGAAACCCTAAACCCTAAGGGATCTACACCTCAACCCTAAACCAGAAACCCTAAACCGTTAGAACTACCACTCCGAAGCCCAGCTCCATACCCCAGCACAGTGGCAAGGAATTCCTTCATCCGGTTCTCGGGATTTGGGTTGTTTCCATGCTGCCATACACATGTAACGGATATTCAGACTAGTGACTAGGGATACGAAAGTATTAAATATTGCACATCATGCTACAGGGAGCAATATAGGGGCCCCAAAAGATAACATCCGTAATTTTTGCCCTCCAATAGTAGTCGATCCCCTCGACTGAGGCCAATCAAGAACGGGCCAAGTCACACTGCAACATCTTACCCTAGGGCTCCAGTCGGTTACTGGGGTATATAATATATGGTTAGTAACCTACTATGCAGGCAACTGGAGCCCTAGGGTTAATGGCCGTCATCGTCTAAGAAACAGACTACTGCTGTCTGTGAACGAAGGCGGTGATGACGACAATAGCAACGAACGCTTTGATAATTATGATGATGACGGCTGTTGAGGTGAAGACTTGCAGCGGAGTTGGGCTTTATATCATGTAACCAACTACTGTACTACACCCTAAACCCTAGGCCCTAAACCTTCTTTACGCTTTTCTTGGGGGGCTGCGACTTCACTGAGGCTCTGAGGCAGTGGCCACTCGCCCACAACCAAATCCTCAATTCGAGTGGTGAGCTTCTTGGTCAGCTTCCACTCCTGGCGCTGGGTTCTTGTTAGTTTTTAAATTTAAGGTTCCATAATGGGGATCTATTGTACATGAACAGGTTTCTCATTCTGTATTGTGGGTAAGTCAATTTAAATCCCTTCAAACAAAAAAGCACAGCCATGCACCCCCCCCCATAGGGCTCCTGTAAAGGCTCCTTTTCAGGGCTCCTTCGAAGACTCATTTCGGCATCAACCGCAGACCCCAGAAGCCCCAACCATTACCTATAATTACCATTTGGGGGGTCCTCACGGTTGATGATATAAATCCTGCATGACCTTCATGGCCCTAGACTATGGGAATTATGGTATATTCCTTATTATGGGTATTGCAGGATTTATACCATCAACCGTACTATAACCAGAGTACAATGGGCCCCAAAACCCTGTTCCCCAAGAGCCCCAAACATTATAACCTGCAGAAAACAACACTACCTAGAGTCTGCATTGTAGTTCCTTTTTTTGGCTAACCCGAAAGGGGCTTATAAGGATGACTGTAAGGGATCCATAAGGATACTATATGGTATGGGGGCTTTGATAATTACCTATGCATTTGGGGGGTTCCTTATTTCAATTAGAGTATACTGGGCCCCAAAACCCTGTTCTACTTTTTATGTTATATATAAAGCCCCCTATGTTAATAGAAGGCCCTCTAGATTAGCCATGTCTATAATACTTACAGAAAACAAAACTAGACTTCATGCGGAGTCTTTTCCTTGGTATCTATTATCTATTTGTAGAAACATAGGTAGTTAGATAGATAAGTAATCAGATGGACCGATAGTACAACATCTCAGGGTCCAGGTAGAACCTAAACATCTATAAGCTTGAGGGCAGTGAGTCCCCTCAGCCGTCGTGTCACTTGGAACGTCTACAGAACTTATGGTCCGTAAAACCTGCCTAAAGCCTAAAACCTAAACCCATCCCCTTTTACGTAGTAAACTTAGACAAAGTCCCTAAGTAAACCAGTATGTGTAATTGCCCTAAGGTCTTACGTCCCAAATCCTGATTATCAGCATCACGCGACTGACCGGGCATCTCTTACTTTCAGGGTTTCGGGTGTAAGCCACAAGGATTAGAATAGAGCTTCGGTGGATAACTCTAGTGTAGACGCATAAAAAAACTGTGCGTGGGCATCATTTTCAAGCATTTCGACCTCCAGAAACAAGAGATTCTGTGACCTGCTCTACCTGTAAGGCTTAAGATCCTGCAAGAACCTTCCGGACACCGACCACAATCAGGTCCTAAGGTCCTAGCTAGATCCCAAACCCGACACAACAGTAGCTTATGACCCCTACTTGGAGGGTCGGGGGACTTAGTAACTGGTTATTTCAGGGACTTATAAGTACCATAACCCCAATTAGGGTCCCTTTTAGGGTACTTATAAGTCTACTTACTAACTATATTACTAAGTCCGCCGACCCCCCAAGTATGATATAAGGGCTCAACTCTGAAATAGCAGGTTATTGTGATCGCAATCGGCTTTAGGTTTATGATTTGACCTCACATCCTGTGACAGAGCGCCTTGAAGTAGGTCTCTGCTTTGCCGCGGGCGGACCACATGTAGGACACCTGGCTTGTCAACAGGGCTTGTGGTTTAGGGTTTTGGAATTCTGCTTTAAGCCAACATTCCTACGGGTTCAAGTGAGTGCCCCCAAAAACAAGGTTTCCAGGTAACAGCTCTCAGGAAGAATTTGTTCTGAACCTGGGACCTCCCCCCTCGCGACCAAAAACCCAAAACTCGTCAAATCCTTAGCCCTTCAAACCTGAACCCTCCCAAAACATGAGATTCTGCTGCATTTGGGGCTACGGTCTTGACATTCACACTTTCAGTCTATTACTTCGGGGCTGAGTACGCCAGCCCAATGAAGGTTTACCTTTTGAACTATGGTAGGCTCAGATGAACCCCAAAAGGTTAAAGGTTACCTACTCAGCTACTAAGTTTACAGTTGCTTCCTCGAGCTGTTCACTGGCTGCAGACTTAACCGGGTTTCGGACGGCATCCACCTCTTGCCTAGTTCACGGTTGGGATAGGATTAAAAATGTAATTGTTTATTCCTTTTGGGTTTAAGTACCCATAAAAATGTAAAAAATTACCCAACTACGGCACAGTTGCAAACCTTGGGTTTGCGATGTACTGCGCTTACGACTCATGGTCTAGGGCTTCTAGGGTCGGGCTTTCGAGGTCTGCGGTTTGAAGGTTAGGGTTCAGGTGTCGGGTTTCGGTTAGACATGCAGGGTTTCGCAAGGAAGCCCCAACAGGAGCCACATGCTTATCTGGCCTTGCTACTGGCCCCCATACAGTAGCAGTCTATCACAAGGGCACTATGAAGGGCCTTTTGTGTTCTATACACTGTACGGCGGACAGTCCAGCTCAAGCTGAAAGGCAAGCGGGAGCAAGCTCGCTTGAAGGTAGGAAGAACAATGGGCTGTTGGCCATCATCCAAGTAGGAGGTGAGTTGAACAGAACTCACTCGCCGGCAAGTGCGCCACTTGACTACATATTTCAACCTCTGGCTGCACCCCGGTAGATGCCAGCAAGCTCAGAAAGCCCTGGCAAGACAACTGGGTAAAGTGGTGCCAAAGCAAGTAAACCTCACAATCATCTCCCTCAATGAAGATAATGACGCAGCCCGACAGACGATCGAGCCCGAACGCTTGGCGGATAGCCCAGCATCGTAGGATGTAGTTGATGCTTCCGTTGCCTTCGCTGGTGTGCGGGTCGCCGCTGCGCCGGCAACCTACGATGCACGTGCAGCCCGAGCAGCGTCCTTGGACGTTATGATCAATGGATCTCTCCAACGTTTGATGAGATGGTCAAACGTGAGCGCTCGGAATGTATTGCTGTTGCGCGGCCGGCCTCAATCACGGTCAAGATGCCCTTGGGACATACTCCCATCCCACACCACACCATCAAATGCAAGGGCAATAACGGACCCCTCCCGTGACTGGAGGTGACGCAGTAGCCGTAGCTTGCATCTTCAAGGGAGTCGATGAAAGGCCCAATCTCAGCCTTGCCTCTTCGGCCTGTATCGAGACTGGCCCTAAACATAAAGCCATGAGCCCTAAACCCTGGACGTGATAGACCTAACCCTAAACAAAGGTGGGACCTTGAGTTGGGGGACCTGGTTGCAGACCCCGAATCCGAAATCTATTCCGAGGACCTTGAACATAAGAGCTCCTAGATTAGAAGCGTACCAAGAATGCTATGGTCGAATAACCCTTGGAGTCTTTTTTGATAGATTCGTCTCTTTTGATAGATTCAAACAGGAAACTAAAAAGTATTCCTAAGAATTAAGAGAACAATGTGCAACCCTGGACATCTAAAACCGATCAATGATTTCGAAACGCCTGACTCTAAACTCCTCAGACTTAGATCCTTCTTGTTAAGCTCTAAACCCCGCCCCCCCCCCTAAGCCCAAAGATCTAGAACTGCGATGCCTGCACCCAGAAATCCAGAATTCCACACATCGACCCCGTATGACGGCCTTAAAAAGCAGAAATCTTGAAGCCTAAATCCTGGACCCTGGTACCAAACTCAAGTCTCAACCCCAAACCCTAAACCCCAACCCCTCAAACCCTGAACGCTCAACCCGACACCCCGGATCCCTACTACAAACCCTAAAACCTAAACCAAAAAACCCTAAACCCTAAACCTCGAAACCCCAAACCCCTAAAATCCTAAATCGCTAAACCCTAAACCCCAAACCCCGAAAATCCTAAACCCCTAAACCCTTCGGAATCCTTTATAGTAACCCTAAACCCCTAAACCCCGAAAATCCTATTCTTGGCAGCCCCGGCGTTCTCGAAGCCCTCCGTCTTCTCCGGCAAAGTCATGTCAGCGAGCGCTTGGACCAGGATCCAGTCAGACCTTAGTTGAGGGCTTTAGGGGTTTAGGGTTTTAGGTTTTAGGGTTTAGGGTTTTAGAGTTTAGGATTTAGGGTTTTAGGGTTTTTGGGTTTAGGGTTTAGGGTTTTAGGGCTTTAGGCTTTAGGGTTTTAGGGTTTAGGATTTGTGATGGAGGGGGTTAGGGTTTAGGGCTTGGGGGGTTATAGGGAACTCTTTGGGGCTCTGTGATGTTTCAGAAAAGGGGGGTTAGGGTTTATAGGGTTTACAGTAGAAGCCCAAAAGTTGGAAACCCCATGGCCGCAATCCTTAAGAGTAATGTTTTGGGAATCCCAGGACTATTTGGCCTTAATCCCTGGGGTTTACTGCAGTTTAGAGTGTACGGCTTAGGGTTTCGAGTTTCGGGATTAGGGTTTGGCGTTCAAGGGCTCTTTTGGTGGGAGCTCGGGGTCTTGTAAGGCTTAGGGTGTAGGCTGTTGGTCCAGACCTTGCTTTTTGAGTCGTTCTTTTGGGTTAGACCGCCGGAGCAAAAGATCTTACAGAAATAGCAATCATGAGACGATGCTGACCCATCATTTCCAGCAGTAAACTTAAAGCATCTCCCCTCAGATAGAAGCGCGCTTCAGCATCTCATACCCCCAAAAACGTGGGCCCCCTGAGCAAAGGCCCTCTCTCAGTCCGTGTTTTGATGTGGTGCATTTTGCAAGCTCCAGCATTGCGGATCCTCCACACAACCAGACAAACCCTGCAAGACTCTGTACAGCTGCATAAGCAACCGAGCGCAAAATCCGTTTCAGGCTCCACCCCGTAACGATCCGAGCCCGTAATAGTCTTCCCTAAGGCTCCATGTAGCCATACAGTATATACTTAGGCCTTAAAGGTTTCCTAGGCAGGTACTTTAAGGCCTAAGTGTATACTACACGGCTACATGGAGCCTTAGGGCTTGGGCCCCCGTCTCTGAATCGCCCAACTCCTGAACCCTAGGGTTTAGGGTTTAGGGTGACAGACAATGGCATACTATAGTCACTGTCAGGTCATCCTTTTGCTCACTTCCCTAAAACCTGAACCCTGAAAACCCAAGATAACTGAACCCCGAACGCCCTAAAACCTGAACCCGAAGCCCAAAACCCTGAACCAACCCGTAAACCTCAACTCTGCTTCTTTGAACGGAAGACTGACCCAAAGGGTCCCAAGTACCTGTATAGTTGAATGTAGGGTTTCTACGGTAGAGATTCTTTTTCTGTTTTGGGTAGGTCTGCCTCATATAGCTACTTCGGTTTAAATCTTGCATCATCTTAATGGCCTTAAACTATGGGAATTACAATATGTTCCTTATTATGAGTCATGCAGGATTTATATCATCAACCGTTAAGGCACTGTGGGTGCAGCAGTCTGAGGCTAGCACACATCAGGAGCTTCCTTGGCTCGGAATGTTTTTGGTTTAGGGTTTAGGGTTTTGGGTTTAGGGTTTGGGATTTAGGGTTTTAGGGTTTAGGGTTTAGGGTTTTAGGGCTTTAGGCTTTAGGGTTCAGGGTTTTAGGGTTTTGGGTTTAGGGTTTGGGATTTAGGGTTTTGGGTTTAGGGTTTGGGGTTTAGAGTTTAGAGTTTAGGGTTTGGGGTTTCCCAGCTCCTAGAGAGGCCTGTTCAGAGGTCTCCCATGCTCATCCACCAAGCCAAAACTGCAGCTGTCGAACCGGTTCTTGCTAACGATCTGAACCAGTCTGTGGTCAGCCAGCTCCCTGCGCACAAAAGGAACTCTATGGAGCAAGACTGCGATAGAGGCGATTATAGCGGACTCAAGCCTCTTGGTCAGCACCGGATCCTTGCCTCTCCTGGAGTGTTGCTCCGACGCGACATCCAGCGAGAAGTGCAAGTGCTCCACGGCACTGGGGCGCAGACGGTCCCACTCTGCAGGAGATTTTCGTGCTGTCGACCGGCTCAAGAACAAGCTTTGGGCGTCAAGGTTAATCCAAAAGCATTGAGGAACCGACCAAATCTGGAAGTCGACTATGTAGCGTGCTTTGGAGGCCTCAAGATCTCGACTAGGTTGGGATAAAAGTTAAGGGAATTGGATCGGGGCGGGGGCAATGGGGTTCGTTCCCTAAGTGCATATGGGAACGCTTTATCGATTTAACTAAGTCTTCATCGTATAGAAGCCTAAATGAAATAAATAGACCACGTCATTTAGTGGTGGGGTCAATTTGACAAATGGATGAGGGAACAGAAGCTGTCTCTACATGTTGCAGGCACCAAAAAAAGGTTGTCCAGCAGTTTTACACGGATGTATAGGGCCTGGTTTGTAAAAACCTAAGGCCCTGAACTCTAAAACCTAAACCCTAATGGCTTGTGGAGCTCAAAATTCCTGGGGTGAGCTTCTCACATCAAGGATCCCTGCGATCATGTCTGAACTGGAAGGAACATTCGTTCGTCAACGTTTCGACGGTCATGTAGGTTTGGGGTATAGCTGGTTGGGGGTATGTAGTGTACTATACGGAGTTCAGTTGACGAAGTTCTGCAGGGGTTGGCAGTCTGTACAGTAGCTGCGAAAGTTCTACTTACATAACATGTCCTGCACAAGTCTGTAGTTAGCCAGTAGCTGCGAAAGTTCTATTTAAAATCCTAAACCCTAAACCGTTGTCACAAGAGGACCAGGCTATGCACGAACATACAATGAACCAGTTTGCCGAAGCCTCGCGGGCATGTTGTCCATGAGCAAAAAGGCTATTTTGAACCCGAAGCCCTAAACCTTCTACCTATGGGTACACTCTAAACCCAAAATCCTAAGCCCTAAACCTTCTACCTACTGTAAACCCTAAACCCGAAATCCTAAGCCCTAAACCCTCTACCTAGTGTAATCGAAAAACACATTCAGACTCAACTCAGCAAGCGTGATGCGTCCTAAATAGTCCGGATAGGCTATCGTATATATGATTATGGTGCAATAATACTTTTATTACGAATAATACAGCCTGTAGTAGAGCTTTCACGGGCAGAAGACCCAACAGTTACATGCATTTGGGCGAGCTGTTTTGCAGGCGGGAATGTGGGAGCGTATGTGATGATTAAGAGCTTGGACCCTTAGGGGAACTGCTCCATACATGGTGATCCATGCTTAGCTTTGCTGGCTTAGGAGATAAGACCTAAGACTTACGATCTTGTCTTTGTTTCTCAGGGGTGAGCGGTTCCCATACGGTTCCAAGTGCCGAAAATACTTCCCTACTCACCCAAATACTAGCATAGATTAATACTATAGCCTGAACCCAGGTACCCATACCCTAAACCCTAAACCGCTAGGATTAGGTCTTCGGGTCCTGCTGAATTCGCGATTAGATGGCCCCAAGAAGCGGAAGTTGAGCCTAAACGCTAAGCCCTACTTGTAGGTTCATGCGTAGTTGTAAGCGGGGATATAAGTCCCCCGATATGGGTTCATAACTTATAGCTATAGTTATCCTACTTATGACCCTACTTATAACTACCCATGAACCTCCAAGTAAGCTACACTGAAAGCGCCAACCTTGCAGACTCTCAGCTCCCTGGAGCCTCGATACCTCCAACTCGGGAACAAGCCTCAAGATCTGAAAGTGGAAGTTCTCTAGGGTTTACTTGGAGGGTCGGCGGACTTAGTAGGTAGTTATTTTATAGGGTTATAGGTACCATAACCCCAATTAGGGTCCCTATTAAGGTACCTATAAGTTATAAGTCTATATAATAACTACTTAGCTACCAAGACGGTGCCAAAACCTGCTAAGCAAGGCAAACTCTCTTAACTGTCTAAGGGGTCTGCCTTCACTGTATCTTACAACGATTCCGTGGTAAGGGGTATTGCAATCTCTGATACAGGGGAAAGAGCCGAGCCAGTTCCCCCTCCCCCTCGTCGAGACGAGGTGCAAATGGTCGGAAGATGACCGCCTTTTCCTCCTGCCGCACTTGGAGGTTCGTGGGCAGTTGTACGTGGGGTTATATGTCCCCGAATATGTGTTATAATTATAGTTAGCCTACGAAAAAAACCTTACTTAAAACTACCCATGAACCTGCAAGCAGGTTTCAAGTATGTGCGGTTTTCTGTCTGCGCTTGAGGTGGAGTCCTGGATTTGAGTTTTAAGGCTTTGCCTCTCGTGCCCGTGTCTTTGCCTTTCGCGCGTGCATGATCTGGCGAAGCGTATCCTCTCCCCAAGTCCCTTGAAGACTAAAGCACCTTGAGAAAGAATCTTGAAAACAAAACCGCAGCTTGCTGATAGGGGTTGTCCCGGGAATGAACATTGACAAGGACCAAATGCTCCGTGCTTGCATAGCACTCCCGTCCATACAGACAGTAGCTTGCCTGATCTGTCTATTCACTCTTCATTTGGAAACCTCTAAGATGGACGCGACAGTGAATGGCAACCAAAACCCAGAACCTACAATGCAGTTCAAACTGACTGCTGCGCCCTCACTCGAGGGCTCAATCGCCCCTGGAGGCGAGGGCCCCGGAGAAGAAAGAATATCACCGGGCGTCGGAGGATCTGACGCCGCCTCGTCCGAGGCTTGTGGCGCCAATGTTGGCGCAAGCTGTGGCCTGCGGGTGTGCGCAGGCGGGACCAATCTCGTACCGACCGCTCCTGCCGAGTAGTCCCACGGAAAACCAGCCAAGCCCTGATACAGCGGCTTGTCCAACATCCAAGAAGAAGTTGTTCTACGCACTGACCGACACAATCTCACACCAGCTCTCGTGGATACAATGTACATGTCGTTGGTGGTTGTCTTGCTAAGGAAATGCACCGAACCCATCTAGGGTTCCCCTTCTTTTTCACCGACACTTGTCCAAACACTGGCTCACCAAATGGGACCAGTCGTCCCGTGTGACGGACGTTGGTCCCCCGTTCGTAGGCAGTGAGTCCTCCCACCGCCGCGAATCTATTACGAGTCCACCTTGAGGGCAAGAATCGGGTGGTCGACGCCGAAGTCGACGCCAACACACTCATGCACAATACTCATCATTACTGGAAGTCTTTGTGAATGTAAAACCTGTTATTGGGATAGTTTCATTAGGGTCTTGCTACCCTAGCGCCCCTAAACCTGAAGAATAGGTCTTTGTAGACTTTGGGGCTTGAGGCCAAGCAGCTAGGTTTACAAACTATAGAGATAAAGCCAACCCCTTCAGTAAACTATAGCTACATTACTTCCAGTGCCACTTCCTGCGCCCTCTAACAGTTTCGTACGCGCTAAGGCCATCTATACACCACTATGAGGCTCAGAACCTATGAACCATGACTCTGGACACGACCGAAAGACCTGATACAGGGGCCTTAGCATTCGAAGTGTGCTCAACCCCAAAACTAAGGAACACCATGAACAAGTGTGGCAAATTTTTCAGCCGTCTAGAACATATGCTTGCGGAGCCCCTGCAATCCCTATAAGAGCTCCTGGTACTCGAGGCATAACACCTATACGAACCTTGTCATTGTAAGACCCTTATGAAACTCTTTATGAGTAGAATAATAGAACCCTTAGCAATCTTCACGGAGATTTCGGGAAAGCTCGGAAGAGGTCTCCTCTGTCAGCTCCGCTTTGGGGGGAGTCTCCTGGCCGGGATGGACGCTTTCAGTAGCTTAAAGGAGTGATGTGATGCACATTAATAGGGCTAAGCTGGTTTCGTGAACTTTATGGGTATTTACACGGGTTCATAACGTTCAGAGCTGCACGATGTTTCTTCTGGCAAAACCCAACTCAAAGCTGCAAACATCCCTGTTACAACCCATGTAACTGAGCACCACTTAGGCTTGTCTCCACTATAAGACCCCAGGCCCCAGTCTCCGAAACCTCTTCATGAACGAATAGCAATATGTGCCTCAGACCACATTACTTAAGGGCCCATCCGGAGTTTGGGTGTCTTTTTCAACATTCGTGAACTGAAAGGCTTTCGCATCCGATCGTCTTGCACTGGATTATTCCACGGAGCCGCCAACCCTAAACCCTAAGTCATCAGCGCTCAATCCTGTAACAACCCCCCCCCCTTTTTCCGTAACCCTAACATAGGGACCTTTCTTGTTAGGGTATGTTCCCGGTCTATATTCCAGTATAAGTGCGGCTGAAAGGAAATACTAGTGCTAATTATTCCAGCTCCTTATCCCCTCAACTCTAACACCATAAGCAACCCTGATAACATCCACTCAAACTCTAAACCTATACCCCCCTTAGAACCATAATCAAAAACATAATTTTAATATTCTTTTGGGTTTTATATGAATCAAAAAGTCCGTAGGAGACTATGCTAAACCCTTGACCGCCCGTCCTCCATGGGATCTGGCGTTGGCTTCTCCGGCTCTTCGTCTGGCTCCTTGCAACCCAAAAACCAGCCCACAGACTCCACAAACCTGTAGGGCTTTAGGATTTAGGGCTTCGAGTTGTAGATCGTTTGAGGATTGCATTTTGGCATCTTTAAGGTGCTCAAGTCTGTTTTTCGCTCGCTTTCTCAAGCAGCTGTCGTGCTGTCGGTCTGTGTTAAGAAAACGTTTCTGTTGTTGTTGTTGTTGGTTATTTTGTAGGTCCTTGGTGACAGAATACATATGTATATATATATATATATATATATATAAATATATGTATATACATACATATACATACATACCTCGAATTACATACGGAACCATTATATGACGAACTCTTATTCCTTCATTGCCGGGTTTACGAGGATCGCCCAACCGAAAACTTTCCGAGCCCTATAAAACAGGCTTGAGCCCCCACCCCCCACCCCCGCCCCCACCCCCCACCCCCGCCCCACCACCCCCACCCCGCCCCACCACCCCCACCCCACCCCCCCCCTACCCCCAACCCCAACCCCGCCCCCCACCCCCAACCCTTGTGGGCCTCCAGGTTGTGGGCGATGGAAAGCTGGGACTCTGCAGGGATAGGTCCGAGCTTTTGCAAAGCTGTCCGCGATGTGTATGGGGTGTGCAAAGGCTGTGTGGGGCTTTAGGGTTTTGGGGTGTTGTTCATCATACTAAATGGGTAATGCTCTAAATTAGGGTTGTGCTTTGTGTTCTTTCCTATAAGGGTGATGTAACTTTGTGTGGAGACGAACTGTGCTGGGATGACCGTCTGAAGAATTGCAGGACCGCTGTGGACAGGAACTTCGCCATGTCTGGAAACAGCTGACGATGGGTCGTTCTTGTTGGAACTGCTTAGGACTTCCCCGGGAGGACGTACGCATATGGTAGTGGCTGTTATGTCGAGCGACTGCATGCCGTAGATGTTGGGTGAGGGCCTGTGGCGTGGTATCTCGTCTCCAGAGGGAGACCAGGCCGAGGGAGGCGACCCTTCGCCCGGACAGCAGGCGGGAGAGGAGGTCCAAACATCCGTGGGCGACCATCAACCCCTCCGAGCATGCCGGGGCCTGCCGACCGGCTTGGGCGGAGGACGGGAAGGTGGGCGGCCCCCTAAGCATCCGTATGATCTGAGGTGTCTTTAGTCCGGTGCTAAAGGAGCATAAACGTGACAAGACCGCTTCTCGATGCCCTGTTACCACTAACTAGGGCTGTAGGTTTTTTTTTTAAGGTGTAGTGACTTTTCAGCCTGCCTGCCTCGGCTTACACAGGGCTGGTTCACACCGATATTTCAGTGGCAGCCGCAAACAACTTCGTACACTGCATGCTCTCAGATCAGCTTGGGCTTGTGTCACAATCTCGGCTCAACGACGACTCTGGGGTTCTTCATCATCACCATCAGTGGAGTTCGACGAAGATGCAGCATCACCCTGACTACCAGTAACATCCAATCCCGAGGTCACCGACGAGAAAGTCACAGGCAAGTCCATGGACACATCCGAACCATCGACACCAGCACCAGCACATGGACCAGCAGCAGCACTTCCCAGATCCCCAGCAGGAGGCCCAAGACGAACATCACCAGGATCACGGGAAGATGCACGACGACGAACATCTGCCGACCCAGCTCCATGCCCCACGTCTTGATCCACCGACTCATCACGACTCCTGCTCCGATCATGTCTCCCAGCGACCCGACGAAACTCATCAAACGGTATAGCCCCAACAGTCTCTGCCAGGGTGGCCGTGGTGTTCAGAATAGGAGGTGGGCGGGGAAGTTGCTGCCGTCTTCTATGGCGTACTCGGTGACGACGAGGAGGAGGACGAGGCCCGGTCATTACCGGTACATTCGGCACCTCGCTCGACTCATCGACCTGGATGAGGTAGAGGAGCTGGTCGTCTTCTGAAGGCCAAAGTCCACCAGGCACAGCGACCCCCACCTGATGGTGTAGTTCACGAGCATGATGATACCAACTGCGCCGTCGAAGGCCAACGACAGTGTGCCTATCGAACTGTGGGACGCTACGCCACAAAGCTTCCAGGTCCACAGGGAAGCCGGGTTGAAGTAGTGCCGCCGCAGTACCTGTCACCTGTGTGGTACCAGACGAGGAGGGCCCATTTGTGAATTGAGACTCCTGAGTAATCGTACTCCAGATCCCAGCTTCCATCGAAGGCGCATTGAAGGCCATGGACGTGGTTGGTACATTGATCCACATGAGCGCTTCTTCCCTCGCGATGCCTAGTAAGCGTAGTTGTTGTAGAAGACGGCGCTGTCGTGCTTCAAGACGGTGAAGAACTTCTGCAACATCTGCTTGGCTGGCGTGTACTAGTTCACGATTCACAGTGTCCCTCACCACGTCTTCAGGCATAACCTGTGTCGTGGAAGTGGTAGTGGATGTCTCCTGAGCGAACCCCATGCATCTCCAACGGTCGAGGACATCCCAGCTGCCCAACGAAGTGGTCGTCCAGGTCGTACACAAATTGGACAGGCTGACCCACTGGAGAAGGCTCAGGCTATCCACCTCAACATCTCCCTCCATCCAATCCAAAAGTGAGGAGCTTGGTGGGGTAGAAGACGAAGACCACCAGTTCAAAGAGGTCGTCGAACAGGTCGTTGAGGAAGTAGTCGTAGTGCCATTTTCTGCCCAAGTACCGGGAAGGTCACCCTGTAGAGCACGATCCACAAGTGAAGAGCTTGTCGAGCTTGTCGAGGTAGGAGGCAGAGTCGTCCATGTCGAAGAGGTCGTCGAGCAGGCCGTTGAAGAAGTAGTCGTAGTGCCACTTTCTGCCCAAATACCAAGAAGTTCACCCTGTAGAGCACGATCAACATCGCCATGTGCATTACCCAGAGGCGCACCATCGCCATGTTCAGGAGGGGGTGTATCACTCGAGCTAGAAGCAGAAGAGTGTGCTTCACTTACATCGCCCCTAGACCGTCGGGAGTCTCGTGAACGACTTCGGGACCTGGAGCCACGAGGGAGATCAGGACAGCTGCCCGCACTGGGTTCAACCCTCGCACGAGCACCAGTCGAGAGGCCAGGCGAGGACGAGCGAGCAGCGGTTTCCCCTTCAGGCTGAGGCGAAGAAGGAAGTGCTTGTCCAGCTTCAGCACCACAGTCGTCTGGTTGTAGTCCAACTCGCAGGTGGCGTTCCAAATGTTCAACAAAGACAGGCACGTAGCCCCGAACCCAGTTAAACAGTTGGTAGCGAGAGAGCTGCTGACTTGGGACGCGCTGTATGGGAAGGTAGCCACGAGCCTGGAGTCGACGAACGAGAACGAGATGCAGTGCCTCAAGACAGGCCAGTCCATCTTCAATTCGACGAACAAGACACCCAACGGCCCACCTAGCCTCAGGTCCATTGTCCCTGTCATTTTCCCTGTCCAGGGCCTCGAGAAGTTGTTCTATACTGTCAACTTCTTGTAGGGAAGCCCGCTCGGCTCCAGTCATCTGCATGAGAACGACGTCATCATTGTCGGCGGTCCTGACATCAGGGAGAAGCCCTGCATTCGGTGGCAAAGAAGGCAGTGTGGACGAAGAGGTCGTGGTAGTCGATGTAGACGAGCTCCAGGAGGACCATCTCCACGAAGAGTCACCCCATTCCCACTGGGACCATTCCTGTCCAGTCCAAGTTCCCCCCGTCCATTGATTATCATCACGGTCACCATCCCAAGGTTGGCTGGTAGAATGATGATCCCACCATCCATTCTGCCATGGCTGTTGGGCCCACGGGTCAACATCCGTGGCAGTGTTGGACTCCTGGGTTTGGGCTGAGGTCAGGTTCGTGTTAGGCGAAGGTGTAGGCAGCAGTCCAGGAGCTTCTGGCACGGGTTTACCCAAGAAGGTGGCTAGGGCTTTCGCATCCATGTCGGCCAAGACGTCATAGCTGCGCGAGGTAGTGCGTTGAGCATCTCGCGCTTTCTTCTCTTTGACATACTCCTGCAACCAGGCTGGCCGCCACGTGCCGTCGAGGTACGAGTTAACCCGGGCAGCCTTACGAGCCAGTCGACGAGGTCCCATCCCACCCCTATGAGCTCGAAGTTCCGCGTCGGAGCGAGGTCGGTTGTGCCAAATACCATGGCGCCAGAAGCCAGGGTGTTGTTGGGAGCTGCTGGAGGACGAGCTCGGACCAGCCTCACTGTCGTCAGTCTCAGTGTTGGAACTCCCCGCAGTGGTCGAGGTGTTAGTGGATCCACGCGATGTCCCCCCTGCACGTACTTGAAAGCGGTCGCCGTAAAAGGTGATCGCCTTGATGGTGGGCTCGTCATTGTGGAAGTCAACCCCGACAACTTGAAATGGAGTCGACCCTGTGCTATCGTTAACACCGTGGTCATCGGCATCGTCGGCATCGTCGACAATTCCACCATGAGAGGCAGCGCGTTCTTCTTCTTCCATGCGTTCGCGAAGCCGAGAACGTACAGAACCGTCAGGATGATGCCAGCGGTCAACTCCTCCACGTGCACGTCCTCCCCTGGAGGTCATACCAATCAAAGGGGTGTTGTCAGGGGCGTGGTCGTCTCCATCGCAGCGAGGCTCACCAGGACGGTGGAGAAGCGTGGCAGGATCACGACCCAACGGTACAGAGCGACCACGGAGACCCCTGGTGTCAAGAACTTTGTCTAGCCAATCACCCTCATTGTTGGTGGAGGAGGAGGCAACTGATTGCTGCGAAGACGAGGATCCTTGAGTCCCAGAGGCCATATCCGAGGACGAAGAAGGCCAGCAAGTCACCCCAGACCAGGGCAACGCGTACGAGTCCTCCTCAACAGGTTCGCCTCCAAAGGGTAGTGGGATATCCTCTGGGATGGGAGCCAGGCCATTGTCCACCAGAGGGTATTCATGTTGTAGTAGATCATCCTGGAGTGCCAGACTGATCTCCTCATCCCAGGTAGTCAGTGAAGACCTCGATGTTGAGCAAGTCCCCGAGGTAGGCGAAGAAGTCGACGGGACAGTCCATGAAGTCGATGAGGGCCAAGTTGAAGATGATGAAGCAGAAGGGACATCACCCCAATCTGTTAGATCAACCCCCATCGCAATAGTGGTCCCCGACGAGGCCATTGTCCAAGTGTCAGCAGCTGGGGTCGTCGAAACCAAAGGGCACGTAGGAGGCTCAGCTTGTTCCGGTGGGAACGATGTCGGAGGCTCCAGCGACGTATTCCAGGAGGGGGAAGCAGGAGAGTACCAGTGGTCCTCCTCCCACGCAGCTGCCGTGTATTCAGCGATCTCCTCAGGCGTCCAGCTCCTCCAGTAAGGCCGATGTTCTTGTGGATCATCGTCTCCCGGAGCACCAGCCACCCAAAGAGGCACCGACAGCAGCCATCCAAGAGCGAGGCCACAACGAAGCGCCATCAGCACGAAGGGAAGGAGGAGGGGTGTCTCAAAGTTCCCAAACGCGTCTAGAGCCGAGGCAGAGATCGAGAGCGACCTGTCAACCAAACTTCATCGGACAGGCAAGCACAGGCAGGCGAAGTCATGGACTGACATGTAGAACCTGTCGTTGCAGTGCGTTCATAAAGACATGAGTGTGTGGCTTGTCATGTAGAGAACATTGTTGTGAAGGTCATCAAGGGCAAAAAGAATCGCAAAGACGAGAAAGTTGAAGAGAGATGTCATCCGCTTGTAAACGAGGCGAGCGAGTTCACAACAACTCAACCCAGGGAAGGTTTCACACTGCTGTGAGGACGCTCGGGAGGCGAATGTCGTAGGCTTTCTTCTGCATGAAACGGAGAAGACATTTTAGTACTGGAGGGACAGTTGTCTGCCTCTCGTCCACTTGGTATCCCACTCGGCAATATATTTGTCTCTCGCAGTGCTCCAGTCCTGGCGGTTTTGGGCAACGACGCTCCAAAGCGGACCATGGCTCTGAGAAAGCTGTCTCTCAGTGTTTGCCGCAAAGAACTGGCTAGGATGACGCATCGAGGAGTTTCTACTGAGAGATTGTTGATGGCGCCACCAAGCAGTGCAGCGCCATTGAAGAGCTCGCATTGCAGGACAGGTGCGAGGTACACCTCGCACGACTTCACTTCGCCGTGCCCAATGGCCATGGAGTGTGTGTTGAAGGAACAGCACTCGCTCCGACCACCGTTTGACTCCATTCTGATGTAACCACACCCTGATGAATCTTAACGTGCGTTGATTCCATTGCACCCAGTTTTCATCAGGCGCACGTTTCAACCCAAAGGCGGTCCTGCAAGTATGTAACTGAAGCACATTCAACCCATGGAGATCGTCTTTCCCCCAGTAGAAAGCACCAGCGGTCCAATTGAACTGTGCCTCAACGAGCGTGCGGATGATAGCGATCTTCCCACTCCAAGGGCCTGGGGCCTGTAGAATATCGCGATGCTCAGCTGCCGCTGCCCGTGTCCGACTGATGAGTTCTTTGGCTTGTTCAGAGGCATCGTGGGCAAGCGAAAAGGAGATACCCAGGACCTTGAGAGACTCACCCTTGTCAGCAATCTTAAAGTGTTGATCCCCAATACGTGCAGATCTCGCCCCATGGTAGTGGTCGTTGGCAACGATCTTCGTTTTGGCAGCGGCGAGATGAAGACCAGCTCCCTGGAGACATCGGTCGACGACGGTGATTCGCTTGCATAGTCTGCCAAAGGCCGTCTCAATGAGAAAGACGTCATCCTGGTAGAAGAGCAGGTCGATGTCACAGTCATCCAAGGGGGCACCCAAATTTTGCCACTGTCGACAATGAACAAGTTCTGAAAGCATGGCATCAACGACCAAGCCAAACAGCTCTGCGCTCTCAGGGGCGCCTTGTTTAATGCCGTCATCGCGAGAAAGGCATACAAGACGTCCTCCCGGAGCATTTCCAACAAGGCGATGAACAGTCAGCTGTGCAAGCAGGTAGCGTAACTCGAAGTTCACCCCTTTGTGCTGAAGTCGACGCACAAGAAGATCAGCAACCTTAGCCCTGTCAATCTTATCGAATGCGCCAGCCACGTCGAGCTTGCAGAGCAGTAGTGGGTGTCGCCATTCCTTGGTCACATCTCGAAGGCGCGAAACTGTCCCAAGTAGATCTGCTGCTTGTCGTCCCTTTCCACAACACGAAATCTTTGATCCTCTGCGCATGACAGGCAGTGCGCGCGAGCAGACCAGACGATTGATTAGTTTGTGAAATGCTGAGGACACACATATGGGGCGCAAATCACCCGGCCCTTTGGGGAAACTCACCTTCGCCAAAAGAGCCAAGAAGGAAGTCTCCCAACTGTTGGGCAACTGTCGCGTCTTGACGATGTGATTAATAAGCGACAGCAGTCGAGGTCCATGAATTTCGTCGCTGGCGAGCTCACGTAGAAGGTGTACTCCAATCCCATCAGGCCCAACAGCACTCCTGCATTTCATCCCTTGAAGCTCAGTACGGACGTCAAGAAGAGAAAAGGGTTGGAAATCACCCCCAGTGCAGCTTTCGATGAGTTCACCAAGTTGGGACTCCCACTCTTCAGCAGACCGATGAGGATTTTTCATCTTGTTCTCGAGATGTGCAGTAATGTCAGCCGCGAGGTCGGTGGATCCACAGTTCTCAAGCAAGGATCCCCACCAACCACGCTTGCGTTTCTTCTCATTTTGGAGAAGTCGATATTGATCCCAGTCACCCTTGACGATGGCACTGAGACGTTCTTCGCTCCACTTCTTACGTGCTTGGCGTCGACAACGATGGACAGTCTTCCAATCACGGGGTAGGTTGCTTTCACGAGCACGGGCAATGCAGTCCTTCACCTCATCGCTATCCCTATATTTGTAGGAAGGTCGAGGGCGCGTGTACTTCTTGGCAATCTCAATCAAGTCGTCCTCATCAATGATCTCCGTCTCGGGGATGTCACGGCAGACCCAGCGAGCACGTGAGTCGTTGCCCCACTTCATGCTGCTTGGTCCACCCTGGACCAGAATGTCACCCAAGATGATCGCGTGGTCGGACCCAATGATATGGCGACGTTCTGGATCAACAGAAAGGGGTGTGACATGGACTAATCTCGTGAACACCATGTCGATTTGTCTGCCTTCTCTGCTTTCATCCCGGGGGTAGTGGGTCGGAGTCAGGAGATGAGGTTGAGCGGGAGCCACTGCTTCGATGCCATTCTGAAGGAGGTCATGGATCAGGACATTGAGGTTGGAGGAACACGAGCCAATCTTGTGACGGCCAGGAACGGCCGGCTCCTCCCAGAGTGTCTGTTCATTCGCGTCTGCCCCACAGATCACAGGAAGATGACGATACTTACGAGGGCAGAGCTTGCAGAATTCATGCGCTGCTGCCTGATAGACTGCAGTTGTCACCCCTGTGTGGCAGTGAACAGACCCAAGAACGACCCGGCCAATTCCCACCAAGCGCGCGACGACCCACACGCCTCTTTCGCCAGCAACTTTGTGGAGCACCGCATCAAACTTGTCAAGCGAGATTCCATGCCCACACCACGCCATTGATCACGATGCCGATGCGTCACCCAAAAGAATTCGTCACTTTCTTCACCACCCCAACCTTCATCACCCCGTGAAACTTCTTGACATAGTACGATATCACAGTCCTTACATGCAAGGTCCAAAAGGTTGGTTCGCTGCCCTCCAAGATTCCAAGAGCATACTCTCCCCCATCTGCGTGTTGCACACGGACGAGCAAGTGGCGCATCAGCTTCCTTAGGAAGAGAGGCGCGCGAACCTGGGACCCAATTCACATCCTCCGGGGTGAAACTATGAGCTGCCGGTCACAGCTCCCGCTCAAACGCACTCTTTGCTTCATCAGTGGCGCAGCCAGCCACCCTTGCCACTGCGGAAACATTCACCCACCCTCCACTGAGAAGAATGAACTCGTCCTCACACTTGGGCTGGCGATGGGTCGCACTTCCCAGTTTCTCTGCTCCATTCCATATCGTCCCCATGTTCCAATCACAGTCGTAGGCACCCACAACAGAGTTCACCCCCGGGTTTGTTTCATGGTCCTTGGCGAGCATCATGGCAACCCGTCTGGTAAGGCTTACGTGTGAGCTCTTCGCCCGTGCGTTCTTGGTCTTCACAAAGCTCGCCCAGAGGGTTTTCTCCTCACCGGAGCTCCGCGTACTCGGCAGGACATGTTTGAGACGCCCCAGGACTTTGATGACTTCCCACATCCTGTTTTTGGTATCCTTGAATTCTTCACCCTCACGAGTAACAAACCGAAGGAGGCCAACAGATCGCCTCGGGCCATAGATCATAAGCTTGTCAGAGTCAATGAAGTTCTTGATCTCAGGGATTCCAAGGATGACGGCGGATTCCTCCTCGATGACACTTCTCTTCGTGTCTTGTAGCCAGCCGCCAACAACGAGGGTTCGCATGTCCTCCGCGGAGAGAACGTCACCCCGATCAACATCACCACTGGGTCCAGGATCTTTGCGATCAGCCGGCATCGTGTTGGTAGCTCGCTGATTGAGGTAGGCGGCCCAGGGATCCGATCTAGCGGCCGATGCATCAGGAACTCCTCCCGTAGGGGCTGGTGCCGAAGCGAACTTAGAGTCCAGGGCATCAATCTTCACCTTCATGTTTTTGACCTCAGCAGTGAGATTGTCCAGGGCAGCTCCATGAGTGGTCGTGGTCTGTTTCTGATGAGCCACATCTTTCTCGGCGACTCTGAGGCGCGACTGAAGATTGGAGACTTCGAACGTGGTTTTCGCCTGTTCTCCTTCAACTTTGTCCAGACGTCCCTGAAACGACCCCCAAGCAGTTTTCATCTCAGCAAGGTGGCCAGTGAGCAAGTCTCTTATCTCTCTAGAAGAAAGAGGAAGATCATCACTGCGAAGGGCACGCTTCGAGGGGCTATCTTCTTCCTCTTCATCAGAATCGTCGGGTACTGGAGGAAGACGTCCACCATTCGCACTACCAAGTCCGCGAGCTCCTCGTCGGCGTTTTTTCTCGACTTTGACCTTACCCGGAGGATTGACTCCTTCAACTTCGCCGATGCCTCCAACAGCATCATCCAGTTCACTGTCCTCGGCAAGTTCAGTGGGCGATCCAATCACCTCGTCCTCCTCTTCAACCTGCATGTCAGGTGCAGCACCAGGTTGGGTTGCTTCGTCATCCGCCATCTCGTCCTAGACGGAGCCAAAGTCGTCCACCAAGTCGAAGACAACAAAGTCACCCACCAAGTTGGAGGCGAGGCCAGAAAGAAAAGAGAGAGAGAAGCTCCAGAGAATTCGCCCACTCGTCCGTATGCACACGTTCGAAGAGAAACTTGCCCGAGGAGTGCAGCGACACACCCCGGTAGGTGGAGACACCGACCACCAAGTACTTCACCCAAGGACAGGAAGCCGAGAAAGTTCACCAGGTCACCCAGGAGCAGGTCAGCCCAGCGGCGAACTTGCGGATGAACAGGTAATCGTCAGAGAACTGGATCGTCGGACTGGAGGGGTCCAGGACCTTCAAGAGCACCAACGCCGCGCGTGAGGCAGGAGGGCCAGGGGGGAAATACCTGAAAGTGGTTCGAGCACAACAGCTTGAGCCCGTAGCCATTAGAGTTTAGGGTTTAGGGTTCAGGGTTTAGTTTGAGGTGATGCCGCTAATGTAGGAACCTGAGTAAGCAAGCCTGGGCCTATAACCCCCAATATAGCAGGATTCATACAAGGGAAGACGAGTGTCGAGGAACGTCTTCTCCAGTATGTGGAAAGACTGGGCAAGGCAGAAGCTATAGGCGAGGACCCCATCTAGCTACTTGTCGGGTATCATGGGGAACTAAGGGTTAACCGTTTTGGGTATACAGGGATTATATAGGGACGATACTACCCAAAAAGGGTTAAAGGTTACCTACTCTACTGCTAGGTTAGTTATAAAGGGCATTAGAATCCCCTAAGCCTATAGATCCCTTATAGATCCCTTAAAGGAACCTAGGTATTCCTTAAAGGCTTGGGTATAAAACTAGGCCTAACCTACCCTAAACCTAAAACACCATTCCCTAAACCCATTCCCTAAACCCAGAACCCCTCTTCCTTGAGCCCTCCAAACCCAAAAACCTGAAGTCTAAACCCTAAACCCTAAAACCTAAAACCCTAAAACCCTGAAACCCTAAACCCAAAACCCTAAACCCTAAAACACTAAAACCCGAAACATCCATCTTCCAAAACCCCGAGCTACGATCCGAGGTTCAGGGCTTCCCTGAATTTAGGGTTTGGGGTTTTAGGGGTTGAGGGGTTTTAGGGGTTTAGGGGTTGAGGGGTTTAGGGGTTTAGGGGTTTAGGGGTTTGGGGTTTAGGGGTTTTGGGTTTAGGGGTTTAGGGTTTCGGGTTTAGGGTTTCTGGGCTTTGAAGTAACCAGGGAGAAAAAAGGATAAACTTCTATTTCATAAGCGTTCCTTTAAGAAAAAAGTATTAATTAAAGCATGGTGCTCCAAAGCCCAAGTTTAGGGTTTAGGGTAAGGCTCCCCTGTCGGGTACCGCTGCTAACAATTGGGGCAACATACCCTAGACACCTTTTTCTCCAAGGCTGAACCGTACTTCCGGACCCAAAACCAGAATACTAGACCCCCCCCCCGGCAAACCACTAATTTTACAGACCCACAGAGAGCCTTGCAGAACTCTCGCAGACCCCGTAAAGCCTTGGATATCTATCACCCTTCAGGTTGATCCTAGCTCTGCCCTGAGCTCTCGTTTTTGAGTCATTAGTGTCCCTACAAAGCCTTGAGAGTGTATAGATACATTGACATAACTAGCAAGATCGGATCTCTGGTCATATTTCGTTGCGGTTTAGGGTTGAAGGTTTCGGGCTTAAGGTATGAGACTAATCAACATTCTTGCTATTTACGGTCTGACGCAACTCAGCGTCCAAAATCACCACAGCTGCCTTACTCGAGACGCTGCTTCCCTAAACCCTATATAAACCCTAAACCCTACTTACTAGGCCTCCGCTTATTTTGAAGCCGAGAAAGCCCACACGTCGCTCCTCTGGCTTCATGGCGTCATCCGGTAGAGGATCCTCGTGCGTTTAGGGTTTAGGGTATGGTAGTGTCATCCGGTAAAGGGCCCTCTGCGTCGGAGATTCAAGATTTAAGGTTTGGGATGCAGGGGTTAGGGCATACTGGTTCGGGTTTAGGGATTGGGGTAGTTACAGGGTTTATGGGACCCAGAACCGAAGTTTATCGGTTTTCTGGAAGTTTCCGGCGGCTTTCTGAAGGGAATACCCTGAAGCCTAGACCTACTTGTAAAATACATCCTGCATACCCTTGGAGAATCCTTTCAGGCCGTTAACGGAACCCCTAACGCCAGTCAGAGTGTAGGATTTCCGACAAGCCAAATACCAGCCACAGTTTCGACCCGAAATCATTGAGCTGATTTAAAAGTTGCTCTAAGGGTCCTTCGTAAACAGTTACTTGTAGGAAGGATATGAGGTTGGGGTTCAAGAGGTCGCCTAAAAGGAACACTCAGAGAAACCCTTGAGGTCCTGAAAGGGCTTAGGTGTAGGGCTTAGTAGGGCTGGCACCTCACCGGCCGCTGCGCGACGCTCCACCTCCGCCTCGCTGGAGCTTAAACACGGCTTTTGTGCTTCGCGGGGTGTGAACAAAGGTTCTCCGGGTGATTATACGGCTCTACAAGCATCGAATGAAGTGGCCAACAGCTGAGGCTTTAATGAAGTGCGCGCAGGTCATAGGGCTTTGAGAAGTTTTTACTTGGATATTGATGATGCTTTGTAGGGTTTGAGCAGCGGTGCTAATCAGTTTCATGAGGTTTTAGTCAGAGGTTTTGCATGGGTTCTATGATGTTTTATCACACTGTAGCAGGATGTTAACGTCTTAGTGGGTTTGAGAGGGTCTTCCTGGGACCTACACGGTATCTGTAAAACCATATGGCCTTGGAAACAACACTCGGTACACACGCTCTAGAATTCTAAAACAAGCAGAGCACCACTACACGGCCGAACAAAATCTGCAAGGACACTCTTTAAATCTGAACACTACACCGAAGAACAATAAAGCCCAAATCCTGTACAAGTAATTCCCTTTTGTTTTAAACTCCGGTAGATCCGTTCGCAGAAACACCGTTGCTTCAGACGTATGAAACCTTTTGACAAGAGCAAGTAAGACCCACGATGTACATGTACCCTCATTCATCGATCTCAGAAGTGGAATCCCATTAAACACCCCCTACTAACAGACCTACACTCCTTTTAAAACCGCGAAGACGCCCTATACTCCCCAAAAAAGGCAACGAACAACTGAATTCTATAAACCCTAAACCCTGCACCTTCAAAAACCCTGAGCCCAACACCCTTAAAAACCCTAAACCCTACACCTTCAAAACCCTAAACCCCACACCGTTAAAAACCCTAAGCCCTACACCCTTAAAAACCCTAAACCCTACACCTTCAAAACCCTAAACCCCACACCGTTAAAAACCCTAAGCCCTGCGCCCTTAAAATCCCTAAACCCTACACCTTCAAAAACCCTAAGCCCTACACCTTCAAAAAACCTGAGCCCTACACCCTTAAAAAAGCCCAAAACCCTACGCCCCCTTAAAGGAATGGAGCCGTTGCCTTCCTCGCTGCCTCGGCAGCCTCTATTCGCGCCTTTTCGGTGCTTTGACTTCCGGCCGAAACCCCGGGGGTTCAAGGGTATAGGGTTTAGGGCTTTAGGGGTTTCAGGCTTTAGGGGTTTAGGGCTTTAGGGGTTTAGGGCTTTAGGGGTTTCAGGTTTTAGGGGTTTAGGGTTTTAGGGGTTTAGGGCTTTAGGGGTTTAGGGTTTTAGGGGTTTAGGGTTTTAGGGGTTTAGGGTTTTGGGGTTTCAACGGTCTTAGGGTTTAAGGTCTATAGGGTTTAGGGCAAAGTCTTAGGGGTTTAGGGTTTAGGGATTTTCGAGGTTCCAGGTGATTCTTGAGGGGTTAATTGCTGAAAGGATCTCATATTGTTTCAAGGCGTGTCTAAAGGGTTTTACTCTTTTGTGTGTGTTCAAAGCTTTTGTCGGGCTTAGTTTTTGTAAGGGGTTTTGTTGAATGCATAGTTGTCTCGTTGTTGTGTTTGTCTTTCCCAGACTTCATGGCGATTCACACCCAGTAGACCAGGCTTGTTTTTCGGGTTCGGGATATGAACCCCCAGACCAAGAGGTTCAACTTAGATTCGAAGCCCTCGAACACAATACCTAGTTTAAGCATACAGTATTCCTGAATGCTCCGAAGCCAAAGGCCTTAACCCAGTTAACTTCCAAAGCTCAAAGAGACCGGTGCGGGCACCCTTTCATTCGTGAACACTACAAACGCTCCAGAAAAAGCTGCAACAAAGGCCCCCTCGACCTCCAGGAATCGTCCTATTTCCTTCTTTTCGAGTGCTACTGGGCTGCACCAGAACTTACGGCGTCCGGGAGAGCCTTCTTCGCTGCGCGCTGCACCTCCTGGCAGCCGGTTTCGGGTTTCGGGCTTAGGAATATGGGATTTGTGGTTTAGGGCTCGTAGGCGGTTTGAAACAAGGGGTTCCAACACACTGTTGACTTATGTACACTGGACACAAAGCACACTTACATCGAATCTCCTGGCTGGGTCGCAACCGCATGCGGATGACCTCTTCTTTCACAGGGCTTTGCTACTCAATGACGCAAGGCAGTGTAGTGCACCCTGAGCCCAAGGAGGTTCCCAAACTAGGGTTCAGGGTTTAGGGTTTGTAGGTTCTTCGACAAGGGTTCAAATGGCGACGATGAGGGGATGCTGGATGGTTTTTACAATTCAGAACATTTGCTAAAAACCATAAACCCTTCGACGCCAGGGCCGAAAAGCCTCAACACGCAAACCCCCAGACCCTCCTCCAAAAAAAACCCTAAACCCTAAACCCCTAAACCCCCAAATAGCCCTAGAGACACCGTATGGCAAAATTACGCTCCTTTTTTGGGTCCCCATTATAATACGGCACCTATGATTTAGGGTACCCAAAAGGGGACCATAATTTTGACAACCACCCATACAGTGTGATGGCATTTGGTCTTGAAGGCCCGAAAAAGGAGGTCCTTCCCAGACCCCCGGGAGGATCCAGAAAGTAGATCCCTGAATGGGGGGTCCTAAAAGTACCCTCAGTAGTATAGGGCCCCAAATTAGGGGATCTACTTTCTAGATCCTCCCGGGGGTCTGGGTTCTTAGCCTTACGATCAGACCGGCCACGGGAGCTCCCACAGGAACCAATCAAAGGGGAAAAGGAGGTAGGGTTTAGGGTGTAGGGTTTAGGGTTTAGGGTTTAGGGGACCCTCAATAAGGACCCCTAGGTATATACCCTTAATATAGCTATTATATACCCATGATATATCCCATTATTTATAGGGTAGGGGTCCCCATTAAGGGTCCCTCCTTTTCCCCTTTGAACCAAGCTGAACCCTCAACGGCCCCTAAACCCTGAACCCTCTAAGGCGCCAAAACCCTAAACCTTCGAACGACCCTAAACCCCATAAAGCCCATAAAGGGAACTCCAGAAAGTTGGAATATGGTTTCAGGGTAGGATACCTTATAATTTACCATAGAAGGGTTTAGGATAATCATATTCCAACTTTCTGGCTTTTACTTTAAGCCTACAAACCCTAAACCTTGAACCCTACAAAGCGTATACCCATAGGCTCCATAGTTTTTTTTGGGATTACCTTATAGGATTCTTATTATGAACCCCAAAAAGGAACTACCATGGAGCCTATGGGTAAACCCTAAAAACGACCAAGCCGACAGGCCCATAAACCCAAGATCCAAACCCCAACGGTTGATGATATAAATCCTGCATGACCCATAATAAGGATTAGGGTTTAGGGTTTAGGGTTTAGGGTTTAGGAATATACCATAATTCCCATAGTTTAGGGTCCTGAAGGTAATGCAGGATTTATATCATCAACCGAAGGACTCAAGAGCGGGCTCCTGCTCTTGCAACTCGAGGCTGCGCTTTCGGCTCTTTTCCGCCTGCTTTTGCGGGCTTTTTTCTCTTTTTTCAAAAGTGCATTCCGGGCATCAAGAGTTCGGGATTTAGGGTTTAGTTAGGGTTTAGGGTTCGGGTTCTTGATATCTACACCCCTATGTCTTCACAAGAGTCACAAGAAAAAAAGATGTTGAAGGTTTACGTGCTTTACGTTTTAAGGTTTACGTGCTAAGACTGGCTTGCAGGTTTCGGAGATTCGGGCTTGGGACCCCAAACCTACGGTTGATGATACAAATCCTAAGATCCATCTGTCAACAGTCAACTCTTCCAGATTCTGGCCAAGTAACCCCAGCCCAGCAGAGTTTAGGTATATCCTAAAAAGTTAAAGACGACCTACTCAGCCGCAAAAAAAAAGTCCGGTCGACGAAAAGGCTTCGTGGTTCTGGGTTTAGGGTTTAGAAGGACCCCGCCAACATCTACTCAGAATATTCCTTGCGTTAATTTAGGGAACGTGGAGTCTGTGGCCTGTTTCCCTAAAGCCTACTGTAAGCTTGAACCCCAATTATCAAAACCTACCTGGACCCTACAGAACCTAGCACAAGTAGGTCTTTTAGGGTCCAGGTAAACCCCACACCCTACGGCCCAAAGCTACAAACACCATAGACCCTAAACCCTAAACCCTAAACTTAGGCCCTAAACCCTAAGGCCCAAAGCTACAAACACCATACAGGCCCAGACCTTCTGCTGCTCGAACTCGACATTCACCTTGACGGTTCCGGGCTTAGTGGGTTTGATGGGGTGGGATGGCCTGGGCTTTCAATATTATCATCGGGACCCTTGAATAAGGGGTGGGGGTAGGGGGGGTAGGGCACTATACTTGACGGTTCCCAGTTTAGGGCTTCATGGGGTCGGCAGGGCTGGCGTTTTGGGAGAGGCTTTGGGACTTCGGGGTTTTGGGGAGTTGCATACGGTTGCGGCTTCCGGAGTTGAGGTGTGGGCTCCCCTAAACACTTAAACTTGAAGCCGTTGTATAAACAAGCACTCACATCTGCAGAACTGAAATTTCATATTCATGAAGCCTGAAAGCCCTGCATATGCGGCCCCTTACGGCTACACTACGCAGACAGCTCAAAAGATGTATTTCCAGATCTCACCGGAGCGTTCTCTCAACGCCGTCTTCACGACCGCGATGCCGGAGACTTCAAGCAGGTGGTATATACCAAAACATCAAGAAACGAGCCGCTGTGATGTATGCGTCTTCACGAGTATAGCGGAACTTGCCCTGGTACTGAAGGGTTCGCACGGCTCACCTGGTTGAAGATCGTGGCTTTCTGCTCGTCGATGAGCTGAGCTGCTGTGCTCTCGTACCACAGTCACGGCAATGCAAAAGCAACACAACGCCCGATGCGCTTCGGCTGAATCATTCACGACATCTAAATAAGGCCTATTGAAGGAAGTATAGTCCCCTACCCCCCCCTGGCAAGGGTCCCTAGAATTTAGGTTGGGGGCAGCTGAAAGATTCAGTCTTTGGCTTGTCCTCGGCCATACTTTCTTGGGTATGTCATAACTACTATATGCAGGAACAAACAGCCCTGAACAATTATAGTCTTGCTCATCCAGGCTTGGATATATTGCACGATTATGAGAACAAGGCTTGGTGGCATAGTACGGTATAACGATATAAGGTTAACAACGTGATACAATGTTCAACGAGTTCTTATTCCAACCTCTATAATGATGCCCCTATACCCGGAGACTCCAGAAGCGCTAAGACAAGGCTGAAAGAAGATCATGGAACCACTATCGTTGCAGTTGCATTCCATGATTAAAAGTTTAGGGAGGGTTTTGGGTCCCTAAACCCTTGAACCAACAGAGACCCGGATGCATTTAGCCCTTCTAGCAATCCTTGAAGACCCTAACTCAACACCTCTAAACCCCGGATGCTAAAACTTTAAAGTAGTGTGGATCCGCTGAAACAAAATTCCAGCCTTGTCTTGCTTCTCTTTCAGGATCAGCTCCTCTACTATGCATGTTGCATAATGCGACATCATGCACAATATAAAATACGCAAGTATATGACATGTAGCATGTACTTACTAATGTACAGTGTGTAATCCACAATATGCTGTAACATGAAGACGTATGACATTTGTATATATATATATATATATACATATTCACAATATATTAAAATAGGGTTGGAACGGGGCTTCAGAGCCTGGGTCTTTAAGGCTGTGAAGGTTTTGGCCTTGCGGCTTCCAAGGGGTTAAAGGTTTCGGATTTTCGGTTTGGGGGAACTCTTCAACTGTGTACCTAAACCCTAGCAAACCTTCTCTCTGAGGATTCCTTTGCTAAGGTAGGAACCTGATTAAGAAACCTTGGCCCAAGGCTTCTTAATCAGGTTCCTACATTATGACTTCCTTATAGGGTTTAAGGTTTAGGGGCCCAGGCAATCTTTCGAGGTTTTTAAGTCCTTAAGGTGTGGGGAGCCAGGTTTTGCCTTTACATGTCGCTTCAACTACCTACCGTTTCAAAGGCTACCTTGTAACCGCAGGGGTCGTAACCTACCAAAACAGGGTTTGGGGCTACAGGTAGTGATTAATTAGGTTCCTGAAAAACTAGCACTGCACATTCATGGAGGACGGAATCCAGCATTCACAAGAGACAAGGCCACATGCCAACAAAAGCATCATGCAAAATACCGTCTAAGCTTAGTTCGTGAACAACAAACCCTAAACCCCCTCTACACATTACTCCTTGCAGTAACTTAACAGAACCCATATCGATCCATTAACGGAACCCTCATGGAAACTCTAAGCTCCATCCTTGAAAGGTCCAGCAAACGCAGGGGTAACTGTCGGATACTGCCCTAAGGCTCCTGGTAGGCTTAGGGGCTTTGTGGGCGAGGGTTTGGGCTTTGGGGGCTAAGGTTTAGGGTTTAGGGTTTAGGGTTGGGTCCAGGAGCATTAGGGTGAACACGGGGAAGACAAAGCAGTAGGTACCGTAACTGGGATTATAAATATGTTCGCCTTGCAGAACCCACCTTATGTTCTTGCAGGATCATGGGACTTAGTAACTGGGGTTTGTACTGTACCTTATAAGCATACTTACTAAGTCCCATGATCTCTTATGTAGGGTCCAAATGTGAGAATGTAGGAACCTGATTAAGAAACTTTGGGCTTTTAGTAGGGTTCCCTGTATGAATCCTACTAATTTAGTGGTTCTAGGCCCAGGGTTTCTTAGTCATAGTCAGGTTCCTACATTACCATTAATCTTGGCAGATGGAGCAGTAGCGCCGATGCTTCAATAAGTAGGCTACGGCTTCAGGGCCATCGCTTGAGGGCCATCAGAGTATATGCCTTAAACTCTAGAGGTATCCTAACCTATAATGGTTTGAGAATACCACTGAAGGCACCAACAAACGGAGCTACTATCCCAAACAAAGTATCTAGTTGCTAGGTCCTTGGGATCCTTCAGACTGTAAGACTGACGATGCTAATCGCCGTCATAGAATCGAAATGTTAAGAGACTGCGTCGCACCGTAAGAAGTCGCTTGTTTTTACAGTTTTACATTGGCATGAATACTCAAGTCGTCCTGCGTTCGCATCTTGAACTGCGCTGTCGGGTCTCCCACCATGACCTTCACCCAGAGAGCCCAATACCCCTTGATAAAGGACTATGGCCTAAATTATATAGGGCTTCGTCTTAGGATGTAAGCTACATTTCTTACGCAAGGGGTATTGGGCTCTCTGGGTGCTGTTCACGGTTCAGGGTTCAGGGTAAAAAAGTCAGCTTGAGGGCAGCGCCTGCTCTTACTGCAGTCTAGGTTCCCGATTTATCCGATAAGAACAAGAGATTCCTGGTTCGTAGGGTTTAGGGTTTAGGGACAAGAGATTCCTGGTTCGTACGATGCTGTCTCAAACACTTCAAGCCGCGCACCGCGACTGACTACGTAAACAGTTACCAAGGCAGGTGTGTCAGAAGAGCCATTTCAGCCGAACAACTGCCCTGTTCTTAAACCCTGCTGTGTCGGAACCTCTTCAAATACCTACTCGTTCTCAACTCCCACACGCCTCCTTCTGAACAAATCCATCTCACGTACCAAACTTGCGAAAACAGCAAGCCCCAACCTAAACAAAGCTCTCAAACCTCAAAATTCTAAAACCTCACGCCATCAACCCTCAACTATACAAGCCACTGCCCTAGCGATACCCCCGCTGCAATTAATTAAGTTCTTGCATGTTTCGGCTTGTATGCTAAGGATCCCTGCATTGCAGAACCTATCAGAAGGACTCTAAGGGAGCAAGGGGGAGGGGGGTAGGGGACCTTAATAGCCATAATACGGACTTGATACGCATCTAATAAGGCCTCCCAGCTAGCCAGCAATGGAGGCTACCGGTATATATTTTTTCAGAGAAACTCAGCAAAGCTGTACTCCCTAGGGACTATGATCCACGACACATCTTAGCCAAGCGTTGCCAAGAGCTCTCTCACCTCGGGCCATCTTCAAGAGGTAGCAACAATGATGCAAGACCCTAAACCCTAAACCCCAAACCCTAAACCCTCAAGCAAATGAACTCTGAAGCCATTCAAGAACAAAACAACCCTAGGGCTCCAGTTGCCTGAGTAGTAGATTACTGACGCGATATTTCATATGGCTAGTAACCTATATACGATTTAGGCCACTGGAACACCCTGAACCCTCAAGACATAAAAAGAAACATCACAAACACCCTAAACCCTAAGCCGCGCAACCCTAAACTCCTAAACCCTGAGTCCTGACTCCATCAAACAAAGGAACAACACAAGAAGCGGCTGGCCTGCGCGAGCCGCTTGAAGTGCGGGGCTCGGAAACTGTCAAGAAGCTCCTCGTGGTTTAGGCGGTCTACTTTGCGGTTCCTTTGGAGGGATCCTTAAGGGATCTGTAAGGGTTCTTTTAAAGGGATCTACAGGGCTTAAGCTTACTTGGAGTTTCACGGATAGTTAAAGTAGGGATCATAAGGCAGGGTTTGTAGGGATCTAAAAGAGCTCTGTTTTGGGCCTTGGGGTATGCTAATTGAGGCATAAGCCTTACCTTAACCCGAAATAACCTCCCTTTTCAAGGACTTATATAAAGAAACCATATTCGGGCACCCTAAAGGAGGTAGGTTCCTTAGGGTCCAGGTAAGCTTGGCAGACTCTTCCACCCTAAACCCTAAACCCTAACAGTCAAGCGGAGGGCCTCCGAGCTCTGAGTATTACTGAAGCTATGAAAGTTACTCGGGTGGTTGTCAAAAAGTAGGGTCCCTTTTTGGGTACCCTAAATATTAGGTGCTGCTTTTTTTTTAAGGACACCCAAAAAAGGACCATAATTTTGAGAACCATCCTCTCAAAGGGTCCATGTATAGCGTTTTGGGGTATATGATACTAATGGTTACGTATTTAAGTATAGTCAGGGACCCCCAAAACAACAATCCCACAGCGCCCATAAAAAGGGTTTTTGGGTATATTATACTATAATTATACGAAGGGATCCCCGCAAGAGCAATCCCAGAGGGTCCATATAAACGACCATTATGGAAAAGGTCCCCGAAACCATTATAGTGATGCCCTTTCGGGACCTGATTCCGTAATGGAATATATATATATATATATATATATATATATATATAAGTATGTATATATATATATATGTATGTATAAAGGTATATATATATATATATATACCCCCCGAATGCATCCTGCAATTGCTGCAACTCAACCTCAAAGGTTCATGTCCCTGTGCAATATATACCCTACTTGTCGCGTATCATGGGGAACTAAAGGTTAACCTTTAGGGATTATAAAGGGACTATATAAATCCTGCATTACCCACAATAAGGAATATACCATAATTCCCATAGTCTAGGGTCCTTAAGGTAATGCAGGATTTATATCATCACCCTAAACCCTGAACCCTAAAACCCTACAGATCCCTTAAAGGAACCCCTTAAAGGTACCCATATAGATCCCTTTAAAGGAACCCTGGGATTTATATGGGTTTTAAAGCACGTACTAAGGAGCCTTTTTGGGCTCGCAGAACCCTCTTCTCCGTTAAAGGAACACTTAGGAAACCCGTATTCTGGCCTTTAAGAGTTCCTTAGGGTTCTATATGGCTAGTTGTCAAAATTGGGGTCCCTTTTTTGGGTACCCTAAATATTAGGTGCCGTATTATATTAGGGACATATATGAGCGGTTCCAGATTGGTTCTAGAAGGGTTTATGGTTTAGGGTTTTTGTGGCTCCATTACGGCTTCCCTCAAAGGGTTCCTTTCGCAGGTTCTTTCAAAGCAACCCCCTCGCAAAATCCTAGAAGGATCCTTCCGCTCGCCGGGCAGCAAGCTGGACTTTAGCTCGACCACGAGGAAGTTCCTGATTTCAACAGAGCAGTTTGTGATGGCTTAGGGTTAAGGGATCCATTCTCCCTTCTTCAACAACCGGTCCCCAAAAAGCTCAAACTTTCTAAGAAAGAGCTAATATGTAAGGCCAAAAAGTTAAAAGTTCACCCGTTCACTATCTAAGCATTTGGCTCAGGTTCAGGGTTTAGAGGTGTAGCGCTTGAGGCGTAAGGTTTAAGTATCATGTTTATGGGGTTTTGCAGGATCTAATCTGGGAGTTTGTGAAAATAGGAGACCCTAATATACTACCTTAAATAGTAGGATCCCTACTGTAAGGACTCCAACATGAGGTATTCCTGATTTTTGGAAACTCCCTTTTGCGCACAACTTTGAAGACGGCTTTGGGCCGTTTCTATATGTCAAGCACACTAAGGCACCCTAGGGAGATCATCTTTCCGAAATGTTGAAACCCTAAACCCTACACGCCCAAACCCTAGTTCTGAGGATTAATCTTACCCTAATGCTCCTGGACCCTCGTAGTGAGATCCTAAACCTTAGCCCCCAAAGCCCAAACCCTCGCCCACAAAGCCCCTAAGCCTACCAGGAGCCTTAGGGTAGAAGATCACTGAAAGAGTTCCAGAGCCCTAAACCCTTAAGCCCTTAGTCCCCCGACCCAAGACCCGGAAGCCCTAAACCCTTAAACCCTAAACTCCGAAGCCCCATGAAAGCCTTAGCTATAGCCCCCCCGTAGAACCATAATAACAACAACGATATCTTTAATATTCTCTTGGGCTTTATATGGTTGGTTGTATAAATGACGGCCCCTTTGGGGGCACCCTCAATATTAGGTGCCATATTATTTTATAGTAAGGACAACCACCATATGAACAGCCTAAGGAGACTATAGTTAAAGCCCTAAACCCTTAAACCCTAAACTCCTAAACCCCTAAAGCCCATCAAGGCCTTTAAACCCTAAGAGCCCTAAACCCTAAACCGGTAAACCCTAAACCCTATAAACCCTCAACGCCTTAAAACCCTAAACCCCTGATGCCCTCGAACCAAGGAGGCCTCCGATGGGCGGACGCGATGCTCCTGCACGGTTTAGGGTTTTAGGGTGGCTTTAGGGTTTTAGGGTGTAGGGGTTTGAGGTTAGGGTTTAAAGGGTTTAGGGCTTAGGGTTTAGGGTTCAAGTTTACCCTAAGGCTCCAAAGGACTCTAATATTGAGGCTTTTGGGCCCAAACGCCATACCATATCAGGCTTTTGGGCTATTTTGAGCGATTGGGTTAGGGTAAGGTTGTTGGGTTTAGAGTGTAGAACTCTGGGTATAGGGGTCCGGGTCAAGGGGATTTTGAGTTCAGGGCCTTACAAACTAGAATGGGGTTCGGCTCGGGGTTCCTTCAAGGGGTTACCAAGGTTTAGTACACTAGACGCAAGAGTAACCTAGGAACAAAAAGGGTGCCCTTTTTGGCTTAAAGGGGCTTATAAGGGGACCTGAACCCTAAAAAAAGGGAATAAGGGCCTACTCCAGGTCCTAGTACAGGTGCTTTCATGTTTGGACTACTTACTTGGAGGGTCGCGGGACTTGGTATGTAATTATTATATAGACTCATAAGTACATTAATAGGGACCCTAATTGGGGTTATGGTACTTATAACTCTTTAAAATAACTACTTACTAAGTCCCCCGACCCTCCAAGTAGGGATCTTGAGGTATATGGTTACGATGTAAATAGGGCGTAGGAAGGAATCCCCAGGAATATCGTCGGTCATTGTTCAGGCCACTACCCTAAGGCTCCAAAGAGGGTCTTGGGCTTTGTGGGCGAGGGCTTGGGCTTTGGGGGCTAAGGTTTGGGATTTCACTACGAGGGTCCAGGAGCCTTAGGGTATTGACTGTAATCGAGGAGTGACTCCTGAAATCATGAAGAGAAGCCCTCTGTAGCTTAGCTGTCGGCCCAAGATGTTAGTCGCACCTTAAAGCCTAATCATGCAGCTCCACGGAAGGGCCTGGGGCTTGGCGTGCAGGGTTTCGAGTGATACAGCTGCATTAATAGTCGGAAGGTGGTTTTGGAAAGTTTATAGTGCAAATATCATAAGCAAACCTACGGAGTAGTATAGCCAATTAACTTAAGTTGGTGAAGTGTGGATGTCTCGCTAAACCCGAAGCCCGCGATGCGCGGCATATACACTCATGCTTGAATGCATCCGCAGGTCTGGGAAACGCGAGGATTCCAAGTTGAAGAATATAAACAATTGTTAGCATGCCTATACTAAAACATTAAACTTTGAACAACAAGAAAAGTACTGAATAAAGGTATATAGGTAGTTCTCTAAACCAGGGCCCTTTGATTTTGTCAAGAGGGCCCGAACAAGGGACCCTCAATTTCATAGCTACCCACATGGGTAGTTGTGAAAAATTAGGGTCCCTTTTTGGGTACCCTAAATATTAGGTGCCGTATTATAATAAGGACCCAAAAAGGGACCATAATTTTGACAACCACTCACATGAGATCTAAGCCCGCGTACCAGATCTGGCGGGTTCAACGGGGATTGGAGTTTAAAGTTTACCCTGAGGTTCCAAGTAGTCCTTGTTTGTGGGTTCGCGTGCCCAAAAACCCAAAGTCCCGTTATACGGAGCACTTGGACCTTTAGCGGTTAGTGTTCAGAAGTTTAGGTCTCGTGGAGGGGGTTATAGCACTGAGTTGCGGCCATTCCCCACAAACAAAAAATTGGGTATGCCCTGGAAACCCAGATTTGAAGCCAAAGCCCATGCCGAAGATAACTGCAACTAGAACTACTCTAACACGGCTTAGGATTCGTTGGGCTTCCTCAATCTCTGAACCCTAAACAAGGCTCGGACCATGGCACTTCATATACTTCATACATGGGCACACAGTCACCATTCCGAAACCCGCAGAGGTCCTCAGCACGTGCTGGATGCAAAGGCCATCCAGCTCGGGGACGTTCCTTGGTAGTCTGTGCTTGGCTTGCAAAGTTTAGCATCGAATGATTTAGGCCGCCACCCCTTCAAGACTACTGGGCTACTAAAACACTATAACTTTAGTAAGTACTGCAAGACACTCACCCCTAGAATCCCCTAGATGCAAGCACCTTCATGCCCTGGTATTGCTGTGCTGACAAATTCGCAAAGGCAACGACCATACTGGAGGTTTCAAGTTTACCATGGGCTGCTTCTGGCCACCTATGTTTTAAAGGGTATACCTGACAACCAAAATCATGACCAACGAGTTTGTATAGCTTCGAAAACAATCAACTTTGACCCCCTTGAACCCTGGGCTGTACCCCTAACCGAACCCAAACAACTCAGAACAATAATACAGGAAGCAGGAACATAAACAAGAAAAAGGCAGTTGTGAGACCCCCTCAACCGAGGCCCCAAACCTCGACCCCACGTCTTTTCCGCTCGTTGAGTGGATTCAAAACACGAAAACCTTATTGGTACCATTATGCGGATGCAATGCAAACTTATGTGAGTACATATATATATATATATATATACTTCTAATTACATATACATACCATACATCGAAGCCTCAAGACTTGGAGAAGGTTCAGGAGAGGTTTCGCAACCACCATACGGTCCGAGCCTACACATGTATTTGCGACTGCCCATCTGCATCTGCAAATTAATTTTGAAGGGAGGTGCCATGATTAAACCGCGTGTCCGGCCAGAAGATTGGGGATTTACCGAACTCGCCAAGTTCCCCCGTTTACAACTCGGTAGTGCTGAAGGGGCGTTCATGTGGGGCCGAGGCCTTGACTTGCAGCCCTGCATGACGCTTGCATTACGTGGCCGAGCCGGCAAACCGCATGCTTGAAGTTTGAACCGCGCACTTGCACATACGCTTGGAGCACGACGAACAACAAGTTGCATCAAACTGCAGTTTGCACCTTTGCATACAGGCTTCCAAATATTAGTTGAGGAACAGTTTGTGGCGAGAGCGTTCAGGTGGCCTGTAGTTTAAGCGCCCGCAGCTTCAGGCTTCAGCGTGTCCGTATGCTCAGCGATCCTTTTAAAGTTGAAACATGCGTGCTGAAACGCAGACCGTGGCTCCGGCAACAGCCGGGGCTCAGACCCACTGTCGGGGAGGAAGCCACTGACAGTCGTGGCGCAACTGCATGGTGTTTGTATCCCTCCTTAAACGGACTCAGACAACAACAACTCGCAGTCATGTGCATGGATCACGTGGCTAATCGTATGAAACAAAGTGAAGGCCCAAGGCGGCAGATTACACCAGCCAGTCCACGGCATGCTGGTACAAAGACGAACCTTCCAAGTTGTCAAAACAACATAAACACGAACCTTCCAAATTGTCAAAATATCATAAACACGACTCCATCTAGTCACCTACCCTAGCCTGACGCACGTACTGACCTGATGAAACGAATCTGATGTGAGATTCAGCACAAACCTAGTCCAACCGAAAAACATAGCATTGCCCGACCTAGACCGTCTATCACAAAGTTCGGAACTCAACTGAGAAGCTAAGCTGCTGTAAACGAAGCAGAGGTTGAGTGAAGTGCAGCGAGCCGACGCATGACACACAAGCCCCTGCTTTGACCGAACTTTGTGCGGCCTGTCTCCACACAACGCAAACCACGTTGCCACAGAGTATAGACCCCTGATTTGAGCAGACCTTCCCCTGGAAAAGGCACCCTGACAACTGAGGATACTTAAGGAAACGGGATTTAGTAAGAAAGGCTTATACTCGTTCGACACATTCTTACCCCTGAAGGCCCTTTCGAGACAGTATCCCCCGGCATCCCACCTGAATGCAAGAAGCAGGGTCGTGTTTGGGCCTTGAGCACAGTTTAGATTTGAGGATTGTTTAAAAGAGCTCAAAACCCTGACTGAATAAATAACTACGGGGCTCTGTCTAGGGCCCTCGGGCTTCGAATCCATGAGCCAGGAATATAACCCTTTCTTAACCGTCTTGCTTGCTACCCTCGAACCCCGAGCCTGCAATGCGTACAACAAGTCTTGGGGTTGAGGCTTAGGGTTCAGGGTTTGGGGATTAAGGTTTCCGGGCTAAGGGCTTAGTGTTTAGGGTTTTAGGGTGTAGTGTTTTGGGTTGAGGACGTAGGCCGCTTGCCCACAACTTGATGGGTCGCAGAGTTTCGTGTGTCTTCACTTGGAGGATGGGCACTTAAAAAAACCCTCAGCCTTAGCCCCACAGTAGATACAGTATTTCTAGTAAACACTTGGGCGTGTATGATTACAACGGTTAGAAAAGCTGACAACAAGCCATATACAGCATCCGGCAGCCAAGGGTGACACAATGCAAGTGTCGGCATGTTCACTCACTAAACTTATAAACCCAAAAAGACAGTTGAAGAGCCCGAGCTATCACACTCGGACATAATGATTGTCCCACACCCTAAACCTCGCACCCTAATCTCTATACCCTGTAGCTACCCTATACCCTAAACCCTAAATCCTATACCCCAAACCCTGAACAATCTCCTTCTGGGATCCTGCAACCCGCCCCCAGAATCGGATGCGGTTCAGGGATTGGGGTTTAGGATTTTGGGGTTTTAAGGGTTTAAGGTTTAGGGTTTGTCCAAGGGGCATCTGCATATCCGGCTTGTCATTCGAGGTCCTGTTTTCTTTGGTGTTGGGAATCGCATACACTAGGGCTAGGGGCCTTGATAACTAGAACACGGTCTTTGGAGAGTTGAATAGGGCCTGTGATAAGGGAATACTTCCGCAAATTGTTCAACCCTCCGCACTGCTTTTGTGGTGTGGCTCGGTGGTTTGGGCTTGGTTGTGGCATTCGAGAACTAAAGTTTTTGTTGAAAATTCTGGAGTCTTGCGGATTGACGACTTGCCTTGGCGCTCTGACATTCGTGAGTTGAAGATTTTTGGAAGGGCATGAATGCAAACAGCCATATGCCGACGAAGAACTTCGATTCGACATATATGTCACCGATCATGTTTGTAGAGTATACAGTCGTGGCTGAATCACACCCGGCGCGAGCCTCCATGCATAGCCATGGTTGCGTGGAATGCCGCTCTTCTCGCACCACCTGGGCTGTGATACTTTGGAAGCCTGCGTAGTTACCAATAATATTGTGCAACCCTTATTAAGGCTATTAAGACTTAACTATCATGTACCAAACACCTTTTCTGAGTTCTAACACTTAGGCGGCTACAGTGGGCTGATGTGGGGTATATGGAACATGGTCGGACTCTTGGATTTGGTAGGGTTACACACTGAGAAAGTTGTATCCTTATGCGTTGAATCCCGTAACCCTGCACCCGAAACCAAACAAAAACGTGAAAGATTCCTATGCAAAGCCGATAAGCCCGTGTAAAGTCGTCTAAGTCTTCTGATCCTCCTTGCTGCCGTAGCTGCAGTTATAGACCATAACGTGAAGCGTCTTTACGATTTACCGTTTGTTCAAGGGCTTAGGGCTTTACAGGTTTGAGGGCTTGCGAGGTTCTGATAATCTTGATGGCCTTTGGTGCTGATGAAAGGTTTCTGAAGGCCTTAACCATTGAGTTAAGGCTTCTTCCAAACCATTCGGGTGTTAGGGCTGTTAGGGGTTTGCCTATTTTTGGTTCCAGGCTCCAATGGCTGTTGACTTGGTTACACTTATTGTCATTCCTCAAAAGAAACTCGCACCGTCAAGCTCCGTCAGGTCACTCAGGCCCTCTTCTTCTGCGTCTTGGGCACCGAGACGGGACTCCAAGGCTCCGCGAAGCGACACACCCCGTCGGCTTGAGGCCAGGGCTGACTCCCCGTCACGCAGAGCCATTTGGGAGTTTCCGAAAATTAGGGGTACCTCATTTTGGGGCCTTCATAATAAGGATCCTACTATTTAGGGTGCTATATTAGGGTCCCCTATGTTCGGAAACTCCCATTTCATGTTCAGAGAGACCTCGCAGAGGGCATCCTCGTCGAAGGGGTAGCGGTCTGGCGCCTTGATACCGAAGGTTGCTACATTGTGGTTGTCCCCAACTATATAACCTCCGCATCTCCGTGTCGACCAGCATCTGGTCATCGAAGGACCACCCGCTGTCAATGTAAGTCTACCCCACCAACTCTCCCTTAAACAGTAAGACGAACCTTAATTATTCAGTTCGAGCAAAGAGAGAAACCAAAATAATAAGGGCCTAGACATGGATGCTTGTAGGTGGATTTAAACATGAGTGGAAATCCTTCTAGCCCAGAGGGTCCATATACACTACTATTATGGAATTAGGCCCTAAACAACCATCCTCATCATGGTTTTGGGGACTCAATTCCATAATTGTAGTGTATGTGGACCCTCTAGGTTAGCCCTGAACCCTAAACCCTAATGTAAAAGCCAGAAAGTTGGAATATGATTATCCTAACCCTTCTATGGTAAATTATAGGGGATCCTACCATTAACCCATATTCCAACTTTCTGGAGTTCCCTTTAAACCTTAAATTCTAAACGCTGCGGCCAGTTAGAAGCCTCACAAATCCTGCCGGCCCCGACTCTCTCATTTGGGTAATGTGGGAGTTTGCGAAAAATTAGGGGTACCTTAGTTTGGGGTCCTTATGATACGGATCCGGCTATTTAGGGTACTATGTTAGGCTCCCCTATGTTCGGAAACTCCCATGTAGGGGCCGTACAAACTAGAATAGCGTCTCGGGTTTTGTTGAAATAAAACGCGTAGATACCTGAGGAATAACTATTAATCAATAAGTATGTAAGCTTCGATATTTCACACCGTCATTCTGCCGGTAAGGTCGTTGAAGGTCAGGCATACAACTCTATGCTTTAAGGCTTTGGGGTTTAGGGTTTGATGAGAGTGGTTGTCAGAATAGGGTCCATTTGGGGTACCATAAACACAAGGCGCCGTACTATTACAAGGACCCAAAAAAGGGACCCTATTTTTGACAACCACCCATGAGAATCCTTGCAAGTCGCTCCAGGACCATGCGGTCGCTGAGCTCCTGTCCCAGACCAGCAGACGGAGAAAACTGAGGGTAGTCCCAAGGGCTCCATGTACCCTTATAGTAGATACTTAAGCCTTAAAGAGGTCCCTATATAGGTACTTCAGGGCCTAAGTGTATACTACATGGACGCATGGAGCCTTAGGGAGTGTGGGGGGCGGGGGGCCCAAGAAAGCACATAAGGACAACATAAGATAGGGATACCCCAGAATAAATCCCATCATAATGCACTGAACCCTAAACCGCTGGATCCTAAAGCCCAACAAGGTAGAGATATCCTATCAGTCAACAGTTTATGCTTATGTCCTTTTTGGGTCTCTAAAAGTCGGTCTGGGGCTCTCGGCCGTTTAGGCTTTACAGCTTTATGGTGTCTAGACTAGGGTTTCGGGTTTCCCAAGGATGGGGGATACTTCCCCAAATTGTTAATCCTAATCCCTAATATGAAAAACTGCATTCTACTGTCTAGGTACTGTGGAACATTCCAAGACTCAGCCAGAGGTCAGGGATTGTAAGGTTTAGGCTTTTCTCTATATCCCAAGTAACCTAGCTTTTAAAGGTTCCTTGTTATGATATGTCCGTGCAAAAATCGTTAGGCTTTCAAGGTCCAGGGAACAACCAACCAAAATCCCCAACCTCCAAAACCCCGGAACTATGCAGTACACTTCAGACTCTGGAGGCATCCTCGGGCTGGTTTTAGGTATGTCCGTACCTTAGCCTACCAAACCCTACCATTTTTGTAGGTTCTTATTATGAACCCTAATATGGAGTTTATAGGGACCCTACAAACATTCAGGGTTTGGTAAGTTAAGGTAGGGGTTAAGGGGCTATCAATCACATACTTCCCTGAGTTGTAACCTACAAAACTATGGTCCCGAACTCAAGTACCCGATTCACTGGCCGTTGGGACCCTCAGGGTATTCCTTGGCTAAGGGTTTCCGAGAGGCTGAGTAGCTGGCCCAAAAAACCTTAATTAACCTTTGCAATCATGGTTTGATTTTAGAAACCCCACAAGATTAAAAGTTACCTACTCAGCTACTAATGTTTGTGCCAGGAGACCCTGGCGGTGTGCCCTGACGACTCACAAGTTTCATGTCTCTTACGCGTGCGTAAACGGGAGCTTCAGAAGCAAGGGCATCCAATTTGGGGGGGTCTCAGCTGAAGGTTTAGGGGTGTAGGGGTTTAAGATTTGGGGGGTGACGTCCCTGGATAGCTGTACATAGTAGGAATTTGGTAAGATTTCCATCAGAAATATAGTAACAGCCCATGACAGGAGGCCACCGAAGCCTCGCATGGTAGGGAAATAATTGATATAGTAGCATCCTAACAAAGGAGGCTACCGGTAGCCTCGCATGACACATGCATATATCTATATCTATATCTATATATATATATATATATCGATATCGTCATCCAACGGCAACCGCCTGGCCAGCCCGAGCTAGGCGCACCGGACGGCCGTGGCCCTTGCCTTTGCCACGGCTCGGATCCGGGAAGTCGAGACTAATAGCGGACAAGATGTGCTGGCGGGCCAGACAGAGGTCCTCCTGCCACGGCAGCAGTTGTTGTCAAGTTATGTCCGCAAACGCTGCCAGGCGGGACCGCCCTGCCAGATACAGGATTCGTAGCCCAATGCCATGAAGATAAACGGGCAAGGACTGGTGTTTCCCACATGTACAGCTCCGAAGCCAGGCAGTATAACCGGACAAAGGTTTTGAGAGGGCAATATACTAAACTCCTCGCTTGGTACTGCACCATGTGTTGAATCCTCTTCACCGTCAAGGAGCCGAAGCCATGGTGCAGTCGCTGCACTGCTTCTGGGCGTCGGAGCTCTGCCGCACGGCATTGCAGTGTCTCACCAACCTAAATAAAGATATGCCTTCCCTTCGGCCGAAGTCAGGGTACTCATGACCACATTATGCCAGCACGAACAATCCAGCGAAGACCTAGGAAGTGCGGTTAAGCGTGCTGGCTACTCGAAGCTAGGGTTACTAACCATAGCTTCGAGACCCTGTATTTAAACGCAATGGGCAGAACACACTAACCAACAAAATGAAAGGCAGTTGGCCATGTCAACAATTTTCGGTATCTATAAGAGTCAAATCATGATCATAATGCGGAGCCCCAAAGAACAATGTCCTGATTATGCAGGATCCTTTCTTATCTTGGACCTTCAAGACAAACCTGAATCACAACCACCGCGCCGTGAAGTCGGGATGCTGCTGCAGGAAGAGGTCCACCTGAGCTCTAAGCGGCTAGGGTTCATGTGTGCCCCGGGGTTTCGGGTATTCATTTGTGCGCAGGATAAGTAACCCTACAACCTAGTTAATCAAGACTTTTATGCCTATTTGACATTGTCGGGCTAAGAAGACATGTTGCTTCATTGCGGAGAGTTTCCATTCAGACGCTTGCAGCCGGGTCCTACCCCTTCATCCGAAGATCAAGACCGTTCAGGCAAGACGGCCCCCTGATCAAGATAATGCAAGGAGTCTTAATTAAGTACAGATCAAGGGCCTTCAAGAAACCGGGTATATTTTTCAGGGGTTGACTCGACAACACCAAAGCTGAATCGTTACCGGTGCCATGAGAGAGTAAAGCTCCCTTTATCCCATCAAACTCTGATGCCGTAATCATAAATCCCTGTAGCGGTCTCTTCAGAGTTTGGGCTTTGGTTTGGGTTTATGGACGCCGAAGAAAACCAACACAAAGGCTAGAGCAATTAGCAAAAGGTTTTGAAGTAGGTTTTACTGTCATGAAATAGCCTGCCTACGGATTAGTATTCCTAACTATGAAACCAGATATCCCAGCAAAAGATCGCAGAATTTCAATGTCTAAGTAGCACCGGGGAATCCAAAAACCTATTGGTTCAGGGGCTATACCCTACTAGACAGAGGTCATCACCTAGTATTTTGAATGGTTTCGGGTGACAGGCAAGCGGCCCATTTTCGAACGACCTTTGAAGCCTAAACCTTAGAAGCTGCCCCCACCCTGTAATAGTGACCATAAGGATTATATAGGATTCTATTAGGGCCCTATTATATTCCTATTATACCTAAAGTTTTAGAAGTCTGCGTTCAAGTGGCCCAGTCGAACGACCCTTCGTCTGGCAGCAGGATCGGGAAAACGACCTGGTCCCCGAGGTCTTCCCAACACTAAGGTAAAAGCCAGAAAGTTGGAATATGATTATCCTAACCCTTCTATGGTAAATTATAGGGTATCCTACCATGAAACCATATTCCAACTTTCTGGAGTTCCCTGTATGGGGGCATCAAAACATCGGCTTTGGGGGCTTACAATTCCCTACATGGACCCATATAGAGATACATGGGCCCCAAAGTAATCAGACAGGGACTACATTACGTTAAGGCCAATGTATATACTATACGAGTACATGGACCCTTAGGGATAGGGTCTAGGGCTGCTTGGGTCTATAGAGTTTAGCTACATGATGCCGGGAGCTTGAGGTTTAGGTGCCTTTGTGACTACTACGTACACCGCTGTAGTATGTTTGTAGTTGGAAACTCTGGGAAAACGAGCACTAGTTGTTGAGTCTCCTGCAAAATCCCAAAGTTTACAATCATCCTCCTTGCGCCGAACCAGCTAGACTGGTCTTTTCGGGTATGTTTGCAATCTCTGTACCTATAGCTTTATTCAACTAATTAGCCATATTCATGCATACATGCATACATACAGAGAGAGAGAGAGAGTACATAGTACGTAGTTAGCCGGGCGATGAAGCTTTTTATCGAGATGTACGGTGCACGGCATAATGCAGTTGCAAGAAAGCTTCACGATCTAAACACTAAATCCTAAACCACGGAACCCCAAACCCGAAACCCTAAACTTTAAACCCTAAATCCCCAAACCACCGAACCCTAAAGTTTCTGCAAAAAACGCTGAACCCAGGGACCCTAAAACTTCCCCCGAAAACCCCGCAATGACCCCGGATTTCGTGCGCTGAAGGCTTCGGTCCATCAGGTTTCGGGCTTAAGGCTTGCAGGCTTTAGGGTTTTAGGGTTTAGGGTTTTAGGTTTTAGGGTTTTAGGGTTTAGGGTTTAGGGTTTAGGGTTTAGGGTTTAGGGTTTAGGGCTTTAGGCTTTAGGGTTTTAGGGTTTAGGGTTTGTGATGTTTGAGAAAAGGGGGTTAGGGTTTAGGGCTTGGGGGGTTATAGGGAACTCTTTTTTTTTGGGGGGGGGGGGGTTAGGGTTTATAGGGTTTACAGTAGAAGCCCAAAAGTTGGAAACCCCAGAGCCTCCATACTTAAGAGTAATGAAAAGGGAATCCCAGCACGATTTGGTCTTAGTCCAGTTTCCAACTTTATGGGGTTTACTGTAATTAAACTCTGAAGCGTACACCACGAAACGTAATCTCTCAGACCATACCTGGACCCGGAAATCAAGTACCTTTGCTTGATTCCTTAGTTTCTGATGTTGAGTTGCTAACCATAAACGAGGTTCTAAAAGACGCTACTGCAATATAGGGTCTTGAATAAATAGAAGAGGGTTTTGGGGCATACTCTACTAATTATGACTATAATAAGGAACACCCAACATAGTATTAGGTAACTATTTAGGCCCCTTTAGTACAGGGTCTAGGCACAACTTCAAGAGACGTGAAGCCTTGAAGCCGCCAGGCCCACACCCTAAGCCCAAACCTGTGGCACCCGAAACCCCGAAACAAGAGAAAGCACCTCAACCCTCAACCTTGATTAAACCTAAACCTAAACCTATAAACCTTAAAACCATAAATAACTCCCGCGCTTCGAAGTCCCGACATGTTTCAACCATGACGGTCCTTGTTCGAACCCCGCCTTCGAAAAAGAAGCCAACTAACTCATGTAACACATGAGTCAGGAACCCAGTGACAATTTAGTTATATCATTAGTATCTGCCCCAAACCTTACAACCAAAACCCTGAAGCCTGCAACTTGACTGAAGCAGTCGAGCTGGAAGCTGTCGCGCCTCGAACTTGCCGTCCTTGGGCTGCGTTGGGGCAGCGACCTCGACGTCCTTGCCCACGCTTGGAAGATGATGAAAGGCCAAAAAAAGGGGTTTTAGATTCTTGGGGTAGGGGTTCCTTAATATGAACCCTAATTATTATGGGAACCCTAAGCCCTACTAAACCCCCATAGGCTAAAACCCCTTTTTGCCTCCTAGGAGAAGAGATAGAGTGTTAGGGTTTAGGGTGTTGACGATCGGAAAAACATGCAATCTTAGGGCTTCAGGTGTTGAGGATTAGGACATTAGGGTAAAAGGTCTTTCAGGTATAAGTTGAATTCTAGCGGATTCTAGCGGTCAGGGGTTTGTATTGAGATTTTGCAGTTCAGGGTTTGGGGCTCCCGTTTTAGTGATTGAGAGTTTCGCGCTCCGAGAGACTTTCGACCCTGACCGGGATGGGTTTAGTACAGGACACTGGCTTGGCGACACTATGCTACAGCGCGATCCTACTGTGAAGCGGAACATGTGACCTCTACCGACCTTGTTGCGGTTCTGCAAACAGGTAGGTCGTAAGACACTAGCTTCCTGAGTAGCCCCTTTGTAACAAGGGTACCCTTGTTCCTAACTTTCAGGTTTAATAAGGGGACCCTAAAACAAAGGGTAAAAGGGTACTACTCAGGAACCTAGGACAATTTATGGCAAGATTCCTGCCATCCGCGCACAGAACTCTCTTGCTTGTGCTACAGTTGATGATATCTCGACTATGGGAATCATGGTATATTCCTTATTATGGGTAATACAGGGTTTATATCATCAACCGTACGTACACTCAGCAGTTCGCTGTTACGTTATCTTTAGGATTACCTGTATACTAGTTTTGCTATTATGACTCTAGATACTATTAATTTTACTATGAGTATTACTATGCCATGAAGACAAGGAAATCTAGAACGGCCAGAAAATTCTGGCTTCGCAAGGCTGACAAAGCTGGTACAGTAACAGTCTTCTGGAAGTCTTTGCGTGAGTAGTATAGTGGCTTTAATAATTAGAGTAGGGTTTTGGGGTAAATTCTGCTATGGTTACAATAAGGAATCCCACCAACAAAATGACACAGTGCAGAAAACTATCCAGGCCCATATATCATAGTACCCCTATAGACCCCTTAGAGTAACCCTTATAGACCCCTTTAGTAGGAACCCCCCACCCCCTATTTTAATTTGTCAGGCCCCTACATGAGTTTGTAGCTCATCCTACCCAGTTCAGGCTGCCGGCAGGGTCTCTGGAGCGGGAGCATGCTGGGCGAGTTGCCCCCAGAAGCCCCAATACCCCTTAATTAAGGAATGTAGTTTAAATCATAATATGAAGCCCTATATAATTTAAGCCATATTCCTTAATTAAGTGGTATTGGGCTCTCTGGGCCACAGTCTGCCATGTTTGGATGCACGGCCATGAGCTGCATTTTCAGCCATGTCCGATATTTGTCTCGTGACATCTCCTTCTGGCAATCCCAGCAATGGACGATGAATGTCCTGGTTCGCTGACTTTCGGAGTTGTAATGGGGAAGCCATATAGTGCAAGAAGACTTGCAAGTCCAACATTTCCATACCTTCACGATACCATACGCCGTGAACACATCAAAGGGCAAAGCAGCCAAATAGCTTCGTGATGGTCGCGCATGTCGCCATTGTGACACACCGACATGTAAACAGACCAGAGGGCATAGCCAGCTCCTACTGCCCACGGATTGTCATATCCATCTGGGCGCACGGCGTCGAACTGAGTGGTCAACTCGAAGCACATCGTCATTGTCATTGTCGTCAACACCATAATCATGATGATCATCTTCTTCATCTCCGTCATCACCAGCATCAACATCACCATCACCACCGGCATCGTCATCCATGATCACGAGGGAACGCATTGGGGGATGCGAATAGAACTATACCAGTCGGAGTAGACTGCTGAATACTTGGGTTTTCGGGTAATAAACACTTACCTTAACCCTGAAGAGCCTACCTTTTTAAGAACTTATATAAGGAAGTCATAATAAGAAGGAGCCCTAAAAAGGTCGAGGGAATCTTGAGAATTGTTCGGAAGACCCAGCCGTCCTGTGTGGCAGCAGCTCCCAGCATGTGGCACTTGAAGGGGAGCGGCATCCTCACCAGGGGGCGTGTCGGGGAAACTCAAAACATATAATGGCGCAAAAGTCAAAAGTTCTTCCATCGGATACCTAAGTTCCGGTTTTCTGAAGTAAGTTTACTGCAGACCATGCGTTTTCGGGGGCTAGGGTCTGCATCTTTCACGTCGGGCTTGCGGGTTTAGGAAGTCCGAACAGCAGAACCCCAAAACCCCCAAAACCCGCAGACAACCTCAAACAAAAAAAAGCCTTAAGGTTTAGGGGTTCAGGAGTTCTGAAAGTCCTAACACCCACAGGACCTAATCAAACTCAAGCCTCCAATCCCGAAGCCACAAGTCACAAGACGGCCGCCGCAAAAAACACTCTGCAGCTAGGTTACGCAGTAGCCCCTTAATGAGTCGGCTTTATAGTGGTGACCCCAACAAGAGGCAAAAGGGTAACACTCAGAGACCTCATGAAAATTCTGAGAGCACCAACCCTGGTTGGTTAGACCCTACACCCTAAACCCTTCCTGTAGCCGAGAAGACCTACCCTTGTAAGGAACGAACTATGTTAAATATATATACATATATATATATATATAGATAGAAAGCATAGTAAGGAAGCCTAACAAGGTACTGTAGGTCTTTCCGGCTTCAGGTAGACCCTAAACCGAGACCCTGACTGAGAACTCCAACCCTTTGGGCTGCCCCGCATAGGCACAGGCCCGAAGTTGAAGGCGAGTGTGATATTCCTGCCAATCCAAGCCAAGAGCTTAGGGCTTATGGGGTCTATATGGTTTGGGTTTAGGCTTAGGGCTTATCGGATCTATATGCTTTGTGTTTAGGCTTAGGGCTTATGGGGTCTATATGGTTTGTGTTTAGACTTACGGCTTATGGGATCTATATGGTTTGTGTTTAGGCTTAGGGCTTATCGGATCTATATGTTTTGTGTTTAAGCTTAGGGCTTGTCGGATCTATATGTTTTGTGTTTAAGCTTAGGGCTTATGGGGTCTACTTGGTTTGTGTTTAGGCTTAGGGCTTATGGGGTCTATATGGTTTGTGTTCAGGCTTAGGGCTTATGGGGTCTACTTGGCTTGTGTTTAGGCTTAGGGCTTATGGGGTCTATATGGTTTGTGTTTAGGCTTGGGGCTTATGGGGTCTATATGGAAAATGTTTAGAAGCTTGGGTATAGGGTTTAGGGGCTAACCCCTTAAGGGTTCCTTTAAGGGTTACTGTAAGGGTGCTATAAGTGCTCTACTGGGTTTAGGGTTTCAGGGTCCGTGTACCCCAAAAGTATATACTTTGGCCCCAAAGTTCCTTTACAGGGACTAGTTTACGGCCAAAGTATATACTACCTTGGCAAACATACTTAGGAACCTCTGAGGATAATCGATAAACATCTAGGCTACTAGGTCCGTTTTGCAGTTTGTTGTGGGTTTGATGGTCCCGGAGACGCGCCTGAAGCCGAAACCCTACAAGCCCTAATTCCTGAACCCTGAACCCTAAGCCTTATAAACCCTAAGTCATAAACTTTCAAAACTCCTAAACTTTATAAACTCTAAATCATAAGCTTTCAAAAGCCCGAAACCTTATAAACCCTAAATCATAAGCTTTCAAAAGCCCTAAACCTTAGAAACCCTACATCATAAGCTTTCGAAAACCCTAAACCGAAAGCCTGAATCCTCAACCCTAGAAACCCAAAGCCTGAATCCTACACCCTGCCAGCCCTAAACCTGCTTGGAGGTTCATGGGTAGTTATAAGTAGGGTTACAAGTAGGATGATTATAGTTATAACTAACCGATATTAGGGGACCTATTACCCTACTTTATAACTATCCCATGAACCTCCAAGTAGGCAGATAAGTACGAGCTTCTGCAGTCGCTGCCGAAGCCGCGGACGGGTGGATCAGCCCATAGTGGATCCCAAAGAGTTGAAACATAAATTAAGCATGACTAGTGAGGACTCCCTATGCTTTACCTGAAGGGCATGAGGATAATCATGTTCCAACTTTCCGGCTTCTACTGTAGGGTTTAGGGGTTTGGGTTTAGCATTCCGCGATCGGGGCTCAGGGTTTCGGGTCTAGGGCATAAGTTGGAAGCTGCCCCCACCCTGTAATAGTGACCATAAGGAATATATAGGATAATCTTAGGGCCCAATTATATTCCTATTATACCACTATTACAGGGTGGGGGCAGCTTCTAAGGCATAAGTATAATTGTTCAATGAGGAAGGCAAAACCACGGACTCTGTGCAGCCATGAAGACTGACGCGTCAGATGCATGTATAGCACGACCCGACGTCCAGAAGCATGACAGCTATCCTTACGCCCTGAAGCCACAAATGCCAGCTTAACACCCTTGGCACAAAGCCTTCATCCTACCTTCGGTCTGCAGTGTGCTCCTGAAAGTCACCGCAGGGAAGAGCGTCTTGCCCTTCAAAACCTTCGATGTGAGGCAATTTAGGACTTGCCTTGGGCTCTCCGTTAGGGAGTTTCCGAAAACAGGCACCTCATGTAGTACCTCAAATAGCAGGAGACTTGCCTTAGGGTCTCCATTAGGGAGTTTCCGGAAAAAGGGGACCCTAACGTAGCACCTTAAACAGCAGGATCCTTACTATAAGCCCAAATAAGGCACCGCGCTAGTTTTCGGAAACTCCCATTAATCAATCCTACACCCTGGACCCTGCAAAACTCCGAACCATTGATCCAAGGGTAAAAGGAGGGACCCTTAATAAGGACCCCTAGGTATATACCCTTAATATAGCTATTATATACCCATTATATAGCCCATTATAGGGTAGGGGTCCCCATTAAGGGTCCCTCCTTTTCCCCTTTGATTTGAAGAGCCGTTACAAGAACACTTGCAGGAAACCTTAGGAGGAGCCATGACAGTTTAGGGTTTAGGGTTTAGGGGTTTAGGGTTTAGGGTTTAGGGTTTAGGGTTTAGGGGTTTAGGGTTTAGGGTTTAGGGTTTGGGGCTTAAAAACACTAGAGCTTAGGGTCTCGACTCATCAAGACATGCTACGGTTGATGACATAATTCCTGCATGACCTTAAGGACCCTAAACTATGGGAATTATGGTATATTCCTTATTATGGGTCATGCCGGATTCATATCATCAACCGTAGTGTATTTCGGGGAAGAGCTAGTGTCTGCAGCTAAGAGCTGGATCCTACCTGAAAGCCCCCATCCCCCCAAAAAAGGTAGGTCGGTGTAGTCCTTAAAACTGCTGACGGAACTTGACAGCTTGGCTCATATAGTATACACTCAGGCCTTGAAGTACCTACATAGGAACCCCCCCTTTAAGGCCAATGTATATACTATTTGGGTTCATGGACCCTTACTTAGGGACGGTAGCCTATCTCAAACTCCTATCCTCAGGATTCTCGGCTCTGCAGTTTGATGCGTTTAGGCCCAAACACCATACTACCTCATGCTTTTGGGCGGAGAAGACATGCTGCTTCATTGCGGGGGCTTTCCGTTCAGATGCTTGAAGCCCCGTCTCATACCCCTTCATCCGATCCGAGAACCAACCTGTCCGAAATCATGAACCCAAAACGCATGCACCGACTTAGATTGCTAGCTTCTTCAACCCTCAACTAAACTGCAATAGTTGCGACGGCCTCCGGCAAAGGAATCGGTTGAGACACCTGGGTCATGATCATCCCCGCTTGGTCTTTGGCTTAGGGCTTTAGAGGTTTATCGCGCCTTATTCATGGTCCTGCTTGGAGGTTCATGGGTAGTTAGTCGTAAGTAGGGTTATAAGGAGGATAACTGTGCTTAACCCATATTAGGGGACTTGTAGCTCCACTTGAAACTACCCCTGAACCTCCAAGTGGGATTGAGGTTTCTTGAATGGGGCTTCGAGCTTCGTCGTGGCTTCAGTGTAGGAGGCCAGAAGCTTGGAACAACATCATCACGATTCATCACACCGTTAAAGCAGCAGCATCGAGAGCTCAAGCACAAATTCATCACCCCGAACCCCATGATGTAATTGGAATAGGGTTTGGGGTATATTCTACAATCGTTATGGTAAAGAACCCCCGAAACCCTATTCTCATCATTTTTAGGGCCCCACGTTTTTCGAGTCGACTAGAAGGCTCACAGTAAGCGAATCAGGATGCAAGGGCCGGAAAGAGGCTTCCCGGATTTGTGGCACTCATAATAGGGGGTTTGGGGACTAGGGTTTATAAGGTTTAGGGTTTAGGGATTAGGGTTCATAAGGGCTTACCGTCTGGTCCGCCTTAGCTAATGCTCGCACCGGTTGCTGCAGATCATCCGCCGGCCCACGCGACTCTACAGCATGTGTCGTTACGTTCATCTCGTTGCCGAAGATGCGCTCTGTGTGGGAAAATCCTCCCCCGCTGCGCTTCACATCTCGATGCACGACACTGATAATGCCTGAGAGGGTTTAGGGTTTATAGGGTTTAAGGTCCCAGCCACACGAACTGAGAAACCTAGCTACGCCTCTCCATCGGCAAAATCCGGGGCCCTGCTCCACGAGGTTTTAGGGTTTAGGGTTCAAGGCTTGGGATTAGAGGCTTAAGGTTCACAGTCTACTTGGAGGCTCATGAGTAATTCTGAGTGGGCATTATATATGTCCCCAAATCTAAGCTGGAACTATAGGTACCCTTCTTGGTAGCTTATAAACCCAAGTTACAGACTGCCCATGAACCTCCAAGTAGGGCTTGGGATTACTCCGTATCTTGAGGTGGGGCGGTTATGATTTTGGGTTTTGGATTTACGGCAAATTTGCACGGGTCCTACTACTGAGCATACATACATTGTTGCCACTTCCCTGCGCACCAACCCATATAGGTTAAGATAAACACGTGTCCTATATGGATCCATGTCGATGCCTGCTGTAGAATCTATACCCCCCTTTAGAACCATACTGCCATACTCAAAATCATACGTCGAATATTCTCCTGGGTTTTATATGAACAAAAAAGCAAAATAATTCGTAAGGAGACTATAGCAAACCCTAGAATCCTTGAACCCCGAAGGCTCGAAGCCCCAATCTTAAACCCGCAACCCCTACAGTAGAAGCCTAAAAGTTGGAAACCCAATAGCCTCATTCCTTAAGAGTAATGTATAGGGAATCCCAGCACTATTTGGCCTTAATCCGGTTTCCTGTAAAGCACCAAACCGAGAACCCGTGAAACCCCGGCCGGCTTCAAGCCTTCCTTCATGGGTAGCATGATGAGGGAGACCCCAAAAGCATAGTACCCTTCTGGTAGCCCTTACAGAATCCTTGAGAGGCTCTACTCTAATCATTAAGGCCCCTGTATCATAGTAAGTAGCACTTCTACTGGGTAGCATGATGAGGGAGACCCCTTAAAGGGTACCCCTTCCGAACCCTACTTCAGGCTCTCTTACAAGGGACCTTACTGAGAGGGTCTATATCCCCCTAATCCTAACTCCCACTTCAAGCCCTTAAGCTCCCTAAACCACAGACCCTAAACCCCAAACTCTCAAATCCTATACACCCCAGCCCGACATCTCAAAATCTGAAACCCGACCTTAACCCCAAATAAGCTTCCTTTTTTGGGGTTTCATATAAGGAAAACGTATTACGGAACCCGAAATAAGCTTCCTTTTTCAGGTTTCATATAAGGAGAACATATTACGGAACCCGAAAAAAGTATTTTTCTAAGGGTCCCCCTAGACCCAGAAGTCTCCAACTTTCGAGCCGAGCCGCCCGGACGCCATCATGGAAAAGGCTCACAGTGTTGGCCTCAGGGTTCCAGAGAGCGCAATACGCCTTAAAGGAATACCTAGGGTTCCTGTATACGGGATCTATATGCTTAGGGTTTACGGGATTCTAACACCCTTTAATTAGGGAACATGGCTTAAATTATACAGGGCTTCATATTATGATTTACGCTATATTCCTGAATTAAGGGACATTGGGCTCTCTGGGCCCCGGAGAGGATTTGGTGTTTCCGGCAGCTGTCTTTTCAGAAAACAGGCTTGAAAAGAGTTCCCATATGGCGTTTATGATTAGTTGTAGAACATGGGCACCTCGGAATGGGGATGTTGGGTGTATTTCTTTTGGGTTTAGGGTCTAGGATTTATAAGGATTGAGAATAAAAGGGCGATCCGATCTACGGCAAATTCCGAGGTCGACCTTAGGGTTTATAAGGATCGTGAGTAAAACGCGATACGATTTACGGCAAATTCAGAGGTCGACCTTGGGGCTTTCGTGAAAACAGTGTCAAGTCTTGAAGGTGTCGGGTCTGAGGTCAGGGCTCAGGGCTAAAGCTCACTGGCCCAAAACCCAAAGAACTAAACGTTGAAAGTATCAGAATCGACTACCTTTCGGCCTTGCAGGCTCAAATGGGAGTTGGCTCGTGTTGTCTCCCGTTGAGGAAATAATAAGTCACCTGTGCCTGTCCCGCCGTAAACAGGCCGTGCCCTGCTGTCCTAAACAGCGACGGCAACTCAAACCCCTTCAAAACTGTTCCTCAACATGGGCGCCGGAATGTTCGTAGTCCTCTGTCGGAGCATACCTTGTGATTGTGGGGTAGCAACCGCCCGAAAACCAGTCCAAGTATCCAGACTTCTATACTACGGCTGATGATATAAATTCTGCCTTACCTTGTAATTAAGGACCCTGAACTATGGGAAGTCTTCCTTAATTACTATGGGTAATGCAGGATATATCTCCCTAAATATCCCTAACCCCTAAACCCTAAAGCCCTATAGATCCCCCTTAACGGTACCCTTATAGATCCCTTTGAAGGGACCCCAGGATTTATGTCATCAGCCGTAGGATACGAAGTCCACCCGAAGCGGCAAATCACAGCCCCACGCGTTGGCGCTGTTGGCATCCAGGTTCAGCAAGAGACCCAGAACCTCTGCGAAGCGTGGTATATCGAATAATTAGGGGTACCTGTAAAGGGATCTTTTGAGGGTTCCTAGAAAAGGGATCTATAAGGGTTCTATTTAGGGTTTAGGGTTTGGGAGTTTACGATGTTTAGGGGTATCTTATTTTGGGGTCCTTACAATAAGGATCCTACTGTTTAGGGTATTATTTTAGGGTCCCCTATTTTGGCAAACTCCCATAAAGACTATGTAAGGGCATTCTTGGTTAGACTCAGATTTTAATGGTATAGTTGGTATGTTATAGTGCATCTATATGTAGAGATTTCAGGCGGACGTTACTCATTATTCGCACCTGTACATGGGGGCTGATATTTGCTATGGCTGCAACCCTCAACTCGAAATTGCACTTGTCCTTGTGTAGAACAGATCCTCACCCTCAAGCCTACTTTGTAAAATCGGTGTCTGAACAAGAACCCCAACAAGTTAGTTGTGGCTCCAAAACTACGGTAAGAAATACTCTTTAATTCAAGAAGCTGGCATCTAGCGGCGTCGAACCTAAATACTATAAACTCATGTCTGCACTGCAAACCCTAAACATAAAACCCTAAATCCTCTTCCTGTGACACCGCGAACCTCTAAACCCTAAAACGTAAACCCGACGTCCACCCCGTCCTGGTGGCGATCGAAGCGCTGTGTTGCTTGCACGCTCGTCCTCTGCAAGTTTAAAGAGTGCTGTCAAGATCCTAAGACTCCAAGCCGAAAGCTGAACCGCTTTGCGGTGCTATGTAAGTGTTCGGGGCTCAGGGACACAATCCGCAACTGGTACTGCTGCCACTGCTCGTGCTATTTTTGCTGCTGCTGCGTGCCGCGACTGCGTGCTGCTACTGCTGCTATACAGCAACAACTACTACTACAACTACTACTACTGCTGCTACTACTACTGCTGCTACTACTACTACTGCTACTTCTGCAACAAGTAGTAGTAGCAGTAGTAGTAGTAGTAGCAGCAGCAGTAGTAGTAGTAGCTGTAGCAGTACAGTAGCTCAGTAGCAATAGCAGTAGCAGTAGCAGCAGTAGTAGCAGTGGCAGTCGCAGTGGCAGTCGCAGTGGCAGTGCCAGTGTGGTGGTAGTAGGTTAGTAGTAGTAGTAGTAGTAGTAGTAGTAGTAGTAGTAGTAGCAGCAGCAGCAGCAGTGGCAGCAGTAGCAGCAGTAGTAGTAGTAGTAGTAGTGGTAGTGGTAGTACTAGTAGTACTAGTAGTAGTAGTAGTAGTAGTAGTAGTAGTAGTAGTAGTAGTAGTAGTAGTAGTAGTAGTAGTGGTAGTAACAACATTGTTGAACCCTGTCTATTTCAGCTAACACTGGTATCGACTAATACGTCGGCTAGCGCGAGTCGTCCTACCACTGCTAATTCTTCTGGTTCTGGATCTAGTTAGGGTACAAAAAGCCACGACCAATAGGAGCAATCGCAATGGAAAGAACCAAACAGTCTTGCCAGTTTCCAATGAAAAGCATTTGATATACCAAACATCATGTCAAACTAATGGTAGCGTAGAATCACTAAGTAGTTTCGGTAGCATTAGAAAAGGCTTGCCTTCAAGAAAAAAAGTAACAACGAAAATTGTGGTTTTCATTTTCGTCATCAGTACCAGTGTCATCGTCATCTCGCTATAACCATCATCTTCGCAATCGTCGTCATCAACATCATCCAAGTACCCTCACCCTTCGACGACAAAGCATCTGACGAACGACCAGAAAGAACAGCGGAAGAGAAATGGGGGTTTCCGCAAATAGGGGACCCTAACATAGTAGCCTGAATAGTAGGATCCTGACAATAAGGACCCCTAAATAAGGTGCCCCTATTTCGGAAACTCCCAAATCATCCAAAAGCCCTTCGCTCACCACCCAGGGCAGTCTTGCACTGCGTGAAGAAGCCCTCCGAGTCAAAACACACGGAGTCCTGCGAGGTTGTTCGTCATGCTGTTACTATCTCAGTCAGGTGCGGTGGCGATTGTGACAGGGATGGAGAGGATTAACTACTTGGACGGAAATGAAGAATATTGCGATGATGATGATGATGATGGTGAAATTATTGAAGCGATGGTGAGGATGGAGATGTTTTATGGCGAGCAAAATTAGGAGAAGGATGAGTTTAGGGTTTAGGGATGCTGTGGACGCAACTGCTGATACTCTGGCAGATTTCCGGGGGCATATCCTGACTGCTAACTAGGTGTCAATTTCAAAAACTCCCAAACATGCGTGTAGAATTGGTGCCTATATTGAACAATAGTACTTGTCAATAGGGGAAAAATGAAACCATCCCAAATCGATACTTAGTGAACGTCTTGAGAAGGGAGGGCGGAGCTGAGAAACCCGAGGTGCTTGACAGGGCTCTTACATAAAGTACGAGTCTCCAACACTTGTTGCCACAGCCACTGGCCACTGTGAGTGCTGCACGCACGGTCCTGAACGAGAAAGCTTCGTCTGCAGTATCGTATATGAGGTGCAAGTGCGTGTTCGCCGCCGCCCGCCTGGGCCAACTTGTGCCCGCACGCGTCAGGTCACGGCCCACTGGACAGTGTGGCTCCGCCCGACCAAAGACGCGAACTGTGTCTGCTCCTGGGACAAGCCAGGCCGCAGCGTTGATGCCTCCTCCAGCGCCAGCCAAGTCACCAGACCAAACTGCCGCTGCCCATGCTCGATCATAGTGTTCCATGATCGTCAGCTCGGCCAGCTACAGCATAGCCTGCAAGATGACACGTAAGACATGCACCTGGAAGGGTGCCGGGAGCCATGTCATGGCGAGCCGCCATGAAATAGCTTCTCAAGCCGCGACTCGCAGCAAAAGTGCGAAGATCTCCAGGCACTGCGTGTCCCATGATGCTCCAAAAGACCTACCAACCATTCTATACACCCCTGAAGTACACCCACATTGACAAAACCCGACAATTCAAGAATAGATATACGATATGAGTGAGACGAGGAGCATGTTGGGATCATGGAGGCTGACTTGAACCCTCCACCCATAAGCCACCTAACGCTTACCTGCATTGTGGCGGGGCTTCTTCACGTGGGTTCTCGGCAAAGAATCCGTGCACACGGCGCTTATTCTTGACCCAACAGTTCTTCGAGAAAGCAGTCGAGGGGATGTCCTGTTGAGCAGGCTGAGCCCTTGTGAAGTAGCGTCATCCAAGTAGAGCGTAGCAACCACTAAGCTGAGCATCCGAAGCTTGTTAGGGTCCTATTGATCTGGGCAGGCAGAAACACTAACTTAGACAGCCCCTAAACCCTCCACCTAAAGCCCACATCGTAGTCAGTCAGGATCAACTTATGCTGCGCAAGCAGATGCGGACCCCTAAACTCTAAACAACTCACCCGATCAGTCTAAACCCAAATAAACCTTATAAACATCCTTACGTAAACCCTCTGAAGCACCCCTAATGTCGGGGCCTAAATAATTACCAATGCTACCAGTATTTTGGGAGTGCCTTCGTGTACTTTTTGTCTTTCATGGGCCTCAAAACCGTATACACTCATTATTTATATGGGTAAACCCAGAGCCCCCCGCAGCCCCGAACCAAAGTCCTCACTTTCCCCTAGGAGCAAGCTGGATTTGCTCGTGGAGAAGCCTGAAAATCAAGTTTAGGACTGAGGAGGGTTTAGGTCCGCTTGTGCTCTTAAGGGCTCAGGGTTTTAGGATTTGAGGACCCTAAATAATTAAGAGCTTACCCCTCATGGAGTCATAGAGGTCTTTGCAAGGTCTTGGGAAATTTTGCATGGTATTTTGCTTGGGACTACAAGAAAGAGAGGCAGAAGAGCTTGGGTTATTGCGCAAATATTATTCGAAAGGAAAGATGTACCGAAATTCTTCTATGTACCTGGACCCCAAAAAGTATGTAGAATAATAGCCAGGAAAATGCTTTGGGCCATTATTTTAATTACATACTTTTGAGGGTCTAGGTAATTACTCATCATTCAGTTAAGACCCCCACACTACTGTTGATGGTATAAATCCTGCATTACTGTAAGGACCCTAGACTATGGGAATTATGGTATATTCCTTATTTTGGGTAATGCAGAACTTTTATCATCAACCGTAGGCTTGGAGGTGTTTCATACGGCCTTTGTGAGGGTTCTCTCAAACCGGCTTTTAGGGACTATGGTGACTTGGGTTCGAGGGTTCGGAGGGTGGATTAGGTGCAGGGCAGTAGGCTTATGGTGACGATAATGTGGTAATGTAGGAACCTGATTAAGAAACCTTGGGCCTTTATCAAGGTTCTTAATGTGGATCTTAATATATTGGGGTTACAGGGCCAAGGTTTCTTAATCAGGTTCCTACATTAGTCACTCATTCGGGAAACTTAAGACATAAAGCCCTGCATATTTACGTAAGTCCCACCGCAACTTGCACGGATTCGGGTGCCCAGGAAGCCACGCAACGGGGAAACAGATTTCCGCACCGTGAACCCCATTCCCTGAGCCGCATCTCCCAGACTTTCCCTAAGGGGATCTATAAGGGTTCTATAAAGGGTTTAGGGTTTGGGAGTTGCCGAAAATTTGGGGGGGGGGTACCTTATTTGGGGCCCTTACAAGTAGGATCCTAGTATTTCGGGTACTATATAACATGTACATTGGCCCCAAAGTACTTATATAGGGACGACTGTAAGGCCAAAGTATGTACTCTTTGGGTGCACTAACACCCTAAACCCTATAGAGCCCTTATAGTAACCCTTACAGGAACCCTTAAAGGGGTTCCTTTCAAGGCTCCTTTGAGGAGTTCCTATGAGGGCGCCTTTAAGGGATCGCTCTTCAGGTACATGGACCCTTAGGGTACTGTCTGGTTCTTAGTAGGGAATGGGGGAATGGATTATGGGGACTATTATTGGGGATTATATAGGGACTACTATTGGGATCCATTCCCCCCTTCCCTACTAAGCACCAGACAGGCTATACTTAGTTGCTGAGTTCATAAGTTCCCAAAAGCGTATACTTTTAGTTTTATACTGGGTTTTAGTATCCCGAAACGTGTAAAGTGTATCCACTCAGCTACTACCCTATGGGTCCAGGTATCTCCTTAGGAGGGTCCGGAATGTCCTAGGGAGAGTCCTTGGGTCTCTTTGGGGTCTCAGAAACCCTCAATTTTGAGGTTCCCCTATTTGCTAAGACCCTTAGGGTAAGTATTCTACCGATGTGGAAGCCGGGCCGGGCCTAAGCGCAGAAGCTGGCGAGGCTGAACGACGCGCCCATGGTGGTGGCCTGCCGGGAGCTCAGAAGGATTCTTAAGTTAGGGGATTTAGGGGTTTAGGATTTTATGTTCGGGATTTAAGGGTTTGGAGTTTAGGGATTTAGGGGTTTAGGGTTAAGTTAGGGATTTCAGGGCTTCGGGTTTAATTAGGGGTTTAAGGGTTTGGAGCTGAGGGATTTAGGGGTTTAGGGTTTCGAGGTTTAGTCAAACAAGCAACGAAAAGGCTTGAGGCTGTGGCACTGTCTCAGAAAGAGCGAGCCAACATAAACGGGCTTGAGATAGGTGGCTCTAGAGGCTTGAACGCCGTTGTGGCAGCAGTAGCAGTAGCAGTTCCAGCAGCAGTAGTAACAGAAAATAGTAGCCGTCGTAGTAGTAGTAGTAGTAGTAGTGGTAGTAGTAGTAGTAGTAGTAGTAGTAGTAGTAGTGGCAGTAGCAGCAGTAGCAGTAGCAGTAGCAGTAGCAGTAGCAGTAGCAGTAGCTGTAGCAGTAGCAGTGGCAGCAGCAGAGGCATCGGTACTACGGGCACGAGAAGTAAACCTACGAAAATAGCTCTTTACAGGTTTTTTGGCTCTGTGGCAGACGCCACTTGGGACCTTGAACCCTAAACCTTAAACCCTACACCCTAAATTTAATTTTAAACTTTAAACCCTAGACCCTGAATCCTAAATCCCCAACCCTACACCCTAAACTTTACATCCTGAACCCTAAATCCTGAACCCTAAACCCTAAACCCTAAATCCTGAACCCTAAATCCTAAACAAGCCTTCTTGGGGATCCAAGAGCTCCACCACCTGCACCTCCAGGAAGTAGCGGCCAGCCTTCCGAGTTGGGGTTTCGGGGGACTGGGGAAGGGGTTAGGGTTTAGGGTTTGGGGCAGGGGTTAGGGTTTAGGGGTCAGGGTGTAGGGGTTTCCGGCTTCGGGTTCAGGCGCTTGGGGCTTAGGGTTTAGAGTTTATTTAAAGTTAGCATATAGGGTTTTCCCCGCATTGATGATTTACAAGACGCATTGTCTGGTCGTCTGTGTGTGAGTCCGACAGAGCAGGATCAGGACGGCCCCCTGGGCTACTTGTACCTGAGTGTCCCGTGCGCTTCTGGGGTCCTTACCTGGACAGTAACGGGGAACACCCAGCCCCCTTCGTTTAGGTAGGGTTTGTGGTTCAATGTTCGTCAATGTTTAGCCTTCCACGTCTTAAGATGTGTTAGATCCTTATTGGGCTTCAGGTCCCAGAGGCTACAAAGTGAATGAGTTTTTCTTGGAAGGGGGAGACACACACCGTCAACCTAAATCCCCATGCCCAAGACCCCTTCAATCCTAAGCCAAATGAACCTTACTTGGATGTTCAGCGTACCTAGGTACCCATGATACTTTCCGTGCACCACTATGATAAAACTACAACTGCTCTGGCCACTTTTCGCTCCTCTATCTCGAACGCACTCGGATATCGGTAGAGTTATGAAAGTTATCACTTTTCACTATATCTCTATACTAGGCCACGAGCACCCTGAATTTACGTGTAAGATTCGGCAGCTATCGTTCAAGGTACGCCCGAGGTGCCTTCACTCCAACATTGGCACGAGCTCCTGCTAGGAGGTACCTGGGAATGTTCATAAACCAGTGGTCTTTCAGCCGGACACCGATGTTGAGGCTCAGTTCAGGGTTTGTCTGAATGGGTCCGTAGAACCCCGAAACCGCAATCGCTACACTGCATTAGTCTCACCCTGCACTCAAGGTGACGCACAGGAACTCCTCCACGAATAAGTTCCCCATCCATGGTCCAACTTTCTGGGATATACTCTGCGCACGCGACGCACCCCAAAATGCTACACTTTCCGAACACCCTCAAAACTCGAGCTGTCATTGAGAGGTAAATAAAAGAGGACTCGTATACCCTAGGCCGTTCCTGATTGCCGGACCTTTAAAAGAACAACCCTGGTTTGTGGTCTAAGGCCTCAACAGACGTGCGAAAGGAATCCTTCCCTGATAGCCGGAAGAAGAGCAACGGCTTTAAACAAAGGTAAACCCTAGAAACCCTCACATTCTAAACCCTACCTGCGGGCTCATGTCCTACCCCTTCTTAGGGTATCTACTTTCTAGACAACAGATCCAAACCATGAAGCTAGGTATCCTAAAAAAGGGGCTCTAAGTAAGTCCTCAACCTTTTGAAGCCAGGCCATCGGAGCCCTTTGGAAACCCTAAACCACCGAACCCTAGCAACATGCTTAAAGCCAAAAAAGGGTACATTAAATCTGGCTGGATCAGTTGTTTTAATGTATAACTGCATTCAATAATTTGATATTAGTTTGTTGTTTTTTTTTTGGGGGGGGGGTCTGAGACCTTCAACCTCAATGGGCGTTGGGTTGTGGGTTCAGGAAGGCCCTACCGTGTGTATCGGCAAATTTGTCATTGTCAGGGTTGTGAAAACTTGTAGTTCAAGATTGTGAGCTTACATGATCACCGGCACACCAACCCG